AAACAGAAAATGGTAATAGTGTGGGAAAGGGGAAATGAATCAATGGAGGGCCCTGCCATCCTGGCTTATTCAGCAGGCCTCTCTCCTCTTGTCTGTCGACTATTTTTCCCCCCTCTTTTCGTTCTTGAGCTCTTGATCACTTCTCTTTCCCTTCTCCGCTGCATTCCGCACAGTTTTGTCATTCTGCCAAGGAAACGAATCAGAGAGCCCTCTCTCAGCCACCACACTTTCCTTTGTCTCACTCTGCCTTTCTCTGCCTCTGCCTGCTTGTACTTCAGCCTGCACCCTACTGTTTCAGCACGCTTCACTTTGGCGCCCCGTTACCCCACCCCGCAGCCTGTGATGTCACATCAGGAACGAGGGCTAAAGAGGGATGACCCGTTGTCCTAGTGTCAAGTGTCTTATCCAGCTCATAGTTCAGCTTCCCTTGTCCCTGCCCTCGCCATTTAAAGTGTGTGTGTGTGTGTGTGTGTGTGTGTGTGTGTGTGTACATGCTGGTTATCATGCTACATGGCTTGTTATTGGCACCGATAATTGAATGGAACCGTTTACATCGCGAACTTTTAATTAATTTTCCATTCCTTGTTTTCTCTTTTTTTCAAGATGATCTCCAGTGAACCATGGCAGCGGTGAAATGTTTCAATCATACCAGTAAATGAAATAATTCTATCAGTCAATTTGGTCTTGTCTTTATTTTTTACATGGGTGATTAAACATGTTACCAGTCGTTCAACCGGCAGGGTGGATTAGCTGGATTAGATGCTGCGTGTCCACGTATGTGTGTATGCATCAGTGCATGTGTGTACACTGTGTTTATACGCGTGTGTGGCGCTCATTACTGGTGGTTTGGCGGACTAAAAGTCAATCAGTGGCATAATTGTAGCACAGAGAAAGAGCCTCGACTCAACCATAGCAAGTGAATGGAGGTTATACTTCTCGAGATGACCTTTGACCTGTTTAAAGCCTGACCCATCAAGAATGAGAGATGGGATCACTGAGATGTTGCAGCGGACAACTGAAGCTTTTTTATTGCTGTTTTACTCAATGTTTACTTATGTTGATGCAAGGGTCAACACAGATTTACGGAGAAACTGACACTTGAATCCTTTCATCATCAACTCTGTCCGCGGGCCTGTTCCTCTGCTGCTGAACGTGTCCTTCTGCTGTCTCTTTTCCAGCTCTTATCAGGCCAGATAGCCCTCCGATAGACACTCACACCCGTACAGTCAGAGGCTCAGCTAGCCACAGCAGCTGATGGGGCTGATGCGAGGTTGCTATGATGACAACAGGACATGGCCTTATCTGTCGTCATGGTTATGGTCATGATGGAATGATGACAATCTGCTCTTTGCTCGGTATTTACTTAAAGGAAAGCATGACATGTTAAAAAGTGCACCAATGCAGCTATCTGGAAAAAAAACAGGGGTGCTACAGTGTCCTCATACAAGACTGCTGTTACTGTTCCAGAGTTACTGTTTGTGTCACACTAAGTCAAAATACACAAGTAAATGATCATGGTCATGCAGAAACCGCAGGGAGCAGAGTTTGTGTCATTGGCTCGGTTTTTTCGACTCATCATGCTCTCACCGCGGTGTCTTTTCTTTCCGACAAATATGACAGATGCATATCAAGCGGTGCAGTCTGCTCAGGGGAGATAAGGACCAGTTAGGCGCTGGGGTTGCAACATCCCACTGAGCCAATGAGTGAGCACAACGCCTTTTTCATACCGATCCCCAGCAGATAGGCCTACAGTGCGTGTGTGAGTGTATGCATGTGTGATGCACCTGATAATTTCTGTCTCCGCTGAATTCTGGCATATACTGTGTAATGGGTGCAAGTCCACACATGCCTCCTGTCCTAAAAACGGTTTGGAATGAAAACTGAAGTTATATAAGGACAGACAGCTGAAAAGCAGGTAATCTGTAGAAATCATTATTTCTCAAGCTATTGAGCTATTATCTAAAAATGTGACAATTATAGACTTCAGCATACTTTTGAACAAAAAAACCATTGATAAAGTCATGCCTAAAAAGCTCTTTTTTCCCTTTTCATCTGCTGTTCAAATATCAAAGAGCTCTTCAGATCTACATTTTGCCTCAGAGAATAAATATCTTGAACATTTCATCTCTTTCCAGGAGGTTGGCATGGTCTGAAATTGTTCACATATTATCGTCTCTCCTTTTAATATGGCATGTTGTGTTTACTGATATTTTCCTCCTATTCAAGTAAATTTGTAGATTACATGAGTCCACTTGTGTTACAGAGTCAGCCCGCTCAAACCAATCTAAACCAGTATTTGCTGGACAAACTCAGAGACGCAACAAAATCCTGTCCTGAAAATAAGCACAGAGAAAAGTTGTCAAGAATGCCCTCATCTCATGCACATTGTTAGCATGAGTGACCAGATGGGCAAGATTGAAATGAGGCCTAGCAGACTTTCAGTTTTAGATGTCATTCTTCTGATTTCCTTCTGCGAACTTGGGATAGGCAGAAGAACATTTTGCGAGCAATGTAGTATCTCTTGAATACCATAAAGGGATATTCTGGCGTAATACTAAGTTAGGGTCAAACACACCGTAACACTGAGTTAGACACCCCATCCAGGGATGAACATTGCTGACTGCTTGCTTCTCTAGTTATACCAACTTTAGTCACGACCGCAGGATAGCAATACACAGCGGTCTGAGGAGCCAAGCGCTCAACCAAAAAGCCACTCTTTAGCCACAAATAATGCTCAGAACAGCACCTAACTTCATCAACAGTACATATAGGGTCACAGCCAGAGCACTAGCCACCAAACATCTTTTTAGCTTCGCCTCATTTCTTAAGCAAAGAGACTAAACACAGCTCACCTACTCTCCTTCAGTAGCCAGACCTCCGACGAGTCCATTACCGACTGCAGCGGGGTGACGCAGCTCAAGGAAAGAACATTTATGATCATTTCTTCATGGAAATGCAATCAGACTGAGACGCTAAGGCAGAAGAACTTCCGCGTCTGCAGTGCAAATGATTAATATGGTGATTATTACTTCAAGGAAATGATAAAGTAATGATCAGAAATTTTCTTCCTTGAGCTGCGTCACCCCGCTGCGGTAGTGGACTCACCTGAGGTCTTGCTACAAACAAGCGGCTGCTGAAAGAGAGTGGGTGAGTTGGTTTTAGTCATTTTGCTAAAGAAATCAGGCAAAGCTAAAAAGATGTTTGGTGGCTACTACTATGGCTGGGACCCTGTTTGGACTGTTGATGAAGTTAGATGCTGTTCTGAGCATTATTTGTGGCTAAAGAGTGGCGTTTTGGTTGAGGTTTGCATGTTGCTCCATAGACCGCTGTGTATTGCTATCCTATGGTTGTTAAAGTTGGTATAACTAGAGAAGCAAGCAGTCAGCAACATTCATCTCTTGAGGGGGTGTCTAACTCTGTGTTACAGTGTGTTTGACCCTAACTTAGTATTACGCCGGAATATCCCTTTAAAACTGTAGGAAAGGCCATGCTTTTTATGACAAGAACTTGGTCCATGAGAATGGAGGCTGTGAAGAGAATTCAGGGCAGCTACAGAGCAGCTCTGTCACCTAATCCACCACACAAGTAGCCATCCTTCATCTACAATAGCATGCTGAACAGCTTGAGATTCTGAGCAGGTCTCTGTGGGCTCCTACTGTCCTCTGCAGTACTCCCGCTCTCTGTCTGGTCATTGGTCCCAGTGGGAGCGTCCAGAGGATCCATCAAGAGGAAGGCACCTGGGTCTCATCCTCTCAGTCCTGGCCACGAGCCAAGGTGCCCTGGACTCACCCACTCATACCTTTCTCCTGTTACCTTCCAGTGAAAGCGAGTGGAGCGAGGTGGGGGCTTAGAATGGCCAGGGACATTATTCAGGCACGGAAGAGGATGGCAGATCCAGACGCCCACTCCCCAGAGCCCTCCCAGGCATTAGTACTGTACTTGCCCCCCGGTTTGTCAATGGGAGCCTCCATATGAATGGGCTCATTTGTCCTCAGACAGTAGGGATGAATTTGTCTGTCGGAGCAGGTGAGCAGGAGGGCCTCAGCTCCGTAGAACAAGGCATGAATGAGGGCTGAACACGACCTGTCCCAGGTGAACATCCTGAATGCTCTCTGTCCCCGGTGAGAGGAGACTGACCTCCTTTCCAGGGCTGAGTTGAGGGAGGGGTGCTCCGCATGTCCACACCCTGCTTCTGACAGCTACTATTTGAGCGGATTACACCCTGGGCGCCTGTTAAAAAGGAATGTGTAAACTGACCAGACTCACTCAAACAAAAAATAAGTTAGCATACATACACCAGCTTTGTTTTGTGATCTTGATGCTGTTGAGATTTTATTTACAGAGAAAACAAATCCAAACACATCAGCATGACAGTAACTTCATTGTTCGCAGAAAGAGGCAGGTTGACGCTTCTATCATCTCAGAGAGATCCTTTTGGAGTGCAAGATTTTATCTAGTAAGAGTTATAACTCTATGCACTTATGAATTACTTTCATTATCACTACGCTCTACACAGAAACTCCTTTTCAACCACAAATAATGTTTACCTTGAGCCACTGATGAATGATATGAAACACTCCTCCGTTTCTTCCCCCTCTATCACTTCTCATTTGAGAAAGATATCCCACATGTGCATTGAAACTATCTGACTCAGTTCAGGTTTTAACACATATTTCTTGTTCTCAGAAAGTAGCTCAAGAATTCAGCATACCATAAAAGTTTGTGAAGTTTCAAACAGAGATGCGTTATGAGTTTAAATGCAATACTGGTAACCAAAAATAAGTTGTTCAAGATAGCTGATACCTAAAAATTCTATGTTTTTCTTCCACATTTGTGTTTATATCCACCTGAAGGTTATTAAGTGCAATGACCAAGAAGGGAAAGGTGCATAATGTATATTGATCTCTCATATTTAACACACCTTATTGGAATCACTCTTGTTATTGCACATAAAAAAAGTTTTGACCCCTCAACTGTCATTGGGGTTTTTACTGCAGTCTGGAGCACACCTGTGCATGCAATGATGTCTTTCATGTCAGAGAAAGCATACAAGTCCATCCTTCTGTGGACACTGTTTCAATTATGCTATTAGCTGGAGAAATTCTTGGTCCTCTGCGTTGGAAAAAGCTGGTTCATCCACTACTGTACTGCTCAGTGATTATGTCATTAATTTCTTTAGATTTGGGTTTTCTGTGTTTAACTTCATGCAGATCCCCGGCCGGTATGACGGCCCTCAACAATCTATTAATGAGAGCTAACTTCTGCTTTGTTTTCCTTCAGTGTATCTTTGTTGTGATGACTGATTTTTGGGTGAGTTATAAAACTTGGGGACATTTTTCCTCCCCTTGGAAAACTGTTATCCTCCTCTGATTCAGTAAAGATAAACACTGGTGACACCATTGTTACTCTCCAGTGAGCTTGTTGCAGCTGTGCTTGTTCTTCTTCTCTGTATGTAAATGCGGATCCAACACTGATACTCACTGAACCAGAGTGATAACTGTTATGTATTAAGGAGTACATAAATTTGATTAAAAAATATAAATAGTCAGAACAACTCCATACACTACTAATTATTTATTAATCATGTGCAATATCATCATCATCACATCCATACTGATCTTTTTCTCTTTTTTATTTTTCTTTATACTTGTCTTTTATACTGTTCTTCTCTTGCACTGCTCTTTTTATTTTACACTGGTTCTTTTATCTTATTTGTTTTTGTACCCATTGTATGTGAATGTGTATGTTGTGTGTACTGCTGCTGTGGACAATTTTGATTCCCCCCACTGAGGGATGAATCAAGCAATATGTGTCTATCTATCGATATTACCAACATTAGCAATTAGTAACAACATGAAATTATCTGGTAATTACATGATAACTACTAAGTCAATACTGTCTAGCTACCAGGTAGGTAACCTTCCATTATCATACAAATTTGAAGCCGAATTGCTCTGGTATTTCCAGGATTTTCTCCGCTTCCTGGAAACACCACTTGGGCAGTAGCACCGTACGCATTCGGCGGGAGAGTCGCCAAGAGAACGCCCATAGGCTGTATCAAGTGTCAATCATGGAAAATAAGAACCCCAAATAGCTTTTAAAAAATGGAGCTGCACAGAAAAAAGAAAAACTAGACAGTGTTGACTCAGTAGTTATCATGTTCTTACCAGATAATGTCATGTTGTTACTAGGTAATTACCTGTTAATTACCAGGTAATAAGTGTACCGTAAAAGAAAGGGTTACCTCGATAACTAATAATAACATATTTTTCAGTATGAATACACACCTCGCATTTCTACCTGTTAAATTGAATCGCCTGTGCTTTACCAGTGGATTCTTTAACTGAATTTGATTACATGGACACACTGTGGTATCCCTGGTCTCATTGCACAGCTCCTGTTACATCTCTCTGGTCTGAATTGATCTTATTAGCTCAATATGAGTATTTCCTGCGTGAACTTCTCGCTTCCTGTTTTCATGTTTTTCACAGTTTCAAAAAAAGCTGCATCCTCAGTCAAGCTCAGTGTGCGGCTGTAATTTCTGTGCTATAGCAGCCATTTAGAGTTTGGCCTGAGGTAGGAAAAAAAAATCATGAGGGATTGTCTGGGTCATGAGAGAGACAAAATGAAGCAAGATGGAAAACTTTTGGCCTTTTCTGGCATTTGTGGAGATCATCAGTAAGATTTGGTGTCCTGGCAGTCCGGGTTGCGGTCGTTTCCTGTCAACAGAGGTCATCAGTGATTATCAGCTGTCAGCTCAGCTTCTCTCTTCGTGACAGATCTTACTTTCAACGCTTTGACAGTCACAACATCTCTACATTTTATGCTTGATTACTTTCAGTGTGCTAAGAGTTGTTCAAGTATTACAAGATGATTTCTATGAAAAGTGCTCACCAGGTGTTTTACTGAACGTACCCACCTCTTTCCTGTCAGAGGGGTATTTCTATGAATTTCTCTTGATCCATGAAAAGAGGAAGTTCACAAGGTCTGATCACAGCACACTCACTATGACTCTGTAGCTATTAAAATTGAAACAGTGAAGTGCTTGCTCAAGGGCTGCAAAGAAGCGACTCACTGAGTGACCGAAGTTGACGGCAAATAGAGGCAGTAATGCATGTTCTGTGTTTTTATTATCTAAATACTGTCCTGTCTTGCAGTCTTAATATCCTTCTAGGGGTCTGAGGAAGGAGGGATGCTTTTGTAGTAAGGCTCAGGCAAAGGTCAACCCCCCCTGCAACACACACACGAAGAGACCTGCATCTGAACCATGCTCCACTTCCTTTCATCTTCTGCGTCCCTCTCTCCCTAACTCAACTTTGCGAGGGGATGGTCGGGATACCTTTTGATTCCACTAATTCAATTTGATGGAAAAACAAATACACCGGGGGAGTGGGAGACAAGAGGAAAGTGGGAGTAGTCAGGGGGATGAAGAGGGGGGAAAATGAAGAGTTACATGGAGCTCAGAAGGGGAACGAGTGCCAGCAGAGGGGGGATGAACGGAAGAACGGAGGGGGGAGAAAAAAGGAGGAGGTAGGGAGTCTAGATGAGTTGAAACATCCAGTTCCAGGTTGAAGTCGTAAACCTCTCTTTTCTCTGATCTAGGTGGCCACCATGTTCACCCTGCCGACGCAGCCGAGATCTCCTCTCATCACTTACATGGAGCTCCACTTTGATTGTGAAGATAAGTAACATCTTATTTTATGACTCTTTCGGTGTCCCACAATTCATGGTGTGAGTTAGGGTTAGGGACTGTCTCAGTCAATGGAGCTGGAGGTCTAGTGAGGCTTGGCGAGTATGAAGTATATAAAACTCGCCCATTATAGAGTCAGTATGAATTTAATGAGGTAGAAAATGAAGCATTGGTAGCACACGCTGACCACCATCGCACTTTGCCAAGTGTTTATTTCAAGAGCAAGCCGCACATCATGTGCCTGCTACCTTAAGTCTTCTTACGCCGCTCTACCCACCACAAACACCCACACTGCCCCCATGCAGACATGAGGTTTGTCACACACTATAATTGTATGTATTTATTGCACATGTGTGTTTATTTCTGTGTGTATGTGCTCAGACGAGGGTAACTCTGGGAGTCGCTGGCCTGGCAAACTGCTGTATTATTTTTGGGACGGCGGCCCCCTCCCTCTGGAGGGCCTCTCTGAAGAGTGCTGGCTCTCTCCGTCTCCTCCTCTCAGGCTCCGGGAGTCCGGCCAAGCCCGGCCAAGCAAGCTCTCTGGCTGCAGCAGCACCCAAACTGCTGGAGCCGTGGCCTGTACACGGCCCAGCACCTAAAGCACTGCGCTACACACAGATGTCTGGCCTGCTTGTTGGCAGTTGAGCGTTACATTTTCACTGATGTCCAGCAAGCTGATCAGGGGGATCCCACCCCCTCTGTGACAACACACACACACACTTTATTGCCGCTCTCCAGCCCAGTGTTGTGGCTGCTGTGAGGTGGCTCTAGCTCACTGCACAGTGCAGCAGTCACACTGGATAACAACACAGCACGTACCTAAATTCCTGGATAAATATTATTTCCAAATCGAGATGATCAAGCCTCTGGGAAACCCCAGCAGCTCAGCCTCAACAGCAGTCCAGCAGATGTGAGCAGGGTGGAGGGTTCATGGAGGGGTAGTGGTCCACATTTAGCCGAGACCGTTTAATCGGATGGTCTGTGCTGTGGGTGTGTGAGTCTATGCTGAACTCACTGATGATGACCTCAAATTGGCCCTAATCGAGCAGACTCATTAGCAGCTGGCTCTGTTCAAAGTTTCTTCAGCCCACTTTTTTTTTCTTTTCTTTTTTTTTTTTTTTACCATAATCATTTAAATGGGAGGGAGAGACATGGCCGACATTGAGAGACAGAGAATAAAGGAATGTTAAAGACAAACAGAATAAGAGTAAAAACCAGAAGAGAGAGAGTGAAAAAAGATAAACAAAGCAAAGAGAAAGAAAAAGAGGACAAGAAGAGGGAGCAAAAGAGTCGACGCCTGTTTCCTGGCAGCCTCAGCTGCGTGCACATCTGTGTGCGAAGGGCCAAAGCAGACCCCCACGTGTTTGCTCAGGTCGCCTGATTGCCTTTCCTTCCTCCTCTCTCTCCCACTAAAGACCCGCTGTCCTTCCTCTCACTCCAATCACCAGAGCCAACAGAGAGGGCCGCTCTGACACAAACAGCGAGAAAGGCTCATGACTCAGTAAGAGCTGGTTCAGATTCACGAAGCATTTAGTTCAAAAAGATATCTCGACTTGAGAGTTAGGATGGGTTGTTGCTGAAATTAGGATGGGAATAAGTGTTTGTGTTTATTTTTCCCCCGAGTGTTCGAGCGCGAGCATGTGCACATGTATGACTGTGTGTGACTCCTGGAGTCTGCTGTCTGGGTACAATGGTCCAGCCTGGGGCCTCGGCTCCACAAAGAGGCCTTCTCTTAACAAGGAACCATAAAAGATAGAGGAGGAGCTTGACCAAAGCATTATTACGCTGTAGGGATCACAGAGCTTCCCCTGATGCATCTGATACCACTTATGATTTCAATAATCCAGCACTCATCATTAGAAGGAAAGTTTAGTCTAATGCTGTATGTTTTTGTGCAAAAATGGAAGAGTGATGATAAAAGACAGACTTGACTTGTGAGGCGGTGACAGATTTGACTTTAGTATTAAACTTTATTTCCTTTACTTTTGTGAGATGGAAAAATGATAAAAACGTACAGCTCAGGGACTTCTCGTCTAAGATAGGTCAGTGTTTTTCTTTACGTAATAACCATGAAATTCAAATCATAACAGTTTCCATGTGTCCTTGACAAAAGCTTTAAGAGTGAAAATAAATTATCGTAGCAATAATTATAACATCAAATATAACAATAATAATAGCAATTAAGCATTTATAAACACTCTATTCACTGTGTCTTTTTTCCATAAAAGTCCATTATTAAAAACAGGTGAGCGGCGGGGTGGCGTACAATCCAGCATGTGAGGAGAGCACTGGTTTGTGGGTACTGTGTTCAGCTGGTTCATAACAGCTGGTGCCGGGCTGTAGCTGTGCCAGTCCGAGCTCGTCTTGAGACTTCCAGCACAGAAGAGTTCGTCCTTGCGGACAACAGACAAATGGACAGGGTGCGTGAAGAGATGGTCATCAGGTGAAAACAGCTGTTCTGTTTGAGACCTCTCTTGAGTGTCCTGTTACAGGGCCAAGGAGAGGTGGGTACCAAAGTGACTTAGTAAAAATAAGCAAAGAGAATGACAAACGTCTCCATTCACTTCATTCCTGCATGCCTCAGACACCCAGGGGCTAACAAACCCCTCGTCACATTAGCTCTTCACATAGTCTGCTTAAGTCCTGCTCTGCAGCGTCCCATCAGTGAGGTCAGGCATGACGTGACCCTCAGTCATTAAATCCAACTGAAGGTCTTTCCCCTCCGACCACTGTACATGACGCAACAAGTCTGCCCAGCACTGACGGGATGTAGAGGCCATGTAGTGTTCATAGTGGGTTGTGGCTCCTTTGGGCAGAGGAGTCCAGATTCTGAAAGGACCTCAGTGAGGCTCTGCCCAGACTGGCGAGCGATTGGAGTGGTGGGGGTGACCGAATGAAGGATGAATGGGCGTGGGAGTCGGCAGCATGTGTCCCGAGTGGCTGAAGGGGGGCAGATGACCCATGTGGGCCATGTGACTGGTGAGGCTGGGTGCCGTGCCGAAGGGTGAGGCCTTGTCCTGCATGCACTTGGATAGCTCATCGAAGCCGTCCCCTGATCGTTTGTTCCTCTTGGACTTGCTTGACATCTTGCGGTTGCGTGTCTGGATGCCTTCTTTTTTCATGGTCAGGGGTCTGTTGACCTGTGGAGAACAGTGCATTAGTTCAAGGCAACCAGGACAAAAGTTTCACTGACAGTGTGAATGGATTTTTATTTTTTCTGTTCGCTCCAGCCTGTTTACCAGCTCATAACTTTAAATGTCATCGGTCATAAGGCGAACCGGTCTCCAATTAAGATTTACATGCATTACTTTTATTGTGGGCCACTATCATGAGTGTTTACCCTGTGATATGAGTGCTTTAAATAATAAGCAGCTGTTTTGCATTTATAGCCCCATTTAGAGGCGAGTCAGGGGGCGTTTTGGATCTTTTGTCAAATTTAAAACCAAACAGAACTCAGTGTCAATATGAATACACGGGGATGAGGGCTGGCTGGATCTGAAAGGAGCAGCCTCAGACAAATCCTCATCAGTGTAACCGACGCCGTTACACTGAATGACAGTCCCACCCCGCAGCCTCTCCTGGGAGTAACGCCCCCCATTGACACAACGATGGATTAATAAAAAAAAAAGAAAGGAAAAAAAACAACAGAGAGACTGGTGGGTTCAGCTCCACAGGGTGAGCAGGCTTTGCTTCCACACTCTCACAGTTTCTCTGCCCCTAAATCGATACAAGCTGTCCGCCCACTTAACCAGTTAACGACCTACACCCCCACCCCCACCTCCACCGCAACCCTCCTCTAAAAATATAAACAAATAATCGCATTTTTCCAGCTACTTACATTGTGCAGTTTAAAGTAAAGGCCGCAGGCGTTACACACCGGGTCTCCGTTCCCGTTGCGCCTCCACAGGGTGGTGGTGGTGGTCTGGCAGTTTGCACAGCAGGTGCCTGCGCGTCGAGCAGCGGACTGAAAGGGAAACAGGGGAAAGACATCATGAATAATCAGCCCTGGTCAGTACGGACACACAAACACGGTTGACAAAAAAAATCACGCTTCTCTAGGCACCTAGGAAAGCCTATCTTTTCCCCGTTCCGTCATTTAAGCCGTATTAGTGGCATTTCGTACACTGATCATCAGCATAAAATTAACAGGAGACAGACAGTCAGTCAGACAGAGCGGCGCGTAAATGTTCTTTGACCCCCAAACCACGTGCAGAAAAGCATTAAGTAAAAAGGACTCAAAGTGGAAAAATAACCTTACTTCCCGATTGAATCAATTAATGACGAGCGCTGTGATTAGATTTCCTCATACGGCAACATTATAATCATCCATACATCCTTTTATTTTTACGACATTAATACATTTTAATGCGAGTATAACACGCTATAACACAACTCTAGCATAAGCCCCTTTTCTGATCATGTTCCGGGTAAACTTCTAAGTTCTTAAGTCTAAGACCTGTTGTCCTGCCTGCTAAAGTGCTTGCGCGTCCATTACAGATCAATTCTTCACACATAATCAGAAACATTAGTTTTACATGCAGGAACCCTGCGGCCCTGTTCTTTGCAGGCAGCATCCAAGTTTTACTTTTGATTAGGTTCAGGTGCGCTCTTTGCTATTAGCGTGAAGAGCAACAATAACAGCGGAGCCATTTACGCATGACGCATGAGTTGGAGAGGGAGGAGAAGGGGGGGTTTAACCTTTTTGATATTGAAAAAGCTGCCCCGTTTATCCGAAACTGTACAAGCCAGTAAGAGTGACAAACAAGACGGGAACATAAATCCATTTATTTTTCCAATTCCCGCCCCTTGCGCTCCGTCTCTTCACACATAAGCGGCTCCTCCAGTGTTGTGATAATCTCTTTACAGTATATGTCAGGCCGGCCACAGAGAATGCAGCGCGCGGGTCGAAGGCGGAAACAGCCGGGAGCCTGACTTCCTTATCTGGGCCGGGCAGATATCCGGATAGGAAACAACTGGATGCCCCTTTGAACACAACTCTGAAAAACACTTGAGCTGAAAATGCAAAAGCTACAGGCGCACGGGCCGGGCCAGTGGAAAATCTAATGGACTTTTCATGAGGAGGAACGATGTGAAGGTGGCCAAGGAGGAGCACGAAAAATACCAGTACAAATGTCTCAGCAATAACAGGCTTTTGAGGATTTTATTAAAACCTCCAAAATACACTACACTATGCTTTTTTTCTCAGCGTGATGTTTACAAGTCAGAAAATCAGCAAAAGACAGCTGCTTTAGGCATAACGTACTGTCTCTATTTAATCACTTCATCACACCAGCGACTTTTTATTTACCTCATTTGATTTTTAATCCTCTTATCAATGTATAACAGACATAGGCCTACATTATTATTTTTCCACATTGTATAGTTAAAAAGTATTGCACTGTATTGACTGAATCCCTCGTAGGCTATTAAATTAACTAATTTTGCAAAGTAATAATTATCTTTGATACCAGTAACTTCTTTAAATAGTTGACAATTTTAAGAGAGAATTATTAAAAATTGTTTTTGTCCATTTCTTATTTTTCTTAACTTTTGAGTTAAGTTAAAGTTATAATAATAAAGGAATCCATTTATTCTGAGCCCTAATCCAGGACTCAGTTAAAAAAGTGTATATGTAACATTAGATAGATAGATAGATAGATAGATAGACTTGTTATGATTGGAATTCAAATTTATGCATTAAAGTAAATCCATAACCCCTTTTTCGATAACTTTATAAACGTGTGCACAGAAAAAGGTCTGCAACTTCCAAAGTTGCTGTGCAGCTCTGCAGCAGAGATCCATCCAGGATGAGAGTATTATCTGTCCATGCTTTTCATTTACTCCAGCATGGTGTTAACTAAAGCAGCATGGGCATTGGTATCAGTAACAGTATCAGAAGTACCAGCAATAATGATAGCAGGAACAATGGCAATAGTAGCAGTATTGTAACAGGCCATGGAGGTGGATCATTGGGGGGTGAGAGGGACAAACAATTCCAGGAAGATCATAGGGAAAATATAACTTTCCTGGAATTGTGCTGCCGGCATCTGCTTTGTGCTCATATTTGGGTGCCTTCTCTCTGGGTGAAGGGATAGAGTGAGAAGTGTGGGACTCACCAGTCTGCGTTTGGGTTTGATGAGTGGCCGGTTCTGGCCGTTCATCTTGTGGTACAGTCCGCAGGCATTGCACAGATAGTGGCCGGTACCGTCCCGCCGCCACAGAGGGGTGGAGGTTGCACCGCAGTTTACACATTCACGGCCCTCTGCATAAAGTTCAAGAAGAGGAGACAAGAGGAAATTTTATATAATTAAAAAATTCACACACCGACAGAAGCAACACGTTGCTGCAGCCTATAGCCTTACTGACTTACAGCTATACTGTGGTAGGTGACCCTAGAAGGCCCTGTAATATGAAGTTGAAATCTGTCATGATGGAGACAATGTCTATATCACTCTGCAGGTGTGTGTGGCTGTCAGGACACAGACACCTCCATGTAAACTGATCCAGAATTTGGAGAGCAGAGACAGCCAGAACATGTCCAGAGGTGTCCAACAAGAAGAATGAGACACACCATCAAATTAGGACTACATTATTTATCAATGTGAGCGCCCATGAGAGGAAACAAAAGTGTTGTCCTGGTATTAAATGTTGCCGTCTTAAATAAAAAAATAAAAAAAACGTGCATGCCAGTTGGAAACAATTAGTAATATAAATATGGAGTTAAGCGGAAAATGCTGCAGATGAAGTTGGTCGTATTGTAGAACAGCCACTGCTCCTCTTTTAGGAGAAAAAAAAACCCTGCTGGTGAAGTTTTCCCCACATGTTACCATCCATTCAGGATTGACTGACTTCAAACAGCCTGTTGCCAAACCGACCGTTTCATTTAATTCAAGTCTCCCTCTCTCCCTAGAGCATCATCTCATTATTCCTCTCATAATGCCAGCGACACCCACAGTCCCACCCTCACCCTACAAAGGAATCTGACCTGAGCAAAAAGCTATGTGCCTTTTGAAATGCATCTCAAGCCTTTTTTTCTACCTCCCTTGTCTTCCTCTAAATTGTTTCGCAAGTCTGGCAACCACATTAAGGTGGTCATTACCGACTTAAATATTCACCAGAAATGACTCGTGAATATTCTTTTGCAATCTTGAAGTGTTGAAAGGAGAAATACACGAGAAACTACATTTGAAAACGGTAGATACTGAGAAGACAGGGTCTTCTGGTTTAAGGCTAGTTCTACAGAAAGCCACACCACTTTAAGGTGCATAGGCAAACAGCTGAAATGTCATTGTGGCATTTTGTTCTCCAGTCAATCACCATTACTGGCACTGGACACAGAATTTGAGAGATAAGAGGCTTTCTTAACGCTGTAGCTGATATGTTTGTGTTGCAGATTCAGACACGGTCCAGCTAGATTCTTTTAAATGTCACAGTATAACATTTCTATGCTCCCTGCCACAGCAGCTCACATTCACTCAGATTATCAGTCAGCAAGCGTTCCCCAGATGTGTTCAAAAGCATCAAGACAAAGAATGACAGTACTTGCAATTACACAAATACATTTGTTACCACTTAGCCATCCACATGTCTTTGTCAATTCAAGAAAGAATGATAAAAAAATAATAAAATTACAAACAACCGGAGTTGGCTGTTTATAAATGAATATTCCACTCAGTTCAGTGTGATAAACCAGGGTCACATAACAGAGTGTCTCATCGCCTTCGCTTCAGCTTTTTAAATTATACAAAAATTACACTGTTAGTAATCTCTACATAATGTACTAATCTCCAACCTCTATCATGATACACTCAGTCCCAATTTTTTTTTCCCAAAGTCTCACATAAGCATATCCATTGTGGGACTAGTTGCCTGAACTTCTTGTCAGAGCACTGGGCCAAGGCCATGCTTAAAAACACAAACAGCAGGGCTCTGTCGCCTGGGCTTTGTTAGTACTAGGGAGAGCTGTGGGAGGGGTGGAGGTCGTGATTTGTTCACTTGGAGGTATACAGGATATGGCAGGAGCCAGGGCGTCGTGACTCGTTCATTTTTAAGTGCAATAAAGGCCACATTAAAAAAAAAAGAATAAAAAAACAACACATATGCCCTGGAAAACAAGACCTTTTTAGAGGGCTTATTCAAGAAATCATCCACAAATGTTCGCTAGAGTTTTTTTCGTGGAGTAAGTCTTCTTTCTCAGACCGAACTTTATTATTATTATTATTATTATTATTGGATTCAGAAAAAAAAATAAAAAAGTGAACTTGCAAATGTGAAACACAAGAACGTTTGATCATGCGCACAAGGCTTTGCTGGACATCTCAACTCAAAATTGACCTCGATCGGTCCTATAGGAGTTACATCTCAGATTATAATCTGTCTTTGGTGATCCCGTTTAAGAGGACAACACATGTTCAATGGAAGAGCAGTATCACATATGAGTTATTTTTTTTACGTTAGTGAAAAACACTGGAGCAACAGGTTGCATCATACACTGTTGGGTAAATTTATGATACAGATGACTTGATTAAATCTTTAAAAAGGCCGTTTTTCGTCTAAAGGTGTCACAATAATGTCAGCATATATTTGTGATTTCTGCCTAATGTACTTCTAATCATTTTAATCTGCAAAGTGACGTGACCCACGCAAACTCGCACAAGACTCACCTGAGCTCGACCGGGCTTTGCTTTTGCACTTTGGCGTAAAGCTGGAGGAGGACCCTCCGAGCAGGCTGCCGGGGTGGAAGAGACTGCCGCCGTACTCGTGTGGAGGCAGCGAGTAGGCCGGGTAGGTCGGTATGGGGTGATGCGTGGCCTGGCTGTTCATCGAGGCCAGGCCGCTGCGAAGCGGACTACAGCTCTCCATTTTCATGCCGTCCGTCAGGGGCACCTGGTACTTGAGCGACTCCTTCTCGTCCATCCTGGTGGACGTGGAGGTCGGAGAGGTTGGGCCAGGGTCCGGGGACACGTCTTTTGGTGGGGTAGGTGGGAAACTGTAGAGGTGCGGGCTGGAGTGTGACGCCGGAGTGAGCGAGGCCACAGGAGCCGTGCCGGTGCTGCTGCTGCAGGGGTAGCCGGAGCTGGTGGTGTGCAGGCCGGGTTTGCTGAAGTGGCTGACCGCCCATGCGTTATGGTGGTGGGCCGCTGACAGGGCTGCCTTCCCGGGGTCCAGCCAGGAAATACCGGGGCTGTGGATGAGGTGTGGTCGGCAAACCTGGTTCCCAGTGAGGCGAGCTGGAATCAAATAAAACAGGCTTACATTTAAAACCCCTCTTTTTATTATTTTAACGCAGAGACTTCACACACACGACTGCTGCCAGATTTCAGACCTAAACATTTTCTTACCTGTCAACCTATCCGACATTTAGGAGGCGTTGTGAAATACTGCAGGTTATTACAAAGATTGTCCACACATTATTGATTATATAAAGTGATTTTCGTAAAGGACAGTCGAATCACCCTTTCTATTTGATACAGAGATAATTAAAGTCTATAATCTACAGAAAAACACACTCAAATATCCGCTCTTCAGGTCAGTATCTTTTCATCGGCTCCAGCTCTCGGACTAAAGATTGTTATTAGTTATTTTGCGGTTTTTATTTTATATCCGGGAAGTGCCTCTCTCTCTCCCTGCAGAAATCCCTGCCCCAACACAGAGGGGTTAAATGACATACTTCCCTTTCCCCTCGCTGTCATTTGCTAGAAAATCCTTTTATGTTGCTGATGTAGCCCAGAAAAGTCAAGGCGGACTCTTTACGCAAATAATGGTACGCTGCACGCATCGTTTCGGGACCGTCTGTTTACATTTTATAACAGTCAATTAAATACATAGCTTCATAATATTAAATGTAAAAAGTTGTCTGCAAAATATAATACATATTGAGACACTTTTTGGACGTGTGTTTCCAGCACATCATTAGATTAAAGAGTGACTGTAAATAAAGCGCAGCTCACCGTGTGCTTGGCTGTACGTGACTCTGGCCCGGGAGTTGGTGTAATAGGGGTTCCCTTGTGAGTCCAAGTGGTTCAGAAACATGTCAACCTCGTCCTGGGGCAGTAAAGGCGCCATGGGCTCCATGTAGTTGTGGCTCAGACTGTGATGGTGAGAGTCCGGGTGCTGGCTGTTCAGCACTGCGTGATGGTGCGCCATCCACCGAGACTGATCGGCTGCTGCGACCTCCATGTCTAAAGCTCCTTTTCACTGAAGACGTGGACTATTTTTTTTTTCTTTTTTTTTTTGCTCTGTTTGCCTCCAAATGAGATTTTAAGTCTCTTTAAAGTTCTTCCAGTGGGGAAAGTCTCGAGAGGGGTAAGAAGTAGATCCTCAAACAGCCCGGTCTCTTACTTTCTCCTCAGTTCTCAAACCTGTAATGAGACGGAAACAAAGTGTTTTTACGCAAACTCTCCTTTCAGAGAAAAACTGGCATCATTTTGTAATCTAATCATAGCGGTCGACACGTGATATAAACTCTGCACACATTCGCACTCTTGGTGTTAAAAGATCGAGACAAAAGTATCCGAAATGCAAATCTGTGTCTGTCGAAGAAATGCATTTCAGCCCCACACAAATGAAATCAAGCACAAATGTTTCCTCTGGATACCTGTTGCAAGTTTGATCAGCTGATGGCAAACACGGCTCTGATGTGTAAACCTCCTGATCCATGCGGCGCTCACTCATTAATGAGATGTGACGCAGACTGATGCGGCTGGCGCCAGAATTCCCATATCAAGCCACATGGGGCGGGGCCTCGCCTTTGGCCAATCACAGCAAACCCCTGCCACAATTGGCTCGCTGCATCCCTGCTCTCCGTCTTTCAATTTCCATTTTCCCTGCACCGAAAAAACTAAAAGACTTATCAATCAGCAGCGTAATTTTCTCGGGGGTCTTTCTCTCACGCTGAATGAGCAATCGGCCCGTGATAATCTGCTTTTTTAGCAGCAGTTTAAAGCCTAAAGACAGACATCTTACACGAGAGGAGAAATCAGACTGCACAATATGAGGCTTGGAATTAACCCTACCTTTTATAGAGTGATCTTTTGTAAATCATCCTCACCTGCGTAAAGCTGTTTGAATGGAAATTAAAATTTAAGAAGGATTAAATAATCTAATTTATTTGGATTTTAATAATAAATGCAGTTTATTGCGCAACATTACAGACTATAATTGTAGGTGTTGTTGTTTTTTATTTTCTCAGACTGGTGTTATGTAAATAAACAGCGTCTTCACCACCTCTTAAACCAACAGAGGAGGAGTCGGTTTATGACCCCGAAATTGGCCCCCATTGTCAGGAGCGCCTAATTGTCTTTAATTAGTAGCAGGGCATTCCTCGCGTAAAAACAGAGGTTTTGTCTCGGGGACGGAGTCATCAAACACAATTTGCATACTAATGGCGCCTCTTTCTCACTTTGTGGTAGAAGGGATGGGCGCGAGTGAGGCCTTTTACCTATGAAACCCAAATGATTTTGATCACAGTGTCCTTTAACGCCCATATTCAGAGACATGACAAAAATACAAACCCTTAATTTAAAGCGTCATTTATAGAGGTATTTATATGCTGTTTGTCAACATAGTGTTACATAATTAAATGATGAATGTAAGATGGTGTTTGTCAATGTGGAGGAGTGAGACCTTTTTGTGAATGGCCTAAAGACATGACCAAATATGTGCGTAATTTCTATTCTATTCTATTCTATTCTATTCTATTCTATTCTATTCTAAGGCATCTAGGAATTAGCTGCAGCGCCGTGCTTTCAAATGAGTAGTCCGTGCCTACACAGGCCTACATGTGTGTGTGTGTGTGTGTGTGTGTGTGTGTGTGTGTGTGTGTGTGTGTGTGTGTGTGTGTGTGTGTGTTTGTGAATTTGTGTGACTGACAGGGAATAATTGGAGGGTCCCGGAGCCTAGACTGGCCGCCTCTCTGACGCCTGGACCTGACGTCACAGAATCACGGGGGTTGGCTGTTGGCCATGGGTGTCACGTGAAGCTCCTGATACCTGGACACACTCCCCCCCTCATAACTGCGATGATAAGGTATGCACGATACAAGTCATTAAGGCGCCGATCATGCTTTGATCTAATGATGGACCCACTCTGTGTGTGTGTGTGTGTGTGTGTGTGTGTGTGTGTGTGTGTGTGTGTGTGTGTGTGTGTGTGTGTGTGTGTGTGTGTGTGTGTGTGTGTGTGTGTCAGTCATCAGTCATTAAATCACAGGCATGTTGCCAGGAGCAGTGTGCTGATGAGCTCAGCCCCTTTGAGCTTGTCAACTTCTAAAATCAACAAATTAGTGGTGGTGGTGGGTCAGCAGAGGGCCCGCTACCTGAATAATTGACATTCCAGTGAAAAGGAGCAGCTCAGTTTGCAGGTAGATCCAAAAACATCAACACTTCTGGTCCAAACTGCTATAACACACAATAGATCAATCATCAGAATTGCACTAATCGTAAGTGTAAGATATTTCATGCTTGAGAATAATTGCTGTCACACATGCTTGAACCTGAACCAACAAGGACTCCCTCTGTTCCAGCATGAATGGGCGGACAGTGGTTCTGCGGTTATTGATGCTAGTAGCACTGAAAGGGTTTTTTTTTTTTCTTCTTCTCCACAGCAACATGTCTCTATGGCTGCAGTGGTCAGCCTGCGAGTGTGTGCTGCTGCCTGTTTCTCTGGCCTGTGAGAGTGAGCTGGTCAGGTTCAGGCAGTGTAGCTTCTGCAGCAAGCTCCCATTGTTGTTTGCATGTTTGCCAAATGGATTACTCAGCAGGATTTAGCCCTCTGTAATTTATACCTTCATTAATCCTATTTGTATCTGTGCTGGAACAAAAGATGGGAGAGGGTGACAGAGGGCTGGTGAAGAGTGTGTGTGGTGGTGGTGGTGGGGGGGTGCTCTCTGTCTTTCTCAAGGACACAGCAGTATTGTTTCAGCGAGGGATGCTATCCTTGACTGGAGAACAGTATCCCTCTCTCTCTGTAGCCCCTGCACTGGGTGAGAACTGAGTGTAATGACTCTAAGACTGTGCAGCCAGAGCAGCTAATGAACAACAAGATTATCATTCCGATCCATGCTGTTATTAAAAGGGATTGGCTTTATCTACCTGTTTGTACCCATTGGGCACCGTCATCCATCATTTTCCACTGGAAGTGTGTGTGTGTGCCTGACTCTATGTATGAGTGTGTGTCTGGTGTGTGTGTGTGACTTGTGAAGATAAGCAGAGCCAGAGAGAAGAGAATGACACAAACCAGCTGAAGCATTATTGTCCCCTTTACTCATGCCTAATTAGATCGAGCCGGGGCACCAGGGGGCTTTATAGTCAGAAGCATCCAGACACAAGACCATCTAACTGCTCAGAGAGGGGGCCTAAGAGCAGCACTTGTTCCCATTTAAAGCAGTTTGAGCAGAGAATAATAACATTTCAAAATAGAGCAGGACATAACACATCATGTGTTCAAGAAGGAGAGCGGAGCAGATGATTCATAGATTTTTCGAGCCACAAAGCCCTTATTGAAGCGACAAAATTAGTTTATACAAGTTCTCTATGACACAAAAGCACCACTACTAACAGACAGATAAAAGTGACAGGAACATTTGATCTCAAATCTGTGCGTGCATTCATTCATACATGCACACACTCATTCATCACACAAATCTTAATGAAGCATGCACTCTTTTTTTCTCTCAATCACACAGAGATGGATCCCATGACCTGTCATTGTCTGAATCACAGTATAAACAGAGCATCAAACCCAGGTAAAAAAGAGAGAGTGAGAGAGAGAGGCTAATAATAATGTGTTGACTCCTGCAGCTGCATGCCTTCGCACACTCTACTCCTCCATTGTGCTGATGTGATTGCTCTCTCTCTCTCTCCACTGATAGAAGATTTCGGTTCTCAGGTCCTTTTATGCTTTTTGAAAGCGTGACAATTGAATGGACTATTTTTGTCGACATTAAATCACGCTGATGATATAATCCATTTCATGATCGAGGGATTTTTCCGGGATAGCCTCTCGCCAACGGCAACACAAGAGGGCTCAAATTAAATTTAATGGCTTATTGGTTGTAACAACGTGACCACGTGGATTCTGCGAAATTTTTGCAATACAATAAGGTCGATGAGTTTAAATATATTCATCTTTACTATTAGACTTATTCATCTATTTTAGAAAAAAGACAAACAATTGGTCAGATCAAACACTAAAACAATCAAACTTAACACAATGCTCTCTGAACAAATACAGATTCTTAATATGAGTCGCTATAATGCACATTGAAGTTCAACCTTGAGGGTATTATTGTGGTAAGCACAGTTCATATTGAATAACAAAATAATGCTGCAAATAAATAAAATTGTAAGGTAAAATTATTATACAAAGGAGAAAAAACTACTCAGTTAAAAAAGCATTAATCCAAGACAGTGAGTGTTTCTCACAATAATATTGAAAATGATCTTTAAACTGATTATTTGACCTGTTTTAATCCTACATTTAGCATTAAATAGTGCGTATTAATTTAAGTTCAAAACAGCAGAAATATTGACCACTGCACATTCAATATGCTTTAAAACGATCAGTAACTCACTGACCTGCTTCAGTCTCAATCTGACTGCGCTGTCCGAGTCACAGCAAAGAGACGAAACTGCATCGGATTCCCCTCCTCACTGCGCTTCTTCCCAGAACAACACCGAAAAAAAACAAAGAAGGACCGGGGAGGACAGACAGAAGAGACGTGCAAGTTACCGATGCTCTCCAGACCAAAAAAAAGGGAAAAACAGTTGAAGTCTATCTTAAAAGCCGTGTCCGAGTTCAGTTCCTCATCTCTCTCTTCTCGCCTCTCTCTCTCTCTTTCTCTCTCTCTCTGAAAATGAGCAAAAACTTGAGCTGCTGTTGGAGAGGCTGCAGCTGCACAGCAACGTAACGGCGCGTCAGCCTGCAGCCTGTTTCCGGGTCCCGTTAAATGGACGCAGCAGAGTGGCAGCGGTATACCTGTTCATAATGAGAGGTGATCAGTAACTCGACCCTAAAATGGGGGTTTGTCAGCATTTGATCTATTCAGATAAGGATCGTGGTCAGCAGAGATTTTTAGCACTGAATGCAGCGTTGAGTTTTCACTGATAACGCACAGTCTCATTTCACTTTGGCCTAACAAATAATAAAGAATTTAAAGAAATGCACCAAGATGTGCACTTTCAGGGGTATGGGGCAAAAGGATATCACTGTTTGTTACTGTCTGTGTCTTTTTTTTTGCCATTGTTAAAAGCATGCCGTCTATTCTTTGGTCTCTTGATGATAATAAAAATATCATGTGTGATATAATTATTTGAAATAATCAGCCAATGTTGAACAAGTTAACATCTTCATAACTTGAAAACCCTTCCTCATTGTCATATCCTGTTTCAACTGGATACTTTATTTTATCTATAATGCTGTGAACATGTTCTTTCCTTTCTAGTAAAATTCCTCTTCATCAGAGACCAAGTCTATGCTCTAAGTGTACTTTTTGAGTGTTGTACTGCAGTAAATCAAACATACTGTATGCCCTTAGTCATAAAAGATCAACTTCTGTGGCTTGAGGCCAACAGAAAGCAAACTAAAGTTTAGGGAGTGATGCTCTATCTATATCATTCATAAAATGGCCGACATTGTTTTAAAAGCCAAAGTCAAATTTCTCATTTTTACGTTTTTTAGATTGTTTAAAATAAATTCGGTGTAACTCTGACAACCCCGCGTCTAATTGACTTCCAGAGATTTTACTTCATGACTGTCAACTCCCGCTCCGCCTCCACCCCCTCGTGTTAACTGTGCAAAAGAAGAAAAATAAGACCCCCTCCCTCACTCCCCCCCTCCATTTCTCTTCTTTATATCCTACAGAGAAACAACAACTTCGTAAAACATGCAAAGCTCCTGAAATCTCCTGCACGCGACCTGCGCTCGTGCGCGGCGCCGCAACTAGGCAGGTGCAAGGGGCGCGAGGACCTCTGCAACTCGGGGCTCGTGCTCCCCAGAGTGAACACACACAAAAAGAAGAGGGAGGAAAAAAAGAAACGTGAAGTCTGACTGAATTAATAACCTTTCTCTAAATGTTTGAAATCAGTCAAGCAAAGATGTGAAAGATGAAAATGTTGATATTTGCCACCTATTGAAATAGCCCATATAACTTACACTTAGATTGGAGAATTACCGTTTTCCAAAAGCTCATTTTAACCCCTATGGAATAGGCCTGGGCGATTTGGCCAAAAAGATGATCACGATACACTTTGTCATATTGTTCGATTACTATCCCGATTTTTTTTAAAACTGCCAGTTTTAAAGCATTTGTACTTAAAACTAAAAAAATAAATAAATAAATACTTAATAAAACGTTAAATAACTTTTCTTCTCTACACAGTCCAGTTGCCTGTTTTTAAGTCTTCAAGATAACCATGACCTGGATGAATGAGAATCTACATGGACAACTTTTCTTCTCAACAATAACATCTTTAGAGGATGACTCAAAGTCATGGCTGACATCTATTTTACTGTCCTCAGCTCCATGTTCGGTTACTGTGTTTACTTGTCCAGCAACTTACAGAAGTGAGCAGGAAAAGCTCGACTCTGATTGGCTGTTGTGATGCACATTTTCGCCATGTTTGATCAAGTAAATAAGCTCACAGCTGATCACCTTGATCAAACTGAAATTTATCACGATCATTAATCACGATCATATAATCGCCCATGCAGTCCTACTGTGAAACCAGCTTTTTAAGCTCATAGAGAAAAAAAATCATTTTGAAGTTGAGGCTGTAATAGAAAAGTTGTTTCAAATGTGGAATGAGACAACTTTGTGTATTACTGAGATTATTTTAATGAGCTGTTCAGTTAGCCTGTTTGTAAAATGTTGTGATTTAAACACATTTTTTTTAATTTGATGTCATAGTAGAACTTAAAGATGAGAAATTATGACACTGGTGTCTTTTTACACTTCAGTCAAGTCAAAAACAGACAGCACAAGACAGCTTGAAAATCGGTGATTTTGTTTACATCCCGATCAGTAGGTGATCGGTTTACTTGTAATCACAGCAATTAAATTTAGTCCATAGACTCACCATTTTCTATGTTATTATATTGTTAAAAATAGAGCTATTATCTCTATTAATCTTTTGACCTAAATCAAATTCACAACACATCGTGTAGCCTGTGTTTTATTTGTGTCTATTTGAACTTGTTTTGTTAATCGATTTTATGCATGTTCTGCACGAGACTCTGTATATATGTGTGTGTGTGATTGTGTATGTGTGTGTGTGTGTGGACGCTATGCTCTGCACACCGCATTAGATGCCGGGGCCCTTCTCCCTCTGATTATTACCGGGGGTAATATTTCATCGGCACCACGCAATCTTTGTTCTCTGTGAAGATAATAAATGGCCTAATCGTTATCAGCAAACTGCTGGGGGTGTCAGCACCGACCGAGGCTGGAAGCGGGGTCCAAAGTGCTGCTGAATAAATTGGTGTTCCTTATCTCTCACTCCCAGATTATCGCCGCCTTTTCAAACTTGCACAACAAATACATTCAATGCATCTAATGCATCATTTGTGGAGGGGGGATCCCGCAGGTTGATAGAGACAGATAGGCGCAGGGAATGAGAAATATTTACACGTTTTATACGCTGCTGCTCCCCTGCCAGTATATGTGCTCTATTTGCCATTAGAGGGGTTTATTGGCCAGACTTTGGTACACACACTTTACATATCAATACAAGCTATATTAGACATACATCACTGTCATATGATGCTTATCTGTCTGATTAGAGCACTTACTGCTTCAGGGTTTAGACTTTTTTTTTTAAATACACGTAGTCCACTATGAGGAAAATTATACGAGTTTATTGTTGTTTTAAATTTTGTTGAGATTTTCCACGTGAAGCATATTTAATTTCCTTTGTGTGGGACCTGTCTGAATTAAAGCACCTCTGACTTTAAAAACTGGAGAAAATAACGTTGCCCAGACTTTGATAACTTATTTATCAAAAGTTACATCCTAAACATTCAAAGTAAGAATTATGCAGAATAAAACAAATGCGATAAACTCCATTTGCAGCCTTAAGTGCAGTTGTGAAAATGAAACACATCGAAACATGATCGCATTATCTCGAGTTTCACATCAGGCTCCACACGCACCGTGAGTTTTCTCTCTGATTTGCTTTGGTCCTGTCAGTGGAGGCCTCCCTCGTCCACAGCACGCGGGCCTTAGTTGGGCCTGTGTCATCTTTGAGATCTACTGCTTTGGCACTTGGTTCACTGTAGATGATGGCTCTAATGTAAGGAAGAGGAGACTGCCTATAACCCGTTTTATAATTAACGTCCTGCGCGTGCAGTTAAACGCAACCAATAATGAGGCGCGTGTCTCCCACGTCCACTGTGAAGGTGCTCCGTGTCTTGAAAATTAAACATGTTTTTTTCTGTATTTTCAAACATTATAGAACAAATATTGTAAGAGTAAAATTATGTATTTTAGTAGCACTATAAAACGAAAAAGACATTCAATACCTACCCACACAAACACACACTCACCCACACGCACACGCACAAACACACGCATTCACTCCCTCTTTTAATACTGTGGCATCTCCACCGGCCCCGGTGCTCAGATGGTCTCCAAGACAACCGAGATAACGGTGCAGCAGTTTTCCATATCGGTCCCGGAGTCTATTATAGCTCAGGATTAGCTCTCTTTCTGAAAAGGTCAAACACAAAGTCACCAAACCTGCGTCTTTCCCACCCCACGCAGCCCCCGCGCGGAGGCACACTTATAAACATGCATACGCCCTTTCATTTGATACCATTAAACTAATGGCGCTGCGCATTTTCCGCGCCTTGCAACCAACACTAATATTTATCAGACTCTTCTGTGAGGAGGTACAAGAGCTCTGAATCCGCAGCACTGAGGAGGAGGAGAGCTCCACGCTGCAGGGGAAGACGCAGTGTGTACACAATGTGCTGTTATGTAGTGACCCCTGGCGATCGGATGATGTAGTTCCACACCTTTAAGTTAATATGTTTGTGAATTCTATACATTTTGCATAACAGATTTTTAAGTGATAAGATATATAAATGATCAGTCCAAAGAGGGAGGGGGACTGCTGCACAGCTGGAATGTTCCAGCTGGGATTCCTAGTGGCCAGACAGGAAGTTAGAGGACTTCTGACAGGAAGTGTGTTCTCAGGGAGGGCGAGAGAGAGAGAGAGAGAAAGGGTAATGTTTCCTGTTGGCTCCCTCCACATGTTTGGCCGCCCTGCATACTCTGTAGAATTCCCACATTCTAGGTTCACTTGACACCCAACATGAGCACAACCGGCCTGTAAACTCTTGAACAGTGCCACCTGCGCCCACAGCGTTAAATAAAGAGGCTGCTATTAGAGGATGGTGGTAAGCCAAGACAGTAGATCATGTGTGCAGGGCAGGATTGTGTCACAGGATGCAGATGTCACCACATGAAGTGAGACTTCCTGCCCATCAAAGCCATCAGTGCCAGTTTAATGGACTCATATACAACAGCCCACAATAGAAAGTGAGTGCATGTTCATGGAAATAAAAAGGAGCAAATGCAAGAAGGGAAAGATGATGGTGGAGGAGGAGAGTGAGCGAGTGGGGAGGGAGATGGTAGGTGTAGATGTGATGGAGCGATATGTGGATTGCAAGAGGAAAAATCTCTTTGTCTCTCCTGAGCTCAGTGGACAATCAAAGTTTCCTATCAGCTCTGGAGTAGGGGAAATTGGCTGCCCTGGGAAGGAGAGGGCCACTCTCACAGCCAATGGGAAGTGCCCCTGTCACTCTCATCAGGTCCAGTGGAGAAAGTAGGAAGTGTGTGTACGCCTGTGTGCGTGTGTGTGTGTGCGCACACACTCTGAAGAGTGCTTTTCAAACACAGCAGCTTTGTTTCACGAGCCTTCATGTGATCAAAGATGATATAAAGTCTAGAGTAGCGTCAGACCTTCATCTGCTGCTTATACTCTGCACTGAGGGACGTATACGAGACACACGGGTGCGCTTTTTGGCAAAACTTGCCCTGAGAGGCATGACCATCAGTGCTTTGATGGAGCGCCATGTGGCAGAGATCAGCGGGTTTTAGTGGGAGCTGTGGACAGTTGCACACAAGGGCAGCAAGGGAAGAGGATTACTGTCTTATTGATACAAATCCATACAGTGAGGGAGGTTGACATCAATATGCACAAAGATACAGGCCCAGCGCAGAGGCTTTGAGTGAAAAAGTGTGTGATGTAAACATTTGCATGATTGAAGTCAAACATAGACTTTGATGCGAACCCTTTTTTGTGCATCCATCTTTCTTGCTTCTTCAACCTTGTGCCAGACAAGAATGCATCCGTCTGCACCCGCGGCCCAATCCTCCGTTTGAAGTCTCATCTCCATCTCTGCACTCTGCACTGTCCTCTCCTTCCTCTGTCTCTCCGTCTGTCAGACCGTCATATCTGTCAGCCTTGTCCTTCCTGCAGCTGCAACGGGAGGCCACAGTCGGCCTCATTGTGCTCCGCTTCCTCGCCCTCACGCGTCTGCACCCGGCCTGATCACACCTGCCACCTGCACAGGACACAGGGGCAGGGGGGTTTTAGACGAGGGGCTTTCATCCACCTCCTCAGCTCTCTGTTTAGAGCTTCTCATCCCAGCACCCTGTCACTGAGGAATGGCCAGTGCAGAGGGCACAGCGGGACACAGAGCGCCTGTTGTGGGGGTGAGATGTGTGTTTTAAGCAGAGCCAGAGGAAATCAACACAGGTGAGCCGAGTTCGAGTTTAGATTCGAGTCGTATTTCTTCTTGTTGATGACATACTTTTATTTCTTGGCTCTTGGATTGACAGCAGGGAATAAATGTATATGACAGCCGCAGACCTGTGCGTGTGCATAAGTGTGTGTGTGTATGTGTGTGCGCATAATAACATGCTGACAGTGAGGGTGGTGGCTCTGTCTCAGTGATTTATGAGAGTGTGCTGTGAAGGGTCTTCTGAGCAGGATATTGTTCCCTGACTGGTGACTTCTTTCTCTCTCTTTGTGTGTGCTTGTGTGAGTGTGTGTTTGCATGTGTGTGTGTGTTTCAGAGTGAGAAAGATTAAGAGGGAGAGTACTGCAGGTGAGCCCTCAATGTAATCAATCACCACCACGTCTCAGGACCCCGGGCTTGTGGATTACCCCTTTAACCGACACCTAGTTTGACTCAACGTTTTTTGCATATTCATTATTTTTGGAGAAAGATAAAGAAAGAACCCACACTGCATCATTACTGCACCTCAGGAAAGGAAGATAATAATCAACTTCATGCCTGAGGGGGGACCATGGCAGCCCAACCACATGGCCCAACCAGTCCACAGACCCTGCACAGATCCCCTCATCCACCTCAAACACACACACACGGTTTGCCACATCAGGATACAGTGCTGCACATGAATTCCGGTTTTAACAGTATTCTGCTTGAGCTAGGCCAACAGATAAACCGCAACTCTTCTGCAACCGGTAATAACATCCTGGGCCAGAGCGCAGGGCTGGAACTGAAAAGACTGAAAGGCCAATGCACAGCTACCACACAAGACAGCAACCTGTCAGGGGGTATAACAGTCGAACTAAAGAGAACATGCATTCACAGGCTCATACATCCTCACAGAAAGCTTTCAGAATCAGCATGTGATGGAGAATGCGTGTGCTGAAAGATTGTTACTTATTGTGGGTCAAGGCCTCTCTTTCTCCCAAGGCTCAGAGCCAGTGTTTATCTAACCTTTACAGTGAAAAATACCCTGAAGAGAAAAGAAACGATTTGAAAACAGGCACAGTGATCAAATGACTTACTGCAGTTTACAGATGATGATCACATGGTTGTTCAGAGTATGACTTGACCTCTCCGAGCAAAGAGCCAACAAGAGCACCTATAGTCTAAAGCGAGAGGGTGGGAGGATTACACGAAAGCAAAATTGAGGCCAGAGTCAGAATTTTAAATAGAAGTTTGTTTTTGTGAATTCCTTAAAAAAAGGGTTGGGTTTTGGAAGAGATGAAAAACAGAAATGAAAACACACCACAAGCCTTAGAGTAGTCACAGGTTTGATACCTTAGGCTACAGCTAATGAAGTAGTTATGCCAAATGACTTTGGTTTGAATTTGGCTCTTTTATGGGTAAACACACTGTAAAAAAAAAAAACACTTTAATGTTTTTACACTTTTTCTTTGAAGACTTGAATAAGGTATAAAGATAAGATACTCCTTTAAAAGTCCAACAGGGGAAAATTCCCAATTGTCCTTGTTAAAATTGTTCCCAAACCTTGTTAGAAAGATGGGCAAATACCCTCTTTTTGTCCTTGTTTGTTGCTGCTTCACGTTTAAATTGTGTAAAGCTTAAACAAAGCAGGACTTAAACACTTCTGTACATTTTAGTTCTTCTTGCTCTTTGACAAAACAATAATTCGTTGTATAAATCTGTCACACCTTCAGTTTTTTGAATGAGTTTTCCGTCCCCGATGGAATCCTTTAATCTCGTCAGTCTCAGATAGTCAGAGTGACCTGATAGCATCGTTATTGAGTGGAAAGCAGACATGAGCTCACTGGTCTGCTCCACAGGGTCGCTGTTGTTGAGGTGAACGTGTGTGAGCAGCAGGAGTACGTCTGCTGTGTTTCAGCTGTGAGAAAAAGAGACTCTTTGGCTCTCCAAACTCTCACTGCTCCAAATCTCCTCTTAAGTACAAACACACAAACAAAACTGCCATTGTGTGGCCTTTCGGCAGCACCAAGCATCAGCGCTAACAGACATTGTCTTTGCTTTCCTAAGCTGCGGGTTTTCAGAATGATTATTGTATGGCACATACAATATGTTAACATTATCATTGTGAGGGGAGTGGAGCCTGTTGTCACGGAGCAGGAAGTGACCTGCCAGGACCCCTGCTGACCTCAGAGGGAAGACGGTGACCTCAAACTGACCCTGATGTTTGTCCTGGGATCAAACTATGATGGAGGCTCAACGGCTGCTCTGCTGAGCGGGGAGGAGAGGGTGATAGGCGGGGTTACTCCTAAACAAGAAATGAAACAATGTGCTGGAAATTCCCCCTGAGGTGCCAGTGCTAAAAGTGGCACCAGTGAGGGAGCAAATGTGTGAGGATGACATACTTTTAATCTGTTCGTCTGCAAACTTTTGTTAGCACTGAATGAGTCTTTACGCTAATGTAGAGATATGTGGTAGAGACAGAGCACATCAGGCGGTGGTTCTTAGCACAAGTGCGCCCTCCTTTGTTTATCAAAGGGTACTGCATCCCTCAGAGTAAACAACAAGACTCCATTGCCTGTTATGTTGAAGTGAAAACACAAGTGATCAGTTTCTCAAAACTTTAATCCAAATTTGACAGTTTTCCATTTCACAAACATCTGTGTCCCTTCTCTCATGTCTTTTCTCACATACAAGCGAATCTCCTCATGTACTCACTAATCTCATGTTCAAACCATCCCACTTACAAAACAAATGAAAATCATACAAAATGTAGAAAATATGACTGATCAACATCAACAAAGAGCTTTTGGGATGACACAGAATCAGAGCTTCAGATTTGGTGAAATAAAAACATAAATCAGGGCCGCGTTGGAACAGTAAGTGCAAAAGAGACATGATCTGGAGACGCTACCTTTCTTATTCTTGAACTGAAGATGATTGAATCTTTGAATACAACACAGGTATGTGAGTAAAGACATATGAGACTGAAAAAACTCCTTGGCCCTTGGCTAATTAGTAAAAAACAAACAAACCCATAACCGTACAAACTCAGGAAGAAGAGAAGACAAAGTGTCACATCTGAGCGAAGTATGACGACAATGTAAATGTAGCCCAGCAAACTGAAAAACAAAAAAGCCAGAAGCTGTGATGTAGCTGCTGTAAAGCTGGGCACGCAGTGACCTCGAGTTTATCACAAGGCACAAAGGCACCAGTGTTTGGATAAACCCATCACTGACATTTAGAGGAGATGTTAACAGTCCATGTCTGGGTTCAGTGTTGGTACAAAAAAACAACAACATGTAAGCATGAGTCACATTAATTTATATGCACACCTACAAGCAGCCAGCTTTTTTAATGATGTTGCAGGGTGGTGTGTGAGCGTGTGTGTGTGTGTTTGTGTGTTTTTCTATGTGCTCAGCAGTGGCAGATGTAGTTTAGAGGGCGTCCAGCAGACTGTCGATGCGGCTCACAAGCTCCTGTCTCTTGCCGGTCAGATTCTTCTCACTCTCGATGTAAGCGTCTTTCTTCACCTTCCCCGCCACCAGACGCTCCGCCTCCTGGCAGGAGCGGCACACCAACTCCTTGACCTGGCCGTCCAGCTTCTGCACCTCTCCGACCTGACACCACAGATGAGAGGAAGGTTTAAATATACAGTTAAATTAACGCCAACTCTCTCTGTGTTCTCAGACTCTGTAACTCACCTTATCAGCCAGGTCAGAGCCCTCAGCTTTGAGTCTGGCCTGCAGCGAGCTGATCTCATTGGTAAGAGTGCGGTGGTCGGCTTCCAGAGTCTTTCTCCCGCTGTTTAGAGCCCCGGTGTCTCGTGACTGCTTGTAGCGGTTGACCACTTCATCCATGTGTCGATACAGTCCCAGGCGCTTGTTGACCAGAGTCAGCACTTGCTCTGTGATGGAGGCCACCTTCATACGAACCTCAGCAGCAGGGTCCTGAACAGAAAAGAAAGATGAGGAAATACTTTAGATGGTGGTTTGAATACTAGGGGTGGAAATCACCAGTGGTCCCACGATACAATATTATCACAATACTTGGGCCACAATACGATTTTATTGCGATTTTTAACATTTTGCAATACAGTGAGATTGCGATTTATCAAAATTTTTCATTGTTTAGCTAATTTAGCATTTGTCTTTCCTTGAAGTTTGTCTTATTAATACAGTATTTTATTTTCATGTAGCACATCTTACAAACCTTACATATATTTGTTATGCTAACTTTCTCCTGCTCTATGATGTCACCTCTGGACAAACTCTCACAGGACAAACAATTAATTTTATTTTTCCATTATCATAGATTTGACTTCATATTAACAATTAATTTAGAAAAAAATTATACTTGGTAAATGAGACCATACGATATATCACCAGACAAAATATCACAATACTATGCTGTATCAATTAATTTTTCCCATCCCTATTGGATACCAACTTAAAACAACAAAAAAAAAGAGAACTGATTAAAGACAGAAACACACAGAATATCTGCACATTGAAGGCTGCAACATCTTGCAGAAATCAAACATACCTTGGTGATGGCAAAGTCGAGGCGGACATAAATGATGACGGTAAAGAAGAGGATGTAAAAGGCTCCAACAACCAAGAGAGGCTCCTGCAGCATCAGGATCTTATTGAAGTTATAATGAACCTGAAAAGTACGAAACAGAATTTGGAATCTTGATGTAAATAAAGCCTCAACACTCACAGAACATAAATATATTTCTAACTCTATAATTCAAGGAAAAATATACATACAAACATGATTTGAAGGTAATGCACAGCACCTCTGAACACCCAACATGACTCGTCACTGCTGTTAGTTTAAAACAGAGTGAGTTTATCACAAATACATCCCATGGTCCCACTTTAAAGACTGTATGAACAGAGATTCTTCTTTTTCCTCACCCCTCCATTTAAAAAAAAAATTGATAAACATAGGTAACCTTTTCAGGCCAAAATAATCTGATAAGTCTTCTCTCTGTGTATACAATATTTGGTTTTAATTGGTCTATGGTCTATTAGCAGACTTCTGCTGGGGAGAAAAGACAATTTCTCCGGGTCAAAATGATCATGTAAAACACCCACAGGAGTCCTCTAATTTTGATATTGGGTCTTTTTGTTCTGTTCACCCTGTTACACCTCACCATGAGTTTAACATCAGCTGAATGTGTTTCATAAAGCTAAAGGAGGTTCCACAGAGGACTTTAGATTTTAGTAAATGATGTGACCTCAAAATAATTTCTTTCCCTTACATGAAAAGTCTAACAGATCATCTACAACAATGATGACGCAAATGAAATGAGCAGCCAAAGACGATCTACATGAATTAAATCTACAAAAATAGTAATTAGATTAGCAATTTATCACAAGAGGCAAAAATCTGGAACAAGCACTGATGTCAAAAGTCTTGCTGTGTCTTGACTTGAAAAACTCTGCCCAGAAATTCTCTCTCCAAAAAATAAGGATCGCATCAAAAACGTAAATGTAAATGAAAATGTATTGATATTGATACCTTTTTTAAAAAAAAAAAAAAAATAGTTTGCTAAATAAAATGGGTACACATGGTTGTGAAAAAGGTAAATGGACAATGTTTATAAAGTGCTTTCTCTAGTCTTCTGACCACTCAAAGCACTTTCACATTCATGCATTTACAGCACTCATTCACAAACTGATGGCTGAGGCTGCTTTATGTGGAGTCCATCAGTTTTGACTAATCCCATTCACACGACACTGGGTGCCCTGAGATCGAACTCTGGACCCTCCTAACAAGTAGCCACAGCCGCCCATTATCCACACTGTAGAAGCCACACTTCATGTTTTTAAAAGAGAATATTTAAATCGGCTACATGGCACACATAAGCATGTTCAATAAGTAGCATGCCAAATAATCTACCTTTGTAATGTTTATCTTACCACAACATCCTGAATATGATGCTCCACCAGGTTGTTCTTGGTGGCCACCAGCACTGGTCGACCAAAGGTATCCAGATATGTGTAATGCAGCTGGTTTGGCATGCGATCGATTTTGTAAGGTGTGTCTACGTGGATGTTTCTGTTCACACAAGAAAATAAAAACGAGGGAATAAGCTGCAGATTCTTTTAACACAATCTTGTATTTAGAATATTTATTTTGTTTTTCTTGAAACACTGACCTGGCGCCCTCTGGCAGGATGATTCTCACAGTGAGGGAGTCGATAACCTGGTCGTCATACACATGGTCAACCAGTCTCATCTTCAGCGCATATTGGTCACCTAAGGGACACAATGATTTAACACTTTTGGCTAAACTGAATGCATTCATTAACACACTCACATTTTAGTGAACAGCCCAATTTACAACTCAACCTGACAGGAAACTCACATGGCTGTGGTGTAGCTTTCTAAAAAAGGACGATATGTATTGTTTTTGTTCGTTCAGTGTTCCTTGAGCTGTTGCCCTTTTATTTTGAAGGATTTGAAACCATCTCACGAGGGGTGTCACAATTTCGATTTTTTATTGAAATTGATCAAAATAACGTCATGGTCTCGATTATCGAAATCAAAGAGTGGATTGACGATCTCCTCCCTCCACATCCAGGAGGTGTGCAAAGCGGAAGCAAATGACTACGCCGCACATTGTAGCTGACGCGAGCCTCTGAGTTCTCATTTTTGTTCTTATTGTGTTTTTCTTTTGTTGTTTTCATTTCACTGAAAATAAGATTGTCTAATAAATTATTTAAATTTGACCATTAGTGCCTAATGTGATACATTACACAAGAATAATGGAAATTGCATCGCTTGTATGTAGGCCATCTTTTGAAATAAGATTCACTGTACAAAATGTAATGGATAAAACCAATCATCATAGACTAGACTAGCCTAAAAATGGCTAGGCCTCTGTGCTGTAAGAAAAAGAATTGAGAATTGAATCGAATCGTGACCCTAAAATCGAAACATTAAATCGAATCGAGGATTTGTAGAATCGTGACACCCCTACATCTCACCCACACCTTTTCTTACAAAGCAGATTTTCCCTGTGTGTATAAGGGATAATAGTGGAGCCTTTAGCTAAATATTCAGCCAACAAATTAAAGCTTTATGTGTTTCTCAGTTTAAAGAGCTGAATTTTCCCTCTGGCTAGCTAACAGGTGAGGGTGACAGAGAATCAAACTCACTAAAAATAAATCTAGGCCTCCTCATCATTTATTTACTCACGCTTTACTGGACTTTGACTGTTTCAAAAGGTGTAAATATGCAGGCAGGGTAATGCACAGTGAGGGTTTGGCTAAAGGCTCAGATTTCTACAGCTACATAATAAAGGATGTGTTTTGTTCAACAGAAGTGATGTGGGTCTTTAGCTAAATGCTACACTCATAGTTTGCAGAGCTTTCCACATGACGCATATTCTTTATAAACATCACTGTATGGCTGTACTGTTTAACTTAATATCTGTCTGTGATTCTGTTGTATTCAATGGGTCATATCATACAGGTGCAAGAAAATGTAGAACATGAACTATGAATGTAAATGTGGACAGACTCAAGACAGACTTTGGAAACTCAGCAAACATACTGAAAGCAAACAAAACCCTTGAGTGAGAGAGTTTTGTCGCATTAGTCTGCCTGTGTTAATGTTTCAGAGAGTCTACTCATTTCCCAAAATATTAGGAGTTTGTTTTCAGTTTGTTAAGATAATAGAAAATCGACATACCCAGGGTGTAGAGGTACTCATAGCTGGGCAGATTGTAGCCAATGATGTAGTGGGTCTTCCAGCCTCCAAACAAAGGGAAGCGAGGCCTGACCTCCACCTCCACTGAGTCATCCAGAACCTGCAGATGGGAGGTGGAGATGTTGCCAATCTCATCTCTGTAGTAGACATCCTGGGCCGAGGCAGGCAGAATAGTCTGTTGAAGGGAAAGCAAAACTAGTCATCATCATCGTCATCATTACCAAAGCAGTAAAAACAATCTGGCAACAGCTCTCAGTGTAGAAAACAACACCTTGAATGATTTGACTGATGAGATGCCGCTGTCTGACTGACGCTGATAATCATAGCGGGAGAAAGGGCCCTTGAGGACGGCTCCAGTGTGCCTCAGGTCAATGGTCTCTTCCACCGCGATGTTTCCCCAGTGAGAGACCTCAATGGTCCGAGTGATGCTGCTGATGGTGAGGAAGGGTGTGTTGTTTTCATAATGGATCCTCATTGTATCCTGGAGAGTAGAGAACAAACAGACTGTTAAAGTGAGTCTCTTAAACCTTCTCTTAAAGCTGGTCAGGTTTAAGCTGTACCTGGCTGAACGGAGCCACATCCCGGAAGGGTCCGTACTCGATAATCTCGTCATTCTTGCTGGGGTTACCAAGCTTGGTGTAGCTCTCAACAGTCTTGGAGGCCAGGCGAACACGTGTGGTCTGGCTTTTGGTGGGGTATGGGGAATACAGGTAGTGGTTTCCTTGGAAGACCACCAGCTGGCGCTCAGCTTGGCTGATGTGTGTGGGGAAGGGCTTGAGGACATGGCTGTATGTCATCTCCACTTTAGCCTTCAGCTGAGCACCCGCTGCCAGACTGGATGGCAGCTGGACTTTGAAGAACTGCCCACTAAGTGAAAGATGACAGAGGGAAATATTGGTGAGATACTTTTGCATTAAACAGTCAATGCTCCTGCAGATTATCTAAGATATGATCAAAGAGGGTAAATCTCATTCTAAAGTGCGGAACATTGCTGATAACAGCAGCGGAGACAAACCAAACCAACGGGTGATGCAGAATATCAAACAATTTAAAAGATGGTTGAAAAATGAAATGCACACAAATAGATATCATCCATGTTTCAGCACTACTCACACCTGTTCTTCTGCCAGCACAGATCAGCTGTTCTATAATGTACAGATAAACCTGAATTTTGCTTCATACACTGGTGGTTATCCTGTATCCTAGTATCCTCTTATTCAAAAAGACCCTGAAGAGCTGTTACTACCAAGTCCCACTTATCACAGTCATAGCTCTCACAATTCATGCACATAGGCTCACATGGGTTAACATGCCTGCTACATAGATAACGTAGGTAAACTGCCCCTTCTGTCTTTCATTTCTTTCAGCTTTACATGGAAATTTCTGCCAAATGAACTTAATATTTATGTTTTTTGTCATCTAGGAATTCATAGAAAGTACCACATAAACTGACCTGACAAAATTCATTGACAGAGTGAGGTTGTGGAAAGAGCCCACTCTGACAGGATGATATTCATTTTATGTTTTGAAAAATAAAGTCGGTTTTGTTGTTGTTTAAAGGGATATTTCAGTGTAAAATTAATTTAGGGTCAAACACACAGTAACACCAAGTTAGACACTAGGGCCCGACCGATTTATTGGCGAGCCAATTAAATCGGCCAATTTTAGCCTGTTTGAGACTAAGCGGTAATCGGCCAAAACTCGCTGATTGTCGCCGATATTTTCAGAAATAAAATGCAGAGAATAAGATTCGGTTTCACTTCGAAAATGTTGCACCGTTTGAAAAGATCCCCCGACTTATCCTGTAGATGGCGTAGCGACCTCATGGCAATATTCATCCACTAACTACCTCACAGCACAGCAGAGTGACGGATCTGAAGCAGGCAGCGGTAGGACACACGGAGGAGAGTGGTCCACCTCAACGGTAAATAAACCAGTTTTTGAAGTATACAATAAGTCAACAAGTTTCAGTTCAACCCACTTCACGATGTTCCAAGCTGTGCTGGTCTTGGTCACGCCAAGTTAGCAGTGAAGCACCATGTAATTTCCCCCCTAATAATCAGTATCTGCATTGGCCCCAAAAAATCCAAAACATCTAACTCGGTGTTGCGGTGTGTTTAACTCAACTTAATTTTACGCCAGAATATCCCTTTAAAGCTTGAAGCTGTGAGCACATATTTAAATTTCATCATAAATGCCAAACAGAAGCTACACAGTCAACACACTCTCACAGTGACTGTCTTCACTTAACAAGCACAAGTGCACACATTTTTTTAGTGTATTTATAACAGTTAAGTTCTTCATAATCTTTAAAGTTTGGCTTCATGAAAGTGAATGAATCTGATCACTCACCTCTGACCCTGGATTGTTGACTGCTGGAGCTCAAGTGTGCCATCCTCCTCTTCATCACTCTTCACCTGTGGCAGAAAAAAGGATAACTGAATATGCGATATATGTCTGTATGTCAATCAATCAATCAAATTCCCTTCAAGGAGGAAGGGAAAATGAACAAGATAGAGGGAAGGAGAGAGACAATAGGTAAGAGGGAGGGAGGGAGAGTAGAGCACGAGGGTGAGAGAGAGAGAGACAGGGGACAGCAGTAACATTAAAACAACTACAACAACAGCTCATGTAATGGTGAAACTAAATGAATTCAGTAACAGGGTTAGGATATGAGTGATTATGAACAATGTTCAATTAATTTAATGAGATTAAAGTCATCAGGCCTAATAGTTAACTCTAGTTTTATGTATGTAATGTAGGTAATACGGGTTGATTTGACAGTAACCTCGTCTGTTGTGAGGTCTCAACCTATGGTTACGGCTACATGCTCAGAAGGGGGCAGGCCTGCGCAGTCACACACGGAAGTGAGCCTTCCAGCGCATACGTGTCATTCGGACACTGACAGAGCGTGCAGCGCTGCGGAAGTTTACGCTAAAAAAAGCACATCCTCACTAAATCAAAATACATTCATAAAGACTTGGTTAAGCAATTCAGTGCACTCCTATTCAAAACACGTGTCCCATTACACCATTCACTATACCTGTTAAATCATGAAGTGAACGTGGCTGTTTCACCCCAGAGTTTGCATAGCTGACTGAGGACCACAATGAAACACAATGACTAAGTTAGGACCTGAGTTTTCATGCATTCAGCGCTAAGTGCAGTAACCCCGTGCTTCACTAGACTTATGGTCTATTGTGAAAAAAAAGGCAAATTCTGGGAGTAACTCAATGTACTGCACCAAACTATATGAGACCTTCATTCATTTGGCTAAAGGCTAAAGCTAGCTGGTCAGTCACAGACAGTGGCGTCGGCTTGTTTTCAGTCATTTGTGCTTTGCTCACCGAAGCTCCGATGTACGCCAGGTGGGGTACCAGGTCAGCCTCCACGCCCAACAAGAAGCTGTTGACGGCTGAATGTCCCTGGTTCGACAGCACGATCTCCGCAGTGATCTTAGCCAGATGAGTGCTCAGGTCTACGGTCCTCTTCACATCCTCGTTCACCAAACCGTCCGCTGAAACTTTGGAGGCCAGAGCAGCCAAGAGCAGCACACACGCGACGACAAGTGGTGAATTTCTAGACATGTTGGAAAAAATGGTTTAGTGCTAATACAGCGGCACAGAAGAGGAGAGACAGGGGGAAATGTGGAGCAGCGAAGAAAGGCCGCCGTGCCGCTCTACATCAGCAAGGATGACGCTTCATTCAACCCGGCGTCATGACGTCAGTTGGCGCTCTACACAGCGCGCTGTGCGTATGACGCGACTGTGCTGTTTCTTACTGAAAGCATGAAGATGGTCTGCAGATGTTGAAGAAAGGCCAAAACTTATAAAGAAAATCAACATTTTGTTTATTTGTTTTTCTGTTTTTTTTTTTACTTTATTTTAAATAAGTAAATTTACAAACTAGTCAGGCAGAAATATATTTGTGCAAATAGGTTTAACAAGATCAGACACCAAATCGCAAAAACCGTAAGACCATGGATAAAATAAGCAAACACCAGATAAACATAAAAAAAATACAACAAATAACTTAGGAATCTAGGATTAAATAACTGTTTCACTTCAATACCATAGACTGTATATACTATGGACAACTTGGTTCCGCCTCCCGCCAGTATACGGATTTGAAGCCAAAAAGCTCTCGGTATTTCTGCGATTTTTCTTCATTTCCTGAAACCAACACTGCGTTGTTGCGTTGTACGCATTCGGCGGGAGAGTTGCTGTGGTGACGCTTGGCTCAAACGGCGTATTTCCCAGGTGAGCTACGCATCTCTGAACGCCCATAGGCTGTATCAGCTGTCAATCATTGAAAACATGAAACCCCTAATAACTTTTAAAAATGGAGCTGCACAGAAAAAAAATTATGTTCTGTGTAATAAATTTCTGAAGTTTGCCCACAGCTCCATAGGGATTGCTGGAGGAGGCGGGATTTATGACCTATACTGCAGCCCATCACTAGAGGATGCTGTTCTCGGAGTGGCTTCACCCAGCAAGGAGGCAGGTGCTGTCAGTTCTATATACAATCTATGTTCAATACTCATCAAAACATTTTTGAACACAGAATACAGGTTTTTGGCAAGTTTGGACTCGATCAATTTTAGTGACTTTTTATAAAGCTGAACTTAATTTAAGGAGCATGGGAATGCGGGTGAACTTCTGAGATACTTGGTTTTATGAATAAAGAATTGGGCTAAGAGTAATAAGATATTTAAGTCCAATTATTGGTCTTTTAATACAATACCAAAGGTATTACTGTTGTAGTCTAAGTCAGGCATTGCTGACCTTTTCCCTTTTCAACCAATCTGTAAATAATTTCCAGAGCAGCTGGGTGGAATCAAAAGTTTTAGGACAAAACATGGCAAGCGGGACTTAGCTTGAATTTGAAGGACATGTCTGCGGTAGTGATATTTCATATTCTGCTGGTGGCACTATTTGATAACTAAAACAGACTACTGATTTTAATACATAGTGTATTGGTAAGGGGCAAAAACGTACCATCTTGGTGATAATCTGAAGAAATTATGGACTCTCGCTCGGGCCAAGAGTTTATTTAGTGTTGTGTTTTTTTTTTTTTTTTTTTTTCAAGTTCAGCAGAAAAATAAGATAGATAAGATAAGATAAAAGATAAGATACGCTTAATTGTCTTCTTAGGAAACTTTGTCTTGGACTTCAAGAGCTGCACAGATAAAGCTGCCAATTGATAACACAAAGTATTAGACCTAACGAAGACACAATCACATAACCCACGCATGTTGCACAGGAATCTCACAGAAATGGTTAAAAGAAACATACCGACAATATATAACAATGACATAGAATAAGACACAGCAGAATGAGATAAGGTAAACAAGATTAAAAAGGAAATGATAAGATAACACCATGACATTATTGCACGGTTAAAAAAATGTCAATTAAGGCTTGTCTGCTTATATATACAGTGTCGAGCAGCCAGTGTTATCAAATGCAATTTTGTCACTTTTATATTCAAGGTTATTGTTTATCAGAGCCTGATGTTGCAAATACGTGATGTAATATTTATTTTATTGATCATCTGAAAATGGATTATTGAGGGTTGGCAACTACACAAAATAATTTGTTCAGCTGGTTGGGTTTATTTGTAGGACAATAACAGAAAAGTTATGATTCTAAATGGAGTTGGCTGGTGAATTTCAAGTATTTATTTGTTTATTTTTACATAATTTGGGCTTCTAGCTCATAAAACCCACAAATACAGGAATTCAAAAAATTTGAGTACTGTGAAGAAACCAGCCCAAATTTTGCAGGTCATGAATGTTTTAAACTGGGTGTCACGCATTAATTATCTGCTAAACTCAAAGCACCTGTATAGGTTTCCCCAGGTGTCATTAAATTATCTCAGTTTGGTTCAATTGTCTCAGTTTGGTTCAATATGGGGAAGACTGCAGACTTGACAAGTGGCCGGAAGACCATCATTGATACCCTCCATAGGATGGGTAAGCCACAAAAGTTCATAGCTAAGCAGACTGGCTGTTCATAGAGTGCTGTGTCCAAGCATATCAATGGAAAGTCTTGTTGAAGGGCAAAATGTGGCAGGTGAAGATGCACCAGCAAAAGAGATGACTGTGGGCCTCAGCGGATTATCAAACAGAGAAGATTCAACAATCTCGCAGAGATCTAGAAAGAGTGAAATGAGGCAGGAGTCACAGCTTTAAAAAACCACCACATTAAGGATCTGTATGGAGATGCAGAACTCATCTTTCAGCAGGACCTGGCCCCTGCCAATACTACCAGTAGCACCAAAACCTGGTTTGATGCCCTTGCCATCATAGTGCTTGACTGGCCAGCCAATGTATGGGGTATTATCAAGAGGAAAATGAGGAACACCATACCCAAAAACAAAGAAGATCTGACAGCAAGCATCAAGGAAATCTGGGCTTCCATAACTCCCAGGCAATGGAACAGGCTAAATGCCTCAATGCCACAGCACATTGAGGCAATGATTAGGGCAAAGGGATTCCCAACCAAGTATTGAAGACTGACATCCTTTTGAAAGTACCATATTTTGATTGATTTGATGTGATCCTAATTTCTTTCTCTTTTTTTCTGCAAAAACTGAGACATAAACAGTATTTTTTTTCCACAGTATTCTAATTTTTGAAGTCCTGTTTTCATGGGTTTTATGAGCTGGAATCCAAATTATATAAAAATAAACTAATAAATACTTGAAATCGTTTGAATTGAAGGCCCTGAATCTATTATCTATGAAAGTTTAACTTTTTGAATTAAAGTTATTGAAATAAATTAACTTTTCCATGATATTCTGATTTTTGGAAAGGGTCTGTAGACATCTTGACTTTTTCATTGTATCAGAATTCCACACTATTTCAAGTAAGCCTTAATAACTAATGGAAATGGTGTATAGCGAATGCCGTGTGTTCTACCACTCAAATAACCTGCCATACGATCACAGTCAGTGTGATTATTATGAAATGTGTTGTCGCGATCTCATCTGTCTGCTGGAACAGGGCGTGTCCTGCGCGTGACGTCAGCCGTCACCGACAGAGCTTGTTTTGGAGGAAGTGAACGCGGCTCGGCTAGCAGGTTAGCACGTTAGCTTGACGGGAAAAGCGAACGTCAACGGGAACAGGGGCGAAACGGACCATTGTGCTGAATCGTTTCCATCCCAGGAAGGGAGAAATATATCCGTCGCGGCCGTGTTAATTTTGAGTTAGCTGCAAAGCTAGCCGTGTGAGATAATTGAGCTGTCGACGCTCTTGTGTTGTTTTCTTGTGGCAGACATTTACAGCGGCTGTTAGCCTGTCCTGTTAGCTAGCCTGCGCGTTAGCTAACGCTTCCAATCGAGGCGAAGGAAAAGTCTACTTTTGATATTTTCCCCACACAGGATCATCGCCCAGGTTGGTTTATGTCGCATCGTCACACTTGATTTGCTTTGAATATAAGTTAACGATTCAGCTGTCGTTAACCTACTTTTGCAGTTTTTTAATGAACCCTGCTCAAGATGACTAAACGTTAGCTTAAATGAAGAAGTTGCAGGTTGAATGTAATAAAACCGCAACTTTTCACCTCATTTAATCTCCCCTCGTCATTTTCCCCACTGTTGTTGACCTAGCTGAGCATTATTTGTTCATCATTGTGATGCTTCTTCGAGCTAGCTAACCTCTGGAATCTGGACTCGATGTCTTTGTGGCATCGTGTAAATCAGAGAGACAGGACTCGCTGACACTGTCTTCTATTAAAGTGAAAATGTGTTCAACCATACAGGCCCACAGGTTGATGGTAAATATGGATCACACCGGTATGTGTATTGGATCCAAATACACCATTTGCTGCGCTAATCATGCTTGCCAAGTCATGGTTCCGTTAGTCCTGTGTTTTCAAACCATGTGATCAGTCCCTGACACAGTGTCATGGGGTGCAGATTATGAGAGCCGCACCGATAGCCTTATGCTAGTTAGGCTTCATGGAAGTCTTGATATGGACTCAATCAGTGGGTTTCAACAATTAGTGGATGAAGCCGAAGCGATATGTGAAAAAAAGACTAATCTTTTTTGTCCAAAATGCTTTCTGTAAGGTCTACCCTGAACAGATTTATGATTTAAAGCCCATCGGCAGCACGGTGTGGACTTTGGTCAGTGCAGCTGTATGAGTTGGTTCATTATTACAAAGCACAGTCGACTATAGGCATAAATGCTCGGTGTTGTTTTAGAAAGTTCCTGTTTGTGGATGTTTTGATATTTTAGTCGTAAATAGTCACGATGTAGACCACAGGTGTCAAACTCAAGGCCCGGGGGCCAAAGCTGGCCCACAAGATCATATCATATTTGTATTATTATTGGCCCACCAGCATGGAGTCTGCAGATTTCCTCTGGTATAATAATGTAAACTTTAGCACCATTATTTAAAATGTCCTTTATAAGCCACCAAAATCTGGGAAATTAAAGCACAAGGAAGATTTGATAATTAGTCAAGAGTGAGGGGAAAAATATTTTGTGTTTTATTTCATGTTTTCAATTTTGCATCTCAAGATTATAAGTCAAAAATGATTGGGTTTTTTATTTCATGCTTTGATTTTGTTCAACTCAGTATTTAGACGAGTCATTTTTATACTTCAGATTCCAATTTTAAATTTTAAGTCATATGTTGACCTTTTAAACCTGATTTCAATGTTTTCTTCAGGTATTTTCTCTTTAAAAGCATTGTTTTTCTATTTTTAATATCACACTCTGATCTTTTGAACTAATAATTGAAAATAGAATAAAAAATGTAAAAAAATCTATCTCAGATTGCCTTTAAACCTATCTTTTTTTTAATTTTTTTATCATTTTTGAATTTCCAAAAGGTTTATAATCATTCCTATTTTTGTTACATATTTTTTGAAAAGGAGGTTGACAGTTTTGGTGAAATGTTGACCCTGTTTGGCCCTCAGGTTAGACCTAAATCCAGAATCTGGCCCTTGCTGTGGTTGAGTTTGACACCCTTGATGTAGACTATTCATTGCTTAAACTTTGGGGTGAGATTTCAGATATAATCAGCTTTGTGAATCTGACACATTTTTGTTAAATCATGTGAAAAACATGTTGATTTAAAGAAAGGGCAGACAGGAACTTATTGATACTGATAATGTTGAACTCTTATGATTTATTTCTCCTGTAGGTTGTCCTATCCTCCATATTTATAATGGATTGTAGATGGATTTGGCACTTGGCATGTTTTTTTTTCTTACCCGAGCTGGACATTCAGCTGTATTTTCTTTATTGCAGAAGGAAACACAGCATTTTGTATTTGATAAAAAGTAAAAAAAAAAAAAAAAGTTGAATTCTTGATTTTGTTGGTTATATTTCAGGATATGATATTTCTTTGGATATTTTTGTTTGTTTCTTTTGTTTGTAAAGTGAAAAAGCCATAACATGAGTTGTCATCGCTGTCATTCTTGAGCTCCTGCAGAACTTTCCCATTTGTCTCGATTCTGTTTCAAGATGAACTTGAACATTCACTTCTTTTAGAGATCAAGGTGCCCAGTATCAAGTGGGTCACCACAAGGGCATGGCTGTATCAATCTTATTCATGCAGTTCTGGCACTAGTATGCTTTTTATGGGAGTCTTAACCACCCCTGTAATTTATTTTTATTTACTTTACAGCTGTGGCACAATGACGTCCAGGAAGAAAGTACTACTCAAAGTCATCATTCTGGGAGACTCTGGGTGAGTGGTGTAGAGCAGGATCAAAACTGAAGGGGATGCCCAATGCTCTTTAAAGAAAAACTCTTTAAGGGCATTGAGTTGAGAACCATTTGGTAAATCTCTCACTGCAAGGAATAGATGTGTTTTTGCTGTACCTGTGAAATTTTCTCATGATCTATTCTGAACGTCGGCCTGTGATTTTGTTTTTCTTAGAGTTGGAAAGACCTCATTGATGAACCAGTATGTGAATAAGAAGTTCAGTAACCAGTACAAAGCCACAATAGGGGCTGATTTTCTGACAAAAGAAGTCATGGTGGATGACAGACTTGTCACAATGCAGGTACGAGCTAGATACCACTCACACATACATACCACACTGTCACTGTCTGTGATAGAAACAATGTTATCTTAAACAATACAAGAACTTTATGTATCCCTAAAGGGAAATTCATTTGTCTGGAATCTCGTGAAAAGTTTTCTGGAAGGACAGTTAAACTGTAAATCTAGTCAGGTGAGAGGAGAGGGTGAAATGGTTGAAGTCTCCTGGTCTCCTGTATTATTATAAGTGCCTCAGAATGTTGAGTCTGTATCCTAGCAACAGTATTGTAAAGAATACATGTTTACAAGTATTGTTATGATAAGACTGAACTCCCTTGAAACGTAATATGGCCAAAGAGTAACTAACTGCCAACAGTTCAATATCTGAACACAACTTCTCCTTTACAGTAACGTGTGAAGAGTTTCACCATCTCTGGTTAACAAGTAAAGCCAGACCTCCTCCTTTCTTCTTGCCACGAGCTTTAGAATCTCTTGTCTGATCATAAAAAAAGCCAGGTAGATCCAAACTGGAGTCAGAGTTGTTTTAAATTAAATAGGTTTCAGTAAAACACAGGAGACTGCATTCGGTTATGCTTTCTCAGTCTTTATTGATACCTCCAGCTCAACGCTTTTGTTAGGCAGAGAGTTCATGTTTCCCATGGCAACTGATGGAAGAAAAGGTTTATATCTCCATTTCCTAGCCTTCAACTTTGCCTACACCAGGTCAGATTACCTGGTTAGTTTTTTACACAACAGATCCTCACTATGCGGTCAACCCTTCGATTTGTTCTAAATAAGGAGACCTGACATGTAGGAACCCTTCCTCTTCCACAATCACACATGTTTTTGGGATGTGATATAAGCATGTGAATTGGGCGAGTTATTCGTGCAAACTAAGCAAGGACAAACACAACATTCAGGCGTCCATATATGCAGGAATTGTGCAATGATTTTGTTAATGATTGGTGTGAACACAACATTAGAGTACAATACTTCACACATAGAAAATGCATCTTACATCAACTGTCAAACTGTATTAGAGCAGTTGACTAGGGATCTCTGGTTAAGTGTAGCAGTATAAACACTTTAGTCATGGAATTACCTTAATCTCTTTATTTGCTGTAATCTCATTATTTTGTGCCTGTAATCCCAGGATGTTGTCTCTAATACACGCCCTCTCTGTTCTGTCACTCAGATTTGGGACACAGCAGGTCAGGAGAGGTTTCAGTCCTTAGGTGTTGCGTTCTATCGTGGAGCAGACTGCTGCGTTCTGGTGTTTGATGTGACAGCACCCAACACTTTCAAGACTCTTGACAGCTGGAGAGACGAGTTCTTGATCCAGGCCAGCCCTCGGGACCCGGAGAACTTCCCCTTTGTGGTGTTGGGCAACAAGATCGACTTGGAGAACAGACAGGTAGGTGCAGGGGCACAGAGTTATTTGGCTTTTGTTATGCAGTATTTAGAGAACTGTAAAAGTGTTTCAAATTGTTTTTTAAAGTTTTGAGTTATAGAGCCATTTTAAAAATAGATTGGCTTAAACTGTCAGTCTTTTCTGCTTCTAAGTATAACATCAGTTACTTTTGTGTTTCAGGTAACAACCAAGCGAGCACAAGCCTGGTGTCAGAGTAAAAATAACATCCCGTATTTTGAAACCAGCGCCAAGGAGGCCATCAACGTGGAGCAGGCCTTCCAGACTATTGCACGCAATGCTCTTAAACAGGTAACTGAGGCAACTCGGGCTGTAAGTTTGTCCTTCTGGGGCCTCAGAAATATAATTGTAACTCAACTCGATCGTCTTGTTTTAGGAGACTGAGGTGGAGTTGTACAACGAGTTCCCTGAGCCCATAAAGCTGGACAGGAACGAGCGAGCCAAGCCGTCAGCGGAGACCTGCAGCTGCTGAGGACTATGAAGATCTTCTAGGGTCATCACTGCCCTCACTACCCTGTCTTGCCTTGTCTATATATCCCTTTTCCCCATGGCCCACTGTGTTAAATCCCCAACGCCCGACATACATGCAGCATCCCACTCATGAGAGTATACTACTACACACACAAACATGCTGCACTCACCTCCCTATGTAAACAAAACACACATTTTCTATAAAAGATGAGTCTCTTAGCCCAAAGAACACCTTAAAGGAAACATTACGGAAATACTTGTATGATGCTCATTACTTCCCAGTGTTTCCCCAAGTTTAGCTTTCATGGCGGTGGTGGTTTGGGTTAATCTCATTTTCAGTTCCATGTGTATCGCTGCTCCCACACCCAATTTTGGTTCTAACTGCTTTTACTTGGATACTTTAAGTGATAATTTGAAGCATTATCTCTATACATGTATGTGTTGATGAGTACAATTTAAAAGACAAAGTTTCTCTCTTTTTTTTTTTTGTTGAAATTGAAGTTTTCTTTAGCAGTGGTGGTTGTTTTCTTACTTTCACAGCCCACCTCTGCTGCATGAATAGAGGAAACACTGCTCCGCCCATTTTAGTCATTTGTGTTGTGGCTTCAATTTGTTCCAATCACAAACACACTTGGTTTCACTTTAACTTGTTCAACTTTAAAAAAAGACTCTGATGCCTGAAAGGGGAATCAGAACTTCAGTAGTGAAGGTGCATGTATGGGTCGCATTAATTCGCTGCCTGCTGATTCTTGTTGATTGGCACCGAATAGAAAATCAAGATCCGTGACAAGTCCACCAGACCAATGTGTAATGATCTTTTTTTTTTTTTTTTTCCAAGCACTTTGCAGTCATTGACAATAACTATAGACATCTCATTTTAGAGCCACAATAAATGCAGTTGTAGCTCAGGTCGGGGGCATTGCTAGGATCCAGACTCAGCTCCCTCATGTTAGTGCTGTTCTATATGGGAAACCAAGGTTTGTCTTGTAATCATTTTTTCTTGGTACATCTGATATGGGAAGAAAGCAAATCAAGACGGCATGTCGTTCTACCTGATAGTCCTGGAGAGAAGACATTTTTTTCTCAAGTATAAATATCATTCATAACTGCGTACTATTAGCTAGTACATTTCTTTTTACTGTCAACTATTGCAAGACTTTGTATATTTGCAAACCCCTCAATCATTGTGTGGGGAAGCAAAACGTTTTGTTGTAAATCTCCATATCTGACTATGCCAGTCGTTCATGTTGGCAAACAATTTAAGTGCTTGACGTTTCTTTTAACTGATCAGATCTTTAACTGTCTGTTCATATTATGTTAAAACTTTGAAATGCATTATAGATTACAAGATAGCAAACATACTGTAACTTTGAAAAAAATGTTAAAAAAAAATGTGTGGGGGGAAGTACTGGCATTCATCATTATTATAATAATATGATAAATGCATAGCATCTACATTGTTTCAAAATGTCTTTGCGTTTCAAGTAATAAGGGTAATAAAAATCTTGAATAAAGCATCTTTTGTTTGTTTCTTACATTTATTGTCAACATTTTAACAAGAATCATAAGAAGCATATTTTTATTACATTTCAGTTACTATAGCAGAGAAAATCTCAACAAATTTTCTTGCAGTGTAAAAATGATTAAAGTCTGAAAAAACCTAAATGCTCCAAGAACTACAGAGTCTTGAGTTCAGGTCTACATCTTTAAGTGGTTCTTGGTTTCTTCTTGGATCCCTGAAACCACTCCTGAATCCCTCCCTTGGACTTGCTCTGAGACCCTGCCTTCTTTTCTTCACTCTCACACGTGTCGGGCTCCTTCCTCTTAGAAGGTGTGCTGCTCTTCAGCCAGCCTGCCATCATCTTACTACTGGCGGTAGGCTTAGGCTCCTGGGGGATCAAGGGTCAAGACTTGTCAGCATAAAACTCTACTAACAAACAAGAGAAACTATTAATGTGAGTATGACGAAACACCTTATCCAGTACCTTCTTGCTGTTCAGATCCACAGGCTGGAGGCACTTAGGTGAGTTGTTGCGCGAGTTGTTGACTAATGAAGAAACTGGATGAAAAGCCAAAATGTTTTTAGACTCCAGAAGTTTCAAGGCATCTCGGGATTTTACCTCGCCAAAATCAAGCCATCTTCTCACTTCTTCGTCTCCATCTAGAATGGCTGGCATCCTGAAACACAACCACACAGCAGTTTAGCATTTTTGTTCAAGTCAAATGCAAAGAAAGAGCATGTTAGCCTGCTAATTTTCTTTACCTATGATGGATACTTTCTATGTTTGGAGCTGCATTCACTGTGATTACACTGTACGAGTAAAGAGGTTCTCCTCCATCTGGAGGTGTCCAGCAGTCGAAGACTCCAGCCATAGTCAGCAACTTCCATCCAGTCCACTCACTTGAAACGTCATCTGCCTGAACACCGTGTAGCACAAACACAGGTAAATATAAATGGCTAGTTTAAAAAAAAAAGAAAAGAAAAGAAGTCTGTAGATTCGACATTTTCACACCCCTAAGCACAACGCTAATATCAAACAGAATCACATTTGCATTGTGTGTCAAATCGAAAGTGCTAAGGAAACACTGGCTGCACACACGCACATCTCTGCTTTGGCGCCTCTCCCACAAAAGATATTCTCAGTATTCTCAGTCTTGCTCATGTCCACCTGCACTGCAGTCTTTCTACTTCTGTTCTAGATAAAAGCACATGCTTGTGGTGCTTGTATTGCTTCTGACAAACCCAGTACCAACCTTTGCTGCGAGGGCTGTCTCTTGATTCTCATCATCTCGAGCTGAGGATGTGGGGTCACCTTGACGCTTGGTTTTTGCCTCAGTCTGGGGGAAGTATATGAAGAAGGGCTGCTTGTCTTTCCCCTCCTTCCTCCACTCATAGAAGCCATCCGCCAGGATGACACAACGCTGTCCTTTGTTGAATGGGTCCTTTAAGGAGACATAAGTGATTAGACACACTAAGCAGACAAAGTGTGACACAAAGCATTTGAAATATAACACTGTGGTAGAGCTTCTAACTGTGTGCACCTTGTAAGATTTTTTCTGCAGGATGTTCTCACTGCGGCAGTTGCTGGTGCTGTATTGCATCATGTTGGGGTCTTTCTCCTTGAACCAGGAAGGTACCAGACCCCAACGCATTGTGGCCAGCACACACTCATCTGCAGGAGCTTCCTTAAAACACAAAAATATTAAACATCACAGACAGACCACCTATATAAAATACTATGTATATCTCGACCTTGTAATATAAACCTGTTTCATTTTAGACAAACAACAGCCCAAGAGGTGTTGACTGTGACTGAGAAATGTAATTATTTAAATCTATGGTTAAATTCTATGGCCCTTAAATATGATTACAGTAGGCGAGAGTGGGGTAAGATGAGCCATTTTTCATATTTCAGATCACTACATCAAGGCAATCATAGTTTTGTCTCTAACTACTGTATCTGCATATATTTCAAGATGTTGTGCACTCCTGCAAACCAACAGAATGAGTGTAAACAGAATTGTCTTGATAATATAGCATGTCAAAAAAGTGGTCTCGTGTATGAGGTAAGTTGACCATAGGAGTGGGGTAAATTGAGCCGTATCCCTACTACTGTGGCCCTTTAATGTGATTACAGTACAGTATACTTATTTATATGTCCAATTTAAGGTTGAAAACATTATCTCAACTGTTGTGTAATCTTTATGTATTTACGACAATTACCTTCACACTAAATCCTCAACTGCAGCGGAACGGTGCTCTTGTTTTTACCTTGTCAAAGTGCCTCTGAGAGAGCAGGACCGGGCTCATGGACTGCGGGCTCTTGTTATAAGATGGTCGGTATTTGTCCGCATCCCCATCCCTCCAGCGGGGCTGTCTCCGCCGCCCTCCTCGGTTCCTATAAGAGGAGGCTCGGCTTACCTCGTCAGGAGCAAGAGTGCACGCAGTTCTTCCACACATTTTACAACTTCACCGAGAGTCCACTGAAAACTGAGGAAAGTTGGTTTTAAAGGAAAATTCAGTGCAGCTAGGTCAATTTCAACAGTGTTAGCAGGTTAGCTAAAGTTTGTTTGGGAAATAAAGCGTTTCATTCTTTCTGCAGTCATAAGCAATGTTTCACTTACCAGGGGCGACCTTTCACACTATGTTCACACTGTAACTCCGCAGTGACTAATGTCTCTGGGTTTGGCTACGTCCCTCTTTAATATGTCTGTGTACAGCCTGTCTTCTGCCTGTATGGTACAGGGATTTGCCTGGGCAGAGGCTGAGGCGCTACATCTTACGTAAGACGTTAGAATACTCGCGTAACCAATCACAGCACAGGGCGGGGAAAATAACATCAGTCCAAGATGGAGATAGAAAAGAAAACCTTTAAAAATGTAACATTAAAAAATTATTCAAACGTAAAGTGAAAGTAAAAGCCCGGAGATTTTTCATGAGCAAACAAACACACACTCATAAGATTGAATGATTTATTGATTACACCGTTGGTTTTAAAAATGTTTTGGTAGACATCGCGATATAAATTTTGAGAGCACACATTTTGAGTGTATCAGGAAATCGCGTTATCTATATGATAACGTTAAGAACCCTAGCACCTAGTCTTACTTCCCTTATACTTACTAGTAAACAAACAAACAAAAAAAATAAGTAAAAATAAATAAATAAATAAATAAATGTCAGTTGGAATTTTCTTACGTAGTTTAGACTAGGTTAAAATTAACGTCATTTTCCAAATAAGATATATTTTTATACGAGCCGAAAGTGGAAATTATTAACAACACGTATAATAATTGATTTTAGAGTTATGGGGTTGCCATGGTAACAGTAAACAGGTCGAAAGTCAGGCACTTGTGAGAGAAATAAACGGCACCGGATCAGACACACCTGTGGACCTCAGCAGGTAAGAGGAACAGACATTAAACAATAATGTCAATCTGGAACATTAGCTGAAAGCTTTAAGTAATTCGGTAGAGGAGCCAGTGTTTGATATAGTGTTTAAAGAAAGCACCATTCTTGAAGTAAAGCTGACAAGTGAAGTCTTGCTGTCTCACACACGGCGATTTGACCCACTTTACAGCCCACTGCACGTGGGGAGCTATATTTCAGACCAAAAGGTAGTTGTACGGTATGAATAACCACTGCCACTTTCCACAGAGTTTTAATCGTTTATGACCACTACTTGTGCAACACATTTGCACTGTATTAGTATTACCCTATGATGTATCCTCTGCAGCAGTTTGTGTCTGACTGAACCATATAGCAGAGAGGAAAACGTTCTTCTGAAGAAGAGGTGGTGTTAGTATGAAAGCCACCAGATCCAGACAGTCTGTTCATCTGGACCGAGAAAAACATCATGTCACCGATAGACGCTGCACATCATGGCCAGATAGAGGTGAGAGATCGAAACCAGCTGACAGTCACTGTCTGAAGGATGGATAAGAGCAGCAGTCACCAGGTTGTGTTCCCTTCAAAAGCGTCCCAAACATTTAACAATGCAAGAACAATTTAGGCCTCTACTTTCTGTTCTGGTGACAATTCATGAACCATAAAGGCAAGATGATTATTTAACTCAGTCGGTTTATGCTTTGGTAATGTTGTGGGGCCTTTTTATCACTTTGTTATAGGACCAATTTCAAATCTGAAATGATAAAGTTCACTGCTGATCATGATAATGGACTGTACTCACAGAGCAGACATAAAGGTCACACATTCTGAATGATACATGAGGTCATGTTTAAGACAGGTGGCCAATTGTCTGAACTAAGGGGCCATGTATCAAAGTTTAATGATTTTGCTCCTTTTGGCTCAAGATGGAGATATTATTCTTTAGGATTCAGCCACACAGTTTTTGACATTTTCATCCCCATGGTGTACTTGTATATCTATCACATTTACATGCTGTCCAGTTTCATTTACTTAATGTTTTACGTGCATACGCATTTGCAGATTGTGTGTTAAGTTTATGACAGATGCAAATGAGATTTCACGTGTTGCATTAAAAACTTGTATGAGGCATTTTTTCAAATTCTCCTTCCCCTTTTTATGTAGCAGCTATGTGCTAAATATATCATGCAAAATTTGGGGCATCTGGCTTAACCGTCACACTAGATAACATTTTGTCATCCAAAAGCAGTTAAAGCAGTGGAAACCAGAGGGTTCTTCAAGGACCAGAAGGTCCAGCAATGCAAAGAGAAAAGAAAAAACCCACAAACAAGTATGTAAAGTTGACAAAAAAATGCCGAATGACATCAATTTTTCACTCAGTGATTACTGCACAAACAATATTACTGTGTGCAAGTTCTTACAGACAACTAACACTATCATTTCCTGCCCAAATGTTTTACATGTGTGTTTGTCAGCTAAATCTCCTGAGGTCAAAGGTTATTGCAGTTTTGGCAGCCTGCCTGTTCTCAACCCAGGGAGACTGCAGACAGCGAAAGATCATGCAGACAAAGCTGTGAAAGTGGGTTAACCTTACTTGACATATTCAAAACATATACACTGAAAGATGAAATTCTTAGATTTTAGAAAGTTGTCTGTTATTGTTCCTAACATGCTTCTATTTCATTTATCTCAGATGCATAAAGTATTTTCTGTCCAGGGTCCTTACCCTGTTATCAGGGAAGGACTGAGGACCAGGGGCTGGGTTGAGCAGCGTTCACGCCGCTCAAGCCACCATGTTCATCAGCGACTCAGGTATGAGAGCCGAGCAAGCTCTGATGATGCTGATGATGATGATGGTGATGATGATGGTAAGTGAAATACAACCATGACTGTTTCAGGGAGCACTTTTATCCTTGATCTTTTAACATATCTATTCACTATCCACTCACTCCAACCCAGACAACTCAGACAATGTCAAGGAAAAGCAGGATCCAGATGGACTAAATGATCTAATGGTAAAAATCTTTTTTTTTTTTCTTTTAGGCTAATTTCATTGTGAAGCTGATATTTCTAAGGTTTAACTATTACCTTTCCCCTGTTTCATCCAGTCTCGACTGGTGCGAGATGAAACGGTCTATTTCTACTGGACAAACCGACGAGACTCCATCAACACCAACAGTTTGCAAAAAGATCAGATAACAAATCACTTTGCACAGACAGGCAGCTTCACCACCAAGGTATACATTTGGCCATATAAGAGGGCTTACTTCATGCTTTTTCAGGGGTCCAGTGGTTGACTCACCTATTATATCTGTCAAATGTTTCGTCAGGTGGGACTGTGTGTGAACCTGAGGAACCTGCACTGGTTTGATTCTGCTGACCCAGACACCTTCTTCCCCCGCTGTTACAGAATAGGAGCACTGGATGATAAGCATGCTTTTATTGGTAACATATGATTTAATAGCTTAAAGCAGATAACATTTTGTTTTCTTTTCCAGCACCTTTATTCATTTACATAAGCTCATAGTACTGCCTCTGTCCTTTGTTCAGAGGACTACAGAAGGACAGCATGCACCAGTCTGTTGAAGTATATTGTAGAGAGGGGACAGGGTGAGCACAGACAGACAAAGAACCGCAACAACCAGACAACTCAAGGTATCACTTCTCTAACATGATTATATATTTTCTTTGCTAAATAGAGACTGAACTTCCTTGCTTCACCACCAGGTCAGAGAAAACAAAGCAGAGAACTATCTAGACCGGCCCTCTCCCAAATGATTGACTTTGCTGTCAAAGTATGCCAGGAGTTATTGGAGAGTCTGGAGCACAGAGACATAGACAAAAACTTGGACACACTGCAAGAGCTTTCAAAAGAGGAGTGGGCAGAGTTCATTGACAGTTACTGCCTGGTTGTTCAGTGAGTACAGTGTGGGGCAGTGAGATAGAAAACTATAACAACAGTGCACTCTACTATTGTTTGTCATTTGTGTGTTTCTTCACTCAGCGGTGGGGCAGAGGTGGAGGTCAGTGATCAGTTTGTGGTCACTTCCAAAGCCATGCTGCAGAGGCTGGAAGAGTTCAGTCCACAGCTGGATATAGAGGGCATACACAACATCTGGATCATCAAACCTGGGGCCAAGTCCAGGGGCAGAGGTGGGAGAAGTCAGAGTTGATCACACAGACCACATTATATGAGACAACTTTGACTGACTTGCTACTCTCTCTCTCCAGGCATCAAATGCTACAAACGTTTGGATCAGATCCTTAGGCTGGTGGACAGGGATCAAACTCTTATCAGGGAGAGCAAGTGGGTGGTACAGAAGTACCTGGAGCGCCCTTGTCTGGTACATGGTACCAAATTTGATGTCCGGCAATGGTTCCTGGTCACAGACTGGAACCCTTTGACTGTGTGGTTTTATAAAAAGTGTTACTTGCGCTTTTCTACGCAGCCTTACTCACTGGATAAACTTGACAGGTAAGACACTACAAGGTTTTGGGTGGTCAATCAGAAAAGGAAGCAGATGTAAGACCAGATGAGTGTTCATTGTAAAAAGGAGAAGTGAGAGGATGATAGGCTGTAAAGAAATGAGCTAGTGCCTTTTTTTCTTTGGCAGGCTATATGTGTAAATAGCCTACATGCAATTGTCTACATTTATTTAAATTTTGGTGCATTGCTGTCCCAAACATCAATAACATTTCAATCTCCTACCAAAGCTTGAAAACCTGTCCACCTACAAGAGTACCTCCACTTTTGTCAGATAGTTGCACTTTGATTTTGTAAAGGTTATTTTCTTTAACCTGGCCGACACTCATGGGAGTCAGGGGAGTTGATGTGGCATCAGGCCAGTCTCATTTATGCTTCCTCTGTCCTTTTAGCTCTGTCCACCTGTGTAACAACTCAATCCAGAAGCACCTGAAGCCCTCCCACCAACGCCATCAAAGCATCCCTGCAGACAACATGTGGTCAGACAACCAGTTCAAGGCCTTTCTGTCTAGCCAGGGTATGGAGGCTCAATGGGAGGCTGTAGTTGTCCCAGGAATGAAAAAGGCTCTGATCCATGCATTACAGACAACGCAGGACCTAGTTGATTCACGTAAAAACACCTTTGAGCTCTACGGGGCTGACTTCATATTAGGTAACATAAGACCATGTGTAAAAAACATGCTGTGTCACATACAGTATGTTACAGCAGATTTCAGCTTGTATCTTACACCACACCTGTTTTAGTTCTGCTCTGTTAATCCTGGGTTGTCTCAATGTGATTTGTGGTTTCTTCCAAAGGTCGTGACCTGCATCCATGGCTGATAGAAATCAATGTCAGTCCCACTATGGCCCCTTCTACTCTTGTGACAGCCAGACTCTGTGCTGCTGTGCAAGAAGACACACTGCGAGTTGTCCTAGACCGAAGAGCAGATCGCTCTGCAAGTACTGGAGACTTTCAGCTCATACACAGACAGGTGAGGATTAGTTTAACCCTGCTCTTCATATCGAGTGGCCCAGTCTAATTTTCCCACATTTGTAGGATGAAATATATAACCTTTTATGCCACTCTTGGTCTCAAGGCGGCTGTAGAAGTGCCACAGTATTTGGGAGTCAACCTACTTGTTGAAGGCTCAAAGATCAAATGCCCATGCACACTTCCTCCACTGAGGCCCTTAAACCCTTCACCACTGAAACACCCGGGCCCTGCCAAGGAGAAGGAACAAGTAGCGGATAAAGTGAAGTCTCTTTGTAAGAGGTCGTTCAAGAGTACCAAGCTCAGCACTGGGGTGATCCAGCCACCACCCCCATGCACACTTGAGCCAGCTGTCCCTGTTGAACAGCTCCACCTCCATATGACTGGAGACAAGTCATAGGGATACCAAGCTTTTCAGAAGTCTGCCCAGAATGACCCTTCTTTGTCGCCAGAGATGGCTGTTCCAAACAGTCCACACAAGCTGCAAGCAGTGACTTTCACTGCTGAAAACTGTCAAAAAGAAAAACTTGAATGGGTTTTTTGGTCTACCTCATAATACATTCATAATTAAATTCGTTCTAATATCTTGTTGCATTTTAATCTTTTTTTTTTAACATTTAAATAGATTTTCTTATTTGATTTAAAGCAGGAGTATTCAATTTGTTTATCTTTACAGTATACATTGTCAACATTTTATAGAGTAAATATTTCATTTGCAGAAAATAGTCTATTCATCACAAACTGATTATCATAATTCTGAAGTAAATGTTTCAGAAAGATTTAGATCTTTATATTATTTTTTATTATTGTGTAGAGCATAAAAAACAATGGGTAAAACACACGTGTTTCTCACAGATAGGATCATGAATTCAAGCAGAAACAATCAGAGGTGTGTAATGCAGTATGTTTTAATGTCTCGGCACCTGAGATAACTTTGAATATAGTACATTAAGAAAAAAGATATAGTAATACTCAGCATACCAATCTTTTCTTTCTCAGTATCTTTTTCACTGTTTTAACTCCTTAGGGTTAGACACAAAGGTAGAAATGTCATGTTTCTTTGCCCCTTGCGAGACACAAGGTTTATTTAGCATATGAGAAACATGTGCACAAGTTGAGATGTGCCAACTTCAAAACTTCTGATAAATTATTTTTTTTTATCTACAACAGAAAATAGCTTGAAAATGCATTGTTTGACTCTGTAGATATCAGCAATACCCAACATGTTTCTATGATAGTCTGTGGATTTATGGTCAACAAGTTAGCAGGGACTGTATGTAGAAAGAAACAGTGAGGCACTGCCAGTACAGACATTAGGTAAACAAAAAAAAAGTACAACATAAAGTAAAGCTAACCCAGATTCCTCTCTCTGAATCTCTTACCCAAGTAAAAGGTATCATGCTCATTTTGGGGCTTGATATTGTACATGCCATAGATTTTGTAATAGCTTTTCATGATTTAAAGCTTAAAAGCACTTTATTTATCTCAGGCTGCTGTCTCTTAAAAAAACAAAATAATGATAATAATAATAATAATCTGCCTGAAACACTTGATTTCAACTACTGTCTGTTTAATTTTAACTTCAGCACAATCTGAGACGCAGAACTCTGGAAGCCTCCACCACTGTTTCCATGATATTAAAGGGATATTGCGGCGTAAAATAAATTTAGGGTCAAACACACCATAACACTGAGTTATACATCCCCCTCGAAAGATGAATGTTGCAGACCGCTTGCTTCTCTAGTTGTACCAACTTTAGTAACAACCGTACCATAGCAATACACAGCAGTCTGAGGAGCCATAAACAAACCTCAACCAAAAGGCCACTCTATAGCCACAAATAAAGCTCAGAACAGCACCTAACTTCATCAACAGTACATATAGGGTCCCAGCCACAGCACTAGCCACCAAACATCTTTTTAACTTTGCCTACTTTCTTCAGCAAAGAGACTAAACACAACTCACCTACTCTCTTCCAGCAGCCGATTGTTTGTAGCGAGACGTCAGGCCAGTCCATTACAGACTGCTGTGGGATGACACAGCTCAAGGAAGAACATTTATGATCATTACTTTATCATTTCCTTGAGGTAATAATCACCATATTAATCATTTTGCACTGCAGACGCAGTAGTTCTTCTGCCTCAGCGTCTCGGTCTGATTGTATTTCCATGAAGAAATTATCGTAAATGTTCTTCCTTGAGCTGCGTCACACAAGCAGCTGCTGGAAGAGAGTAGGGGAGTTGTGTTAAGTCTCTTTGTTAAAGAAAGTAGGCAAAGTTAAAAAGATGTTTGGTGGCTAGTGCTGTGGCTGGGACCCTATATTTACTGTTGATGAAGTTAGGTGCTTTTCTGAACATTATTTGTGGCTATAGAGTGGCGTTTTGGTTGAGGTTTGTTTATGGCTCCCCAGACTTCTGTGTATTGCTATGGTACGGTCGTTACTAAAGTTGGTACAACTAGAGAGGCAAGCGGTCTGCAACATTCATCTTTCGAGGAGGATGTCTAACTCGGTGTTATGGTGTGTTTGACTCTAGCTTAATTTTACGCCCTTTAAGTCACGTTCCCGTTTTTAAAATTATAAATCCTGTAAATAAAACATAAAACAGGATTGACGAATCAACCGCTGGACTACTATCCTGGGATGGACTCCTAAACCTTCACTCCTTACTAGTGGTGCAACGGATCACAAAACTCACGGATCGGATCGTTCCTCGGATCAAGAGTCACGGATCGGATCATTTTTCGGATCAGCAAAAAGAAAAAAAAACCAAGACAAATAAAATATATAAAAGTAGTGCACAGGGCATAATATCTTCTTTTTAACATAATTATTAATGAAAAACAACTTAAAGTACAATATACAGGCATATCTCCTTCCTTTAAAATGTAACAATGAACCAAAAATGAAGTGTGTGCGCGATGGGATGTCGTAACGTGGCTCAAGCACTTTCAGCATGTTTTTAAAGCCCTCGTTTTGCACAACTGAATACGGCCTCATGTCTGCAGCTATAAACACACCGATAGAGTTTGTGAAAGCTTTAGCCTGGTCGGATTGCGCAGGAAGAGGCTGCTTAAACGCTGCGGTGATGAGCGGTTGTTGGGCAGCTTTCGTTTTATCTCAGGTGTTATGCCAAAGAATGCACCCCTGCCGTATAGTGCACCCCCTAACGGGAGCGCGGTTGAAAGTACATAACAAGGCGAAATAATACAAGTTTTCCTTACGTTGGATGTATTCAACAGCGTTTGCCTTTAATAATTTCATTCAGGCTATTCATATCAAATATGAGATCATTATCTCCACTTTAAGAAGCTAACGGGTGGAGGGGATGCAGGGGGTGCGTTCTACGGCAGGTGTGCAATCTACGGCACAACACCTGTCAGTAAAACACCCGGGTGATGTCGCTTCAAATGCGTGAACATGCTCGATGTGTTTCCACTGTCATATGGCTTTCTTATGCCACAGTGCCTACACTCCGTCGCAGTTTTGTACACTGACCTCTTTCCTTCTTTATCATAATTGACAGGGAAGCCAAAATGCTCCCATACAGGGGATTTAAGTGTCGCGGGGCGTTCGAGCTCCTCCTTTCTCCGCTTTCAGAAATCGATCCGCGGATCACATGTGTGCCGAACCGAATACGTCGATCCGAACGGATCACGGATCAATGACGATCCGTTGCACCACTACTCCTTACTGAGCACTAGATGGCGGTGAGACCCAGGCGGGCGTACATTTTGACATTCCGGCGAAGAAGAGACCTTTCCGGGGAACTAGCAGCACAGCCCGGACTTCTAACACCACGTAGAAATGGCGGCGACCGTATGCCGAGTCGGGAGCACCGTGGGTCGAACCCTCGCTAAAACCCGCAGTGTGAGTATAGATTAAAATTTCCGTGTAGTTTCGGTATGTGTTTGTGTGAAGTAGACATACTTTTGCTCAGATTTAGTAAAACTTCAAAGGTTATCGATCAACTCTGTCTGTTTTCTACCATACAAAGCTAGCAGAAGCGCAGAGGACTGAGCTAACCGGTTAGCATTAGCTAGCCATAAGAGAATGCAAGGTCACTTGTCAAATGAGGCAGTACAACTTTTATCAGTTATCTAATTTGAAGTATTTACATTCAAAACGCTTACTAGCATCAGCTGTTTGTAGTTTTGGTCGACTTTGGTCAATGACAAGGGGACAGTCTTCCGTGTTTGTCATCTGTCCTCGTTTGCCCTCACTCCGAGGCTAAGCTTCTCGGCTAGCACGATTAGCATTGTGACTTTGGAGACAAACTCTTGATTGTGACTATTTTACTGTTATAAATTCAAAATGTTTGATTTACATTTGTCTTGTAACCCCTTAACGGCTAGTGAAGGGTTAACTGAGTTACCAGTGATGGAGATTTAAGCTGTGTTGTCCAATATCTCCTTTAACGTTAGCTTAGGTTGTGTTTCCATTAATAGCAGCAGAGGAAATACAATGATCATATTTATGAATGTAGAGAAAATGAAGTCATATTGGTCAAACTCAACCTGAATCCGTTTTAATACCCACAAAACGCTTGACCTTGTAGGGTACATTGCGTTAGTATAAGTTGAAACGTTTCCATCTGAAAATAACTTTCTTAGTTTTACCGGAATTGCAGGGGAACCCAAACAACATTATCTCCATACACGGTCCATGCTGATGATATCCTGATTTAGAGATTCTGCGTGAACTGATAATTCTTCCCCAAACACATTAAGATTTAAAGTTATCTGCTTTGTCTATTCTTAGCTGATCCTTCTGTGGATAGGAGAGGTTGACATTGTTGTCAAAATCAGCTGTCAGCCTTATGTTGATGTGTTGTCCTTTACTGAACTTGACAACTCAATAAGAGCCTGTTCAAAGCACTTGACACAGTGTGACCAGCACTAATAGATAGACAAAATCAGTCAGAATACAATGTGCCCTGTCAGGTCCTGAAGTCTTTTTTTTTCAGCACTATCAGAATCACCTCCTATGAAATATAGTCACAAAAATGTTAAGCATTATAAAAAAACTCATATTATGTTATTTCAAAATATTTCTCACTTAAGTCTCTGAAACTTCATGTCAAGGAGAGTAAGAATATTCTGGGAAGTGGTTTCTCGGTGTCTTAATGTGGCATGTTAATGTTCCCATTAATCCAACAGTATCGTCTTTTAGTAGAAATTTGAGAGTGACTTTCTAGCCTCTTGTTGTCTGTAGCCCATCTTGCTCTCGCTGCGGCGTGGACAGGCCTCAGTCAGCTATGCCCAGAGCCTGCTGGGAGCCCCTGAAACCCGTCTCACTGCCCTGGACAATGGTTTGAGAGTTGCTTCTGAGGAGACTGGACATGCCACCTGCACTGTAAGAAAGCAGGAAAAGCATTTTATCTACAATCATATCAAATGTTTTAATAACACTAAATGGCGTCTCTAATATTTGATATTTGACCCTTCCCCCACTCTTCACCTATGCAACCTCTCTCATAGGTCGGACTGTGGATCAGTGCTGGCAGTCGTTATGAGAGCGAGAGGAACAACGGAGCAGGTTTCTTCCTGGAGCACTTGGCTTTTAAGGTATGATTTAGAAGAACTTGTGACCTTGTGAATATGCTATTTCTTTTTTTATTTAATAATATTTTTTAATTTAAATCAAAGAGTGCAAATAAAGTAAATAGTTTTTGCTCAATTTTTGCATAAACAGAAGTGCGGAAAAATATACAATCAATGTAAATAAATACAATAATAAAATTAGAGTCTTCATGGTTAAGTACAAGTATAAGTATAATCAAAATAAAGGGAAAAGAAATACAGAACACAAACATACACAAATAATAATGGTAATAATACAACATTGAGTTAACATCTTTATATAAATATAAAATAATAATGATAATAAACAAGCTATTTCTGCTGAGACGCAGTGCTGTACGGTGTTAAAAATTTCTAAAATGTATAAATATATTTACTGGTAAATCAGACTCTAGTGTGACACTGGTCCTCCTGTTCACATTTCTTCTTGTCCCTCAGGGAACCAAGAAGCACCCTCAGACAGCTCTGGAACAGCAGGTAGAGTCCATGGGTGCTCACCTCAGCGCCTATACTTCCAGGGAGCACACAGCATACTACATGAAAACACTGGCCAAAGACCTGCCCAAAGGTTGGTAAAAATTCACATTCTTCCACGTAGGATTAAGATATTATGAATAAACTGACAAATGTCGAATGGAGGATCACAGTAAGTTTGACCTGTAACTTCATGGTAGCTGAGATATTCACTGTACTGTACAAAGTGTGTGCGTATCCTATTAGTTAAGAACTATGTTTTCCCCACTGTTTTCTCAGCTGTGGAGCTGCTGTCAGAGGTGGTGCAGAGCTGCTCTCTGAGCGAGGCCGACATCGAACAGCAGAGGAACGTGGTGCTGCGTGAGTTAGAGGAAGTTGAGAACAACATCCAGGAGGTTTGTCTGGACCTGTTGCACGCCACAGCCTTCCAGGGCACTCCTCTCGGACAGAGTGTGCTAGGACCCTCCAACAATGCGAGGTGAGGGGAGCTGTGGAATTACTCCTGTTAAAGCTCACAATTTTGGAAATACAAAAAGGGAAACCCTCAGATGTAGCAAAACACTGATCAAACAACAGTTTTAATTTAATACTATAACAACAATACCAATTAATTAGTCACTGGACAATTATCAACTCTGCGCTAATTTCCCCCAGGACCCTGAACCGCCAGGACCTGGTTGATTATGTCAACAGCCACTACAAAGCCCCACGCATGGTGCTGGCCGCTGCTGGAGGTAAATCCCCTTCGCTTCGACATGCTTGATGAGACATACTGTGGAATTTCAGCTTTGTCTCAAAAAAGGCAGCATTTATCAGATGTTTTTCCTCTACAGGTGTGAGCCATGATGAGCTGGTCGGGTTGGCCAAAACTCACTTCAGTGGAGTGTCTTTTGAGTATGAGGGTGATGCCGTCCCTGTGCTGTCACCGTGTAGATTTACAGGCAGTGAGGTGAGGCGATGTACTTTACATCTATAATAGAAAAATGCAGCCTTTACAGAAATTAAAAGTTGGATGTAATAGATGTGATTCAGAGCTGTAAAGATCATTTTAACTGTCATGTTAAACTGTTTTGTTTATTTTTTTCTTCCCTCCCTTTCAACAGATCCGTATGCGTGACGACGGGTTGCCCCTGGCACACGTTGCCATTGCTGTGGAAGGAGCCAGTGCTGCCAGCCCGGACATTGTGCCCCTCATGGTGGCCAACTCCATCATTGGCAGCTTTGACCTCACCTATGGAGGTGGAAAGGTTAATAATATGTTCTTGAACAAGCTTGTTTTAGTTTCGGTGGTAAAAAAAACTCAACAGTGATGAACCTGGCTATAGGAGCGAACATCTCCTGAGTAAATGTACATCATCCTTTTATCTTATCCCCCTTTAAGCTTTGCCCATTTGAGGTTTTAAATGTCTTGAGTGGCCATTATGAAGGGGTAGACTGCAATCCTCTCTTAAACCTGGGTCAGGGATCCCACCCTTGCCTCCGGACCTGTTGGGAGGAACAAAAAAAAAAAAGCACTTTTATATTTAAGTGCTGTTGCTGTACTACTTTAAAGCTTGACTGCTGTACCATACAATACTCAGAGTGTGCCGATACAAAACCTACAAACACAGTCATTTTAATCTCACTTTCAAACAGCAGTCTGTGACCATGAATCCCTTCCTCTCCCTGCAGCATCTCAGCAGCCGCCTGGCTCGTCTGGCAGTTGAGGAGAAACTGTGTCACAGCTTCCAGGCCTTCCACTCATCCTACTGCGATACTGGCCTGCTGGGTATTCACTTTGTGGCTGATAGGCTCTACATTGAAGACATGATGCACTGGTCTCAGAACGCATGGTCAGTAAGAACTCTAGGATTATGAGACGCGCGCACTCACACACAGAACGACATGACTGTGTTATGTCTCCCTATAACTAAAAAACCAAACGCTCGTATTTCTTCTTCTCTCCACCCCTTTCCTGCAGGATGAACCTGTGTACCACTGTGACAGAGAGTGATATAGCCAGAGGCAAGATTGCTCTGAAGGCCAGCCTGGTCGGACAGCTCAATGGTGTGTAGTATGTCCATCATACTTTTATATAATATACAGATAAACGCCTCTGAATCCAAAGTCAACGGATCTCTTTTTCTTGTAGGAACTACACCAATCTGTGATGACATCGGCAGACACATCCTAAACTATGGGCGTCGTATTCCCTTGGCAGAGTGGGATGCACGCATAGATGTGAGTTGACAATAAAACAAAACTGCACTTTATCTTCTCATTTGTGTTCAAGGGAAGACGTCTTACTTGTCTTTTTATTATTTTTTTTAAGGCTGTGACTCCAAGGATGGTGAGAGACGTTTGCTCCAAATATATCTATGATAAGTGTCCCGCTGTGGCAGCTGTCGGTGAGTTTGTAGCATTTCTTTTACTTGTTTTTTTACTAAAATGGTTTTAGCTCATGCAGGAATAAACTCCTCTAAATCATCCTTTCTGTCTCTTCCCAGGCCCCGTAGAGCAGCTACCTGACTACAACAGAATGCGCAGTGCCATGTATTGGCTGAGGTTTTAAGATAAAAAGTTGTGTTGCTCCAACTGTCCCAAGTTTGCTCTACATCCTCCTTTACCCCACTCTTCTCCCATCATCACTGCGAGACGGAAACCCCCAAAGATCGTCCACACATTGACTTGACGGCACAGACGGCCTTCCACCCTCTCTCCTCTCCCTACCTCCCTCTCTCATCCTGCCTTCAGGTCACTCATAGTTAGTCATTGGGGGAGAGCCAGTCCATTGTCGGGTACTGTCGGGTCTACATTTACACATCAGTTACCTTTTGATTGTACTGTACAGGTCCTTATTGCCTGGTACTGACATGGAGAGGAGAAAGGGCGGACTTGATTATTACATAATCATCAACAGGGCATGGTACTGCCAGCCCTGGATACGGATAGATAGGAGCAAGAATATATTTATAATTTCTGTAACATTTGTTTCTGTCTTCTATTGTACATAACAGAAGCTCTCATTCCGTCAAATTAAAACTACTGTAAAACATGAGTCCACTCTGCTTTGTCTTATTCACAAGGAGATATTAATGGTGTCACTTTTGTAGCGTTTTGAATGATAGAGGCATATCTGAGGAAACAACTGCTTACATTTACTTGTACTTTTGAGGAAAAGCCATTAACAGTATTGTCACACTTTTTCCTCGTTCAGTGTGTATTTTTTGTCAGTTTTATTGATTACAAATGATCCAGAGCAGCTCTTGCACAACAGACAAGCGACATACTGAAAACATTTTGAAGATTAGAGCTAATATGTTAAGTTAAAAAACAAAAGCCTACATTAACAAAGTAAAAAAAAAAAAAACAGTTAAATGAGTCTTGACTAAAGAATTGGTAGCTTAAAGGACAAAACAACAATTAGGAAACCCCAGGAGTATTTGGTAGCCTAATCTAGTTGCAGAAGGGGTAAAGGATTTTTAACAGCTGTTAATTTTACAAGAGAGGATCGTCTTTAAAGAGCATATCCACAGGAAGCTACAATAGACCGTCATCAAACCATCAGAATTCTGCAGGTAACAAAATACTAAGATCTGTTTATTTCACACCAATGATCCTCAAACAGAAGTTAATACAGTTCAGACTGTCTTTGATGGCGGCTCTGAAACAAAAAAATTTTTTTAAAGAAAAAAGGATTGATTAAAAACGACAGAGAATATTAATCACTGGCTGAAAACAGATTCTGTTTAAGGTTGAGTCTCAGTTGCCCTCTCTTCATAGTCACACCTGTGAGGAAGGGCGCACTCGTGTGGCAGCCTGTAGATGTGTTTAAGGACTGTGACAGTTGACCATTTACAGTCACCGTTTACCGTCTATCTGCGAGGACGTCCATAATCCAAGGTAGGTGATAGCAGATGAGGCAAATAAAAATCACAAATCATTCTTCCTGTTAAAAGATACAAATGCTGAGTGGTCGCAGCAGCTTTTCTAAATGTTCACAATGAATTTGTTTTTATGATTCGCACAAATCCAACATTTGTCAACATTCTACACGTTACATGGAAGGCAGGAAGAAAGTTCAACCAGCAGTGACCTTGAGCAAAGTTGGACTTTTAGAAACAGCTGCAGTTGTGTTGGGCTTGGAAAAAAGGGATCAAAACAGAGAAATATGGTTGAGTGTGCCCCTCACAAAATGGACCTGGACCAAGAACGTTTTTAAGGTTAATGGTTGAAGATGATCTTTCAAACCTTCCTCTGTGGTGAAGAACTTGCAATCAAAAGAGGGTGAATCTCTTAGGACATTTTCTTATCGCTGTGATTTATCCTTTTTTTTTTTTTTTTTTTTTCCATCTTTGGCCCTGATTTTTATTTCCATCTTGAATGTGCAGAACTGTTAGCTCGATATCTATTCAAAATGATCATAAAAAGGATGCTCATATGCTGGACTGATCATATCTAGTTCTTATGGCACACAATCTGGTCGGGCTTATTCCTCCTCGAGAAGCTGTAATTTCATTACATGTAATTAATTTAAACTGTGTAATCTGACTGTAAACACAACAACTCATTTAATAACCTGATGACTGCAACACTGATAAACTGGAAAGCTTTGTCTTTCATTGAGCCTTCTGATAGACAAAGCCTTATTTCTAAATATCCTGCTCTTTTGTATTCAACCGTTACTTTCTTAATGTCTTGTACTGTTCCTGTTTCCATTCATATTTCTTTATTCTTTCTGCTATATTGGCTAAAAACAAACAGTAATGACTACATTTCCCTCCAGGATGAGTGTAGTATTTTTGATTCTGATCCTGATTAATAACCACAACCTGCTGTGGCGTGGGCATTATGCTGTATCTTGACTCATAGAGATAACATCATCATTCATGCATGTGTAGTTCACTGTCATGCTGTATCAATGACAGTTACCATCAAAGTTCTTTACAACATGAACGACAACAACTGTATATGCTGCTCGATGACCTTTGTGTGACCAGGGTTTGTTTATTTTGAGGGTAACTGATACGATTCTTAATCCACAGGATCCCTGGGGGCCTGACTTTCATAATAAGGCTGTTACTTTCATATTCACGTATCATTAGAGAGATGTGGTAAAGCCTCTTGATGGGCCGGACTGGAAGTGAGTCAGAGGGCGAGGTAGGCTGTGTCTTTTTCAGCTGTTCCTCCCAGACCTGACAGCTTCTTCCTCCTTGTTCTCATGACTCTCTGGATCCTCCTCTCACCCTCTAGCACCTCCTCCTCTGGGTTCTGTAAATAGAAAGATTTGTGTACTCATAGATTATGGTCCTATGAAATGAAAACAAAGATGGGTCCTGCAATTTAACAGTTTTCAACACTAAAAACCACAAATGCACATTTTCAAAATGTTGATACTATGAGAGCAAAGTATCCGATCTTCTTATACAGCACAATTGATCATAAAATCATGGCCTCATTTTCAAACAGTACCCCCTGCTCCCACTTAACACTTCCTGCATACACAGTTTAATCCCTGCTCATATAAAACAGCGTCATTTGGACTTTGTGGTGTGGATGTTGCTGATTCCTTAATAGAGCTTTCACCCTTTGATATCAGGACGTAAAATAGGGAACAACAGTCTTGTAAGTAGAGTCGACTATACTTGTTCCGGTAGAGTTCAGAGATCTAGCAGATAAACCAGCAAAATCTAAACAATGCCAGAGCAGCAGGAATGCCTACTGGTTAGTTTTTGGTTCTTATGTGCAATTGTGTCTGATAATTAAAGGCTATTTCTAACAGATATCCCCTTTCTAAACCCATAACCATACCATAAGATTAAGACTCAGAGATTCTATTCATTATACGATGAGCAGACAATCTTAACATGTATTAGATTTTTTTTAATTTTTTTATTTCTGATGCCCCCTGACCCTGGTATTTAACTTTCAAATGGACATGCTGGATTTCATTTGTGTTTTTACTGCAGACTGGGGCAACCATCCGATTCATTAAAGACAAACTATTGTGATTACCATCGTGTTATTTTTAGAAGGAGAAAGACTGCAATGAGTGTGGAGGAAATGAGCTGAAATGAGGGGAGGGTGAAGGGGTGTTGAGATGTAAAAGATAAACAGAGAGGGGAAGGGACCGTGCCATGCCAAAGACAGACGTAGATAAAGACGAGTTTGAGGACAAGCAGGCAGGAGTCCAGTTGAACGTCTTGGCTGAGCGCCACACAGGTTGATTCTCCACCACCACAACAAGGAGAAGCTGGGGGATAGAGAACACAGGAAAATAGGATATAGAAGATATCATAGCCAGAGCACTGCTGTAGACCAGAAGAAGTGCCTTTTTGTCCAGTTTCCAACTTTCTACAGAGCTGACACTGAGTAAGTATTGATTGGAATTAAACATTTGAAAATATTTATCAGTTTTTTTTTTACCTCTGTAACCAAAATACTTTATAATTTAAAGGAAAATTGGGAAATGATTTAATCTCAGCATATAGATTTATGGAATTTTTTTTTTCTAAATGCTTAAAAAGTAGCTATTGCAGGTTTGAAAATTGTTACCCTTTCCTTATTTTGACATTCTGAATGCACTTTAATCTGCATCTAAACTCACGGTCCTTGGGGCAGAGGGGATGTTCTCCCAGGGCATTGACAAATGTTTTTATTCTTTGTACAACAAACTCTTAAATCTGCCGCTCAGATGAGGGATGCTTAATGCACATTTGTGTAGTAAAGCTTACCTCAGCATCCCTGGTAATAATAAATCCCAGGTAACAAACAACAAGGACTATATTGCACTTTTTGTTGTATTATCCTGATCTTGGGAGTATTGCAAAGACAAAAATGCTTGCATGCATCCAGTTTTAGGGCAAACTATTGTGGTGTCACAGTTGTGTAACTTTGAGCCTCTGGCTGATTTCTTCTTCTCTCTCCCCACAGACGGAGTCCTGACCATGAGAAGTGTGCGTGTATGTTTCTGTCTGGCTCTGCTGCTGCCTTGGTGTGTAAGGAGCAGTCCTGCTCTTGCAAAACTTGATCAGGACACACAGAGGGATGTGCTGGCTGTCGACATCCTGAATCGCAGTGGTGTGTTGAACTCATTGCTCCGCTCTGAGCATAACATGACGCTCCGGCGAGTACGAGCACCGCGCCCAGCCTCCCAGGTGCCAAAAAGGGCTCAGCAAGGGTCCCGCTTTGCCCTGTCTCTGGATGTTCCCACGAGCATCCTCAGTGTCCTCATAGACCTGGCCAAGAACCAGGACATGAGGACCAAGGCTGCTGCCAATGCAGAACTGATGGCACGAATAGGCAAGAGGAAATAAAGATCCGGGGGAGCTTTTAGCAGCTTGATGGACAAAATCTTACCCTACAACTTCCTTCAGTGTGAGCTTGGCTCCTAAATACCTGAGTAGACACAGTGTCACTTCAGTCAATAACTGTTCTGTAGAGCTTAGATCTGTTTTACTTTTATACCACCGTCCATGGACTAAATCTAAACAGGAGTCCAATAAAACTGTTAGAAAACATGAATGATAAAACACAGACAATATTTAACAATGTAAGATGAAGCTGGTCTTTTGTCTCTCAAATAAATCACTCATGGTCAGAAAGTATGACTGGGCTTTGAATTCTTTCTCTTGTGTTTCCATGTGTTTTTACAAAGGTCGTGCAATTAGATACAACATAATAATCCTATTTTTCCTCAAGTTGTTTCATCCTGCATTGATATCAGGCGTGCTTAGTATAATTACAAGCATCAGCAAACCCATAAAGCACAAATGAATGGGCCTGAGCCTCACAAGCCTGCGTCACCAACAACGCAGTCTGATATGTGATAACGGGACAAAGGCGTGGGCAGGATATTGACCTCTGAGAGAAGAAGAGGCCCTTTCTATGGACCTTTGTTCACAAATACTTGATAAATTTGGCAAACAAGTTAAAGCTATTTTGAGTCTGATGCATTATCAGCTCTTCATTAGTCTCATATCTGTGGCATGATTCATCTGTGCTCCCGCAGTGAGCATGAAATGTGAAGCAACAGAGTGAAATAAAACGCTCATCTGAATCACATTTGAGTTTTTCTTTTTTTATACTGGACGTGACCAGAAATTATTTTTTGCATCATTTAGAGCTGTGGCAGGTTTGATTCCATAACAGTTGAGGCCAATACAAACAGTGGCTCTGTAACTCAGGGTCTATAGCCGAATAAAAAATACATGTTAACTAGCATCACTATGAGAATAATCGTCACAACATAGTGGAGGTGAAAGGGTATGTGGCTTATGCTGCCACAGATACCATACAGGCTTTGAAGCTTTAAGGAAACTACCATTTCTGCTCTCCTTCGAAACCCATACATACAGCTTAGTTTCACACTACAGAGCTCAAGTTTGGGAAACTCATCACCACAAGGCAGTTATCACAAACTTTTAACTTGAAGCCACTCTGTTTTATGTAATGAGTGCAGTCCTCTGAGAAATCTTAATCTTTATTAAGCCTGTCTAATTTGGATTTAAATTTGCTTCACATATTAGCCTCGACAAGAGTTTTTCTGCTACAGTTGCTGACATTACAGAGAATAAACATGGAACACAGTTGTTGCATAAGCACAAGATTGAGACTCCACATTAAGGAATCTGACAACAAGGGCAACTTTGCATTGAGGGTTTTTAAATTTTTTTTTAGTTTTTAATAAACAATGTTGTTGGGCGACAGTAGCTCAGGAGGGAGCACGGTCATCCAATAACTGGAAGGTTGAAGATTTGATTCCCCCCTATTCTGAGTCTGTACGTTGTGTCCTTGAGCAAGACACTTAACCCACTTTGCTCCCAGTGTGTGTCCTCCACTGGTGTATGATTGTGAGTGTTGTTTAGTGGTGGTTGGAGAGGCCATAGGCACAAACTGGCAGCCATGTTTCCGTCAGTCTGCCCCAGGGCAGCTGTGACTACTAAGGTAGTTTACCACCACCAAGGTGTGACTGTGTGAGTGAATGAATGATGTATCCAATGGAAAGTGCTTTGAGGGTCTCTGATAAAGCGTTATATGAAATCTGATGCATCACTATTATTAAGTGGAAATGCTGACACAGCATTTCCACTGATTGATATTCTCCTATTTCTTTATTATTATTATTATTATTATTATTAAGTGGAAATGCTGACAGGGCATTTCCACTTGTTGATATTCTCCTATTTCTTTATTATTATTATTATTATTATTCTTCCGTACCTTTTTTGGCCCTTTTCAACTCCTTCCCACTTTGTGCTATTTTAACCACACGCAAGAGCGTGTGACGTCACCACTAGACGCGGGCGGAGCCTTTTGGATTCACTCGACCAAGCGTGATTATTTTGGTGCCACGGCCGCAATTTTCACTCCACAGCTATAAAAAATACATCAAAGTGGAGGTACACTCGTCCTGCTTCTCACAAAATAGGTGTGAAGTCATCAAATTGTACAGCTTGCCCAGGAGGTGAGTACATTCCTTAGGAGCCAGAGATTCTGCACTTGTCATGGGCTGTGTGCTTCGATCACACACGCACATGCACACGCACGGGCTCGGCCGCGCGCGCGGGCACACACACACACACACACACACACACACACACACACACACACACACACACACACACACACACACACACACACACACTGTTTTCATGTGTGCATTACTGTCTCTCTGTCAGTAGAAAATACACCCCCAATATCAACTTTCTTTAACTCTATTAACATACTAACTTCTTTTTCTTATACTTCTGCTTTTCTTTTCTATACTTTCTACATTTATACAATTAATTTAACTTAAGCTGTTTCATACTTTCTACATTCAGATGTAGGGCAGTAACTGAAGCAGGGCAATAGATGGTGCTGTTCTGCATTCTCAAGTTACTATGGTTGGATGCTGCAGACTGCAAAAATCTGTTTTACTATTTGTACTTTTAATGGGAACATTGTTACACATTATTTTAAGGCATTTGTTTTTCAAATTCAATTATCCTTATTATCAGTTCTGTTTATTCACATCAATCAGATACGTTTTTCACTTAGGCTATCAGACAATTTGTACATTAATCCAACTAATTTACCTCCAGCTATACTACAATTCTTCCATTCATACAATTTCTTCTTATTCTACTCCACCTTTTCAACAGTTTTTCTGTTCATACCTTCCTCCATTTTTTATTGGCAGTTTTGCATTGCTTTTTCAGCACTCAGCATTTCCACGCATTTTCTGCAAGGAAATGCAATTTTTCTAGTTATTATTGCTAGTATAAGCCAAGCTTACGTGGTTTTTACTGTCAGTCTGAGCCAAACCTACAGCATTTCAGCTGTTGAGGCCCTTAGCTTCTCAGGATTGCACTTGTCATGACTTTGCAGTTTAGCGAAGAAACGTCCAAAATTCAAGTCAACATATTCAAATTCCTATGAGTAATAGCCCAAAGTTTAAATGCTCAAATGCCAGCATAAGACAGAGGTTAAGGAATGAGACAATATGGTGCAGATTGTAGTCTCGTTAGCCAAACTGCTCTACAGGTGTTGTTAATTAGCACACGCCCAGGTGGAGACATTCACAACAGCAACACAAAGAGAAAAGTAAGTCCCTCTGTTTCACTGTTATCCCTCCCTTCTTTTGGTGCCATTTTTCTTTTAATGGGTTATTCATGTTTATATTTTTTTGTATTTAGGCCTGATGGCCAGTAAAATTTTGTGAGTGCTCAAGTTGAATGTTGCCATGATGGTAGCCTACATTGTCTTTTCACTATTGGAGGTACTCAGTGTTATTTAAGAAAACATCATTTGAAGTCTTATTTCAACTTCCTACTTTAGTTTTCAGACATTACATGAACACAAAAGGAGTAATGTCAGGGGAACAAATAAAATGCCTTTAAATATAGTATAAAACAGAACAGGAGGCTGTATTTGTCCAGACTTGGTTGTAAGATGTTGGCTATCTCTTATACATAACCCCAACCCTCCTCTGAAATTCCCATGTTTCCATACAGGGTCACTCCCTCATAGGTTTCACGCTGTTATATTATTTAACAAGAATTCTTTGTTGGCTTTATTTATTTTTTTAATCATCATTGTGTCTTTAAACATGCAGTAGATGGAGGATTTGTCTGTCCAGCACGCCATGGTGTCACTTTTTTGGATTCCTCAGCCATTTGGTCCTTCATATTGTTTTGGTTTCATGTCAAATGAGGATGTTTTTTTAATCTATGTTTTGCTCATATCATTTTGGTTGTTCTCTTTTCTGTTTGTTTTTGTCTTGGTTCTTACATTGTTTTCTTATATAATTTTATCACAGCACCTTGGAACCTGGTTTGAAAAGAGCCATATAGGTATAGTTTTTACATTATCACTTCTGGATCTCAGCGCCGGACCAATATAATTTATTTCTGTCATAAAGCCACACTTGTGTTAGATCAATGTGAAATAATGTACACACAACTTGAGAATTAAGTTGACATTGAATTGGGAGATGATCGAGATAATGGGATCCTGTCAGGAGTCTCAGTTGGTAGTATGACTCTTTTGTCACTGTAGGGGTGAAAGTGTTATCACACTATAAGGTTTTGTGCGAACATTTGGACATCATACGTATGAAAACAATTTGAAACACAGCCAGCAGTTTTGTCCAGACAGAATGCTGAAAAATATGTGATACTTTTCTATCATCTTTTAGATTTGGATCATTTTAATTGTGTAAACATGAAGTCTCAACAACATGGTGGCCTAGTTTTATAACATGATGATATGACGACAGAGGGAGGTGTCATCACTTCTTTTCTACATGCACGGACAGGCCATTGTGTGAGATAACACAAGGTAGACATTGAACTATGACTTCATCATTCACAAGGGAAATTCTCAAGAGTGCTTTCAAGCAGTTGCACCTCGCAGTCATCAGACCTGCGAGCTCGGTACAAGATACACGCCACAAACATGTTGAAACCTTGTGCTGTTCAATATAAAACTAATGTTCTCCCTTTTGAATATTGAGAATTGAAGACATTTACTAAAGTAGAATATGGTTCCTTGACTTAATTTGAATCAGAAACTCAGAAAAATATGTTGAAATATGACCAAAAAAAATTCTAATGTGATATAATTGTATTCTTTTAGGGCTATGAACCCAATTAAAAATTTTCATAACCCCAGATAAGCTGTCTCTTGATCATTAACTTGTGTCTATGAAAACTATATTCACTCAAATTAAATTTCCCCACCACAACAACTTTGGCAGAGGTTATATAAATTTAGCAAGAACAGCACAGGGCACTGAAAAAAAATGTTTTCCTTTTCAACCTCATTCCAGTCGAGATTTCCAAGATAATCTGGGGAATCAGCTTTTCACATACAGGATTTATTTGTTCTAATTCTTCAGCAGAAAGTAGGTTCAGTGAAGGCTGTTTCAACAGGCTGATACCATGAATGTAAATCATAAATTTAAACCAAAATGTTCCTACATTCATACAACTACAGGAGAATAAGAAATGTATTTTAACTAAAAAGGAGATCTATCTGCTCAGGATTATCGTTGAGAACAACTTTCTTGACTTGAACAAGATTTACTCGAGGGTTTTCACAGAAGAGTGTCAGTGGGAGTGTTTATAAAGAATTACCCAATAAAGCGGCTCATAACTAGCTCACCAGTCACCAGCACAAAGTTCAGTGACAAAGTGATGCAAGAAAGTGCAGCCAGAAAGAGTGCATGTTATTTAGTCATCAATACAGAGTGCAGAGCAGCACTTTGAGGACACTTCGGTGAGGACAGGACAGCCCAGCAGCGGGGACAGGTCCACCTTTTTAAAGCTGTAAGATTGTTTCTAGTTTTGTGTCACTTTTATACATTGACTCAAAGCTATTTCTGCTTCTTTTGTGAGTCTGTTTTTAATGTAGCCCCCTCAAAGTGTTGAGGTGTTTCCTTGCTCTTTATGTCTAATGCTATACCGATGTTTCCTCTAATTACAGGTGGATCATCCCTCAGATGGAGTATGCGATGAAGTCCCTCAGCCTTCTGACTCCATCTTCCCTCTCCAAGTAAGAGTGCTCCTCTATCAGACAGGAACATTTCACCCTTTGATTACTGTCAATAGTTTAATGTTATAAAGTTTTACCGATGTGTGTTGTCTCTCTGTCCTCAGATGTGTGACAGCAAGTGTCTCAGCCAGCGCCTCCATGACTCAGCAGTTGCTGGCTGGTCGAGGTTCTCGGCCAAAGCCCTACAGGGTCACTAACGCTGACCGCAGTGTGAAGAAAGGTATCATGGCAGACACACTCAAGGACTTGATGAACAAGGTGAGGAGGACGGAGAGGGTTGAGAGTTAGAGGACGGTGTGAGGTGGTTAAAAGTGAATGATCAGATGGTTATTATTACCTATATGACAGACTGGCCTGTTACTCACTCATTGCAGCGTCATCTGTTTCATCGTGTATGCTTTGAAATCAAGCTGGTGACACATGGGGTGTACATGTTCACACTGCTTCACCTTTGAGTAACACTTCAATAGTCTGACTCACATGATATGTGGCAAATAATAGAGCACGTTATTGTATATGCCCACTCTCTCAGGCCGGCGACTCATTCAGCATACTGTGTGTCAGCACTCTGCTGTTGGATGAAGATGGCACAGGAGTGGACACTGAGGAGTTCTTCCAAACCCTGCCTGAAAACGCTGTCCTCATGGTGCTTGAGGAAGGCCAGAAGTGGACCCCTCATACAGTATGACATGAAACTCTTCAAATTTACCACTAGGTGACACTGTTGATCAGCTGCCTTAACTTAAAGCTGCCCAGTGCAACTCTAAATATTGTAATCAACTACCTTTAGTATACCAATGACTGTTTGATATGATGACTGCACAGAAAGGGGAGAATCTGTTAATTTTATGCTGCTTGCAACTGATACAAAAACACAATAACTGGTAATCAGCAAACTCGGTCTTTTTTCCCTTTTAATAGATGGGAAAATGGTTGATATTATGCAAAAGCAGATTACTAAGTAAACATTGGAGATGAGTTTTGCTTTCTTTAACTTCTGTAAAAAAATCAAGAGCTGGGGTGGGATGCAATGGTCTGATGCATACAGTGAACACTGAAGTAACCTCGCGCCAACTTCACTGTCTGCTGGAGATGCCTGCCTCTGTCTTTGGCACGGTTTTTTGGCTCTAAGGTGCCTCTGTTCACCTCGTTTATGTCTCTCCCCACAGAACAGCCCCCACAAAGATCAGCTCAGCGAGTGCGGCCAACAGCACCGGATGGATGTGGCCAAACTGACCTTCGACCTCTACAAGAACCATCCAAACGATTTCATTGGCTGCTTAAATGTGAAAGCGACCCTGTATGGAGCTTACTCCTTGTCCTACGACCTGCGCTGTTATGCTGCTAAAAATTTGCTGAAGTAAGTGAAATGCTGTGGTTTGACAAATTTATCTGGACTGTTATGTAATCACTGTGTATTTCTACATGATGCCAAATCAAGATCCACTGTCAAAGTTAAATGGAGGTGACAATTGATCAATTCTTATGACTTTCAAACCATGTATCACTTAGAAGTTTCTCTGCCCAAATTACGAACATGTAAAGCCCTAATACATCTATCCAAGTACTCACAGGGTTAGTAAAATACAACCTGTCAGGTTTGTGAAAAACAAAGATGAGTTGTCATACAGATTAGAATGCTTCTATCATCCAATTTACTCAAATGGTGTTTGTCTATGGAGTGTCTTTGTTGGAAACATTTTTCTTTTGACCTCTCACTTTCTTTTGCTTTCTCTCTGTGCACTCTGCCACCAGGGAGGCTTTGCGATGGACCATATTCTCCATGCAGGCTACAGGTCACATCCTCCTGGGCTCCTCCTGTTACATCGAACATCTTCTGGAAGAGGACGAGCAAGCAGAGACGAGCCTCGCTCTGCCACAGGAGAGCAGGATCAGACAGCTGCAGGGGATGCTGCTTGGAAAAATATCCCACTAATGATGGACAAGATTTTCACTCTATGTAGATGAAACAGGTGCTCTTTGCCTGCTCATGTTGTCTATGCAGTTTGCACACTATTGTTCAGAGACACTTTTATGCTGTTACCTTTCATTGCAATATTTGTACATAGAACTTTTTCCACAGAAAGCACTTTTACTCACCGGTGTGCAACTCGATCCTTTGATGACGAATAAATAAAACAAATGATTTTTAGTTTCCTGTTCCTATGAGTCCATTTCAGCTAACAAAGGTCTACAAGTGATCCTGGATTCACAGAATCAGACCATTAAGCTGGTCGTGTGTGTGTGTGTGTGTGTGTGTGTGTGTGTGTGTGTGTGTGTGTGTGTGTGTGTGTGTGTGTGTGTGTGTGTGTGTGTGTGTGTGTGTGTGTGCGTGCGTGCGCCTGTGTGTGCGTGTGGTTCGTCATAGTTAGCGTAATTGGCAATGGGTCCAGCTGTCTCTCCCACGCTTCCTTAATTGTCCCTTGGTCTATACTACACTGTCAGCTGCAGCCTGCCTCTGCCTCAGAAAACCAAAAGAGGAGAGAAGGAAGAGCAAGCAGCTGCAGGGGACAAGAGGTTAGAAACAAACTGTTACAATTGGAGCAAAGATGGGCTTCAGCTACAAGAAGTGCCACTTCTACTATTTTATTTTAGATAGTGGCAACAAAAAGCCGAGGACACACTGACTCCAAATTCATGTGATGATGAATGCTTGAGGCGTAGACAGCAGCGGGTCTAGAGCCTTTGCTGTCCAGCTTGTTTCTTCCCTTCTCTGTTCAGAAAAAATTTGGAACATAAAATCAACAAGCAGTTTTTTTTCTGATAGTTTAAACAACCTAATGAGAGGCACTAAATGGCTCATAACATCAGATTCCTTTTTCTATGCATTAAATGAACAAATTTAGAGAATGCATAATGGTACTACTGACACATTTTTCTTGTTATATTTCCTTTGTATCAAGTGTATATCTCATATGAATGCATGACCTTTAGTTGCACAATGATGTGCACACATAATGTATAGCTGAATGCATACCATGTGCTGTTTCTTTTTGTGTGCTTTGAAATGAGTCATGAGATGCTGAACATTTCCATCTCAAAATGAATGGTAATGGATCACAACCATATAACTCTACCTTTACAATGGTTCTCTCTACTTTTCTTTCCACCCATTTCAAGTGTTCACATCCTCCTGACAAAATCCTCCAACAATGCACCTCTTTCCCTTTTTTTTTGTTAATTATAATTTCCTAAATAATAAATAATTCCTAAATAATGAAGTCATGAGATTGACCCTCTCATCCCTCATCATCCCCTTAGCAATCTAAAAAGAACTCCACAGGATCCTATCGTTCGTTTTTGTAGTTTACTTCCAAAACAAAAAACAAAATGATATACTAGTCCAGCATGACTATATCAAACATACAAGTGCGCAATATACAAAATAAAAGGAGAGAGAGTGAGCGAACGAGCGGGGTCAAAATACTGTGTGGCTCCAATCCATGATGCCTGACGTAACTGCACTCTCGGGGTTAACTATGCACACAAATATCAACATGCATCAAACACTCTTTATGCAATTTTTAAACCTGTAAATATCCATACATATTTTTTTATTAAATGAACTTATCAACATGAATTATCTAACTGTCAAAAATGTAAATTAGTGGAATTTTACCACAATCAACACAAAAATAATTCACTACATAAACTTAAATTAGTGGAATATTGATGAACTCAAAATAGGACCTAGGCTCCTACAGTTAACCTGTAAGTTTGAGCTTGAGGTCACAGATTTATTATGTAGCCATCATAGACTGTATATAGAATGGACAGAGTCTGACTCCTCGCTGGGTGAAGCCACCCCGAGAACAGCACCCTCTGTTGATGGGCTGCAGTATAGGTCATAAATCCTGCCTCCTCCAGCAAAGCTTATGGGGCTGTGGACAAACTTTAGAAAATTTATTACACAGAATATAAATTTTTCACCCCCCTGCTTGCGGTGTTGACATGTAGTTACAATAAGACTGGTTTGTGCTCAAGTCCTTTTTTTTCTGTTCAGCTCCGTTTTTAAAAGTTTTAAGGGGGTTCATGTTTTCTTTGATTGACACCTGATACAGCCTATTGATGTTCAGGGATTGTGTAGCTCACCCGAGGGATACACTGTTTGAGCTGAGTGTCATCACAACCACTCTTGGCGACTCTCGCGCTGAATGCGTACAATGCTACTGCGCAACACTGGTTTCAGGAAATGAGGAAAAATCCTGGAAATACCGAGAGATTTTTGGCTTCAAATCCGTATACAGGCGGGAGGCGGAACCAAGTTGTCCATAGTATATACAGTCTATGGTAGCCATTTGAGGACTCAACTTTAAAAAAAAGTTTCAACATTCAAAAAAGTTTGAATAAGATTGAAACTTCTTACTTCCACACTGACAGCTCTTTAAACCTCTTTGAACACAGGGTAAAAAACCATGGCGCCATCTAGTGCCATGGATCCCGGGACAGTTTACAGTAGCACAAAGGCTTTGAGTATTACTAAAAAGTACATAGATGTCTGCTTGCCTTGGGGTGATCTATATATGAAAGACAAATTTATGTCAGAAGCAAAATTAATCCTCATTGTCCTTTACATTGTAAAAGAATGACTTTTCAGTGACACATACCACCAAAGTTAAGGCCTGGACAAATCCATTTGCCAATATTCAGGGATACTTACAGCACCAGAGCATGGTCACATGATAAGACATGCTCTAACATTTGTGTACTCCTTCTATATTGAAATATTGAAAGACTTTGATAATGCTGTATTCCAGAAATTAAAGTGATCTACACCTCGAGATTCTGTAGGAGTCAGAGTGACACCTACTGGACAGAGGTAATTGACCCTCCCATGTAGCTATACATTGTTCACTCTGCTCAATTGTCATGCCTTGTATTTATTAACAGTCCCAGTCTGATTTACTTAATCAAATTATACCAGACTGTATAAAACATGGAAGTTGTCTCAGTTATGTCATCAACTGGTGTCTGATCTAGATGTCTGAAGCCTATTAGTGGTGGCTGCCATATTGAAAATACTGACTTCACCAAACGTTTAGTCAGGCCTTCAGCTTTGTTGCCAATTGCTTCAGTGTGCCTGTCTGTTAGTCAAGACAGTGCTCCTTATGATGAAAAACTTATCACTAAATATCTTTAAAACTAAAGAGACTAAAAATCTATGATTGACACTTGATACAGCCTATTGGCGTACGAAGATTGCGTAGCTCACCTGGGGCGCTATTTTGTTTCGTAGGATGGAAGGGGAAAGTCCTGCCTCCTTCGCGTCTGATTGGCTGTGAAACGTCATCATACGCTCAAACCAAACACGGGCTGTCGGATCTGTACATCTAACAGAACATTACAGAATATTATCACACTTCTGAATCTCCTAACCCTAATCCTAACCCGACAGATGATGACGTTTTATCATGGCCATAAGGAATAACCAATTGGAACCCAGCACTTCTAGCCAATCAGAGGCGAAGGAGGGCGGGACTTCCCCCCACCATCCTATGAAAAAATCCTGCCAACGGCGTCTGATTGGCTGTGAAACGTCATCACACGCTCAAACCAAACACGGGCTGTCGGATCTGTACACCAAACAGAACATTACAGAACAACATTATCGCACTTCTGACTCTCCTAACCCTAACCCTAACCAGACAGTCGATGGCGTTTCATCATAGCTATAAGGAATAACCAATCAGAGCCCAGCACTTCTAGCCAATCAGACGTGAAGGAGTGTGGGACCTTCCCCTACCATCCTAAAAAAGAAAAATTTGCACCTGGGGGATACGCCGTTTAAGTCGAGCGTCATAACAGCAATTCTCGGTGACTCTCCCGCCGAATGCGCACAATGCTACTGCGCAAGCGATGGAGAGCGTACAACGCTACTGCGCAATGTTGGTTTTAGGAAATGGAGAAAAATCGCGGAATTAACGAGAGTTTTTTGGCTTAAAATCCGTATACTGGCGGAAGGAGGAACCAAGTTGTCCATAGTGTATACAGTCTATGGTTTTAACACTGGAGGTTTTTTTAAGTGTCGTACTCATTGCACCTCTCAATGGTGAGAGCCAGCACTAACTTCAGCAAACAATGTTTTTATACAGTATTTAATCTATTTGTGTCAAACTTAAAGGAGTTTGGCACCGCCCCCTCTTTCAGTCTGTCATTATTCAACCACTTAAGCCATCCAGCAGGAGTCTGAGCTCTACTGATGTGTGTTCATTTATCCATCCTACTGAGTTGTGTTGTTGTGTGTTGCTACTAGTGGAGTTGCTGCTGCTGCTGTTGCTGCTGAGCATGTGCTCTGCTGCGCCTCATGACAGAAGGGAAGCTTTCCTTCTGGACACAGGTTGTGGGCATGGAAAACTGAGCGCACGACTCCGTCTTAAAAGGTAAGAATGCACTTCAGCTTAAAGATTCGCGCATTTATGAAGATACAAGAGATGATTTTAGTGATTTCTGTCTTAAACACATTTTGTTGGTGAGTTATGCAGCAGCTTGACGACCCTTTTGCGCGCAGGTAGCTGATACGAATGCGGATCATGAACTTATCTCCTCAGTTTGGAAAGGCAGTTCTTCATTTTGCGCCAAACAGGTGGGCTCTTACACTACCGAAACCAAGAGAGCTAGTTAAAGTTTTGGAAATGCCTTTGTTGAACTTTTACGCAGCTCATTTAAATCACATTGTATCATTGAATCGTCTCCTACCTTTACAGTCTTGGAAAAACCTTGATGGCGTTTTACGTTGAATTCAGCATGATGTGTGGATATGACAGTGGGTACTTGTGTTGTTTTCGTGCAGTGGCACAGCGAGGTGTGCCGTTTGGCTCACAGAGGTCCAAGAACTATCGATCCAGTGGTGGAATCTGAGTTTTATTAGCATCCATGGGCTGCATGTGGGAGTAGGTGCTTGACACGGTAACGGACTCTGAAGGCTGTGTGGTTCTCCCACGCTCCTCTGGGAGTCCTCACTGCAGTCCACTGGTAACATCATCTCGCTGTGCTTTCTGTGCGTCAACGCCTGACTGTTTTTTTGTTTAAGGTTTGCTTTCAGTGCCAAGAGGCGAAGGGGCCAAACAGTACTGAAAATTTATTTCAAATATCTCAAGTACTTCTCCCAATTTTCTCCAAAGCTCATAGAAATTATGACTAACTCTCTGTGCTCATGGTTTTCATGAGAAATTCATAGAAATCAACTTAAATTCAGTTATTTGAATAACATTGTGTTGAGGGGGACAAGTATAAAGCAGAGGAAATACAACATGTAGGAATGGTGCCTTGTAATTGAGAAGCACTCCGTGTTTTACCCTGAAAGAATTTCCTGCTTACTTTGATATATTTCCCCCTAAATTTGGGTGTACCAAACCAGTCACTGTTTATCTACCCAATGTAATGGGTGAAGAAGTAACTTTAAAATGAAATATGCTAATTGTCTGCTTTCAGTTTGTTATCTTTACTAGCTGGTTTTCATATTCATTGGCTGTAATTCCAACCCTTGTTCTGGTCCTGAACAGTTGATTTCTACACAAAGTCAACACCACCTTTCACTGTTTCTTCCCAACTCTGACTTTAGCCCGTGTACATCTAAAATGGGCTATTTTACACATCCTGTGTTAGGCATTTTCTCCCAAAGAACGTTTGTGTCACAGTGAACAAAAACCAAACAGAGACACAAACTAAAGGAAAAATGAAGACTGTAAAAGTGAAACTAAATGCCGTTTTACTCGGCAGGCGAGATGAGGAGTAACAGAAACAGGGAGGGGGTTGGATGAGAGAATGTGGAGGTGGAGGAAAGCAAAGTGAAAAAGGGAGAAGTCTTGATGAAAGTGTTGGGGTCTGAGCTGTGTCTCCTCACTGCTGTGCCTGTGTTCTCCTGTGGACGGCTTTGATAGTGAACATAAAGAAAGGCAAATCCTGCTGAACACACACAGACAGACAGATAGACAGTGTCTTTATGTAAGACAAGGTACATATTCATCCCTGCCCTGTCTTGCTGGCTCCGGTTCACAACTAAATTGATAGATTTTCTGCTAATTGTCTCCTCCTGTCGTTAAGTAAACTCATCAATTATCACTAATTGGCCTTTTATGCAGAATCTGTCAGCTGTCACCTGCAAAGTACATCTTTATTTCTGTCTCTATTTCTTCTTTCCCACCCTTTTTTCTTTCCTCTCTCCTCGCCATACTCGGGTTTTCAATAGCTATATTTTTCTGGGCAATAAATAATTCAGGTAACAGGACATCACAAAGGACCTTAGCGAGAGCCAAGGTGCTTCGCTCAAACTGAATTGCTTGGTGTTCGTAGATTCTGTCTGAATAATGGATTTGTTTCCCAATACTGAGTGTACTCTGGTCAATGGATAAGGTGGGAGTAGGTGCACTCTCGGTTAACTCTCAGATTTGTCCTTGTCCTCATTTAAAGATATTCATTCATAAATTAAAAATGAGCCTCCAAAAAGGCAAGGTTTGCCTCCCACTCACTGTATTTTTTCCATAAAAGCACTGTCTTTTCCTTCATATTCCTTCTTTTCACCTCTGTTATGAAACAAGCCAATATATTTATGACTTGGACTCAAATGATAATTGAATTTCTGCAGAGAAGTGCATAGACACCGCTTTAACAAAGGCCACAATTAAGGGCTATAAACTCCCTGGACAGTAAGTCAATAAACCAATCAGAGGGAAGCAGACCCTTGACCCTTCCTGTGATTTCCATGTTTTATCTCAGTGCTCACTCTGTGGCCAGTGTGAATGGCTGCTTTCTGTTGGTAAGATTTGATTTTTGTACAAAGAATCATGTATGTTGTATTAACTAGAGCCAGAAAAGTGAGTCACGGAACAAAGTCTTGAGTATTTGAAGAGCCCCAATCAGTCTGTGAAATTGGAGTGCGTTTTGATTTTCTGGCAGGGCATTATGATCTCAGGGATAAATCAACTGTATTGCCCCAGTGAAAGAAGAATACCACAGACTTAATCATGGTAATGTCACAACATACAAGTCGGCATAGAGAGCGTTACCAGCCTTGTGCAGCTCAAGGAGTCTGTGCATTCAGTGAAAGTTTGTCAGTGTAGCTTGTTTACGTTAGCACTGATCTGCAAAGAGATATTTGATTTCTTTCAAGTAAATGTAAATTTACCTTGAATTTAATTAAATTAACTTACCAAAAACCTACCAAGGTTGATTGATTAGGGTGAAGGCTTCCATATCAGGTGTGTTACACTCACAGTTCTGCAATACTGACGAACACTACCAACAAAACCCCAACCCAGTGTTGGGCATGCTGCTGGAAATATAGGTGTTAGACTGTATATTCACAGTTACTCCCACTGAAAAGTAGCTAACCCTCTAACTATAGTATAAAATCAACACATTGCCTAAGAAGGTATTTTTTATCATTACTTTTTTTGCTTCAGTACCCCTGTTTATGTACCCTGCCTCCCATCCGAACAGTATTTTGCTAATTAGTTCTCTGACTCAGATTATGGGAAACATTTCTTTAGTAATGTACTTTGCAATTAGTTTGTTGATGATGGTGATTTACAATCAAATCCTAGCTGTTTGGATGGAGTGGCTCCATCTTGGTCTGCTGAGCTATCACGAGCGGCACCTGCGTTTTAAGTGGTTTCAGGCTCTCTGGACAGCTAGCTCGCAGGCTCTTTATGATTGGATTAAGCTGATCAGCAAAGTGAGAGAAAATATGGGGAGGAGAGAGCACGGGAAGAGACGTGGCAAAAGGTCAAAACTGACCAACTACTGCAATGAGTTCAGCAGCTTTTGTACATGGGGTGCATGCTGTAACCAGTGAACTCCTCTGGCACCGCAGCATCTGACCGTTTGAATACATTTGCATTTTTATAACACTTGACATGCTAGGGCTGGGCGATAAAATGATAACGATAAACATCAAAAAATAATTTCCCTCAATATCGATATAAAACATGGTCAATATGCTTTTCGATAGTAGGCATTCTGCCATGTTTTGGTGGACTATACGAATATCCGATGAAAAGAGGACTTGCTCTGGGTCTGCTTTGCGCTGAACCAATCATGTGCTGAATTAAAACCAAGTAGCAAACAACTGCGTAGTAGCAGGCTGCAGCTACACGCAACCATAGCACTTTGACACGAGAAGCCAACAGCACTGTTGGTTAGAAAAAAAGAAAATGAGTGCTACCCCCGCCAGAAATGCAGATGAAGGCTCAACAGATGATGACATAGTCGACAACACTAGCGCGAAAACGTCAGTGGTGTGGAGATATTTTGGTTTTTTGAAGTCGGACATGAAGCAGAGTAATGTGCACTGCAAATTATGTCGAGAACATGTTTTCGCAAAGTTGGAGAATAACTCAAATCTTTTTCACCACCTGAAGCAGTGCCACGTGGCAGAGCACGCACAATAAAAAAAAGTTTACAAACCCCAAGAAGCTCATGGTGCCTGTGTAGCCAAAACAACTGACCATTCAGTCGGCTTTCTCTCGCACAACACCTTAGGACAAAACGTCAAAGAGACACAAAGACCTCACAGATGCAGTAGTTTATTGTGTTGCAAAAGACATGCTACCAATAAGCACTGTTAAATTTCATTTTTTATATCATGATATATATCGATATCGACTGATATGAAAAAAATGTATCATGATAAACTTTTTCCCATATCACCCAGCCCTATGACACACTAATGCTAAATTTGCTGTTGAGTACTTGAAGGTCAAAATCAAGAGTTTTTGTGCTCAAGACGTACAAACAGCAGGGCGTGAGACTCAGTTGGGAATTCTGAATGCAACCGCTGCTTTTCTTACATTTCATCTGCTGGCAGAACAGAATAAACTGTAACATTAACAAGCCTGTAATATGCTTCAGGGCTGCTTTGAATGAGACTTCTCTGTTCCATGTATTCATCTCCAGCTCCAGGACCCCTCAGACTCAGCATGTATCCTGCTGTATGACTGTGTGTGTTTGTGTGTGTATGAGCATAGTGCTAGAAGTGTGTCTCTCTCTCCAACTGTGCTGAAGATGAGCAGTGGCCTGCGAGTGTTTTGCTCTGACATGACATTTTGTCTCCATCATGGAGCAGCGACTGGAGAAAGCGCTCACAAACAGCTTGATGTCTCAACAGGGAGTCCGTTTACACACATGGACAAACACACACATACACACAGACACAAACAGGCTGGTGTGTGATTAAGTTAAAGAGGGAGTGAACATGCTCTTTGTCTTCATGTAGGGTCCAGCCTGTGTTGCTGATCCTGCCTCACACTCACACACTGGCGTGCTGAAGTTTTTTTATTTTTGGGAGTTTTTTTTATCCTGTAATAGTGAATGCAACCCCCCCCCAAAAAAAAACAAAACAAAACAAAAAAAGAACTTTTAAGTTTTAGATCATTACTTAAGGGGATTAGGGCCACATAAAGAGAAAAAAAATTACAGGAACAAGATTAAAGTCGAAATTTTGAGATTAAAATTGAAATACGAGATTATAAACTGGAAATTATGTCTATGAAGTCGAAATTTCGAGGTTAAAAATTGAAATTTCATGAAAAAAATGAAATTTCGAGATTAAAGTCGAAATTGCAAGATTAAAGTCAATGCAAATAAAGAAGAGATTTCATGAATAAAGTAGTAATGTTGAGATTAATGATAATGAATCAACAGCATTGTCGCTCGTCACTCGACAAAAGGTCCTCTGAAGAACAGTTTATACTGTACTTTGGAATTGAATTAAGCAACAATGAAATCCTTCCCCCTTTAGCACACAAACACAGTGTGGTCATAAGTATTCAGACTCTGAAAAGACTGGGCCGGGGATTCCTGCTCTCCGTATCCACTACAAAATTTGTCTCACAAACAGATCCGGTAGGAATTGGCATACAGCGAAAATCGTTGCCGTTCCGGATGCAGTGGAAATCCTGGGTGAAGCGCAGGCAATACCGAAGCCGAGGACCCAATGTGCTCTGGCACATGGATGGCTACGACAAGCCATACAGCATTTCATTTCGACTTTTTTAAATTTCGACTTTAATCTTGAAATTTCGACCCTAATCTCGAAATTGAAATTAGAAAAAGTCAACCTCCTGTAATTATTTTTTTCTCTTCTTGTGGCCCTAATCCATTTTCATAAATAATCGTTCACACTTAATACACAACACAAATAAGTTTGAGCATCAAACCCATACCTTGATCAGTAACTTTTTTCTTGTCCTGCCGATGTAGTGACATCTTGACTTTCAACAGCACAACATCACAGAAACAACATACTTTCTTCACAGCCTGCCTCGCTTGAGATGACAGTCTGATTCGATTTTCATGCACCTTACTGCATAACTTTGCATGTTAATGAAGAAAAAAAAACAGATTTATTTCAAACTACTCCTGAGCCTGTGATGCTTTATGGAGATCTTGTCAGTGCCAGTGTGTTATCTAAAGAGACATGTCTGCGTATGCTGGCCGATTAACGCCTTGTTCCAGCTTAATGACACACCCTAACTAATGATTGAAGTTATTAGTGACTCCTGCCTGTCGTCCTACACTCTCGATAAAATAAAAATGGAGATAGAAATACTTCAAAACGCATGAAGAAATGCACACATGAAAATCCCTCCCTCCCCCACTAAAAGTGTCCCTTTTACTTTTTATACACGTTCTTCTGCCTGTCTATCTTCACACTATAGAATCTCATTTTGACAACCTATTACATCAGGTTGTCTCACAGGAACAGCAGGATTATCTCCTCTCCCATACATCTTTTAATCTTTCTGCTGCTGCTTCTGGGAAATACTGATGTGACTATAGCTGTTCAATTATACATGCCATACAGTCTCCTGTCACATATTCTCTGTATTCCTGGCCCCTGAGGGGAAAGGTTGTGAAGCATGTTTTAGATGTGTGTGGAAAGTGAAAGCTCTGGATGTGGTGCACCAATGTGAGCATTAACCCTCAGTTTCTCAGGCATTGATTGAATGTTGGATGGAAAAAAACATCTCTGGTGTCCGAGAGTTTTATTATTTGTACATCTACAAAGTGTTTTGACCAAGACTTCCCGTGGTGCTTCAGCCTGCTTTGACTTCTTATATTTTGTAGACTTGTTGCATGTAAGTTGATTCACCAGCAAGATCAATCATGAAAACTGACACTGAATGAGGATTTTATTTTTCATATACAGTATGTCAACAATGCAGTTTCTACCACAAGGCTACTAAATCACTGCAAAACAGTATTGTCTTAACTTATGAATCTGAAAAACTCTTATTAATTTAAGGTCACTGCAAATTCATATCCTGCCATAAATACTAGGGTATTAGGAATTCCACAAGATAAATGTTTGGTAAAGACAAAATTAATAATCATGATGTTGATCAAATGATTTAAGTCTGAACTCCTATCACAAAAAGACAAACAAACCCCTACCAGTCCTGAAACATAGTTCAGCCTTGCATAGGGCTGGGTGATATGGGAAAAAGTTTATCACAATATATATTTTTTCATATCTATATATATATCATCATATAAAACATGAAATTTAACAGTGCTTATTGGTAGCATGTCTTTTACAATACAATAAGCTACTGCATCTGTGAGGTCTTTGTGTCTCTGACGTTTTGTCCTAAGGCGTTGCGCTAGAGAAAGTGGAATGAATGGTCAGCTGTTTCGGCTGCACAAGCGCCATGGGCTCCTTGCTCTGCATGGGGTTTGTAACCTTTTGCATTGCGTGTGTTCTGCCACGTGGCACTGCTTCAGGTGGTGAAAAGATTTGAGCTATTCTCTGACTTTGCAAGAACATGTTCTCGACATAATTTGTTGAGTGCACATTACTCTGCTTCATGTCCGACCTCAAAAAACCAAAATACCTCCACACCACCAATGTTTTCGTGCCAGTGTTGTTGACGACGTCGTCATCTGTTGAGCCTTGATCTGCATTTCTGTCGGGGGGAGCTCTCATTTTCTTTTTTTCTTACTAACAGTGCTGTTTGGCTTCACGTGTTAAAGTGCTATGGTTGTGTGTAGCTGCAGCCTGCTACTACGCAGTTGTTTGCTACTTGGTTCTAATTCAGCACATGATTGGTTCAGCGTGAAGCAGACCCAGAGCAACTCCCCTTTTTATTGGCTATTCATATAGTCTACCAAAACATGACAGAATGCCAACTATCAAATAGGATATTGACCATGTTTTATATTGATATTGAGGGAAATTAATTTTCGTTAGATATCGTTATTGTTTTATCACCCAGCCCTAGCCCCACAACAAGATGATGGAGAACAAGGGAGAGAAAGTTGGAGAAAGACAAGAAAGTCTTTTTAAGCTACTATTTTTATCATTTTAAATGTTTACCAGATCGCTGGAACAAGACACAAAAGTATCCTGGCACGACTTAAACTCTCAAACCTTAACACATTTTTAAAGATCTAAATGTCATGTATGTGCCACGGTGCATGCATGTCATCATGCACAGATTTGATGCAGAATGGACTCATGCAAGTGCAAGGTCTATTATGGCTTTAGAGCAAGAGTGCTTTTTCCTTTAACGGATCGTCAGATATTTCTCCCAAAGAGAGAGAGTGTTCACGGTAGTTTAGGCAGGTGTTGCTAAGACGGTTTGAGGATTGATTTAATGCATCTCCTTGATCTTACTGGCTCTTAATATGTTTAGGTCTAAGTGACGTAATTTGTTCAGGGTTAGAGAAGGTCACTCTCACAGCATCACCTGCAGAAGTCCCTGGTGAGCTTCTTCCACTCACAGGTGAATTAATTAGGAAGCCATCTTTGAAGCTACACTTGTTTGCACATTTGATGCTTCTGACTTAAAGCTACTCCATCAAAGTGGTTGTTAGAAGCATTAGAAGTCCAACTTGACCCAGCCTTGATGTGAGCAAGACTCTTGGCTCTTCAAAGATGGAGAGCGTCTTTACACTCTGCCTGTAGAAACAGGACAGTGTCAAACACGGCAAGGGCAGTCACGGTGCACTGTGGGTCACAGCAAGGTTTTATTGATTGGTTTTCCACATGTCTGCTTCACATGGATGTCCATGTGACTCCACCTTTCATTTTATAGAGAACCAGTTGAAGTGAACTCATAACTCTGAAAATGTATGTCGCTCAAATCCCCATTAGCTGCTGGACCATTCTACCACTGGATTGCTTTTTACAATTTTGGGAAAGAAATCTGCCCCCTTCCTCCTGTGCTGAGCAGCAGACCCGTGCAGTCATCATGCAGCTTTTCACTCAGGCAATCATAAGCACAGTCTTCTGGGACTGATGTGGTCTGTTGGGGACCAGAGGCAACCAGGAAACAGGCAGAGGCTCAGGGGGGGATGACGTAAGACTCAATCAGCAAAAAAAGCTCCCACCTCTGCTCCGTGGGGCATCTTGTTTACCAGAGCGGCTGGCTAAGTCCTCTTTCAGCTTCCTCCCCATCAGGCTTGTAGTCTGTTACTACTTTTACTGAACATCTTAACTTCCAGTTAATACCTGTCCTCCTTTTTTATAACAAGAGTCCACTACTTCTGTCCATTTAAATTTCTCCATCCTCTATCCAAACATCTCCTCTGCTTCTTTCCTTCTTATCTGTACTCCTGGTTGCAATCAGACAGTCCGCTCACGATCCAACCAGCTGGAAACCTGCAACCTGAGCCGGGCTAAGAGGCTTCAGGGCTGCACTCGAGCACGCTTTCAATTCTACACAGTTCCCTTTTATTTTTTGCTGTTGCACAGTTTTTCTCCACTTTCCTCTGCCCCTCAGATATTTGTCCTCGCATAACCTTTCTGTATTAATTACAGATTTCAACAAGGCATTTATAAACAGTTGTTTTTGTTTGTTTTTGTGCTCTAGTGCTTGTCTCCATTGAGTTAATTTTTGACTTTTAATTTTTGAAAACAGAATAAAGAGGATCATTTTTCATTTTCCTCCACATACTGCTCTTGACAGAAAGAAGAATAAGGACACGGACAAAAACCAAGACGACATTGTTGTTTTTATCAGTAGAAGACCAAGCTTCATGAGCCCGTTAGAGAAATATCTTTAGTTTCATCAACAGCTTGTTTGCACACATCTCAAACATTTAGTTTGCTGATGATTTTGATCTCTTTACTTCTAATTTAGGATGAAAATGAAAAGAAACCTGCCCTCCACTAGGCTAAACACAGAGAACGGATCAAAAACCCTGGTGCTATCATTGATTCTAATCTGAGTTTTAATGTCACACAGGAAAAGGTGACTTAAATGCCAAATGTTTTCATATCAAGAGATGATGCTCCTTCTTATCTCCAGCAGATATTGTATTTTCCTTCAAACAGGACAAGATCTGAAGAAAACCAGACAGAGAGGTCAAATTGCTCCAATCACTGCTTTCGGGCAAATACTTTGTATCTCCAAGTTCTTTACATAACCAAAACACAAGCTTTAAAATAACCCATTTTTTTAAATAAATGTTTAAAAGCATATTGACAGGCTTACAGGGAGATCAGTATAACTTTGATTAATGCAAAAAACATAAAATTAGTTATATGGCAATACAAGGTTTCTGTCTGTCAGTGATGATTAGTTTTGTCTACTGATGAATTAATTTGTCTTATCTGTCTGGTTTTGGCAAGGAAAGTTTAATTATAAAACACCATTTATACATGGAGCAATTAAAAGCAGGTTACAGAGGTAAAAACTAAATAATAACAGAGACATCAGTGAAGTGAAATGCAATACTGAGCGAAAATAAAATATTAAAGCATTAAACTTATTAAATTATAAAGAAAGAAATATGACATTGAGCAAAAATAATTAAAAGTATTCACGTTGCCCAACTTTGGTCATTTGCTGCAAATAACCTTGATTCCCTTTTTCTGACTATTTCTTCACTTCAGGCATTTTTATCTAAGCTTGCTTACCTTTGTGTAAAACCAGTTTAGATATATCTTGCTATAATTCTTTACCATAAAAGTGCAGATTTTGGGCGTATTTTTCACACATTGTGTCTGCTTTCAAATAAACACATCAATTGTTAATAATTTGCCAGTTTTGCAGTTTTTTACAGTTTTTACAGTTTTTATTTATTTATTTTTATCTCAGCAGGAATCTGATTTTCAACACAGATTGGTATGTAGACATTTGCTCCTCGGTAGGCCGTCTCAGAGTTTCTAACATGTTGAAGCTCTCTATATTGTAGTTATAAGACTTTAAACTCATCAACTTTACCATTTCTCTACTATTGCCAAACAGGTGTCTGACGCGTCAGTACCACAGCACCTGTGTCCTCATTAATATAGACCCTTGTGGTGTAGTTGTCTTGGCAACAGAAACAGGAAAAACCTGAGAGAGTCCATCACTCAACTGGATGTGTTGTCACCAGAGCGAAGTTGTGCAGATGATAGTTGAGATCTGATTTGTTGATGTTCTTGTTGTTTGGTCCCCGTTTTTTTTTTTTTTTTTTTCGGTTTTACTCTCCATGTAGAAACCCAATGGTCTATTCAACAGAGAGGAAGCTGTGATTTTAATCACTCAATTGATTTCCCGCAGGTGCAATCACCGTCTAATCAATGAGAGACACTGCTTTACACTCAACCTTTAATCTTCTGGATGTCAATACAACCGAGAGATACTCTCTTAGTGCATACCAATACCAGCAGGCTCTGTGTTACTGCTGCCACAGATAACTGTAGTAAGTGTGACACTAAATAAGAAGACCATGCTTCACCACCTGTTAAGATAGGAACACTGAAGTGTAGTGTTTTCATCAGGAAATTTCTGTTCAGCATGTAGAGTGTTTCTGAGACTGTTTCAATCGCACCAAACCTGATCCCCAGCACCAAAATCAAGTCAATACCTGGATCATCATCATACTCAAGAACTGCCAAAAGTATCTATAGGCCAGCGAAAACCCTGAAAAACAATAACTGTAAGTCAGAGCTTTCCAGTTCTCCCAAACACAGACTAAAAATATGTTGTCTAGAGGTGGGAATCACTCCTGTTTTTGCGATACTTGGGCCATGATACAATATTATTGCATTTTTTAACATTTTGCGATACAGCGAGTATTGCGATAAAATATATTGCGAGTTATACATTTTTTCAACTGCTAATTTTGCATTTGGCTTTCCTTTATGTTTGTCTTTTTTACACAGTTTTTTATTTTCATGTCGAACATCTTGGAAACCTTGTATATATTTGTTGTACTAACTTTCTCCTGCTCTATGATGTCACCTCTGCCAACCTCACTTGACAAACAGTTGGTTTTATTTTTCCATTATCAGAGATTTGACTTCATATTAACAATTAATTTGAAAAAAATCGATACTTGGTAAATGAGATGACATGATATATCACCAGACAAAATATCGCAATAGTATACCATATTAAGTTTTTTTCCCGCCCCTAATTTTGTCTAAAGGTTATTTTAGATATTTTATCCTGCTGATTCAAATTTTAAAAAGTGAGTCATGCTTATTGTGAGAAACAGAAGATCACTTCACACTATCAAAGTGTCTTCACATAGTGAATCTGCTGTCCATGTCCATATTGTCATTGAATACTCCTGACCAATACAAATAAAATTGCAGGTGCTACATGTTCTTTTTCAGAGTCTTAAATCTTTTTTGGTAAATGAGCTCATTTCCTTTCAGATGTTAATAATGTTTGCACAGGTTCTCATTGGTATAAAGATCAAAAAGGTGGTTACAAAAAAATAGCTGGGCTTATTAAAAACTTAAAGAAACAGCTACTACCAAAAACTACAATACCGTTACTTTTTGCCCTTAGAGACTTATTAGAGAATTTAATCTACTTGGTTTCACTCCAAAAGAAAATATCTTCAAACATCCAAAAGTCTGATTTCATTTTAATTGTAGGGAATAAGACATTTTCTAGTGAGCATATGGCACCCTATACTGGCAATGATGAAGTGTTATCAATATGTTTTCTGGGTATTCAGATTGAGCGTGAGCTTTTGTGGGGAAAACAGGTTGGCTTTGTCTGCAGAAAGATCACTTAATCTCTTGGGTTTTGAATAAAAACTAAGGGTCTTTTTAAAAAAAAAAAATACAAGCATGTCACACTATGGAGATTTTCACTTTATTAGTCAAGAACAAAAACTGCCGAACATTAATCACAATCAATCAGACACAAGAGACCTTACGTTATTCCTGTTTTTTTTTTTTAAGTATAATGCTTGTTTTCATTCATAAAGGTTTTTTTCTTTTTTTTCTTTTATAATTGCACATCATCTGTTTACTCTGATATTTGTTTTTTTCTTGTACAATCCCGTGTGTTTTCTCAACAAAGTTGCATATTGGGATCTTAAAAAGTACCTTTAAGTTTGGCTGAAACGAGCTGCTTCCCCCCTGACTCTTGCCACTCTTGTTACACAAAGTTAAACTCCTCCTGCACTCTTTAGTTTAACCACATTTCTGAAATAAGATTAATAATTATTTTAATGTGTTTAATGTGCTTTATTAGAACTAAAAGAAGTTTTGTCTGCAAGATAAATGTGAGTTAGAGGGTATTTTGTTTATATAATCATAATCAGATCAAAGTTTTAGTTATTTTGTCAAAGAGTTTTAGAAAACAAATCCACTGTTTAGAAAATCCCTCAGACACTTTCCAGATACTTTTTGTAGAAGGTATTTTTAATAAATCCCATCATCTGCCTCATCTGGCAGAGCAGTGATCGTGACCAGCCTCTGTTATTCTCCGGATGCTGTTTTTACTGATCCACTGAGAGAGCGCTGTTGATACCCTGCCAGTCTGATAACTGAGATTCAATTAATTTGCTTGTTCTCGTGAGCTCCGGCCCGCAGCAGTGATGGCCTGTTGTGGCAGGCTGCAGTTCTGACAGCTTGTGAGCAGGTTTAAGGCTGAAACTGCGCCAAAATAGAAATGAGAGATTCTGAAAGGAGACGGATTGACGGCTCGATTGATGTAAAATGCAGCACCCAGTATATAATACTATATATAATACTGGCTGCTTTTCTGACTTGCAGTCCATACTCAGGTTGACATTTGTGACGTTTGATAAGACTGAAAACCTCTTTTGATTCTCATTTTGTCAATTTCTTAACTGCGTTGTGCTCCTGTCTCCCCAGAGCTGTTTTTCATCCCTGCATCATGGACGCTCAGCCTGGTGCATCATGGGGGCTCATCAACAGACTGACAGACACAATATATGAGGGCTGAGAGGTCGTCATGGAGACTGATAGCTACACCATGAGTCCTGCCACCAAGGGCTGGGTTGGGTCAGTGGCCAGCCTGGAGGGACTGGGAGTCCCACTGGACCAGGACGGGGGGGACTCGACCAGTAGTCCCATGTCCTGGTACATGCCGTACTCTCTGGGTTTCCAGGTGTCACTCACCGCCTTCCTCATGTTGGAGCTGGTGTTGGGTTTTAGCAGTAACCTGACGGTATTGGTGCTTTACTGCTCTCAATCCAACTTAGTGGACTCTGTGAGCAACATGGTGACGGTGAATCTGCATGTGCTGGATGTGGCGGTTTGTGTGCTGTGTCTGCCGCTTACTCTGGTGGTCGTGCTGCTGCCTCCAGGACCAAACCTGGGCCTGCTCTGCTGCTTCCATGAGGCCTGTGTCACCTTTGCCAGCATTGCCACAGCTATCAACATCCTAGTCATCAGTTTGGACCGGTATGACATCTCAGTACGGCCCGCAAACAGGCTGCTGACCACACGTAGAGCAACACTGCTCCTGGCTGCTGTTTGGGTCACCTCTGTGGCTGTATTTTTTATTCCTTTCTTGGAGGTGCAGTGGTATGAGAAAGATGGAGCAGATGAGAAAGGACAGGAGACATCCCAGCCTCTTCGTGGCTTCAGTGCCACAGTGGTGCCAGCATGGCACAACCGGACTCTGCTGTGTGTTGGTGGGCAGGGTTACCACACGAGCCTGGGCATGTATTACCATCTCCTCCTGCAGGTACCAATCTTCTTTACCACAGTGGCAGTCATGCTGTTCACCTATTCCAAAATACTAAGGGCTCTGAATATCCGGATTGGTTCTCACATGAAAAAGAACCAGCGGTTCAGAGGCCCCTCCTGCCAGGGGCACCACAAGAAAGAGAAAAAGAAGAAGGCAGGGCTCAGAATGAACGATGATGGGCAAGTACGAGGAGAGCAATGCACAGTGGATAGTACCAAACAGCTCAGCCATCCTCCTCTCATCCCCTCACCTTCCCCCACCCCCACAGCTACCTCCCCTCCTGCCCTGTCCTCCACTGCCCCATTAATGACCTCAGATTTAGGTGCTGCCACCCCTTTGCCCACCACCATGGGTGTCCATGCCTCTGTGTCAGCCATCATTGCCCTGAGGCGGGCAGTGCGTAGGCACAGGGATCGCAGGGAGCGGCAGAGGCGGGTGTTCAGGATTTCCCTCATCATTATCAGCACCTACCTGGGTTGTTGGGCTCCCCTCTCTGCAACAAATGTACTGATCCTGGGCCTCGGCCCCAGCGACACCCTGGTCAGTGTGCGACTCTGGTTCCTGGCCCTGGCTTATGGCACCACTGTGTCCCACCCTCTGCTCTATGCCTTCACCCGGCAGAAGTTGCGCCGTGCCCTTCGTTCAAAAGTCAAGAAGAGAGTGGTCTCCTTGCTGCAGGTAGATCCCTCACCGGGGGGCACAGTCATTCACAACTCCTGGGTGGAGAACAGAAAAACAAGCCGGCAGGTGCGGCTGGAAGCAAGTGAAGGGACTGACCGCTGCCTGGCAGAGGTCCTGTGAGACTGACTCACATGAGCACAGCGATAATAATTAAAATCCAGAAATGAGTCACAGGTGCGTTCCATTATGAAACCCACTGGTGCATAAAGCAAGTATATGGAATGTGAACAACACATTTCTACCTCTGGGAGATGTTTTAATAAAACCAGCAGCATGATAATGCTTAACACAGCTAACATTCACCTCAGGCAGCAGTGAGCTGTTATCACTGTGGTGAGCACAGCCCTTAATTGACATGACCATACAGAAATTAAACAAAAGTGTAAATAATTCACACTCTGCCGTGTAGGGAAGTCTGTTTACATGTGGAGTTGTATAATAAAGCACTTCTCACAGCAGTGCTTATCTAACAACTCCAAAGAATGTGTTTAGCAGCATGTGATCTGCAACAGGCACAAATGCTCCAAGGCAGCTTTACAGAAATATCGTCTTATACACTTGTATACTTCTGGTATTCATCTCTAGAAACACTTTGTTTAATGTGTATAATATTGTCTCTGCCTTAATTCTGCTTTGAAAGCTTCACTAGATATCAGGTAATGTATTCAAAACCTAAGTATGAACGTGTTGGATCCACCACAGTGAGCAGTAGGAGATATAAATCGGTTTGGGAGACTTTGTCCCATTAGACAGTTAAATGTTGCTGTAATTTAAAATACAATTTTGCTTTGGAGAAGTTACAATTAAAAAGTTAATGTTATTGTGTCAAAGCTCCTTCGTAGACGTGTGTCCTGTTTCCTTTATTTCTAAAAGGATGTCAGTTCACTCTGATGTTGTGCTTGTCCTGCATGTAAAAAAAGTTCGACTAATGTTGAAAAAAATTACTTGAACATTTGAAGGAATAGGCTCATATACTTTCTTGCTGAAAATAAAAAATATCAATACATGATAGTGATGTCCAGATGGCAAATATGGAGCTTTGGTCAAAACGCTAAGCTTTGCACCACACAATTAAAAAACCAGGATACAGCAGCTGAAATGGATGAAACAAACAGTAAATGTTTTCTTTCAAAGCCAGTCCAATAGTTTTACTTTTTCAACTTGTTATGTGAGGCAAAGTACTAATTAGTTTCTGACGTAAGTCTTATATTACAATGTAATTTAGCTGAGATTATAGAGATCAGAGCACTAGCAAACATCTGACCTGTGCAAGAAGACAAATGATCAACCGAATTTTGGAAAGCTAGTTGTAGTGGCACTTGAAAGTGAACATGAGACAAAAAAAGAAAACTTTTCATTATGCAGTACGGTCCATTGCCAAAATCTGTCGTCTCAAAAAATACAAAATTACGGCATAACACTCAGCATCTGAGAGAGTATTTATCACACTGGTCTTCTGTTTTTGGGCTACATTATCAAAGATGTCTTGGTGGTTCAGTTAGAGCAGTGGTTCTCAATCCAGTCCTCGAGCCCCCCCTGTCCTGCATGTTTTGGATGTTTCCCTGCTCCAACACACCTGATTCAAATGATCAGCTCGTTATTAAGCCATTACAGAGCTTGATAAAGAGCTGATCATTTGAATCAGGTGTGTTGGAGCAGGGAAACATCCAAAACATGCAGGACAGTGGACCTCGAGGACTGGACTTGAGAACCACTGAGTTAGAGGCTTATGCTGAAAGCATATTGTCTTTTGAAAACATGTATGTATATGCTGTAAATACTGACTAGAAGTAGAGTTAGTACTCAAGAGATTTATTGGTCTGTGAGGTTTACATGGGCCAACTAAACTTTTGTATCCAGTAAACACTAGATGGACAACCCTACTTGATGGAAACACTGACAGAAAGGTGTTGACTTTGTTCTACCTGGTTTTATGTTCACCGCTTTGATTCGGCACCAAGAGTAAAGCTTATTTCAGAAGAAATGTGAATTTTAATCACATAGACATGCACAAAAAAAAACCAAAAACGTTTTAGAATGTCAACACACTTAAAAGGTATATTACTGTAATTAATGTACACCAGCAACATGTTATATTAGTTTTTTTTTTATGGTGGTGTTTTATGTGAATGTATCACCATGCAGCACTGGAGTGTGTAAATAAATATACCATACTAAGACCTGGATGTAGCTTCATTTCTTCTGTGTCTGTGTGATTTGGTAGGGGGCTGTCAGCTCTGATGTATTACATCGTGTATTTCTGACCACAACGCCTGAGGCCTGAAATTCCCCTGGACTCTATGAAGCTAAAAGCCTTGGCTCTGGGTGCAGCTGTGATAACTGCCTTTTTTCCATTAAGGAATTGACTTGGGGAAAACCTGCTGTGATAAGAACAGCATGAGATCTATGTACAGCTCTGTAGAGCTCATATGGAAAAATAAAAGTGACACAGAAAACACAGAAGTCCACCAAGACACAATGATACACGTTGACATGAAACATACATCAGGTAGACGGTTATGAAATTGGTCTCTGCTCAACAAAGACTGCATACAAAGCAGCAAGTGATGTAGTGAGCAGGTAGTAATAAGGGATAATTTTAGCATTGTCCTGTCACTGTTAACAAGGGAAAGTAAACTTAACAGAACCCTTGCATTCTCTGATGAGAAAGCCATTCTCTGCCACTTCTGTAGGTGCAGCCATGTTTACCATGAGTCCCCATCGGTGGGCCCAAAACCTGTTCAACACCTGTGCACACTCTCCGTCAAACCAGACCCCTCCACTGAACCATATTGCACGCTCTAGTTGAAGCCTATCAGCATGATTTTCTAAAACTTGCGTGGGTTTTCAGTTGCGTGGGAGGGAAGCGCTTCAGACCTCTGCGGTATGGGAAAAGGTCGTTTATGTGGGATGGAGCCTGCAGGGGAAAGAAGAAACGAGAGCAACACGGGCAGTGCTTCCACTTTTCATGATTGTTTTGCATTTCTGTGTTACCTTCATTTACTATGAAATTATACCTGATGTACATTTTTATTTATTATCAAGTTATTCCTGTCGTACGTTTTTATTTTTCTATTGTATTTTCTTTCATTTTATTTTATTTTTGCAAAATTGTTCAATATAAATCACAGATCATTTCGTGAAACCCACTAGAGACCTCTAGCGATAATATGTGATATAGCACATCGGTGCACGTCACGCCGAAATAGCTCAGTTGGGAGAGCGTTAGACTGAAGATCTAAAGGTCCCTGGTTCGATCCCGGGTTTCGGCAGACGGGTGGACCGCTTTTGATGCCTATCTCTTGTTCAGAATCCCAGCTTCACTTCAGTTTTAAACCTGAGTGCTTCTAGTGACCTGTTAAACCTTTTCGGATATAGGCAACATTTGCAACTGAACAAAAGATCTTCACTATTTATTTCAGTTTTTCTGCACATTGCTAACTTTACAATCGAAATTTGACCCGAGAGCAGACATAACTCTGAACACGATCTTAGAACCTGTTGTAGTGTTACCGTGGTGCATGTCTTTCATTGGACCGCCCTCTTGTGTGTGCAGTCTGAAGTGCAAGGCTCTCTAAAAAGAGAACAGAGTAGCTCAACTGTGTGAGGCTATGATGCAAGACCTCCACAGGTCTCTGATGTAAACCTGTTTTTGGTCACGATTACAAATTCATTCAGTCACTGCGAATGGAATAGCAGTTCTCGCCCCCTCTTACCCCTCTGATAACATAAACAATAGTCAACATAGTCAATATTAAAGTAGCAGGTGTTCACAGAATGTCACATCTTTAACAGGGAACTTCACAATGCGACCTCATGTGGCGATAGATTGAAATTGCATTTTTAATGCTCTCACAGCCGAAATAGCTCAGTTGGGAGAGCGTTAGACTGAAGATCTAAAGGTCCCTGGTTCGATCCCGGGTTTCGGCAGACGACAGTGGTGTCTTTTGGCTGCGACCACGTGTGTCTATACAAGAAGAAGAAATAACAAAAAAACCCACATGCATCAAAATCCATTATAATTAGGGCCACGGTAACAGAGATGCTTTTTGCCTCCCTTCGACAAAAATGCCTTAGGAGGAATAATTTGCGACCAAACGGCGGAAAAATTTAAAATTTTGCACTGAGGTCAAAGGGATCAATCATTGGGACTCAGCTCTCTCAGTAAGTGACTTATTGTGCACTGAAAGTATCCTATTATTGTTGTGTGTGTGTGTGTGTGTGTGTGTGTGTGTGTGTGTGTGTGTGTGTGTGTGTGTGTGTGTGTGTGTTTGAATTCAAGCCTGTTGGGTTTAAATTTAGGATGAAAGATAATGCAAGCAAAAACTTTTTTGTTAATTCTGTTAGGGTTGTTTTAGTGAGTGAATTTTTGGTGTTTTCTGATATTTCATGCAAATTAAATGCTGTTCAGGATGCTTTTTAGCGGGCATGCCTTAACATCTGGTTGATGGCTGGCAAACATGAAGTTAGTGCAGATTGCAGTTCACCTATAGAAAAACTGTATTATCTCACAGCTCTGGATATGTTTTTATGTAGTTTATTGCATTATATTTTATATAGTGCCGACTGTAATGAAAACACAGTTTTATTTCCTGACATGTGCAAACAGAAAAGATTCAATATGTGCATGTGAAATATATGAACAAATAATATTGAAACAGTCATTAGGCCTCTGTTTTGCATGGGGAAACATGAAGCATGTAAGCAGGAAAAAGTAAACAATAAATAAATGAAATATCACTGAAAAAATATTACATTTGACAAATCCAAACCATTGATCTTTTTACAATAAAGACCCAAGAGGAGAAAAAGGTGTGAGAGTGCATTCATAGGATTTGTGAAAGTATTAGTAATGAGGATATTCAGCAGTAAAAAAGGCATTTTTGTATTAAATTTGATTGTTTGGTAACAATAGTTTTGAGTATCAATTGTAAACAAAGACATGAAGATGTAAGAAAACAAAGACGGGAAAAAAAGACATGGTTATTGATCAAAGTCAATTGGACTTTAAATTGAGATAAATGTAATAACCTAATGCTGTCTATTTATGTCATAATGAGTGTCTTCAGGTTTTTGTTTGCATTACCAGTGCTAAAGTATCAGTAATATTGTGAAGTTACAAGGGTGGATTAAAGGGGTTTATTGCATATTTGTTAAATATGGTTAGTCAAAAAGATAAAATGATTAAAGCTGAAAGGTTTCCAATTACAAAACGAATTAAAAATGTAAAAAGCAGGCTGTGGTGCTTGAGGAAAAAGGATAAAAAAAGAGTCCACAAAAAGACACACATTCAATTCTCACACACTTCCTGTGTTTTATTTTTAAAGCCAGACATCGGATTATGCCAGCAGCACCTCAGCAAGACTGTGGCAGGTTTACAGGACCTCCTGTGGTACATTTGCAGGGTTCTGGCTATTTAAGCTGCTCCGGTCTGTCTGAATGCCAACTGAGACGTGTAGAGGCAAGAGAGCCACGATCCAAGAGAGCAGGTCCAGGCCACGGGGCACCTAACAGGTCAGGGATTTGCGTCATACCCATTGAAACCTGAATGAATAACCAACCAGCCCACTGTGGTGATGTACTAATCAACAGTGCATTGATAATGAATGGACAGAAAGTGATTCAGAGAACGAACAATGTGGGAGATTGGCAGGAGGGGACAGAAAAGGTGCAAAATGTTCTGGGATGCTGCAGGAATTTGGAGAAAACACAAGGTCTGCAGGCTGACATTACTAAAGGGCACCGAAACATTTGAATTGAACTTATAAAGCTGCTGGGGTCAGACCTGATAGAAACTTGAAACAATATTAGAACTGTGACACATGATACACACTCACTTTACCAGTGAGTCATTCACTTTAAGCCAAGGATCTTAACATAGCATGGAGGAGATAGGCTACATAACATTAGATCAACTTTGGGGAAAGGTGATAAAACCTTAAACCATCTCAAAAATAGAAACAAGAAATGCTGGGAATTTCTATGGATCCGTTTGCTGAGACCCAGGGGACTTCAGTTAAGTATTTACCTGTTGTGTTGCTCATACCTGTAATGTATGCAGACATTTTCAGCAATATTTAAGGCCCTTAAAATGATCTTAAATTTTAAAGGATATGTTATTGTGTGACTGAATTTGAGTGTCAAGTTCAATTGACAACAATAAGTCGGTGTTTGAGCAGATGTGCCTGAACCTTGAAATTCACATCACAATTTTCTTTTTTTGAGAGTTTTCTTGTCACACCTTGAGTTAAAATTCAAACATAAAGTTACTCATCAACTAGCTGTAGACCAGGATCTCAGAGTAGTCATCTTAATGGTATCAAACTCTTTAAATTTTATCCTATAAGTGATGGGCACGCCAGTTCTTTTAGATGTACTGAATCAATAGAATCAGTTCACTAAAATGATTCGTTAAAAAGATTTGTTCACCGAATCACCAAATCATTCAGCGCTTGGCAGGGGGATCCTGCGACTCTGACCTCCTAAACTGATAGACAGCTGAACAGTTCAGGATTCAGTTAAATTCATAGTTTCTGGGACCGGAAGACAAGAATGTTTGGCTGTGCTGCTTTGGCAAACTTGTTTATAAGTCATGATGCTTTAAGTGTACTGTCCTATGGTATGCTTCTTATCAGGTCTGGTCAGTAAATTGGGCTCAGTGAGAGATTCATTCACTGAATGTTTAGAAGAATTCACACTGAACATGCGCCGTTCCCTCACAAACTGCTACAGTGATAGGATGCTGCAGGTTTTATGCACTACCTTGTTACATGCGGTGTCCTATTGTATGCAAGTTGTTGTGGTGGCAATTTAGCAGTAAACAAAAAAAGTTAGTTTAGTCCAATGAAAATGATTCCAGAGAGTGTAGTTCAATGCGTGATTCGTTCAACAAGTGATTCAGGCGTTGGTGCATATGGTCCCTCGTTCACCGGCTGTTCGCCTGGCAATGCTGCATGCTATCGCAGTTGCGCTTCTGACAGCTCAATTGAAATGAGAAACGAACAAATCACTCGAGGAAGTGATTCGGTTCAGTACGTTCACTTAAAAGATTCGGTTCTTTTGAACGAATCGTTCGCGAACGGCACAACACTAGCAGATATACTTTTTCTGATGAATGAAACACAGCAGTTAAATGTAATTCTGTCCATGGGATTAAACGGGTTGATGCTTAGGTATTGATATACACCCCTCCTGTACTTTAACTGTAGATGGTTCAAGCATATATACCAGCACGGATAATAAAGTGACTGTGTGTCTCTTCTCAACAGCAATTTGGCTTTCTCATTTGTTGCTATGTAATTTGTTGCCATGTAATATCCTGTGCTCGGTTATGCAAGATCCCTCTCTCTTCCTATTGATTTGCACTGCAGCAGTTCGGTTTCCTGGCGGCTTTGTTCCACTGCTCTTGGAAAGCCACAATGAATTCCTGACGACGCCAGTCAAACTCTGAACCCATTCAATTAGGTGGCTGAATAAAACTTGCAGGTGGAGAACAGTCTGGGCAGCCGGATGGGTAGATGGTTATGAGGCAGGGGATGTTTTGGCTCTAATTAATCAAGACTCCATTCAGTCCAGTTCCACTTCCAAGCAGCTCTCACAGACACTCCGGTCAACTTGGCATCCCCTGAAGGCTTGCATAACTGGAGCAGGAGTGACTTGTATTCAGCAAACTTTCCCCAGTTTCTGGCCCAGTTGCATAACAGGTGGAGCTCCAATCTGTAGAGCAGTTGATGTCTTAATGCATAGTCATATGGAGTATTGATTCAGCATAAGGGTTCAAATATTTGTGTCTGAGTAGAGAGATGGTCCATGGTTACAACACTTTTGCTTACACCAAGAAACAATACTGCTCAAAATCAGTAAAGTATTACCACATTATCAAATTCTGTAATATTTTGATTTTTTTTCTGCTTTATTTTAGGGCAGTTGAGTCCTCTGCTCATCTTTGTTTTGTGCAAGGACAAAATATTTGGAGAGCCTTTGAATATACAATCAAGAGTGACACTGGGTCACTCTTGACAATGTGATATCCCAACCACTTTTAGTTTGTGTCAATTTTGACGCCCATGTGCACAAAATAATCTTTGCTTATCTTGTTTGCTACATGCTTGCGTAGTGAATTATGACAACAAATTGTATCCTGCTGCCTTTTGACAGTCAAAAGCATGATCAATATGGAAATTGTAAAATCAGGGCCATTTCTTTAACTGCAACGCTTGAACCTACTCCCTTGCTCTGGTTTCACATAACAAAATCAAGGATATAAAAATGATTATTCTGGTTGCTGATGGGCTTGTTTGCTTTTCTGTATCATTAAAAGGCATCAACATGTATTTCTGTCTATTTCAGAAATGCCCCCCAAAAAACTCCTTAGAGGAGCTTTGATAAAGTTCATTTAGAATAAAAAAGATGAACATCAATTTTACTTATCCCTTTACTAAAATCTTCATGAGAGTGTTTTTTTTTTTTATTTCAACCTTGATGTATTTGTTCAGTGAGAGTTATGACATAGCTTTTATTGCACTGGATTTCACAGTTGTAAAGTGGCTGGTGGATTCTTGTGTTTTAAGAATATTTTCACTCCCTTCTTTTGCAAACTTTGAGAAGCGGCTCAATAAAAGGGGAGCAGTTTTGGCTCTTCGGTTAAGTTGTGCACTCATGTACAAAGGTAATTGTCTCTGTAGTGGGAGGCCCAAGTTCAATCCTGACCCATGGCCCTCTATGGCATACTATTCTCTTAAACTCTTTAAATGACCAGATACATTTATGCAGAGTTAGCATTGTTGTTATGTTGCTTTTGAGCAATTTGGGCAGTGGGTGTGGGATCTTGAGTGACTGACCTCAACCTTTATTTCATTTCTGAAAAAGAACTTGCTGGCGTGAAATGAAATTTTGTCATCATCACTTAATAGCTTAACTATGAAATAAATCTGTGGTTTACACAAGAATAGCAGATTAAAGACCTTACCATGTGTCTGCCGTCACCGAGAGCTACAACTACTATTCATTTGTTGTTGCATAACTCAGAGTAAACTGGACAAATCTAGCCTACAGACGAGAAGTACGCCAGAGTTTTTCTAAGATGCTCTTGTTGTGGAGGTTCTGTGACATAACCCACCATGATGCATGAAGTCCAAATGTGACAAGGAAAGGTTGTCTAAGGGAACAGAGTATGACCTCCCTTTTGTCCTTCGAGAAAAAAGGGAGACATTGTATTCTCGGTCTGTCTGAGAAGAAAGTAAGGAACCCACACAATGTTCCTTGACCGAGCTCCAGGGACAGTAGGGAGCCTTGTTTCTTTGTGCGGTCTGTGTCGATGTTGCCGCACAGATTGGTGTTGGTCTCTGAATTATGCTGACCTTTGCAAGTGCATGGGCATGGTTTTGCGTCATCAAATCGAAGCTGCAGTTTGCGACAGTTTGTAATTCTGTTTACTTCACTCAACAAAACAGTGGCTTGAACCCTAAAGGATTATATGTATAAATATAAAATATTATATATATATATATATATATATATATATATATATATATAAACTTATATATCAAATAAGTCAAAATATGATAAATGGCTTGAATTTCTTCTGTAAATCTTCTCACTACTAAAATGGTTTTAAAAATGCATTTTTGATGGTAAGTCTATAATTTATATGAAAGTACCAGATTAATTGACAGATGAAATCATAGCTGTAATAATGTAAAATTTCAAGATTTAAAAAGAACACCTTTTAAACTCATTGGGCTATATTTTTGTGCCTGCCAGTGGCACAGGGGCATCCCGCGCAGTGGTATTTTAGTCCAGTGAACAGCCAGTTTGGTATTTTTCAGCTTGGCATACCTTAGTGTGCCAAGCTGGGCGTGGCGGCGCAGTAGGGGGAGGTGTCGGCAGAATCAGCTGGCACAGTGATATTTTAATGCTCGCCACTGGCATAGAAAGTGCGCTGAAAGCTTGCAGATTCAAACTTGGTCAGCTTTCGGCACAGGCGGACCGCAGCTGGTTCAGTGGTATTTTATTCTTTTTTCCCTAAGCTGCGGCTCCCTGTGGATTTGGAAAATAAAAAATAAATATTTAATTTGAATTTATTTTAGTTCAGTTTTTTTGTGTAATTCTTAATTCAAAGATTATAATGCTCTTGTAACATTAAATAAACCATGTTCAATTTTTTTATCGCTCAAAATATGCATCATAACTGCGGACTAGACCTGTGTGAAGATGAATGTGATGTCACACAGCCTGGATGTGGAGACGCCGTGCACTTAGGTTCAGGAGCGAGCATTTTATCATATTTTGACTTATTTTATATATAAGTTTATATATATATATAATATTTTATATATAAGATTATGTACATATAATCCTTTAGGGTTCAAGCCACTGTTTTGTTGAGTGAAGTAAACAGAATTACAAACTGTCGCAAACTGCAGCTTTGATAGAGCTGCGGGTTGCCGACCCCTGGTCTATGGGCATGCCTCACTGGCACAGTGGACCTGCACCACGCTGTCGGCGTAAAATATTTATTTATTTATTTTTTTACTAAAAAAAAACGCACTATAAAATGACAGGAGTGTGTATAGGGTATAGTGAGTCTACTAAACCCTTTAGGTGCAGGACAGATGAAGATGGGCTGCACACTGACACCAACAGGTGCACCACTCCAGGCTAGGCACAATGTGGGTGTACTTTCACAGTCTGAAAACTCACATGCATCACTTCCACACCACGCACCACAGTCCAACGCTTCTACATTTCACATCTTTTCCCCTTGACTCACTGAGGTGAGGGGTTAATGGGTGTGAAGTTATGCTGGTCACCTAATGCAACATACCAACAGCATGGATCAGCAAAGAAGCCATACTGGTTTTGTCCCATTTTGGAGTGAGTATGTGCATGATTGTTAGTTTGCTCGAGCAAGGGCTGGTGAAGGATGGAATTAAAATTAGAGGCTGAGTAATGCTGGAGCGAAACTCAGCTTTCACCATGGTCTTGGATCCAGGAAGCAAACACTTGTAGACTGAGAAAGTGTCTCTTTCTCTTCCTCTTCTCAGTCTGTCACACACACAAATACACACATACACACAATAATAAACCTGGCAGGGTCGAGTGTGACCCCCACAGCTTTTGTCCATTGATATCTGTCTGGAGCCTTGTAGCTCCCCTCCTCTCTCTCTCTTTGCAGACACCAGACGATGACCTGTTATGTAACTCTGATCATCAACCATTGCACTAAATGAGACACTATTATTTGACCTACAAACAGACCACTTATTTTTCTTACATAAGATGCAATCAAGATTGTTAACACCTCATATAACAGCAATTTTGAAGGGAAAAAAAATGTAGTTGAATTTTCACAATTTTCTTTAAATAAACATTCAAGGTCAGTTCAAATCAGAAGTACTGTGCAGCTAGAACAGACACTCATAATCCAAAGAGAGGACATTTGAGAAACCGGACAAAAGGTAACTTTTTCACCAGATTTCGGCCAACTCTTGCTGTTCAATTGTTCAACACCTGAATTGTTAAGTAACGGTGTAGTGGTCATGTTAAAACACCATTAGAAGCAGCTTGTCTGGCTAACATAGTGTGGCGAGATGGGAGCTATAGCAATTTTTACTAACTGCAGCAACGCCACCTAGAGGATTGCACCCCAGGAACTCTACGCAAAAGAGGTTTTCACCTTATTTCACGACCAAGGTCGAGCAGGTTTGAACACCACAAGCCGAGATGTATCAAATCAAATAAATTTAACATAATAATTTAAAGCAGAATAGAAACAAAACAAAACAAAAAAATCACACACCAATTGACCTGTAATAAAATGTATAATTTGGGCAACAGAGGGTGAAACCAGGCTGGGCCTTACCATCTTACCATCTTACCATGCGGCAGGGCCACCAAAGGGGGAAAGGAGTCTATAGATGAATCACCTGGGACACCACCAACAAAACATACAATTTAATAACTAAACAATGCAACCAAGAAAACCAACAGAAAGAATTACAAAAGAATACACAAACTTGACACAATAGATTAACCCAAAATACCAAAGGAAATAATAAAGAAAAAAATACAAAGGACAGTCTAAGACCACGAAGGACCACATGGGCACAATGCAGGCCCAAGATCAATTTGTGCCGTGCTCGAGCTACTGGAGCTGGCCAGACAACTGGACCAAGGCGGAGGGCGCTCCAGGCAAGCATACCTCCAAGGATCGGACAAAAAAAAAAAAATGACTGAAGGAAGAATGGAAAACAACAAAGAAAATAAAACCGCTGCAACAGGAATGGAACTCAACAGAGCCAAAACAGCAGCGCAGCTCAGAGAGTGGTGGCGGTAGCAGGCCAAACTATTTAACCAGGCTGATAAAAAAAAAAAAGACACGTGCGTGAGGTGAGTTAATTACTGGATGTCAACCGACTTCAACAAAGAGAAACTAAATTAATACATACCAGAGTGAGCCCCCTAGAGTGTGGCTCCAAACCACCACCTAAAATAATTGCGCTCCTTATTAATCGGCTGTGAGCCGAGTTACATTAAAAAAAAAGAAAAACCAGGCGGACAACATTCAAGATATGTACCAGCACTGAGGTACGGAGCCATGCGTCCATAGCGCAAAACAAGCTGGCTTCGTGGCCACCATGCTGAGCTGCAGTCACCACCCAGTAGCAAGGGAGAGGCAAAAGAGAGGAAGTGCCACCAAGACTCACCTGGATATAAAAGTGTGTATTGAACCGCCCCAACAGCTCTGGTCGCTGCGCCACTGGCACAGTGCCCAATAGTGACCAGGAGGGACATAAGCTCCGGCCAAAGAGGGCTGTGTAACCATTGTTACTGCCGAGTGGATGGGTCGTGATATTAAGCTAACTCGGAAGGTGCTATGGTTTGTGTATCATAAATGATTATTTAACTTTTAAATGTAGTAAGTTGCAGGCTAGATGGAATCACTGGTAGTGTGCGATTGACGGAAACTCCCGTGCCAAAACAACAACAACGAAGCCTGTTTTGAATTTTGCTCGCTTGGATGTGACCCTCGCATCGAAAGTTAACATGCAGAAATGTCTATTGTCATATTTTAATTCATATCATTCGATTGTTTATCTGTGTGTGTAACATGTGGCTGTTGTAGCCTTAAGATTTGATGGAGGGCACCACTCTCAGTTTGGGCCTTGTCTAAATGAGCTTTTGTACATCCCTTGACTTGGATTTAACAGGAGTTGATGTAGCAGCTTTCTGGTGTAGTTTTGTTTCTGTCCCTCTGTATCAGCCCAGTTTTATTTTTTTTAAGTACAAAGTGTAAAATGTAAATTCAACTGAACAAATCCAACCAGTTCTACGTTGATTAAATAGTTTATGGGTTCATGTTTGCCTGTTTTTAGAACTAAGCACCTCATTGAATAACTTAATTTTACCACATGGGTTGCAAAATAGATTATGCTTTGGCAGCCTGCATTTTCTATTCAAATATAGCCTTTGACCTAACCCTCAAAAAAACTCTCCATTACCAGATAGGGCCCTGGAGGACTTACATAACACATGTTATGGAGAGGATTCCCCCACAGGCAAAGTCCCCTTTCTTGCATGGCTGGCTTCCCCCATGCAGTGATAGTATTCTGTGTCACTGAAAACTGAGGCCCTGTGGTTGCTTAGACGATGACAAGCTGACTTCATCAGAAGATAAATTTTAGCACTGCATATTTCACCGGCTCTTTCCAGTTCCAGTTGCATGATCTCACACAGCGCATGTGAAGGAGCTGGCAGGGATAGGTATAGCTGTACTTAGCATACATGATAAATTGTGATTCCATTGAACTATTCATAAACTCACTGCATGATATTCTGTAGTTATTAGGTCTGCATTTTTGCTTGTCAATTGAATACACAGGTTATTGATCACAATTGACTGGCATTTTCTGACGCCAGCTTCTAAAACAAAAATATTTATTTACATATACAATAACTTTTTTTTTTTGAATGAACTTATTGAAGTCTTGGACTGGAGAAACAAAAAAAATGTGATAAATACTTTAACAAAATACTCTGTGGCAGAAAAAGGCAGTGCTTGTCAAATACATTATGGAGCAACATCCACGTGTTAACACTGAAGAGAATATTGGAGTAGTTTATGAACAACATCCATTTTTGTCAAAAACAAAACAAAACAAACAAACAAAAAAACAGATGTCAACTTTCTGTTGTGTTTAAGTAGAGAAATTACTTTTCAAAATTACTTCATGGAAATGCAACAAAAGTTCTTGTGTATCTTGTATGTGCACTGCAGACACAGTAGTTCTTCTGCCTTAGTGTCTCGGTCTGATTGCATTTCCATGAGGTAATGATCATAATTTTTTTCCCTTGAGCTGCGGAACTTGGCTGCACTCAGTGATCAACTCGTCAGGGCTTCCCCACAACAAGCGGCTGCTGGAGGAGAGTGGGTGAGTTGTGTTTGGTCTCTTTGTCAGAGAAACCAGGCAAAGCTAAAAAAATATTTGATGGCTAGTACTATGTTCTTGGACCCTACATGTACTTTTAAAGAAGTTAGGTGCTGTTCTGAGAATTATTTGTGGCTATAGAGTGGCTTTACGGTTGTGGGTTGCGTGTGGAGACATAGACCACTGTGTATTGCTATCATGCAGTCTTTGCTGAAGTTGGTGTAACTAGAGAAGCAAGTGGTCGGTAAAATTAATCTCTCGTGAGGGGTCTAACTCAGTGCTACGGTGAGTTTGACCATGGCTTTAATTTACATCGGATTATCCCTTGAAGTGCTACTTTCATCAGATGCAGAAGACCTTGCAGCATTTATGGCTTTGTACTGCTTCGTGGTTATCCTGTGCTCTTGAGCCATGGCATGTCCTCCAGCATACTCTCTGTCTGCCAGCCTCAGACATGCAGCTTTTTGCAGTCAATCATTCAGCCCCTGTTAATCTCCCAAACCTCTGATCAGAGGGCTCTTATTACACCTACTCATACACACTGCTATGTTTGCTGGCACTGCATATTAGGATTAAGAGGCTTTCAGCTGGAAAAACAGCTGGGGTGATCAGGATGGGTATGCTTTATGCATTTATCTGCATTGAAGTATCTGCTTTACCTTTTTAATCTCATGTCTGATGGTTAGGTCCAGACTCTGTCAATTGTCACAGATACATGGTCTCACACTTTGCAGTGACTTTGAGGCATATGAGGTTACACCCGATGGCCAGCGTTGGCTTTGTGGAAACATTCTTTAAAATTGAGAGGCATGCAAATGTTTCGTGTAAAAAAGAGGAGACTCAAAATAGATTCCCCAGTGCCTCTTGTAGTCTGTTTGCCTGAAAGAAAGCATGTTATATTAAAGGGAGCTTCCCTAACAGATCAAAATGCACAGGAAAACAGTCACTTGATAGGAGACGTTTATGTTTTGGTTGTCCTCAGGAGAGAAAATAGCACTGTGTAGTCATCTCATCTAAGGCAAAAGTATGGAAGTGTGGCCTCGGCCTGAAGTGTGGCTTCTTTCACCTTTATGAATAATTTAGATTCTCTCTTCAATCCAACACTGTGACTGATTGGCTTTCATTCCACTTCATGGTTGGGAGTTATCAGTTAGTCATCACCTTTCACTCATGGAAAGTGTGATGAGTTTTAATCCTGAGAATGCATTCCATAATCCCCTCACCCACTTACTTTTTTGTTGATTAGTAGGTGTGAGTCCAGTTTAAAAGGAGAGGTATGGGTCTGTGTGGCTCAGGGGGCACCTGAATTTTTGGCCAAGTTTACTGGCTGGAGGAGAGCGGTGCAGTATTTGTCATTGAGAGGGCACTGAGCTTGGGGCTCTTCCATTCAGTGAGTGACCAACCTGCTCTTAGTCGCTTTGGCACAATCCTGGGCCTTTGCCAGCCGCATTCCCCCCCTCCACCTCATCCCCTCTAGCTTCCATCCTTCCATCTAGACCGGCTCTCATTAAGTGTCCTTTTGTTGAGGGATTACTGAGTTTATATTTAACCTCTGGTTGCAATATCATTGGACTGCTGAGGCAGTAGTTGGCGCTGCCAGCTCATTCTGAAGCCATATCTGGGTCTGGCTGGCACCCAACTCTCTTCGGTGTCTCGCCACATCCTCAGCCTTTCTGTCTCACACTACTTTATTTCAAGAGCTTTACACTGGATCTATTTTGGCCAGTGCAAGACCTAGAGTCACCCACTGGTGGTTTCAGCTGTGGGTCACCTGCAAGAACTTAACATGCGTAGAAAATCTCAAGTGATTCCCAGCATTTTCTTGGATCTTATCACTAAGACATTGCATTGAACAGATTTAGCTCAACATTTGCATCATTGCACATACAGTACATATATCATTTATGTCTCACTGCTTATCTGCAGCATGTATGTATGTGCTTAAGGCATTTCCTTTTGGGAACACAATGTTCCCCTTTTGAACACAAGAGAGTTTGAATTCTTATTGGCCACTCACTCCTTAGCCATCAGAGAAATGCATGTAAGTGGCTCCACCCTGGTGAAAACACTGTCTGTGACTCGAAGGGTACAAGAGGTCGATAGCATGGAAACACTAGTTTCTATTTTTGGGTCCTGGTTTTGTTTGTGCCTGTGTGTGTTTAACCCAGCTGATCTTTTAGTTAGCAACTTAAGAACACAGCCCTGATGTTGCCTTCATGAGTCTTAGTGTTTTGCTTGTCGAGACAACCTTGAAGGGGGTTTCTCTCAAGACCACCAAGCCACACACAAACCTCAACCAAAAAGCCACTGTATAGCCACAAATAATGCTCAGAAAAGCACCTAACTTCATCAACAGTACATATAGGGTCCCAGCCACAGCACTAGCCATCAAACATCTCTTTAGCTTTGCCTGATTTCTTTAGCAAAGAGACTAAACACAACTCACCTACTTTCTTCCAGCAGCCGTTTGTTTGTAGCAAGACCTCCATCAGCCCATCCTCAACTGAGGCGGGAGGCGGTCGCAGCTCAAGGAAGAATATTTCTGATCATTACTTTATCATTTCCTTGGAGTAATAATCATCATAATAATCATTTTGCACTGCAGATGCAGTAGTTCTTCTGCCTTAGCGTCTTGGTCTGATTGCATTTCCATGAAGAAATGATTATTAATGTTCTCCCTTGAGCTGTGTCACCCCGTTTGGCGTTTTAGAGGTTTGTCTATGGGTCCTGAGACCACTGTGTATTGCTTTTGTGCTGTCGTTACTAAAGTTGGTATAACTAAAGAAGCAAGCGGTCGGCAACATTCATCTCTCGAGGGGGTGTCAAACTTAGTGTTACGATATGTTTGACCCTAAATTAGTTTTACGCTGGAATATCCCTTTAAAGATTCAGGTGGGACCAGCCCTCTCCCATCAGACCCAAATCATGATTTTATTTTCTATCTCCCTATCTGATTCTGGCTGCTCTTATGTGTGGTGTAACTAGGCCAGGTCTTGCAGTATCATACAACCTAGATGATGTATAGTGGCCATAGACAGATCCAATTCTATGATGTATTGTAGCTAAACCGTGGTCAGCTGGGAAAGTCCATCAGGATGCCAAAAGTTCTGGCTCCTGGCTCACAGCGTAGATGTTTAAAGGTTGAGCTCTGTAGGTGGATTTAGAAATAAAGCTGGCATGTCCTGTTTTCAAGCTGATATAAATGTCATGCAAAGAAGTCGTCATGGGGATAAACACAGGGTCTTATTTAGAAATTACAGCTATGTGACCTTTTGAAAGAAGGTCACCAGTAGGTTCACGTCTCATAACATGCTGTATGTGTGTTGCATCATATGTGACATGATCTCCATCTGCCACACCTGACACTTTTCAGTGAGTTGGGTTTTTTTAGTTGGAGAACTGGAAGTTCAAAGAGTTTACTTTTTGTTTGCAGCTTTTGAGAAACAGAATAAACGCTTTTTGAATATTTGCAAGGTTGTGTCCTTGTATCCAGGTTTTTGATGTGAAACTTGTCACATTTATTACTACCAGATCAAAGAAAGTGCATGAAGATATTTAGTTTGAGGTTAAGGATTGATACTGTGCATAATGATTTAAATTGGCCCTCTGCAAACTATTACATGTACTCTGGCTGATTTGTCCAAGGGTATAATGACAATTTCTCCTGATGTAGAAAGTGAACAACTTTGAATTTTTGCACGTGTTTGCAGTTTATTTTTACTCGGTCAGCCCTGCGAAAGAGAAAACTTGCATGTTTTCCTTTTTGTAACTCAAACAAAGCACCTATAATTTGTCTTTTTCTTTGTGTGAACGCCACCTGGATTACAATGACAGACGGAGGAGGGTTTTTGTGTTCTACTTGCAGGTGTGTGCTTTTTTGTCTTTTGTCAGCCCTGTTGTATCCAAGAGGCTGCAGTTCTTTTCCAGTGTGCATCATTTAGTTGTTCTTTCTCTCTTGGGACCTCAGGTGGTGTTCAGTCTGCCTTTTGGAGCATGAACAAAATTTTCTTCATCAGCACACACTCAGAATCATCATCAGGTCCAGCATCCAAAACGCCAGGAGTCTCTGAGCCCTTTACCACGCTGCTCATGTATCACTTGGACGTATTAATATCAAAGTACAGAACTTAAGCTGGGGTGAAAAGGGGACAGGAAGAGAATCAGAAAGGTGTCTCAACATGAAGATAACCAACAGATAAGTGATTAACTCATGTACTGCAGTGTAATAACAACCCTGCTATGTGCTGTGGTAAAAAAAGCAGTTTTTCACACATTTTTATTTGATATATGTCAGTTAAAGTTATATAAATGCTCTCTGGATTATGTCAGATTGCTGTGTAGGCCTCAGGTACAAGGTTTACAATCGCCTGTTCAGTGGACATATGCTGTTCTTTGGGGTAAATTGAGGACTGACTGCTCACTCCACAAAGGAATAGAAATGAAGGCTTCATTATTGCAGCAAGGGGTGCAGATTTTGTCAGAAGAGGGAGGGGGGGTCTTCAGTGGGGGATATGGATGGGCTCTTCTGTAATCCTCCGACATGTGCACTCTTCCTCACGTGCACACTCAAGCACTGCAGTGCAGATCTGTCTATGGCACAGAAACATGCCGCACTGCTGCCAACGCAGCCCACGCTGCTTTGTATCAACAGCCAACGTCCCTACCCACACAGACTGTAAACACACCACGCGTTTCATCACAGACCAGGCTACAAATCTCCCTACTGTTTCTCACCTGTGCTACAGTAGAGCTTTAAGGCTCTGGCTAGTTACCCTCTCTTGCTTCACTGAAATGCCACATTATAATCTTCATCACAATGCCATGTTTAGTGTTCCTTTTTTCCTTCATTTTATAACATTCGGTGCCACAGTACTTGTGAGAATCATGGTTTGCTTTTTGACCTACTTAGAGTCTCAATAGTTGTTGGTCTCATTCTCAGTTTCCTATAAAGTTATATAAAATAATATTAAAATAGCTTGATGTGTCTGCCTTTGATTAACATATTTATTTTGAATTTCTGACTGATTTTGTAAAGCGCTTTCATTAGTGTAGGAGTATTTGCATAAGGACTTTCAGCTCAACATTAAATTTAACATAGTAACCACATAAGTCAGGTCCCATAAAGACTAAATAAGTAGGGCTACATTTAAAAACACTTAACGGGAGACAGAGTATTTGCCATCATCATAGAACTGTTCTGTGTTCATTGCACTGTGTTTAGATCAAACCAGTATGACAAACAAAGTGCACAGCAGAGTATCTCAGTAGCTCAAAAGAATTGTGTTTCATAGCCCCAAGCTTCTCTTGTTCTGATACAAAGCACAGAATCAGTCACTCTCAGGTATGTTTCCTTGTGTGTGACGTGGTATGTGCTGATCCTTGCTTGAATTTGCATGTAGAGTGTGCGAATGCATGTACTTGAGGTCACCCTGCACTAAGCCTCGAAGTTGCTGTAACTGTACTCTGTCTTGGAGCCTTATATTACCGTATTATGTTTTTGCACGTGTACAAGCTTTTTCCAAGGATTAATATTCATCGGGGTTGCAGTCAGCCAGAGCTGAGACTGTGTGCCTTCTGCACGCTGTGTTGATTTTCAGTATTAGGTGTCCTGCATGAAACAGTTGCTTGTGTTTTCACTGCACTGGCTGCATGTGTGTAAATATAATACCAGGTTTTGAGCTCTGGCTTTATATATCTGTCGGTCAGGTTTTCTTTTTCTCATGAATTTTTAAAAAAGAATTTTGTTCGATTCAGCTCTTTAACAGTTAAAAGTATCATTAATGTACTGGGATTGAATGAGGTACTTGACAGTATGTGCATTACTCACAGGGGACTCAGCACTGGGTTGCACCAGCTATGCACGTGTTCAAACTTTGCCCAATATGAGCATACATGCTGATGTAGGATGGAGTTTACACTTTGTCTTTTAAGGTGGTGCACCATCTGAGATAGCTTAGATGTAAGTATAAGTTACGACTTCAATGTTACCCCTAGCTCTGAGTAGGTGTGAAGTCTTCTGTGATTATAGGTTGTCATGAGACAGTGTTTTGAAAGGTACAATAACATAGAAGAGGACAAGGACTAGAGGGTTTTAGCTGTATAGTGTCTCTGCAACAGATTACATTAATTAAAAATATATTCACAAGCATACAGCTGCATGGAGTACTACAAAAGAAAATATACGATAGTAGTATAGTACCACTCAATAGCTCTATTGTCATTTTACCCCACCATAATGCTTTGTAATATTTGACATATCTTTCGCTTGCTGTTAGTCTAGAAGAGGGGTGAATGGCTGTGTTAACCTGTGTAGAGGCTGGCACAGGAGTGAGGTACCGTAGGTAAAGTGCTGTACTGCCCTTTTTATCGTTATCACATATGTGGTTCTTGCACTTATAAATGATTACAGTGCAGAAAAATATTGTTTATTAACAACAATTTTAAGTCTCTGGACCACTTAATGCTTTTTGTTCTATATGCCAACAATACCTCATTCACATTATTGCCCAATTTTTCATCAAGATGTAGACTTTGTTGATACTAATTAACAAACATACACATATATAATAGTTTCCCAGCCTTTAAGAGTCATTATGTTTCACTGACTTTCCAAAGCGCACTGTAAGAACCAGGATTTTACCCCTGTGAGTGTTCAGAGAGATTTGCTCTTAAAGAGTTGCATTAAGTGCATGCCATTGTGTTAACATCGGAGCCTTGCTTTTAGTAGTGTGTGATAAGGTGTGTGAGTGTGAGTATTTTTGGTAAGAGAGGTGTGTGTGTGTGTGTGTGCGTGTGTTTGTTTGTGTGTGTTTATATTTGGTGTGAGAAGTGTTCAGCCTTCCATCTTGTCACCGCACGTGAGACAGGAGTTGACACACTTTAAAGGTGAGAAAATGTCAAGGATGCACATACAGTCCCAACACATACACACAGACACACTCACTTACCCTTTCTCACACACATGGACACGTTCTATTAATATAAAAAAACAAAAAGCTTGATGATGTTAGAGCAGGTTAGGCCAAGGTGAACAGAAACAGGCACCAGCTTTATTTATTCTAAACACAAGCCAGACATTTTACACTCCTCCCCTTTCCGACACGTTTTCTCTGTTTCATTAATAAACAAAACCTTTTCCGACATCTTTGATGGTTTAGTCTTTGCCAAGTGAAACAAAGTGGGTTAGAAAATTTTTGCCTTATCTTTCTTGTTACAGGCCACAATCTGAAAATACAGACACCCTGCCCAAAAGAGCAAATAGGGCAAGAGCTGCATGTGGCATGATGGGACCCTCGTCTAAACAGGCCAACAATTTAGTAAGGAGACTGTCTTCAGGAATAATTTATTGCTGTATTGAAATTCTATCCATCGAAAACACAAATACATTCACCCTTGGCTGGTGCTTGTACATCTGCTGAATACTGTGTGCTGTCTGTCTTGGCACGTCTTGTGGTGTCCACACTGTCACGTAGTAACCTGTTAAATCAGTGAGTGTTGTTGACATGCAACAATGTCAAGGAGCCCTATCTATAGGATTAACCCAACTCTGGCTTTAGCCTTTAAGCAGCCATGATGGGAGCCTGTCTGTGTGCTTGTGATACTGATATGTCTACAGGTATCACTTGCCCGCACTATGTAACCTGACTCGAAAAGACCTGGCCAAAAGAGCGGCTTTCATAGATATCTTAGATTGACCAAACGTTTACCTAGCTACAGACAGACTCAGTCAACATTAGTCTGACTTTAAAACAAAGGTATAGCACATATCAATTAATAGTCAATAGCATTCTGCAGGCTTATAATTTAGGAGAGTTCAAAGACAGAGGACTGTAAGTAAAGAACCTGCTGTTACCCCCGTTTTGTTGGAGAGGACCACTCAGTTGTCAAGTTGAGTGTCCTACGTGTTTGGTTTTTGACTGAGCCTGGTCTGTGTAATAAGCAGTCAGCTGGAGGTTTGTTCAAAACAGATGACAGAGCTGTTCGGAGGATTTTGGGGGGAGGGGGGCCCACAACCTGTTTACGAAGCTTTTCAGAAACTAGACCAGACAGTAGGGTTGGCCAAAGTCCTTTGGCCTTCCACATCTACAGAGGAGGATCACAGTTAAAGGGACATAAAAACATATAGACGAGGCCTGTATGAGGAGAATGCCAGGAAACAAAAACAAAAAAAAACATAAATACCAGTTTACTGTTTTAACACATTGCCAATGTACTGAAATAACGACAGAGGAATGCAGTAAACTAGATATAGATGCAGAATAATTTGAGACATTTGAGGTTTGATGACTAATTGATTTGCTGTGTATTACATCTCTGCCAATGAATGGGAATCTCTAACAATAACACCATAGTGAACAAGAGGCCAGGCATTAAGTGGAGCTGCAGCAGTTCTCTGCCAGACTAATGCTGGTCCACTGCATTGTGTCAATGGACTGCAGCCAGCTGGGTCTCTATCTAATCATTCAGGGATGTGTGGACAGATTACAACTAAATCCAAGTAGTGCCTGAAGTCCACATCCTTATTTCCTGTTACTAGAACTTTGGCTTTATCAGTAGTCCTTAATTAATTGGCTCACCATGGGTCACTACTTTGGCAGTCCAGCTGGATTATTAGATACTAGAAATACCTTCTTCTACTGTCTAAAAGAGAAACTGTTGATTCCTTTATTGGTTTAAAGTCTCACAAGACCACAATGTTGTAATACAAACTGTTTTTGGCATCTCCTTATGTATGAATGCAAAGGCTATGTTTTTCTAATTTTCTAATTCTTGTTTTTGTCAGCTTCAGTCTATTTAAGTGGAAAATTGAGACACTTTCTTTGGAGATGCTTGTTCCTGGAACCACTCAACCACTCTCTCTCTCTCTCTCTCTCTCTCTCTCTCTCCCTCTCTCTATCTCCTGACCCTTTTTTTTTAAGCAGACAAGACTTCCAAGAAGCCTGAAGAAATAAGCCAACAACATAATGGCATTACTGTTGGCCTTTTCACATTTAATCGCACCAGTTAACTTTTCCGATGACTTAGCAAGAACATTACCACCAAAGCCATAACACTGGCCAACTGAAAAATCAATGTAACCAATATTAACGCTGTATCTGGCGAGTCAAGATGTCAGCTGAAAAATTCTTGTTGAACATTTTATTTATTCAGCTCAAGATATATCCTTACTACCTCAAGTTCATTGATTAACATAATTTGCACATTTGTTGTTGATCAATAAGAGACATTATTGATAAGTTCTAACTTTTGTTATTCATAGTGTTAGGTCACCATTGTCACTAAAGTTTATAAAAAGGAGACAAGAGTGAGAGATTAATTGAGGACACTGGGGTATTTTTGGTGCTTCTCATTACAAGTTAATTAGGCCAATAACAGCAGAGAAACCTGGTGTAGTTCTCCTAATCATTATCTGACTGTGACATCTCGTGACACATTACTTCTATCTCCCCTCCCTTATTCTGATCTCCTCCGTTTGTCTCTTTTAGGAAGAGAAAGATTAGCGGTAGGAAATAGTCCTCTGAGTGTGTACTATGATAGGATGACCTCTGTGCTGACCAGTAGCGGTTCTAGGCACGGGCGAACAGGGCAGCCGCCCGGGGCGGCATTTGTGTCATGACTCATGGGGGGCGGCACGAGCACTTCCAAAAAAATAAAATAAAAGATAATAATAATAAATCTTAACCGCAAAGCAGTTTTGTATTAACTCTTGTAGTCAAATTGGCGCCCCCCCGCTGCTGTAGGCGCCCTTGCTTGCTCCGAAGGTGCTGCACAGAGGCTGACAGACTGTATGAGACAAGGTGGGGAGAGAGTCGCGGGGGGACAGCTCTGCTCTGTGTACGCATGTCAGCATATCAGCGGGAGCGCGGATACGTCATTTTGTAGTTTTTTAATCATTTCTGGAGTCGCGGTGAATGAAATCACCGTACCCGTCTGCCTTTAAGAGGCGAATAAAGCGCTCGGGTTCATGCTCGGATCTTGCTACGTGCTTGATGAGCTTCAAGAGTAAAGTAAACAATGACTGAGGCAGAGAGCAGCTTCAGAGGAGAAACATCCAGCAGTGTGAACAACTTCTTCATATGGAGTGCTTTGGCTCACACTATCAGCGTTTTCTCTGAGTGTTGCATGACTTTGGGTGAGAACAGAGATGAACACACTGTCAGCCACGTATTTATTTATTTATTCATTTTTTAGTTTTTAGAGCTGCTTTTGTACTGGCACTATACTGGGGCAGTTGTATACCCTTTCAACACCTTATTTTCTATATTTACATTTGTATTGAATGGACACTTTATCATGACTGCCACTTGTTTTACAGAAAGCAAATTATTTGTCATTCTCCAGTGCAGTCTTTACTTTTATTTACACAGCCGCTTTATTTCATTTGAGTTTGTTTGTTCAAGGTTTTCAAAAATGTGATGAAGGTTCGCAAAACTAAAAGAGAGCTTTCTTGAAAGCCACATGTATAAGCTCTCAAATACTTTTTGAATTTTGTTTCTATCTACTACAGAGGCCGAGATAGCAGCTTTTTTTGTAAACCTTAACACTTCAGAAAACCTCAGGATCTGGGGGCCCTTCTCAAAATGGCCCTCAGGATTGTGTTTTTTTCTGTTGAAGGATTTCTGCAATTGAGAAATATTATTTTTGTTGTTCTAATAATAATAATAATAATAATACATAGTAATACAAAACTATCTGTTCAAAATTCGATCTCTTTTTGTGTGTGTGTGTGTGTGTGTGTGTGTGTGGGGGGGGGGGGGGGGGTCACTTGGAGGGGTGCTCGCCCGGGGAGTAATTTGGTCTAGAACCGCCACTGCTGCTGACAGCCCTCCACTGATCGCTCACATGTACACACATGCATTTGTGCACATGATTGTCATGCAGTGAGGAAATCTATGTCTAATGTCTATAAACAGATACGCAATTTAGGCAAACAATCTGCTTTTAGATGTTTATTTTCAACACCAGATCATCACCGCTTCTAAAATCGTTTGCTGACTGTAAATTCTCTTAACTCACACAAAAGAAGTCTTAGCTGAAAGTCATTTATTGTTAACCAGGAGCTACACAGTAAGCACCCCTGCAGTTAGACATTGCTTCTTGAAGCTATAACATTAACAGACATTTGTGAATGTGTGCCAAAAATGCCAAGAAACAAATAAACCTCGGGATCACACTGAAGGGACAGGCTAACTGGATATACACTGAGGCCATTAACAACACAGACTGGTCCAGTCCTGGTGAGAGTTTGTGACTGTACCTGCAACTACACGATTATTAAGATTTTCATGATAGAAAATATTCAATATTGGACCACCAGATGAAGGCCTGTCAACAACTTTAAAATTGGTTAAGTACTGCCAACAGGAGTGTGTGTCACACATATCCTGTCCTGAATCGAAAAAAAAAAAAAAAATCCAGCTAGAAGTTGCACTCTAAAAAACCCTGGGTTGAACACCAGGATTGAAAATGGACTGACAACTATTGGGTTATTTTGACCCAAAATGTTGGATTATTCAAATTAACCCAAACTTTGGGTTGGCTCAATAACCCTTTTTAAGGGTCAAGTTAACCCAATCTTCAAGTTATTTTGACTCATGATCTTGGGTTAAATTGATTTATGCATTTGGGGATGCTTTTTTTGGGAGCATTGGTTTTACAACCTGTACCTTATTTTCCCATGTACTTTTATCAAACTGATTGTAGGCCATAGCGCTAATGGTCTTGTCTAAGGACCCACACTGGTGGATTTAGTTCGCTTGTTACAGATGTGTCTCATGTGGGATTTGACCCCCAACCCCATGGTTGGGGACTGGATGCTCTACCCACTGAGCTACCCCAGCCACCCAAAATACATTGAAGTAGCTACCCCAATATATATATTGTATATAATACTGTATATATGTATATGGCTGGGTCCGAAATGAATCACTCAATCCCTAACCCCTAACCCCCATATGGGGTTTCACTATATAGCTGACTATGTAGTGAGCTCAATTACCGGAGGTTTTGAACACTACATGGCAAGCCATGCCCACCACCAGTGAGTGACCATCAGAAGGTCTCTACATTTTGCAGTGCTCTAAGGGAAATTTTGAGTCGCCTATATGGGGCACTGGAATTGATCACTCAGGTTTCAGACACCCCTCAAAATGGCGCTAGCCCCCATATAGTCGCCTATATAGGGGTTAGGGATCCATTTCGGACACAACCTATATCATATTGTATATAAAATCAAGGTCAAAGTTCGCAAGGTCAGCAGGTCACTTTAATTGCCATTAGGCCTAGAAACCATGCAGAGTCAATCGAACCCAACGTTCTGACCCAGTTATTGGGTTACCCTCAGAAAAATAACCCATAATTATTTACCCATTCAAATAACTCTCAAATTGGGTTACACTAGAATCCATATGACCCAAGAAATGGGGATGGATCTAAAAAAAACCCAGAATTTTAACTCAACACGTAAAACCCAGGAATTGGGTTAAAGAAATAACCCAAGAGTTTTTAGAGTGTGTGCTGTTTTTCTTTAGGACTCTTTCTCTACTATATCTCCCTCGCTCTGTCTTTCAAGCCAACACAGTACTTGACCAATTTTAGAGTTGTTGACAAGCTTTCATCTGGTGGTCCAATATTGATATTTTTCGACCATGGAGTCTTAATAATTATGAAGTTGCAGGTACAGTCAGGAACTCTCACTAGGACTGGACCAGTGTGTGTCTCTAACGACCTCAGTGTATGTCCAGTTAGCCTGTGGTGGCAGCCAGTGAATTGTTTCCCTTCAGTGTGATCCTGATGTTTATTTGTCTTTTGGCATTGAACAGACTTTGCCTATTAATAGTGTCTCCTCAGTCAGAGTTGCTTACACCATGTGGTATTTTTAGTGGGAGCTTAGTTGTTTGGTGACCCTTGAGGATTTGGTTCGTGGGTTTATCTTGTATGATGTCATGTCAGGTAATCAGTCTGGAAACTGACCTGGCAAATCGCCACACAGGTAAGATTAGCCCTTTTTCCACTGCACCTACAGCAGGTGCTAGACGAGCAAAAAGGGAGTGTTTTTGTTCGTTTTTACCCTTTTTGTGGGGTCACTGCTTATTTGTATGTACTTCAAAGTTTTCTCTGTTTCTGCGTGCCTGCCTGTGTGATTTCCTTAGCTTTTTATAGTGTTTGACACATGATGATAAGATAATCTCGTGTCATATCTACACATTTCTCCTTGGCAACCGCGTAAATCAGTGCCTATAAATCCAGACGCATGTCCTCTCATTCAGATTATTCATCTCATCGTAAATCTTTTAAGGCCCTTGAGGCAGATCAGGTCAGCTGTAGAAAAACAAACAACAAAGCAGTTACTCAGATGACCTGAAAACACTCGTATCATACTGATTACAGACACTTGTTTATGATGAGGAACTTATTTCAAACAAAGTTTTTGATTATTGTAGGTATGAACCATGCAATACACCTACCCAGATAAAATAGTGTGTATTTGTGTTTGTGTTTGTAGTCAGTGTCCCTCACATTCTCTTCTAACCCTGTCCTACTTTGCCAGTGTTTTTTTAATCTAATTTCTCTCCGCCTTCTCATATGAGCTTCTCTTCGAGTGTTCATGACCACACAAGGACACATCACTGACCTCAGCCACCATTTCTTCCTTTGCCCCCCACCTTGAGCCCCCACCTCTCATCTTTTTCCACACTGGTCTTTTTAATACCCATATATCAGCTGATCAGATGTCTTGGATGCCTGAACGTGCTGTAAAAGCCTCTGGAGAGCCTGTAACCTTATTGCAATGAAACATCGACCCACTTGTTAACTTCAATAGAATACCTCCTCTCCTTCTGTCGCTCTCACTGCTCTGTTACTGTTGATGGATAAAAGCTCTCAGATTAAGTTTGCTAAGTGAGTCCTTTGATCCCTGTAAACGCGTTGACCACAAAAAGGATGTTTGGGCAGTTGTCTGCATGACGTTGCCTCTGTATAAGTGAATCTGGAGCAAAAGGTAATGCACTGTTAATAAAAACTTTTAAGGTGAAATAAAGCATGTAGCATGCATGGTACTGCATGCCTAACTGCAAGAAAGACCAATCAAGGTTCACATTAGTTGTCCTTTCTTTACTGTTTGAATAAGATCTTCTTGTTACAGTGTTGGTTTTTCACAAGGGGCTGCTGCCAAGAGAATGATATGTTCATAACCAGTCATATGACTTAAGTTTTTCAATTGCAGCTATCCATGAAACGGCTCAGCGTCAGTCACTATTTAAGTGTAATGCACTTTAGTACTTAAGTAATTAGTAAAATCAAAGGCCACATGTAGACAGATAATAATGAGGGAAATAGTAAACATGTTTGTCAATAGTACCTCCTGTTGGTTTGTTTTGATTGTTCATAGAGTTTCATAGAGACAGCTTGAGAAAACTAGCATCAGTGACAGGATATAACATGAATTTTGAGCCCTCGCTTTGCAGATGTGATCGTCTGTCAGTCTTTGTTTTTTGTTTGACGGACCAGCGACCCTTGCATGTTTATTTACCCCATCACATTGTGTGTAATAATTTAAGAACTGTGCATTTTATGGGGATTCAGCTTGTTTTTAATGATGATATTTTCAATGTGTCAGTCCCCTTTAGTAAGCTTATATATGTGGACCTGGTCTGTTTCATAAAATGAGCTGTGCTTCCTGTCATTGAAGAAACTCCGACCTACAACAATCAGGTTGAAGAAGATAGCCAGTCACAAACAAAGGGCTTTAAATCCATTAGCTGTCTCCCTAATGAAGCTTGTTAAAGTGATTAGAATCTGCTTTGTCCCTTTTGCTAGGACAGAAAAGCATTGATCCTATAAGGAGGTGTTCTTTTAACTCCACGTCCGATGTATGTTTGAAGGTAAAGGGCTGATTTCCAGCTTCCTGCTGGTTGCATACCCCACTGCCTCTCTCTGAGACTGGCACAAGCCTCATTAGTGCTGTGAAAAGCTCCCACTCACTGCCTCATGCTGCATTTGGCTCATTTTCTGTCAAGGTCATGCTTCACTTCCCTCCATCTCCTCTTGCTTTCAACAGTATATTATTTCCAATGAACAGTTTAATTTGAGGCTTTTGTGCACAGAAGCGTATTGCATCCTCTTGAGGAAAAAAAAAAGTACTCCCTCTGTTATTCTAAACCAACAATATACGGCCATTCAGTAGCACTCTGTGGGTAGCAATCCAGTATTGTAAGTATTTGCCTATTTGTCTTTGAAGTAACCCCAAGTCTGAATAAGAACAATTTGGACTTATCATCTTATATCCATTAAGTATGAGATACTATCTCAACTGATCCTGCAGAACATTAAAGCCCTGTGTGCCTGTGCAAAATCATATACTTTAACATTTACAATACCATGTTACCTAAAGACATACTTATCTGTCAGTGCGGTAAACTCAAACTTAAATGATACTGCATTAAACTACACTCCACTGGGACTTAAAGGGACTGGTATCTCACTAATTTCGAGAAACAGAGCAGATGTTTTATTGAAAAAATTTCCCAAATTCTGAGACATTTCATTAGATCATAAAAACAGAGCAGACGTGTTTTCAACAGTGAATGCAGGCTGTCTAATGAGCATTTTGTATCCTTTAATCCTGGCTCATTCCTTTAGAGGTGAACTGCCTGATACCTTCACTCACAAATGTTCATGAGTTCAAATAAATGTTTCGAATATTATGTAAATAGCACCGAGTTATCATAATTTTACCTCTTCACTGTGTGGTGAACATCATTCATTGAACTCTATGAGGAACTCCATAACGATTATCTATTTTATGCAATAGAATTTTTGATATTGTAACTTCAGTTTTTTTTTGTTTTGTTTTTTGAGTAAGGCAAACATGTGTCGACACTGTAGGACCACCCTTGGCCTTGATAAATGGTTTGCATTTATTTCTCACAAACCAGTCAGGATGTTTTACCCAAGCAGGAGTCTGTCAGCATAAACATATTTTATGTGATATATTTTAACATGTGTTTGACCACGAAAAAGGATTAGGGCCACAAGAAGAGAAAAAAATTATTAAGGAAGATTTTTTTTAAATTTCCATTTCGTGATTAGAGTCGAAATTTCAAGATTAAAGTCGAAATTCAAAAAAGTCGAAATGAAATGCCATATGACTTAAATTTGTTGTAGCCATCCATGTGCCAGAGTGCATTGGGTCCTCAGCTTCAGTAATGCCTGCACCTCAGACGCCGGGCCCGTCTGTGCACACAGGCGTAACCATTGATAACCCTGCATGTGCATCATAATCTTCGGCACAGTCTTTCAGAGTCCGAACACTTCTGTGGACCACTCTGTGTTTGTGTGCTAGGAGAGCAACGACTTCCTTGTTACTAAATCTTATTCTGAAGTACAGCTCTATAAACTGTTCTACAGTGGACATGTTGTCGAGTGACGAGCAACAATGCTCTTGATTCATTATCATAAATCTTAGCATTATGACTTTATTCAAAAAATTTCGTCTTTATTTGCGTTTACTTTAATCACGTAATTTCGACTTTAATCTCGGAATTTCAATTTGATTCACAAAATTTCAACTTAATTCCTGTCAACTTTAATCTTGAAATTTTGACTTTAATCTCGAAATTTCGACTTTGATTTCGAAATTTCGACTTTAATCTCATTCCTGTAATTATTTTTTTTTCTCTTCATGTAGCCCTAATCCTCTGTCATAGTTTGACAATCTAGAAACACAGAACCAGGTTGTTAAAAACAGTAAAGGCTTTCCCTGCTGAGATCAAGGAAATGCTGTTTTTTTTCTGAATGGTCAAGGTGCCCATTGACAAAGAATTACAACTCGGTATAAGATAGTGTAATGCACCAAAGAGATTTCCAGGACACACAAGCAATACTCAGCATCAGAGGAAATATTTCAGAAGGATTTTTGTGTAGGTAAACAACACATACGTGTGTTTAGGTGTAACTATGACTTGTCTCTACTTGTTGGTCATGGCCCATTTTCCTTGTGTGTTCGCAGAGATGGGATTAGATTATAGAGATTAGAGCTGTTGAGCTTTGTGACTCTGCTCCCTGCACAACAAGCCAGTGTGCAACACTGATGTACACATATCATATAAAAAGACACACAAGGTTATTTCAGGACCAAGCCACACAACCTTGAAATGTTCATGTGTTGTAAAAGGAATACACCAGCAGTGTTGTGTGTTATTTTCCTATCTCCTATATTTTGTATCAATGTGAAACTGAGCTGTATTTACAATATGTTTCTTAATGTTAAAGAAAAAAAGAAATATTTTAGATTATACCCCAGCTTCCAGCTCTTGTGTGATAATTTAGCAATCAATACACTCAACAATGTTAGTATTATGTGTGCGAAGTAACCTGGTAAAAGTTGAACACACAACATTTTCACTTCTTATAACTCTACAGCATTATGAGATAGCTGCTAAATGAAGTCTGACAGCTCATATATGGTGCTATTTGTATTTTGCGCTGTGTTTTGTCTGTACACATTATAATACACCTCTCCAAGCCAATTATTCTGTGTGGTTGGAAGTTTTGTATTTTGCAGCACATGTTTTTTTGTATCTGTCTCTTTCTCTGTTCTGTTGTTCCTCTCCTTTCCCTGACTCTGTATGAGAAAATAGAGCTGCTTGTTTTGAAAACCCTGCAGTCACACAGAAAAACAGCTGGGTTCAGCGTCTCTCCACCACCTTGTTTTGAGTCCTCTTTCCTCTCTCTTCCTCTAGACCCCCTCCCACAAGTGTCTTTGTTTGCTTGCTCATTTCCCCTCAAGGGTTACCACCCAACAACCTGCATTGGCTGCTCCTGATTGGTGGATTGCTTGTCATGAGGGTTGGCCCAGTGTCAGGATTGTGAGAGCTTTACCAGTGGTGAGCCAAGCCTGAGCTGTCAGAAGCGTCCAGTCTGCAGCAGAGGCACATGCGAGATCGGTCTCTGTTTTGCTTTGCCTGCCACTGCAGAGCCTGTCCAAACCTCAGATTTAAAGACCCAGGCTGTTTTTTTCCCCCCTTTTTCAGCTCAAAGACTGTCAGACTAGGAGGTGAAAGGAATTCTGTATCCTCTAAATCTTGGCTTATAATTCTGTTTCTCCCTGTTTCCTAATGCCCACGGTAGCGTGGTTGGAGCGAGAGGAGGATGGGTCCGGCTGTGGAGGCTCAGACCCAAAAGGCTGTGGATGCAGAGCAAAAAAAGCAGCAGCAGCAGCAGAACCAGCTGCAGCACAAGCAGTGCTACATGGAAAAAGGGGTGATGCTTGAGCCCTTCATTCACCAGGTGGGGGGACATTGCTGTGTCTTGCGCTTCGGGGAGCAGACCATCTGCAAACCTCTGGTCCCCCGAGAACATCAGTTCTACAAGAGTCTGCCTGCTGCAATCAGGAGGTTTACCCCCCAGTACAGAGGTAATGTAAACCTGCCTTTTCAAACATGTACTGTGGCTTTGTGTTGTTGTACATCCCCCCCTCAATTTGATTAGTCTGTGTGCATGTGTGAAAGTCAGGTTGGGATTGAAGCATTGCTGGTTGCATGTAAAGTGTTGTTTCCAAGACCCCTGGGTCACACTCGTGTTGTCTCCAGGTGCCTCTCTGCATTTACTAAACTATGCCGCAAGAGGGTGCTGAGGCTAAAAATAGCCCAAACAGGCAAACAGGCACCCTGTTGTGTTGTCCTGTCTGTAGGGGGCTTGTATAAGACAGGTAAGCCAAGCTGGCCTCCCCCTTTTCTCTAGCACACAAACATCATTGTGGACAGGTTACAAAGTGAGACTCTGCCGGGCAGATGATGAGGTCATCTAAACAGGTCAAAACAAGTGCACATGCACAAAACCTGACTGCTGAGTACCTCTCGAACTTGACAGACTCCACACCCTATAGAGGCTCTTCAAAAATGGTGTGTTGTAAGTGACAGCAAAAGAGCCTGTTGGGTTGGTTTCAATGACACGTCTTCATCGACATAAATATTTGTGTTGACAGGCTTGAGCATTTTTTCCCTTTTTTTCCTATAGTGTAACTTGCCTTTGGTTGTCCTTAAAGCTTAATTATAGTCTCACACACTTTCTCCAAATTACTGAGTGTCAATCAAAAGAACTCCTGAGCTCAAGAAAGGACATGACATTTGACGCTACATCTTTCTTTTATATTTGCTGCAACTTGAGTATTGATTAAAAAAAGCTCATTATTTCTACATCAACATTTTCACCTTTTTATCTTGACTTTCATGAACCCTCTTATCCCCCTCTTTCTCTGGGCCTCACCTTCAAGCCCTTTGTTGAGGATCTATGTGGAAAAGAGAAAAAAATAAGTCCTCTGATCTTTGCTCCTTAATGTTTTTTGGACTCCTCCGTCCGTGCATAGCTTAAGCATAGATTTACATAGTATTTTTTTGTGTATGCTCATCTTAATGGTTTCTTAAAGCCATATGATGTCTGTATAACTAGTAATTTGTTTGAGGAAAAAAAGGTAATAAACAGAGCTGAATTAAATTTGGAAGCCTCATGTCATTTTTGTTTGGGCTGTTTTTCTTGCTGTGTTTGCTTTTGAACATAAAACCCGAAAAAGATCATGGTTTGTTTTTGTCTGTATTTGCAATGAAAACCAACTGAGCATAAATTTATAGATTGTTTTTCTTGAGTTATGACTTGTTCACTGTGTCTTTGCAGAGGACTCTTGTCTGGTTCTGTTTGTCTGTCACAGTTTTGTCAAGTAATGAATGTTAAAAAAAAAAAAAAAAAAAAAAAAACAGAGGCTAAAATGATTAACTAGTTTGCGAGGATATGAAACAAACATTTTTTAGCATGTTGAACTTATTCCTCTCAGATTTTTTCACGTGAGTGTGACATGTCTGACTGATGTCTGCCTTGTCCCATTCTCAGGTGTGGTGTCAGTGAGCTTTGAGGAGGATGATGAGGGAAACCTTTGCCTCATCGCTTACCCCCTCAGGAATGACCCGGCATCAGATCTGGAGAACCAAGACCCTTCAGCTGACTGCGACAAAACTGTCAAAATGATATCCTCTTCAGCGCTTGTGGACAGCGAATATTACAACAAAGATTTACGAAGCCGCCACTCACGTAAAGACAAGGAGAAGAGGTGAGAAAGCAGGACACAGTGGGACTTTTCACTCATGGTAGAGAGTAGAGAGCGTGGTTGATGCAACAGATGGGCACAAAGTGAGTCACACTCACACTTGTATCTCAACCGTAGTCTTCGGTTTTTTATGAATGGAAAAGCCTTACAAGTCCTACAACTGGTATCAATCAACTGATGATGTACACATACAACCTAAGGAAAAACTGGCTTTAAATACAGTAAGAGGCTCATCCCTAGCCTTGGCAGCCAGACAGAGGGTCAAAGCCTCAGTGTTACATAACTGCAGTAGTTGCATATGCGTGCATACACACAAACACTAAACTTAGCCAAACCCGATGTAGTGCTGTGAAATGACTGGAGGGATGATGTTGGCTGACTGCGAAAAATTTCTGATGGGTGGATGATAGTTGACATAGGACACTTTCCAATTGAGCTCTTCTTCAAAGCTGATAGAGATTATCATTCCCTTCTTGTTTTATGCTCTGTAACTTGGATCTGCACTTTTACAAATACTTACAGAGCCTTTTTGTTCTTGATTCCTTCCTTATTGTGACTCTCTTTCTGCTGTCCAGTGTTCACAAGCTGCAGGGAGATGTGGGGCTCGAGTGGCTGCGGCAGGCTGAGGTGCTCTACTACAGACTGGAGCGTAGTCATAGTGACGCCGTACCGCAGCTCAAACACAATCCCTGGAGCCTAAGCTGTCAACAGCAGCACCTGCAGAGAATGAAGGAGAACTCAAAGCACCGCAACCAATACAGTATCCTGTTATCGGCTCCGCTCCAATCTGATGCATTGTACTGCTTTCTTGTTCTTGATGACAGAATTAAGTAACAGCTTCAAAACTGTTGGAGGAAAATCAAAAAATGCCTGTAAATGATATGGAATATAAGCGTTAGCCTTAAATATAGAAGAAGTTCTTTTCCGGCTCTTATCTCCTTGACTCAGTTACCCAGAATTCATCCTGCTAGAGAACCTGACGTGGCGGCACAAACTGCCATGTGTGTTGGACCTGAAGATGGGAACACAGCAGCATGGAGACGACGCCACAGAGGAGAAGAAAGCCAAGAAGATCAGCAGGTGCCAGCAGAGCACGGCATCTTCACTTGGAGTCTGCCTCTCAGGCATGCAGGTGAGTTTCAGACTGTCTTCAGTGCGTCACCTTTTCAATATAAATCAATAAGACACTTTACAGGCAACAACCTCACAAACCCCTGAGAAATATATCCTATCATTCTCTTTCCAGTCTCTCTCTATCTGCCCTTTCATTGCTACCACTGCCCTGCACTGTAACTACACTTAGTCGATTTTGTCTTCTTGCCCTGCCATCACCACATTATCCACCTGCAGGCTCTGACTCTAAATGCATCACTCTTCAAATATCTGCCTGTTAAATGCAGGGGGTGATAAAGTTTGAGCCCAGGCACTAAACAAAAACTGAACTGCTGCTGCAGTCAATATTTCAAAGCATTACAATGCAAGTTGTTTGAGTGAGCTGTAAAAGGACTGAGTAACTTGTTCACTTTCCTGTTTAGTGCATATAAAACCCCTTAAGGCTGCACTTTCATCTTGAAAGAAATCACTTCTGTCATGAAGGACATTTTAAGTCCACTTGTTTTTCAAAATTTTTTTCTGGCTTAAAATACACTCTAGCGATGTTTAGATCTTTTGTAATTTTTTAACAAGTTTATGTGACCAACAGTTTATTCTACCAAAAGAAAAACTGTGAAACATCACTGCAATATTGTCTGGCAGCACCTTAACTTCCCTCCCTCCCAAACTCTGACTCTGCTCTCTTTTTCCAGTTTACAATGACCATACATATTGAGGATTTTATATACACATTGTTATTATATGTCTGTAAACTCAAGAGTACATACAATTAAATATCACATTTTTTATGAACTTATCCTCTTAAGTAACTCCTGATGAGATGATTAGTGTTTGTAATTGTTTTGTGTTGTAAGTCTGTAACTTTGTAAGATTTCCCGCTGCCAATCTTGGCCAGAAACTTTCATGTAGCCGAGTATTTAAATATTTTATACATAATGTTTTAAATGAGGCCATAAAATATAGACCAATGGGGTGCTCACATCAAATGTGAGTAATCCAACCTCCTCACTCGCTTTCTTTCCAGGTGAGCTCCTTTTTATTCTGGTTTTGGTAATTAAAAGAAAAGGTATCATACATTGATACGATCAGTTTGTCCTCCATTTTAGATACCAATGAACAACCGCCTGTTGTCATACGTCACCCGGCAACCTTCATGCTAATTAGTTATTGCTGCGCAAATATCCGGTCAAGTTGAGACATATTTAGTGTCTGCCCAATTCACGTCATTCGCGTCTTTACATTGACTTAACATGTAATTCATTCGCGTGAATGGTTTTACTCGCGCTTGGTGTGTGGAGACAGTTAAGGAGTTTTATATGAAAAAGCAAAATGATGGTGTGGATCTAAGGTCTATTTTCTCCATCTCTTCAGGTGTATCAGTCCGACACGGGGCAGCTGATGTTCATGAGCAAGTTCCACGGCCGCAGACTGACACGGCAGGACTTTAAAGAAGCTTTGTTCCAGTTTTTCCACAGTGGAAGGCGCCTGCGACATGAGCTCCTCTCCCCGGTGCTCTACAGGCTCAGAGACATGCAAGCTGCCCTGCAATCCTGTGAATCCTACCGCTTCTACTCCAGCTCCCTGCTCATTATCTACGACGGAGCCCACCAAAAGCACACACGCCAACACAATGAGGATAGCCTTTCTGAGGAAGAAGAGGAGGAGGAGGAGGATGACGAGGAGGAAGTAGAAGTTGAACCAGAAAAGGAAATGGAGGATGAAGAGGAGGTGGAAGAAGTTGCAGATGCACTCGGTTTTCCTCACAGCCCTTCGATGTCTAGTGATGACAGCAGCAGCAGTGGTGGAGGCTCAGGTGTTAGCAAGGCTCGCTTGTCTCGAGCAGACCCCCGCAGCCCAGAGGTGGACGTGAGGATGATAGACTTTGCCCACACCACCTGCAAATACTACCAGGAGGACAGAGTGGTGCACGAAGGTCTGGATAGTGGCTACATGTTTGGTCTCCAGAACCTGATCACCATCATTTCCGAGCTGGAGAACCACAGCACAGACTAAAGACAGACAAGACTCTCATAAACTCAGACTAAGACACACAATAAGACTGGACTGGAGGACTGGACTACAGAAGTCTCCACTTCATAATAAGACCTTGTTGTAGCTGGCCATCTAGTGGACCTTATTCCTTTTTCTGCCATTGGTGCTTCTTGATGTTCCTGTTTTGTGTGTCCGTCTTTGGGATTAAGAAGCAGATCTGCATGTTACATAGACAAGCCATCTGTGTGACAAATGCAGCGTTTTACCACCGTCATTGTTCTGTTTAACCCAGTTCACCGATAGGACAAAAAGGGTAGGCATAATATACAGACAGTTTAAAGTCTGAGATAGTAGAGCTGTTTCCCTCGTGTCGGATTCCAAAGAAAGTGTCTGCGTTTTGCACACACAAACACGCACTAAAACAGGTACTGTTAAACAAGTGCGTGTTTCCACAGAGATAGGGCTTTTTGACAGAGAGTTGTATGTGTGTGAAGACTGTCAGTGGGTGAAGAGGTGAGAAGAATAGATTCTTCTCTCAGAGAGGCTATAGTCATATAGGAATCAGAGACAGATGAGATGTAGTTACTTTTTATTTTATATCTTTCATAAAATGAACTAAAAAATGGGAATGGGAAGAGTAACATTCCATGTTGTCAATGTAGTAATGATATTAATATTGTTATTTGACATGTTTGGATACCTCTATCTTGTATGTTTGTGTTGTCCACAGTCTTTTGGAGGAAAGAAATTAAAGACTTGGGTTTGTTCTAGCATCTGTGTCATCCTTCCTGTGTGTTGCTGCTTGCAGACGAGGTCAGGGCTGCTAATTTTGATGAATTTAAGTGTTACTCCAATCAAGTTTCATGCTTTATCGGGGTTATGAGGACATCTTTGTAGTGTGAACCTATTTTAAGATGCTGGTGCCTACATGTAAGGACTCATATTAAAAGCTTTATTAATTTTTCTTTGGAAAGAATGTAAAGACTGCTGTATCAAACATGAGCCCAACCTCACCACCTGGTGTACAGATGAACAACTGGAGCGTATGCTAAGCCTGGGGCTCTTAAGAGATACATTCTGAAATACTGTGGAGTGCAGCCACACACAAGAATCCTGAGTCACATCTATAGGGTTATTTACACTGTCAAGAAGAATTTCTCTGATGTAAAGATGTTAAATAAGAGGGATTTGTTTAGCAGCATAGAGTATGACGACATCCCCAGCTGCCTCAGCCAGTCCTGGTTATCTCCAACCGGTCTGAAGCAGCTAGAGCGGAGTTAAACAGTCTGCTCTCAGAGTCACAGCCTCTGTGTGATGTGAGGAGTACGGGCAGTTTGCACGGTGATGAGCTATTAGGCCGACAGTGGCCTGTGTCAACAGAGAGCACTTCAGTGTCCTCTTCTTATGGGATGTACTGTACAGCCAGCACAGATATCCACCCAGCAAACCAACTTCAAATCTGTCTGAACAATGTCTCACTCACAGACATGCATGCCTTTATTTTGTTGACAGAAAGCAGACAAATTACTACAACACATTAGTTTATTGTGCCTTAAATCTTTTAAAGATAGGCGCTTGAAGGGGAGCTGAAGGGTTAGAGACCGCATGCTAACAGCTTTAAAGTAAGGCAGAGGCAGAGCGGGAAACCTTGGGTGTGATTCCAGGATGCAGATGTGGAGTAGAGACCCTCAGGTGACTAAGCAGAGGGCCATCTTGAGCAAACTACCGCTCGTACGGACGGGCAGAAGAAAGAGCCATTCTAGCGGTTGACGTTGAGGCAGAAAAAGTTAGCACTCAGGTTCGTAGAGAGTATGAAACCACTTTGGCTGATGATTGACCTAACTGTTTCGCAGAGTGTCGTAGGCTGATATTGCGAACAGCTGCATCTCAGTCACCTAAACTGCCAGGCTGCTGACTGAGCCTGGAGGGTAAAATGGCGCTTGGTTTCAAACTTGAGTGTTTATGAGGCAAGCCAGGGGGGTTTATTAAACACCTTGGCAGAGGGAGCACACTTGGGTTTCCAAAATTTCTGCTGAGAGTCGGCAGGAACAGGAAAAAGGTGTCAGTCGGGACTACCGTCTGTTGCTCTGGGGATTCAGGTATGGTATTTCAGGGTCCAGCTTACTGGGCTTCTGGGAGTGAACTGGTGAGGTCAACCACAGGGGAACCAGCAACAAGTGTCAGCTAGGCTGTCAGTAGGCAAGAGGATCAGTTTCTTTCTCAGCCAAGCCTTGAACAGGGGATATGGAGCAAATTTATAGTGACCTACTATAGGAACAGGTGTTAGGCCATCATCCATGAAATAAGAGTAGATGTTGGCCAGGCAGCAGACCAGGAAACAGGTAGGACCGGTATGTCTGTGGCAAAGATAAACTGAGTCCTTTTGGTGTGGCTGAAGCAATGAGAAAACCATCTCTGTTGGGAGTCATGCAGACAACGGCTTTCTCTGGGAGCTTTATGTTGCAAATTGTGTAATGAGAGTCAGTTTGAAGGTCCACTGTTGATGGCTGGTAAAACGGCTGGTTTTGCCCATTGAAGGCCCATGGTAAAGGGTGAATGATTAGAAAAAAAAAGGTCTATGGACCAAAAGCCAATCCAAAAAAGGGAAGGCTAAGACTTGACTGGGGTTGGTAGCCAAGCTGAGGGGAGCTGTCCAAATGCTAGGAGGTTGGTAGGCCGGGCAAGGTAAGGAGTTTGGTAGGAGATTAAGGGCTTGAGGTAGGTTTACTGCACAAGTTTGCTGAAAAGCAAGCTGGCGGCTTATAGATAGAGAGTGAGGTTAACAGCTAACAGGCTAAGAGATTTCAGGCTGAGATCCAGAATGATAGAAGTAGGCTAGTGGGTTGTGCCCTGGATACCAGCAAGGTGGAGCTTGAGGTCTATATTTATTGTTTACAATGATACACAAGTTAACTAACATACTCTTATCTTAAAAGTGACTCTGTTGAGACTGCACACAGAAGGAATGGGCTAAAGTGCAAGCGACATACACCCAAAGGCAGAAAACAAAACAGAACAATGCAGTAACAAAACACACAAGAAAAAACTGTCAAGACAATAGATCAGTATTTTTGTTTTATGAGGCTGATAGGAGAAATTGATGTACAACATACACAGGAGGGATTAGACAACCCAGGACTCACTTGTGGGCAAAGTGTTTGAAAATGGGCAAAGGAAAGAAAGTCAGAGGGGCCTCCGGTGGAGACTTTGGGAGTAGCATGTTATGAACAAATGAGAAGTACGATTTGAGACTGTTAATGAATGAATAAATGTATTTCCTACACTTCACATGACTAAAAGGTTTTTTCAGAATAAGAATTGGAGATAAATATTTGAGGGGAAAAGAAAATGCTATTATTATTATTACAAGTTTTCTTACTGACATCAATGGTTGACTGAAAATGTTTACTCTCATGTACGTACAGTATGCAGTTCTTAGCCTAAGACTGTGCTCTTTCCTAAGCTGAATCAGGACAGTACGATGAAAGGTCAAAGTTTAACCCGCCAAAGGCATTAGCAAGGCAGACAGACACTTAAATCTTATAAGAGACTGGGTCAGGGCTGGGGTTAGGATTGTTTATGAGCACACACTGGGTTTACACAACAAGTTCAGGTCTCATATCTGACTTCTTTAAAAGACTGCTAGAGATCAGGTGCAGAGCCAGGCAGTCCCACTGTGGGCATTCATGTGATGTTTATGTGCTGTGTTATTATAGAGGGATGGAGGGACTGATACATGAGAGGATGGAGGGACAGAGGAGATAAGCTCTTCCATCTCCACTCTACTGGGAAGAGGGGGGTGGCAGCCGATGTTGTGTAACAGCCCCAGGGTCAGTGGGCTGCTTCTAACCATCAAAATGGTCTCATTCTGTCATCGTATTGTGAGGCTGCATATGTATATTACACCACATGTATGCTGTAAATTCACAGCTTTTTTTTTTTACTGGGGGGCTACATACCTCTCTATGAAATTAGTGTGTAATTGCGTATACCCCACTGCTTTATAAAGGTTCCTGCTGCAACTGGAACGGTTGCATAACAGTGGTTGAAATCACTATGGCAACAACAGCCTTTGCTGGGAATAAAATAGTGTCATGACTTTTGGGGCCATGGGAATCACACACCTGATAAATACTATTTACCACTCATCTGTTAATTCAACACCTCTGCTCTATTATGTTATTCAATCTTAGTTTTTCTGTGTGCATATATGAGCTTAATCACTGCAATACTGGCACACACTTGCAATAAACTCACCGACTGAAATGTCCTCTCCTCATAAAAAATCAGTAACTTCATTACTTTGAATGGCAAAATCATCTGTACAAGATGAAGCTGAGGTCATGAATGGCACAAAGTTAATTTGCTTGTTTCTTTCCTTCCATCGACTCATTTCCTTTATTTCAGTAGTTCACTCATTATCTGAGGACAATCTAATAACTAAGGAGGACTGTCATTTATTAAACTGTAAAGAGGCTGCTTACTATTTCACAGTGTCTCCATCTTTCTTTCTGCATGGAGGTTTATGCATATGAAGCCCGATTTTTTTTTATAACATACTGGTAGACAAACAACATAAACCCAAATTCATATACGACAGAGGTCTCCCGCTTTGTGCCTTTTATTTGAGAGGGCAAAATAGTTAAAAACAACCTTTCTGTGCGGTGTACAGGCTAACGGAAGTCTCTTGTTTGTTATCCTCAGCAACATGTCCCATTGCATTTGCTCACTGCACTGCCATCTGAGAGGAGCCCCATTGTCTGTCACGCAATCTGGTTTACAAGCATGCAGTGGATGGTGCTGCCTCAGGCTTGAAAACAGAGTGGGGTTTAAAACCAGTCAGCACTGTTGAGACTATAAGGTACATCACGAAATTCAGTTTTCCCTGTGGAAGACAGTCCGGCCAGTTGGACCAAAACCTACTTGTGTAGTATTTTAACTTTAACTCATGTTACTGTAAATTGTGTAACTTCTTTAAAAAGACTGTTGATCATGTAGAGTATGATGGCTAAAATGATGCAAAAACATTGTCGTACACCTGTTTTTGTGAAGTAACGAGTAAGGAAACTGTTAAATATTACATGATTCACTCCTACATAAAGACAGACCCATTCTGACAGATGCTAAATTGAGTTGACACAGTGTTGACACACTTTACTGGCAGTTACATAAACAAGTCAATACTGTAATGAGGGCAAGAGGAAAGACAGGCAGAATGTAGAAGATGCATCTGTTGCCCAGAAAGAATATAAAAGTAAAAGTTTATGTGGTGTAGTTAGAACTGTTAGGATTAATCTCCTGACCTGATTAAAATCTGTGAATTATTTGATCAAAGCTCAGCCAAGTGTGAATGTGTAACCACTCACAAAAAGTTGGTCATCAGGTCAGTTTTTCCAACAACCCCTGTTGGATCACAGCCTGTAACAAGTCCCTCAGACAACGTGCACCATGCTTACAACAATAAAGTAAACATATTAATATTAAGACTGTAACAATACAGTCCACCTTGGTTTAGCATAAGAGCTTGAGAGCATCTGCTAAAGCAGTGGTCCCCAACTTTTTTTGGACCAGGGACCAGTTAAATGCAGGAAACAGGGACCGGGTAGGGGCGTGGAGGTTCCAACAACAAAAACCTTAATCAGTACATAGTATGTAATCTGGATACAAAAATTACATTTTATATTAGGCACTTTTCATTACACTTTAACCCATTAAGACCTGAACCCTGTCTGAGACACGCCTCTGAAATACTGAGGGCAATTTTGAGAAGGGCCCCCGGATCCTGAGGTTTTCTTAAGTGTCAAGGTTTACAAAAGAGCTGATATCTCGGCCTCTGTAGCAGATAAAAACAAAATTCAAAAAGTATTTGAGAGCTTACACGTGTGGTTTTCAAGGTGACTATCCTCTATTTTTCTGAACCTTCATCACATTTTTGAAAACTTTGAACAAACAAACTCAAATAAAATAAAGCGGCTGTATAAATAAAAGTAAAGGCTCTGCTCTGGAGAATAACAATTTGCTTTCTGTAAAACAATTGGCAGTTATGATAAAGTGTCCATTCAAAACAAACATAAACATAAAAAATAAGGTGTTGAAAGGGTATGCAGCTGCCCTCGTATAGTGCCAGTAAAAAAACAGCACTAAAAACAAAAAGATAAATAAATAAATAAATAAGTGGCTGACAGTGTGTTCATCTCTGTGCTCACCCAAAGTCATGCAACACTCACAGAAATCACCGATAGTGTGAACCAAAGCACTCCATATGAAGAGGTTGTTCACACTGCAGGATGTTTCTCCTCTGAAGCTGCTCTCTGCCTTCGTTATTGTTTACTTTCCTCACGAAGCTCGTTGCAAGATCCGAGCATGAATCCGATCGCTTTATAAACCTATCAGAGGCAGATGGGTGATGATTTGATTTGCCACGACTCCAGAAATGATTAAAAAACAACAGAATGTTACAAAATGGCGTATCCGCGCTTGCGGCTTGAAGGGTAGAAATGCGTACATGCTGTCCCGGTTTAAATGGGTTAAAATCAACCCACCATAATGCAAAATCGACCCTTTCTCTCTGCAGTGAACTCTGTTTCTGTCTCATTTTTGAAAGGGCTAGCTTGTGTTGCTGATGCAGGAAAATGACGTGCCGGAGAGTCAAGCGCGAAAGTGAGGTGATGGCGGAAGTGGTGGTCTTTTAAAATGAGATACTGGAAGGATGGATGAAAAGAAAAAAAAAAAGTGGACCTCTGTGCTAAAGTACATGAAGCACCAAGTAAACCCAAGGTTGACTGTGACTGCAAAAAAATCAGACAATGTAGAGTTTAAGCTGAGGATCTTTGAGTTGACCTTAAACACACATTTGTTTTCCAAATGTGAAAGGTACATTTTGTAGATATAGGAATATTAATCTAGCAGTCTGTTTCAAGATTGAAACAGTCCTCCTGCTCAACCCTTCTGTTAGTGAAGAGTCAGTGAAGCTATAGAGGACTTCCACAACAAGAAGCTGCTTTAAAACATAACAAGTATGATCCTCCGCTTGTCAAGTTTTACCATCAAAAACTTCTGTGAATACATCAAGGAGCTGGGCTTCTTTGTAGACTTAAAAGACTCATTCCAAGTTAACAAAACGAAACATTAAATTTTAAGTAATTTAAATATACTAAGGGTACCTAGTATGTTTAGATACATTTTGGTATATATGACACACAATATTTTAAGGCAACCAATAATCAGAGTTAATCAGAGCTAGCTTTCCAGAGTTGGAGCTAGCAGGAGCATCTAATGACTCTCACCAACTGATCCCATTACAACTGGGCTAACCACATTTTCTCATCAACAGTGAAGTGCACTAAAGAGCTCCAGAGTGCAACGGTTGATTCTTGAGTCAAGACAGTCACTTTGTTTTATGGCTCGACTGAAAAGTGTTTTCAGTCTGGGCTCCTATAAACTCTGGAATGACCTGTCTGGGGATATTAAGTCAGCTGACCCAGTGCACTCTTTTAAGTCACCTCTTAATACTCACTTTAACTGATTTTACTGAATTTTACCTGATATGTTATGATGTTGTGTTCAAATATGTAACTGGTTTTGAAGCTCAGAGGGGATAGATCTTTTCTGTTGCGGCCCTAAAATTATGGAATGAGCTAGCTACCTCTCCAAATCAGACAAGCCCCAATACTGTCCATTTTTAAAACTCGTCTTCAAACCCATTTTAATTAATTGGCTTTCAACCCTGCACGAGGCTCCTGTTTTAGTGTTTTATGGTTTGTTTTTAGTTACTGTTTTCTATGTTTTTAAATTAGTTTTTAAAAACATTGAAACTATATTTTACTTTTTTGATATCTGCTTTTATTTTACACTTTGTTTTTTGATAGTTTTTATGTCTGCGTTGTTTTGTCTCTTTATGTACGAGCGCGAAAGTGTTCAGCTGTGATTGTTTAAAAGTGCTTTACAAATAAAGTTGAGTTGAGTGGTTTTATATTTGTTAAATGTACATTTTTCTGTTTCCTGTCTTGTAAAGCACACTGTAATTGAGATTTTGAAAAGTGCTCCATAATGAATCAAGATTATTATGATTACTACTATGGGTTGCCATCTGCCTAAACACATGCCCCATGTACAGAGGCTCCTCTTTACATTGATCAATGGCCCAGTTGTTTGCTGCATTTCTCCTCTGACTCTCCTCCTCACATTTCCTGTTTCTGATCACCCTCTCAAATAAAGGCAAAAATATCTAAAAGAAACCTCATTTGTGAAAAAATGAAATAAACTTTGAATATTGATGATACAATGTTCTTACCTCTTACTCATAGCAGTTCACATTCCAGCCTCTTGGTGATTAATTTCTACACAAATACAAAAACTGATCCATAGAAAAATCTGAATGTTTTCAGGAATAATCTATGAAATATTTGGATAAAATAACATAACATGATGGAACAAAACCCAACAAATATTTATCAGTGAAAGTTAAAATCGTGTCCTAACCCCATCATTCCAGTATAAATCATTTAGTTCATGAAATCCTGGCTCTGTGACTTGATCCATCTGTCACTTGTGTACAGAAACCAGCTGCTGCAGTAAAACCATGCTGATACCAGGACCAGGACTGATTTTAAGTTTTAACCACTTGATAGAATCAAAGTGACAGTTTGTGAGAACGTCTGATGACGACACTTGCCATGTAGGCTCAGTCCGCTCATGCTTTCTCATAAACAGAAAGGATGGACTAAGAGACAGGGGCAAATGAAGCCAGGATGTAATTAGAGGGTTGCATAACGGTGGCCGTGACGCTGTGGACCAGGCGTCACGGCCTCCAGCTGGCCTGAGGCCCCTGCAGTACTCAAAGCATGCCAGCCAGCTCTGTCAACCTCATTTACACTGACCTCTTAATTACGATAATGAGCCATCAGAGGCACAGATTAACACTAAACAAACTCTTTATTCATGGTTTATCCATGAAGGTGAAATAAAAGAAGACTTTCTGCCCTACCAGATCAGTCCGTGGGTGTTACTCTGCCTCATATTTCAGTGCCAGGTCTAAATTGGATTAGTGGGGATTACAGCATTTTTAGCAGTTAGATAGATAAAATAAATACAGAAAACATTGTGAAACAGTTTGAGTGTTACAAAAGGAGTCACTGCTGTTCACTGTCTGACATGGTTCCAAATGTGCTAAAAAATTATTATGAAACTAGCAATCTAGCCTTTTACCTAAATTACTGTGATGTCTGCATTTCATGTTCGCATTCCAGCTTTCCTCACATCAGACAGTCTATCCACTTGTGTCACTCTGCATAACATGACAACGTGAAGGAATACTGCATGTGTTTGTTCTGAAAATGCATATATTCATTGGAGTAAAACAAGTCTTCTTTTATTCATAGCAGTGATTATAAAAAGCGTGCAGTGACTGTCAATGACAATGAAGTCACCGACATTCATGACAGTCATTTAATGACCTCCCTACGAGTCAGATTATTATGTCAGAAGAGGAGACATTATTAGAGAGCTCTTTTAACCAGAGAATGACCTCTATGTGGCTGTGCAGTATAAATTATTTTAAATTTTCTTCATGATTTTTCTTTCAGAGTAGGTTCCTATCTTATGAACTCTTTCAGGATCAACTCAACTGCACACGCACATTTTAGCAGGCATAGAAAAACATTATAATTATGTCATTAAAATGAGAAATTATATTTAATTTCTATAATAGATTTCTCTAAATGCTGGTTCTTTACTGCATGTGTTGCTTTGGGTTTTTTGATATCTGGAACTGAAAACTAAACAATATAAATATAAAGACAACGCTGTAACTATGATTGTCTTTCCTTTTTTTTGCTTATTTTTAATCTTTCATTCACTGACCTATCAAAGGATCACAACAGTAGAATTAACAGCTGTAACATTTCATAATGTTCCATTTTGCTATCTTTGTGTGGGTAAATTGTTAAAATATTGTATCATGATTAAATAAATCAGGGAACACATATTCCTGAATTTTTGCCTGTCATGCCACATGAAGATTCACACTAATGTGTACAAAGGACCAAATTAGACACACCAGTTTCCTTTTTCTGTTGACAAGCTTTGTTATATTCCCCCTTGGTTTTCTTAGACGAGCTGATCAACAGCTTATGTCGCCTTCACTGAACAACAGGGATCATCTTCCTGTGTACTGGGGCAAAGACATGATCTTGGTGTTCTTACCACAAATATTCTAATGACAACATTGAACAAAGCTCGGTCTTTGAAATTAAATGTTATGATATGCAATTGAAGGATTCAATGAGTCATTTCTTGGATAGGGTATTGCAATACTGGCTATTTTAGTCTTCCAGCACATGAATCTAATTTTCAACATGGCTTTTTTTTCTTTGTAAATGCCTGTGTAGCTGTAGGATGTAGAATGTACATAGAGACATTCTGGTCTCTTGCACAGCCTAAGTTCAAGGTATTAGGTCTGTAATGATATAATGGTAAGTTTACATAACAGGCTGTCACAGACAGACAGAGAGTCCTCCACAGGTGCTCAGTAAAACCTGTGCTTGGGAAAATGTCTAAGTTATTATGAATTTGAAGAGATTTTTTAATGTTATTTATTTAAATGTTAAATCGCATATGCTAGATTGAGCTGTGATACATTTCTTTAAATCCCTATTTGCCATACTGAAATAATTTCATTTCTAATGCAGCTAATAATAACTTCTGAAATAGAGAGAAAAAATATGTACACCAAATCCTGTAGAGAGCAAGCTTTTCAGTCGCTTGAGAGGGGGCTGTGTGGTATTTGTAAGTCTTCACCTTTGTGTTAGCTCACTGCTCTGTACCCATTATGTAACCTTGTGAACAAATATCTCTTTATCTGGAGGAAGATGAGCGAGCCACCAGCCTTTCCCTACCTATGTGTAGTAGTAGTAGTTTTATTTGATCATATTTAGTGTAAAAGTATATGTTTGTGAAAAGATTATATCACTTGTTGTAGTGGTCACATTCTCAGTCAGTGATCATGTTATTCATTGAACACCTTTGGTTGTGCAATGCTGGTGACACACTTGGCCACTGACCCATACTGATCGAGCAATAACACAGCAAAGACCAAATGTTTCAGCCAACTGGATATTGATGTATCTGATCGGTCAAAACTCTTTAAATTTGCTATTATCTGTCACTTGTTTAATTTTTGAGCACAAAAGCACACACGCACACTACTTACACACACAACAAAAGTAACAAAAAGCATGGCCTGATCTCAGTCCTGGAACAACACTGAGCTCTAGTGGTGAGAACGCTTAAGGAGCTCTAGCATGGGAAAACTGAGTGGTTTGTGGAGAGTGGTAGTAGTGATAGTAAAAGTGAATTCACAAAGTATCAACAAAAGACTTCACTTCATTGTTGAAATTCTGGTATTCTACTGAAAATCTGTGGCTCACACCAGCCACACCAAATAAAAAAAAAAGATCTATTTGTCTAAATTTGGCCCAATAATACAAACATAAACCTTAGTGTTTTTTCTGTAAAAAAAGAAAAAGGTGCGATAAGACAAAGGTTAGTTAGCAAGAAAGTCATAAAACTATTATTCAATATATTATATTAAACAGATTCAGAAGCTTATACTTACTTTCTTCGGCCTCGGTGTCCGAGAGAAGCTCAGTGAGACAAAAGTGAGACAAGACAAAGATTGGTTAGCAAGAAAGTCTTTCAATTTTTATTCAATAAATAATAGTATCAAGTGATATTTTCAGGTGGGAGAGGGAAAAAGTGATATTTAAGTGTTAGTAAGACTGGCAAACACTCTTTGAATTATAATGACAATAATGGGACATAAATAATCAACAGTTTTCTTGATAGATAGATAAATAATAATATTTAGTGATATTTGATCTGATTAAAAAGCTCATACTTACTTTTTTTGGTGTGTGTAGAGGCACAAAGCCGCTCAGGTGGGGGGGAGAAAAATGATATTTAAGTGTTAGTAAGACTGGCAAACTCACTTTAAATTACAATGACAATAATAGGACATAAATGATTGACCCTTTTCTTTACAGCGATAAAATAAATTTTAAAAAGATGGGCGGTAAGAAATTAGGATATTATCACTGATAACACTTGCTAAAGTCAAGTGTGAGATTCTAAAGTCACTGGTTTGGGGCTGTTCTTTAAAAATAATCAAATTAGCCATTTAACTAGTTAAACCTCACATAAATTCAATCAATCAATAATGTGAGATAGATTTAAAAGCTTATAGTCTAGTTGGAAGGATGGGGTTCAGTGCACCCCCCTGGAGATATATTTCTAATCAGTGTTTTTCTATAGGAAAAAATGTGCTGAAAATGATGAGCTATGATAAAAAGTTCTCAGAATGTCCCATCTGCCCCAAAACCCCCAAAAACCCACTTTTTGGTACATGGCTCCAGTGAAATTGTGTTAAGGCAAATATTAATTCACTTAAATTACATAATTGGACATGAAAGTCTAAAATTTGGCATGGGGTATCCTGAGACATAGGGTTAAGTAGCCCAATAGGATTTTAGGACCTGCTACAACTGTATTCATAATTATGACCAACATCATCCCCAGAAACACAAAAAAATATACTGTCGGCTTGACAAATAATAACAAAGATGATTGATTTCCAGCACTTTATGGTGAATATCACTGCCTCATTTGCATATATAAACTTCCCATGTCCCTAAGCTTCAATTTGAGCCCAAGATGACCTTTCTGGCTTGACAATTACTCTTTCTATAGCCAAAGTTCTGCACTATACCTCAAATCGGAGAAAATAGGAGATTCTGCCAGTAGCTGTCTATTACAGGTATTATGCACCCCCAGATATATTTATATATTTCTAATCAGTATTTCCTTATTGGAAAAAATGTGCTGAAAATTATGAGCTACGTCTAATAGTTGTCAACATGACCAATCTATTATTTATATGCTAATTAGTGCCGCCATTTTGGAAACACTGATTTTGCCTATATCTCAGCCAATGTTGCATTCTCAACTCAACTCAACTCAACTTTATTTGTTAAGCACTTTAAAACAACCACAGCTGAACAAAGTGCTGTACATAACTAGACAAAACAACAAGATAGAAAACAATCAAAAAACAATTAAAACAATGGATAAAATAAAAGCAGAACTAAAAAGTAAAATATAGTTTCAAGGTTTTTAAAAACTAATTTAAAAACATAGAAACAAATAACTAAACACAAACCATAAAACACTAAAACAGGAGCCGAGTCTCATGCAGGGTTAAAGGCCAATGAATAAAAATGGGTTTTAAGACGACTTTTAAAAATGGACAGTGTGGGGGCGTGTCTAATTTGGAGGGGTAGCTGGTTCCATAAATTTGGGGCTGCAACAGAAAAAGATCTATCCCCTCTGAGCTTCCGTTTGGACCTCGGTACCTCCAGGAGCAGCTGATCAGCTGACCTGAGGCACCGAGCTGGGGTGTAGGGGTGGAGAAGCTCAGAGAGGTAAGATGGAGCCAGACCATTTCAAGATTTAAAAACAAATAAAAGAAACTTAAAATGAACTCTAAAATGCACGGGTAACCAGTGGAGGGAGGCCAGGATGGGAGTAATGTGCTCCCTCTTACGTACTCCAGTTAAGAGCCGGACGGCTGCGTTTTGAACTAACTGGAGACGTGAGAGGGAGAACTGGCTGACTCCAAAATAAAGTGCGTTACAGTAATCCAGCCGAGATGTAACAAAGGCATGGATTACTGTTTCAAAGTGCTTACGTGAAAGAAAAGGCTTTGCCTTCGCCAGCTGCCTAATATGATAAAAACTGGATTTCACTACCGAGCTAATTTGCCTATCAAATTTAAAATCACTGTTCATCTTAAAACCCAAATTTGAGACGGTTGGCTTTAAATAGTCTGCTAAAATACCCAAGTCTACAGGAGGGGTTTCACAAGGGCCACTGGGACCAAAGACCATCACTTCTGTTTTTTTATTGAAATTTAAGAAATTCAAAGCCATCCAGGCTTTGATGTCTTCAAGACATGCCAGAAGTGGAGTGAGGGAGAAAGCATTTTTCTTGTTAAGTGGCACATATATCTGACTGTCATCAGCGTAACAATGAAATGAAATGCCATGCTTTCTTAAGATGGATCCCAGGGGCAGCAAATACAAAGAAAAGAGCAGGGGCCCTAAAATCGACCCTTGTGGAACCCCATACGGCAGTGGAGCAGAGCTGGACTTTGTATCTCCAAGGCTCACACTCATTGTTCTGTCTGTTAAATATGACTTGAACCACTCTAGTGCAGTACCATGGACACCTATAAGGTAGCTTAGCCGAGCCACCAGAGTGTTGTGGTCCACTGTGTCGAAGGCTGCAGTTAGATCTAACAGAACAAGAACAACATAATCACCAGAGTCATTTGCCTGGAGGATGTCATTAAAAACTCTCATTAAAGCAGACTCTGTGCTGTGGCGAGTTTTAAAACCAGACTGGAAGACCTCCAAGACACCATGCTCATCCAGAAAGGACTTTAGCTGAACATGAACAACTTTCTCTAAAATCTTTGAAATAAAAGGAAGTTTGGAGATTGGCCTAAAATTGGCCAGCACACTGCAATCAAGGCCTGGTTTTTTAAGTAGAGGCTGCACCACTGCATGTTTAAAACCTGGCGGAACAACACCAGAGGACAGACTGCTATTTATGATAGCCAGAACAGACTGACCTATGCAGGGGAAAACCTCTTTAAACAGCCTGGGAGGGACAACATCACAGGGAGAACCAGCAGGCTTAATATGGCCAACCAGCTCTTCTAAAAATGACAAAGACACAGGCTCAAACCTGTCAAGAACTGCAGAACAAGGAACAGGCACAGAGGGGTCGGATGCAGAAGCAGAGATGAGAGACCTGGCAGTCACAACCTTTTCAATAAAAAAGTACAGAAAACTATTGCACATTTCCACAGATGCCTCCAAGCTGGCAGGCTGTGGGGCGTTAAGAACAGCATCGATAGTTTTAAACAACACACATGGGTTATGATGATTTAACTCCACCAAGTTTGCCAGATATTGTATCTTGCTCTGTTTAACAGTTCTCTGGTAGCTGTTCAAAGAGTCCTTAAGTATTTGGAAAGAAACCTGCAGCTTGTCCTTCTTCCACCTTCGCTCAGCTTTGCGGCACTCTCGTCTGGCTGCGCGAGTTTCTTCATTGAATCAGGGCTCCGATTTAGCCTTTGGCCGAACAGTTTTTAAAGGAGTCACAGAGTCCAGAATGTTTTTACAGGAGGAATGAAACCAGGAGCTGAGCTCCTCTGTGTTCGCAGAGGCAGGGCAGACACAGAGCTGTTCAAAAGCCACAGAGAAGCGACCGGCAGTGGAGGGGTTAAGAATCCGGCGTCTCTGAGCAGGGGCGCCAGATTCAACCTCAGAGCAAGAAAGGTACACTTCAAACAATACAGGCCTGTGATCAGAAAATACATCATCACATATCACCAGGTTAGACACAGGTAAACCATGACACAGTACGAGGTCCAGTAAATGCCCGTGCTCGTGTGTGGCACCTGACACACACTGCACCAAATTAAAAGAGTCAATAAGACTTACGAAGTCCTTCACCAGCGGCTTTTCTGGACAACACAGGTGAATATTAAAATCCCCAAGAAGAAGGACACGATCATAGTTCGGCATAATTTCAGCCAGTAGACCAGAGAAGTCATTCAAAAACTCCTTATTGTATTTGGGGGGGCGATAAATGACCGCGCACAGCACCGGGTCAGACCGACCCACCTTAAATAAAGTCACCTCAAAGCTTGAAAAAGAGGATGATACAGTGCGGTGCTTGCATTTAAAGCCATTCTTATATACCGTTGCTGTTCCTCCACCACGACCCGATGTCCGCGGGGAGATAAAGTAAGAGCAGTCGGGAGGTAATTAACAAAATAACAAATTAACAAATAAGGTATCTGGACCTGTTTTGAGGGCCAAGGTTAAATTACCATATGTTCCAGTGACATGCTTGCATGTAAAGCAGTGCCATAAGAAATTGAATGTACTTTCAATGTATGTTTTATTAATTTGACTCAGGCCAGGTGTGACTGGTAAACATTATCCATGACCCAGGTCAAACTTATTGAGCATAGAGATAACTATGACTGCACAGCAGTTGTGCATTGAGCATATCAATACAGACAGTATAAACTCTGCCACCACCACACCTTGGCTTCTACATCATCCTCCCAACAAACAAGGTAAGAAACATAAATCAGCCACTGTATACATGTGGAATAAATTGACTGACTTTGACTACACAATGTACACATTATGTAATATTTCCTTCTTGAATATAGTTATCACATATAGTTTAAATATTTTTCCTTCTTATTTTACCTTATCTTTAGTCTGCTCAAACAAGTAGTAGCTTCAAACATGACTGTGAAATAAGATGGTTGCACCCATAACATCAGCTTCTGTTAACAGTGGTGGTTATAGACATCAAGCCAACTTGCCTAAGGCTAAGGGAAAAAAGAGTTTAAATCCTGAGGCACACAAAAGTGCATCACTTGTATGCATACTTCATGTGTCATCCCTGTCAGATCATGGTAATTTCACACCCCTCTCAAAAGTAAAAGGAACCCCTGCAGAAAAACTATAACATCTTCATGATATACGGGACCAACGTCTCCAACAATCTCATGAATCCCCATATCGTGAAATATAGAAATATATATATATATCAGTGGCGATTGCTCTAAGACTGCAAGGGAAGCTCAGCTTCCCTTAAAATGTCACCCCCCCAAAAAAAATCACACTGTGATAAGAAGCTGATAATCACAGGTAACCGGCATAACTTCGTTCTCATTCATCCTTGCAGCGCCTCAGCACTTTACACAGCCGGACGCTCAGCGTCTGCTGACTTCAATGTGGAGGCTCAAAGTGGGTTGTTCCAGCAGCGAAACTAGACGCTCATTGGATAAATGCTGGGCTTTGTCCCGCCCATCGGACGCTCAGCCTCTCTGGAGTTCTATGACGAGAGGGCGGTCCCAACTTTCTCCCGGACTCCAAGCTTCTGCATCCATGATTGGATGAGCTGTCTGAGGCAAAATCCTTTTTTGATTGACAGCTAAACAAGCGAATCAGCGATCTTGAAGAATAAAACATCTACCAAAGCAGTTTCCAAGTTATTCATTCCGTTGTTCTTAACTGCTCCAGAGACTTTACCGATCCTCAGCGACTTTTGTCTTTGTTAAAAACAACTGCCGTTGTGTTTGGCAACTCTGTTCTGTTACATGCAAATAAACAAACACAATTATGATGTAGGCCAGAAAAATGAGCTTCCCCTCCTCGAGAGACCAGCAGCCGCCACTGATATATATATATCTGGGGGTGCATAATACCTGTAATAGACAGCTACTGGCAGAATCTCCTATTTTCTCCGATTTGAGGCATAGTGCAGAACTTTGGCTATAGAAAGAGTAATTTTCAAGCCAGAAAGGTCATCTTGGGCTCAAATTGAAGCTTAGGGACATGGGAAGTTTATATATACAAATGAGGCAGTGATATTCACCATAAAGTGCTGGAAATCAATCATCTTTGTTATTATTTGTCAAGCGGACAGTATATTTTTTTGTGTTTCTGGGGATGACGTTGGTCATAATTATGAATACAGTTGTAGCAGGTCCTAAAATCCTATTGGGCTACTTAACCCTATGCCTCAGGATACCCCATGCCAAATTTTAGACTTTCATGTCCAATTATGTAATTTTAGTGAATTAATATTTGCCTTAACACAATTTCGCTAGACCCATGTACCAAAAAGTGGGTTTTGGGGGGTTTTGGGGCAGATGGGACAATCTGAGAACTTTTTATCATAGCTCATCATTTTCAGCACATTTTTTCCTATAGAAAAACACTGATTAGAAATATATCTCCGGGGAGTGCACTGAACCCCCTCCTTCCAACTGGACTATTATACTTACTTTTTTGCATGGATGGGCGGAGCTCTGCCAACATGGCCTAATGGTTCCTCATCAGGCCATGTTGGCATCTATGGTGACCAGCCTTCCTCCTGATCACCGACCTCTGACTGCCTGCCCCCTCTCCAAGCAGAGAAGTCTGAAGAGCAAGCATGAGGTTAGCCCTGAATAGGAGGCAAGAGGAGGAGAGGAGAGACGGAAAAGAGCATGAGAATCGCTCCCTTCATCACCCAATCTTACTCTCTTTGGTTAGGGCCCCACCTCCTGGTCACTGTCCTCCCATTGCCTGAACCTTCGTGAGGTCAAGGCAGCAGGAAAATCAGCACAGGAGACACCAAGAGAAGCAAGAGAGGATAACTCCGGGAGAGATGCAGAAGAGAAAGCAGGAGGAGCAGGGGAGAAAGCAAGAGGAGGAGCAGGAAGAGGAGCAGAGGTAGGAGGAGGAGAAGGGGAAGGAGGAAGAGAAGGAGGGCAGTCAGGACGATGAGCAGGAGGAAGAGGGGCACCACCTGTGGAAAGAAAAGTATCATACTGTCATAATCTGTGCATCCATAAGAGAATGAAATATGAGGCTTGCAGGATTATGGATGGTATTCTGCTGTTGGAGTATAATGACCACATATGAGCGATAATAACTGTAGTTAAGCTAACAGAGTTATTACACTTAGAATAAAAGCAGACAGCTAACAGCAGCTCTGCTACAGGGAATACAAACATTACGACAGCATCACTGATTTTAGACTTTTGACTCTGACTGTAAATCAGCAGCACCATATGTGAACCATGGAGGCCAGGATCTACAGTTTCAGATCACTGTGCAGAAGGTTGGTCTTCTGTTATAACCCAGATCCACTTGCCCATAATTCTGACCAGTACTGAACCATGCAAGATTCACTTAAACAGCCCATGCTAATCATCACACCTGCTTTTTGCACCTATCACAGATCTCTTTCACAGCCTGTTTTTCAGTGCATCTAATTAATAAGAGCAAGAGTTGAAGAGATGCGCACAGTGGCTGCTACACAAATCCAAATCTTATCGCCTCACTCTACATCAGTGGTTCTCAAGTCCAGTCCTCGAGGCCCACTGTCCTGCATGTTTTGAATGTTTCCCTGCTCCAACACACCTGATTCAAATGATCAGCTCGTTATCAAGCTCTGTGATGGCTAAATAACGAGCTAATCATTTCAATTAGATGTGTTGGAGCAGGGAAACATCCAAAACATGCAGGACAGTGGGCCTCGAGGACTGGACTTGAGAACCACTGCTCTACATCAAAGCACATTATGAACCAACAAATCCCTAAAAACACACCTTACATTATTTTAACAATATAAGTCCTTAATCTATGAATTAAGTTTAACAGCCATGGCAAAATACATCCTCCTAACGAAGAAACACACAACTAAATACCATCTCAATACTTACTCTCAAAATCCTCAATGTTTGGACACCTGTGGTTCTGTCATATCATCTTTTAGTAAATATCTCACCTCTAACACAACTTATCTTAGTACCGAAGTTTACAAAAAGTTGAAATACCATTTCAAATGTTGCTAAAACAGGATTCGACGGTTGAAGTGCAAAGACAAATTAAGCAACCTTGATTTTTGCTGATTATCTATACACATATAAGTCCCTTTAAGTTTCAACTTAATTCCAGCACATGGAAAACAAGGAGAAGCAATTGTCGTGTTTTGATGTTTCGGACACTTTTCAGTATCAATTAGAGGTGATTTTTTTGTTGGCAAGGGGGAACTGTCATTAAAGCGCAGACATCACTTAGCTAGCTGCAGTTCGTAAAACCTGCCTAAAATGTTGGGGTTTGCCAAAAAGTTCCCAGTGTCACTGAGCTCCGTATGTAAAAACGCACGCCAAAATATATGGGAATTTATCCAAATCTTGCGCATTGATTACATTTACACCAGGTTCACAAGGTGGCTTAATAAAGATATCTGCTTCTTGGAAACCAGAGCTTTTTCTTCTTTAAACTTCAAATCTATTAGTTTAAAAACAAGCGTGTAGGAGACGCGTCCGCAGAGTGGCTACATTACAATTCAGTCTCAACACTTCAATACATATCTTTTAGTTATTTAAACAGACTTCATACCATTAAATGACCTAAACATCACAGCCATGGCATAAATGAGTTTTGCAAGGCACGTACACGCATCCCATCCACTTGAGACTCGCTCAGAGGCGCCATCTTTAAAAATTTAATATCGACGGTTAACTATGTTGAAGTTGAAGTCTTTACACCATACATACATGAGCAAATCAAAAGTTTTTTTTTCTTTTACCCCAGCACACCTCAGTCAATAAGTTTGACCGTTTTCCCCGTGCACATTTAAACATTTCTGACATTAAAACATGGTTCTATAGGTCAAGATATCAAGTGAAATCCACAACTCTGTTCCCACAACTTCGATTAACTGTCAGTCTACACACTTAAACCCTGCTTAATATATAATAAATTTACCTTAAAATCATTTATAGGGAATTTTAGTATAACATTTCAAAGCTGCCTTACCTCTGACCGGGGTCAGGGGGCACTCCGCAGGCCAGGGTCCGCCGGACGCCATCTACCGTCGAGATTCAGGATCTGCAGGTGTCCTCGGGTGTTGTCTCCTTCTCGTAACACCCTTCCCGGGTGTTTTAAATCCAAGCGAAGTTTAAGCTTTTTCCAAAAATATCTCTCTCTCAGTGAAAAGTAGTGCAAGCCGGCCAAAGGTCCAGTTTGTTTTGAATCAAAAATATCAAACATTCTGAATATCTAAGGTGACCACGCGCGCGTTACCGCTGTGTTACCATGGCTGCTAGTGACGCGCGAGCCTGAGAGATAGTAGGTAGCCTATTTAGTAAAAGTGTGATCAAATGTTGAATTCATGGCAAACTAATCATTGTCATTGAATCCGTGTATAATCCGTGTATCATTCGTTCAATCGATATTTAATCAAGAATAAAAAAGGCGTACTGATCGCAGTCAACGTGAATGAAATCAAACCGCGGATCGCGGCTATCCGTTTTAGCGGACTAACGGACTTCATATTCCTCATTGCTTTCATCACTGATCGATGGATTTGGGATATTTTGCAAATAAAGGGCCATAAACACGGTGTGAAACAGACAAAATGGTCATAGAGATGCCTTAAAAGTACATGGCACGGAGGCAGAATCACTGCAGTCTCTGTCTGTGTTATACTGTGACTGTATGCAGATGCAAGCGGTGTGTCAGGTGTGCTTGCAAGTGATACACGCAACAGGATGGCCCAGCCAGGCTAGGGGGCGGTCGGAGTGTACGGTGACCGATAACAGCTACTGACGAGTCCAGGGAGATCGCCCTCTATAGGATGGGAGGCTTTTACGCTACATGAGTTAAATTACGAATGTTTAAAATGAAATTGTGCTGGGTGTTTTAAGGTGACGGGTTTTTGTAGTCGAGTAAAACTCATTTAGTAGTCAGGAGCGCACACTGGTGTCAGTGTGTGTTGTTTTGTGTGCGCTGTGTGTCTCAGAGAAGTGACGTGTGTTAGCGGCTTGTCTGGTGACGTGTCTCTCGTGCTCCCTCTTTCTCTCTCTCTCTTTTCTGGATGGAGCCACACCGACTCCACTGAACACTCAACACTGCTATCATTCACACGACAACAGGCAGCCAAAGGACACCATGGGAAGTATGTGACTTTATTCTCTTGTTTACTTGAGTAAGGAGTATTTTAAGACAGATACTGGGTTTTTTATTCGCAGACATTATAGCGGGTGAAGCGGTCGAGGCTAATTGGCTAATCTTCGGCAGGTTACTCGGCGAGTCAGCTAGCTTCAAACAGGGGCTCATTTTCTAAAGTTTCTGTGCTAAACCTTTTTTAAGTAATATCACCCAATGTTTCAAGGTTTAAGTTCCCGAGACGAGTACATATTCTTATGTTTTAACCCTTGCTTTTCAAATAAGCACCAGGGCTTCCTCTTTTACAGTGATTACTCACTCGTTTGTTAGCATTCAGCTAGCTGTAAGATCTTATATTATAGTTCTCTGTCCATCTGGAAATGTCTCCGCCGTGTTTGTTGTAGAGTATGGGACAAATCATAAATGCACATGGACTGTCTGAAGAGAATTGAGGAGCAAATGTGAAGTCTCTTACTGTCAAAGTCAGATTCAGTGATTGACACAGCTGATCAACAACTACACTCTTCACTCAGCAGTGAAGGAGAAAGGTTTTCAATGAGTTTAGGAAGCAAACCGATGACTGTAAGACTTGTTAAAATGTGTTTTTCTTAAATGCAGTGATATTTTGGGAGGTGGTTTTTGAGTTTGATTGGCAGCTGTTTGATTTGTGGTAGTGCTGACGTAGCGTCTAGGTTAACCATGGTGAAGATGAACTAACAGTATCTAGTGATCATAAAAACACGCGTGTTTTTTAAGTGCTGCTGATATTATGTATAATCTTATTTAACTCCACAACGTCTTTTAACCAAACTGTGTCTCTTCATAGTTAAATTTTTGGAGGTCATCAAGCCGTTCTGTGCGGTTTTGCCCGAAATTCAGAAACCAGAAAGAAAGGTAAGTCAAAGTCTGTTCACGTGTTTTTTTTTTAATGATCAGATTTTATTTTACTTTCAAAATTTATATAGAACCATACATCATTTTAGTTCAAATAAGGTTGAAAATGACAAGAAAAAAGAAGAAAACAAAACAAAAAGAGGGGTAAACAAAGAAAACCCCCAACAACAACACAACAATGTGTCATCAATTAAAGACATGTGTGTCCCTGTGGGAATTGATAAGATTTTATCAATATCGATTCTGCTTATTGATTCGATTCTTTAACAATTCCCTTATCAATGCCTTTCTTTAATAAAAAAAAAGAAAGTAGACAAGTTTTCACTGTTAACTCAAAATTTTATGAGGTCTCTGATAACAGAAAAAGATTTATGCCACCATTAGTGAGAGTCTCAAAATAATCAAACAAAAATGCTATTTGTACAGCGTTTCTAGTATACATTGTTCTTATGTTAACACAGGACATATGTTAGGTTGACCATATTCTGAATCTCCAAAAAGAGGACACTACGCAGGGCGGACTTGTGTGCGAAATTTTGATGTTATTATTTTTTTTTTTTTGGAAAGGTCGAGTGTTTAATGTGCGCTTTTAACTCAGTTAAACGCGTATTCTGAATTCCCAAAGACAGAAGTGCATGCTGCGTCGTGTCAGCGGCTAAAGTGATTGGAGGGGCAGAGCTGCAGAGAGCACTGATGCGCTGTTCTCAACAAGAACCGGTTCTCGATTCCCATTCCTAGTCCTTGTACTTTGAAAAAGTATTTTTTTATCACCATTCAGCTCAGTCTGGGGCCTCCTGAACCACAGTCTCTCCTCCGTGTAGTTTTACTGTGGTTTTAGATATCATCATTCCCTTTTAATTTGGCACTTCGCCTTTCCATCGGTAAAACTCTAAAATTTCTTCGTACCAATGTGTTACAGTTGGAGGTTTGTCGCTAGTCCAATTAAATAGTATACATTTTCTGGCCAAAATTAGGAGTTTCAGTAACTTTGATCTTCTGCTCACACATGTTTAAATGTCTTTGAATCTGCACATGGGACCGTGAATTACATTAAACTTTTTTTTTTTTTATCCTCGCAGATTCAGTTTAGAGAAAAAGTACTATGGACCGCCATCACACTGTTCATCTTCCTGGTGTGCTGCCAGGTCAGTATTTGTTTTGTAAAAAAAACAGAAGAAAACAAAACTCCTTGTGATTTGTTGCTTGTGTTTGTAACAACTTTTGTTTCTTCCTCTTGAATTCAGATTCCTCTTTTTGGCATCATGTCTTCAGATTCAGCAGATCCCTTCTACTGGATGAGAGTAATCCTGGCTTCCAACAGAGGTGCTTGAACTGTACATGCCTGACAGACTTTGTCACTCAATTTTTTGTCATGTTTTTTTTATCTGCCTGACGTTATCTCATTCTCCCTTGTGAGAAGTCAAAGGTCAACAGTCGGGGGGCCCTTGTTCCCTTATCCAGATACTGCTTTCATTGTCACACTAACTGAGGCTCACGGTGACATTTTGATTTTGATTGATTTGTCTGCTAGGTACTCTGATGGAGCTGGGCATCTCCCCCATAGTCACCTCAGGCCTTATCATGCAGCTGCTGGCTGGTGCCAAGATCATTGAGGTGGGAGACACTCCCAAAGACAGAGCTCTTTTCAACGGCGCTCAGAAATGTAAGTCTATTGATCTCTACACATGCTATTTTTAGAAGTAATGTACCTTTGTTTTTTTTTTATCCGCTTTGAAGATGCAGCATGGGTAGAATCAAGAGTCTGTGCCTCTGCAAGAATACGAGTTATATATCTGTTTGTTCCCTGTCTTTTCACAGTGTTTGGAATGATCATCACCATAGGACAGGCCATTGTTTATGTTATGACTGGCATGTATGGAGACCCCTCAGAGATGGGTGCTGGCATTTGCTTGCTCATCATCATCCAGGTGACTAAAATTTCTTGCTGCTCTTTTTGTCATTTGAAGCACAAAGAAGTTAAATTCAAGCGGCTCCAGTGCTGTCAGCAAACTCTTTTACATGACTTTCTATTTTTTGTGGCATGCTCACAACATCAATGATTTATCGTCCCTTTTTTATGTGACAGGCAGAAAGTTCACATTGAATTATCAAGACTTTTTAAGCATGCAAATGTTTGATTTTAAACAGCTGTATTGATCGACTTTTTCAAACCACATCTTTTTCTTTAGCTTTTTGTCGCTGGCCTGATTGTCTTGCTGCTGGATGAGCTGCTTCAGAAGGGTTATGGACTGGGCTCTGGTATCTCTCTCTTCATTGCGACCAACATCTGTGAGACCATTGTGTGGAAGGCCTTCAGCCCCACCACTGTCAACACAGGCAGAGGTACGAGCATAGATGTATTTTAGAGTTGGGTTAAATATTTATTTTTTTTAATCTTTTATAATGATGGCCTTATAACTCCTTTCGTACATCCAGGCACTGAGTTTGAGGGAGCCATCATTGCTCTCTTCCACCTGCTGGCCACCCGCACAGACAAGGTGCGCGCCCTTAGAGAGGCCTTCTACAGACAAAACCTGCCCAACCTCATGAACCTGATCGCAACTGTCTTCGTGTTTGCAGTGGTCATATATTTCCAGGTGAGTCTGCTGTATAGAGTAACTTTAAAGCATTCTTTCAAAATGTAATAACAAATCCTTTAGGCCACAGATCTCGATCAAAATTCAGCTAACTGATTGTCTCTCCCTGTTACCTCTCCAGGGCTTCAGAGTGGACCTGCCAATTAAGTCAGCCCGCTACCGCGGTCAGTACAACACTTACCCCATCAAACTTTTCTACACATCCAACATCCCCATCATCCTGCAGTCCGCCCTGGTCTCCAATCTCTACGTGATTTCTCAGATGCTCTCAACACGCTTCAGTGGCAACTTCCTTGTCAACCTCCTGGGAACGTGGTCTGTAAGTATATTAGGTTTGCTTTGACTGAGGCACATTCTGTCTTCGTGATTTCTCCAGTGTCAAGACGTTCAGTCTGCATGACAGTGTTTTTGTTTTGGGATGCTCTCAGCATCAATATCTTGTCTAAAATAAAGTACTATACTAACAAAACCCTCTATCTGTTTAGGACACGACCAGTGGTGGACCAGCTAGGGCTTACCCAGTGGGTGGTCTCTGCTACTACCTTTCTCCTCCAGAGTCATTTGGTTCAGTTCTTGATGACCCAGTTCATGCTGTTATCTACATTGTCTTCATGCTTGGCTCCTGTGCTTTCTTCTCCAAGACCTGGATTGAGGTCTCAGGGTCCTCTGCCAAAGATGTAAGTCTTAAAATGAAGGTGCACCAGATTGATGTGTGGTTCATGCTGCATTAAAATGAACCTGCGCTAATCTGCATTCATAACTTACTGTGTGACAGGTGGCGAAGCAGTTGAAGGAGCAGCAGATGGTCATGAGAGGACACAGAGAGACATCTATGGTGCATGAGCTCAACAGGTACAAAGTGGCCTTGCAGAAAAAGGCTCAAGCTTCATGATTTTCAGCCTCAGTGTCAGGAAAGTTAACTAACATGAAGATTTGTTTTCTCATAATTGCTTTACTGTTTGCAGGTACATCCCCACAGCTGCTGCCTTTGGCGGCCTCTGCATAGGAGGCCTCTCGGTTATGGCTGATTTTCTGGGAGCCATTGGTTCGGGTACAGGAATCCTCTTGGCTGTAACCATCATCTACCAGTACTTTGAAATCTTCGTGAAGGAGCAGAGCGAAGTGGGCAGCATGGGAGCACTGCTCTTCTAAAGAATACCAACCTTCTGACACGTCAGACACAAATCATCCACCCCACAAATTTTTTTAATTATTTTGGATTTTTTGCAGTTTGCACAATCAGTACATTTCGCAGCTGGGATAACTTATCTCTACCATCTTTTGTTTTTCACCTTACACCTCCAGCCTGTGAATGCTGTGGAAACTGTCTAGGTTACTCCCAGAGTTGATCATAGTATTGTGTCTCTACAATCTCTTTACTCCAATATCCACAACCTATCTATCTGCAGGCTGCCTGTGTCCCAAGTGACTGTCATGTCAGCTGAGGAATACGTAAAAGCACACAAGTGTGAGTTGCTGTCTTTGACTTACCTCAGGCATTGTTCTTGCAGCGTGTTCGAGGAATACTAAGACAGCATCACCATGTGCTTCTTGCTTTGCTGAAAGCACTGTGCCTGGACATTTGGAGGGAGATGAAAGAAGCCATGTCATGTCACAGATAGCAATCATGCTTTCTAGGGGCCTAACGTAGGGTGCAAATGTATAAATAAAATATGCTTGTATTCTGTAAAGGTTTCTGGTATTTCAGAAAAGCTGTTGGTGGTTTTTATTTTCCTTTTATTTTGATATTTTAAATGATGGACTATGTTTATATCCACTCTGGTCTTATGTAGGACTCAGTGTTTGGCCACTGTCTCTGGGTCCTCAAAGGAAATCGTCTGTCTGTGTCGTTTTGCTCTTTTTTCCCCCCCAGACTGAATCGCTGCTCTATACTGCCGAGATGGTTGGGATGAGGGTCGGTTTTCTTGGGATAAAAGGGGGTTTCTTTTTGGTTTTTACTTTATGTAACAGACATAATTGTATTATTAAAAAAACAGGATTTGTTTTTCCAACACACTTGTGTTTTGATTCTCAATGCGTACTTTTCTTCTAGTGTTCTGAGGAGGAAGCACAATGCTGTTTGTTGGTCAAATGATAAAGACTAACGCATACTGGTAGAGAAAAATCCTCACGCACAGGTTTGGTGAGTTTAAGATTAATACTGTACCAGAAGGAAGTAGGGCTGTGACACATCTGCTGCATTATGCCTTCACATGAAGCCATGGTGCTGGTTCTGACAATCTACATTTCTTGCTACACCGTGTGCTTGTAACGGAGCTTCCATGAGGGGTCAGTCCTTTATAAAGTGTTTTTTAATTTTTTTTTAAGATCACCCAGGGAGGAAGGACACTCTTATACTCAGTGTACATACAAATACTCGGCTACAGCAATCATATGCCCCATGAATGGCAAGTAGTCACTCATATAGTACAGGTGCTAACAGGAGTAAATTGAAGCACAGGTGGAAAATTTTCTTTTTTCTTCATGTTTCTCAGACTCAAGTATATAATCAGAGCCCAATAATAAAATATCCGATGGAAAACTCAGATGAAAAGATAAGTCTTTCACTCAAATGATAAGGGACATGAAGAAAATGTTGACTTATATTAAGTGTCAAAATTATTTTCTTGATGATCATTTAAAACCAACTTCAGCCTGTTAACTTCTTTTAGGAAGAATTAAAAAAGATCAATAGGTCATGATCATATAACCCACTTTATTAACAAGTCAAACAAAAAAGTAATAGCGTAAATACAGTAATTTAGATTTTTATTTTTTTATTGCCATTTTTACACTTTACAATTTTCCATATTACTTTTTACAGCCAGGGGATTAAAAGAAAAAAAAAAAGAACTAAAGCAAACATCAACAAGAAATAAAAAGATAGAAAAAAACAAACAAACTAAAGCAAACAACAAGACAAAAAACCAAACAAAACAAAAAAACAAAAACAGTAAGAAAATAAAAACAGGTAAGAAGTAAGAGAAAAGCTATGTTGTCCAGACAATAAGAAAAAGAAGTAACTGTAAAAAGAAAACAAAATCTTTATTTTTCTTTTTCTCTTCAAAACAGATATCTTGGTCTTTTAAGTGGGTCATTGTCCTTTTTTCCTATTAAGGTTATTTGCACATCCCTCCAGAATATTTTAGAATACGTGCAGTGATAAAACAGATGACAAATTGTTACTTCCTCAGAACCACAGACCACACAAGAATACTTGTATACTACTTATATACTACTTCAATAGTTGAATCTCTGTCTGGTTTTCTTTGCTGGGATTCTGTACAGTCAACGGTCATTTGAAAACGAGCGTTGACGGCTTTAAGCGTAATGACGTCATCACCGCGCGCCTACATGTGGGCACAGGTCAGACGGGGGTGATCATCAGCGGGTCTCTTGGTCGCCGGCTCGCTTGTCAAATGAAAGCTTCGCAGTTGTTGAGCGTTGTTTTCTATACTTGTCGTGTTTTATCGGAGAGGACACACCGCGAGTGATTTAAACACAGCCGGAGATGTCGTACTGCAGGCAGGAGGGTGAGTGAGAAGTGGTTTTTAATTCATTTTCACTCCACGGCTGAGCAATGTCACCGGACCAGCCACCATGCTAGGCTAACTTGTCAGAAACACCATCAAACATTAGCAGAGATTTCCCAGCTTTAATGCAACAGTGACAGGTTTAATGTTACAGCTAACTTCGACAGGACTGTGAAAACTAGGGAAGGCCAGCTGCTAGACTGAGTCCTCGGGGTTACAACCGGCTATTTCAGTCCTCTGCTCTGGACATATGTAGTCTTTAATCAGACCGGAAGTTTACCATACTCATGAGTCAGATATCAATGTTCACAAAAGTTCTTGTTCTTGTTGCTGTTGAAGGTAAAGACCGGATCATCTTTGTGACTAAGGAAGACCATGAGACACCCAGCAATGCTGAGCTCATAGCAGAGGACCCCAATGATCCTTATGAGGAACAGGGTAAGTCATATGAGCCTTTATTTACCTCATTTCATATCATTTATTATTTTTGTCGAACATGTGTGCGCAACACAAGGAAGTAAACTGAAAACAAACAAAAACCAATGAGAATATTCAAAACAACAACAATAATAATCAAAGCAAAAAAGTTAAAATAAAAAAAAATACTGGTAATAGTAATGCAAACCCAACATGTCCGAAAAGGAGAAGGATGAAGCATTATGCTTTTTTTTTTTTTAAACCTACCCACTCTCCTCTACTCAATAAACAGTCAGTTTCAAAACATATTTACATGATATATACAAAAAGTAGAACAATAGAGTGAATAAGTACATGAATCATTTCTGAAAACACCTGTTGGTGAAAGCCATTCTTCCTCCCTGTACCTATTTATACTTGTTAGATTGGCAAGGGGAGACGTTCATTTACAAAGATAGCACGTCAACCACAGAGGCAAAAACAACAGTAACAGACATTAGAGAAACTAAAGTTCATGCTATTAGAAACTAAAGTTGAACTGGTTGAGGTCACACTACAAACAAGCAGCTGCTGGAAGAGAGTAGGTGAGTTGTGTTTAGTCTCTTTGCTCAAGAAATTAGGCAAAGTTAAAAAGATGTTTGGTGGCTAGTGCTGTGGCTGGAACCCTATATGTACTGTTGATAAAGTTAGGTGCTGTTCTGAGCATTATTTGTGGCTGTAGAGTGGTGTTTTTCTTGAGGTTTGTTTATGGCTCCTGAGACCACTGTGTATTGCTATCATGCGGTCGTTACAACATTCAGCTCTTGAGGAGGTGTCTAACATGGTGTTACAGTGTGTTTGACCCTAAATTAATTTTACGCTGGAATATCCCTTTTAAGAGTGTCCCAGGATCACTGTTGCAAAGTGTACATAACATATTCATATGTGTGTTACTATCATCTTTACCGAATTTCCCCTCGGGGATTAATAAAGTTCTCTATCTATCTATCTTAATGGTTTCCCTTCCCTTCAGGTCTGATCCTACCAAATGGGGACATAAACTGGAACTGCCCGTGCCTGGGTGGCATGGCAAGCGGACCATGTGGGTCTCAGTTCAAGGAGGCCTTTTCCTGCTTCCACTACAGTAAGGAAGAGGTGAAGGGCTCCGAATGCATCGACCACTTCCGTGACATGCAGGAGTGTATGCAGAGGTACCCCGAGCTCTATCCTCAGGAGGAAGAAAAAGAAAGCTCCTCAATGGAAGAATCTAACTCGGGGTCTGCCTCTGCTGCACCAGCTGAGAGCTCCACCTTAGCCCCTGAAACTGACTCTACCCCAGACCCTGACAGCAATTTACCTACAGACACCCAGACTGCCAGCTAAAGTTGTCATCCAGGCTGTTGTTCTCCATGTGACTGCACTGCCCTGCATAAATGACTCCACGGGAGCTCTGGAAAGCCTTCAGAAGGGGCTCACTTACCTGCCTAACTGTGCAATTCATGGGCGATATCCACTATCTGTTGAAGAGGAATTCAGTGTATGCAGAGAAAAGACTTAGTAAATTTTGAAGTAAAGGCTGGTCTTCTGCTGGGCTTTCAAATCATTTATTATTATTATGGTTTAATGACAGCGGGCCAAGCAGGGACATTAGCTGATAAACTCCTTCTATATGCAAAAGAATTTTACTTTGCTGTGTATTTTCCTGTCAATCAGAAGAACTGCTTATTGTTTATTTTCAGTATGTGTGTTCTGTCCATGTCACTAGTCAAGAATGTTACTTGCACTGATAATTATAACTAATTACATACAATCTATGAGACAGAAAACTAATAAGTAATCACCAGAATTACCAATACAACACTGCTCAGCCTATCTAAGGAATCTACCTCTGCTCTATACAGTTTGACTTAAACATCAGCTTAACGGAGACTGAATACCTTTATTGTAAATGACATGGGAGACACAAACTCATGTAGTTGTTCAGAAACACAAGACAGCTGTTCCAGGTTCCATTAAGTATACATTAGAATAATGTAACCATTAGTTTTTAAATGTTTGACACCGTGTTAAACTCTCTTGGTCTTCATCCACATTTGTTGCCATATTATGAACAATACTCAGCCTTTCATTCACATAAACCAAAGTGGTTTGTCACTTCACACTGAAACTGCATTAAGGGTTCTTGTCTTAACGCTGTCCACAGTCTTCACTCAGAATCTGTGGCCACCATTCCCTGTTATTCGGGCCTTAAAAGACGTAATAGATTTCATTTCTTTAAACATGCAGATTAAAATGAAGTTGGAACAATGTCAACTCACTGTTTTGTTTTGTTTTGTTTTGGTGGGTGTCATTTGGTTTCATTAAAATTGCAAAGAAGATGAAAAAGTCAACCAAAACAACTGGCTATATAAGACAACACCATAAAGTTCTCCTGAGTCACACTGCTGACAGAAAACATGAAACATGAATTGAGATTCAACTCTGAGCAAATCCAGCTGTTGCGTATCATAAATAATGTACTATATGAAAATAGAGCCTTTAACACTGGACTTGCAGACGTTTATATGACAATGTCAGTCTTTGTGTTGCACATGCTTGGACAATGAGTATCTTGTATTTGATTTCTGACTCAATTTTTACCCGAGTTTGACTCATGAATAATTTTCCCTGATGTGGCAGCTTCTCAAGTGAGTTTCAGTTCTTTTTCAGAGTTGTTCGCTCGCTCATCTGTTTCTAGCCCTGAAGAGAATCCATCTTTGGAGTATTCAGTTCATGGACATCCTTTCCTCAGGCCCTCTGACACAAGCACACCAAGTCGGGGAGTCCATGCGACCACCACACTCTGCATGGTGACCAGTAGACGACCTGTCCCAGTCTCTTCTGGGCCTGCTAGCAGGTACTCCATACCTGGTGGAGAATGTTTTGATCAAAAACAAATCCATCTTACAGATTTGAGATTGATGTGTTTTGTCACCTTAAAGACCTACTATCAAAATGAAAATCAAACAGATGAAAATCATGTTTTTCTTGTTTTGTACATGTTCATATGGAATTTTCCGATGCTACAGGACACATCATGAGAGAATAAGTGCAAATTTGCATTTCTGTGTATTTCTGCATTCAAATTGCTGTGAATCTCTGGCAGACCCAAAAGACAGGCTCAGAAACAGTGAGATTTCCTATGTAGCAAATCCAAGCTACACTGGCAATGTTTGACTACAAGCAAGCGTGAGGAGGAGTGAGCAGAGCAGCGCCATCTTCGCCCACGACTCAGAGGTGAATTGCTAATGAGCTACTGGAGTTCTGCAGAAGAAAACCCTTTTAAAATGACACAGGTAATGTGATTTTTTTTGGTAAAAACTTCATAACCACAGTTTAAACACCACTGATAACACTTTGAGTAGTAAAAAAAAGATTGGAGTGGGACTTTAAATGTTGTTGGGATGTTTAAGATGTTTAAGAATGCAGACAGTCAGACTTCTTTGTCTTCATTGCTCTGAGATGTAGCCTCACCTGGGTTAAGAATTGGACAGGTGCAGCCACGGATGGTCCAGGACAGAGGATAGATGCTGATGGTCCCTGAGTTTAGAGCCACTTGGCCTGATCGAAAGACATTACGAACTTTGACCTGAACTTCTGCATGGCTTCCTTTGTCATGAGCAGACAGCACACTGGCCCTGATCACTGTTGAAGACACATCATTTACAGAATATTGGGAGGATATTTTGAAGCATCGGACAAAACAAGCACTGTTAACTACTACATATATTTCTTACCATAATCATGTTTCGTCTTACACAGGTCCAACACACTTCTCAGCTTTTTCTCCTTACAGCTACACTTTCCTGTGTGCAGATGGACAGTGACGCTTTACTTACATTTCTTATTGTTATTGTTATTCATTTGCACAAAAGTGGACATAAAATAAGTACATATTTAAAACAAAAAAGTTCAGCAAAACTGCAGGAGAGGAAAGAAGCCTAAAGGGCTTATACAGAATCCTCCCAATCAATTCAAGTAAATTAAAACATGCTGAATCTTAAACAATACAACATCAAATAAACTACAATACAACATCAAATAAACTCCAAAATCAAATAAACTACAATACAACATTATATAAACTATAATTAAACATTAAATAAACAATAATACAACATCAAATAAACTATAAAACAACATCAAATAAACTATAAAACAACATCAAAGAAACTACAATACAACATTAAATAAACTACCGAACAACATCAAATAAACTACAATACAACAATAAATAAACTACAATACAACATTAAATAAACTTCCGAACAACATCAAATAAACTACAATACAACAATAAATAAACTACAATACAACATCAAAGAAACTACAATACAACAATAAATAAACTACAGAACAACATTAAAGAAACTACAGTACAACATTAAATAAACTACAATACAACATCAAAGAAACTGCAATACAACAATAAATAAACTGTCATTACAATTTATTTATCTGTAATGACATTTCTGTCATTACACTAACTGACAGACTTTGGCTTCACAGAGTAAGGCTTTGTATACAGATGAACACACACTCAGTTGATAAACATTCACCTGTGTAATGCAGAGCAGAGACTGCGAGCTCCTTTGACCACTCTTCCTCGATTGTGAACTGCTGATCCAGTTCTGGAATTTTTCCACCGAAGGGCACATTAAACACCTGGTTATTATAGTAGCTGCAAAAGTGGCATTGGACATACAGGGTCAAAGGTCATTGTTGGAAATCTAGCACATTGAGTTAAATGTTAGCAACAGTGTTAATGTGTAACAACGATCACGCTGTGTTTTACCTGTCCACACACATCCCAGTGGCTGGATCACAGCTGTTAGGGCAGACACAGGGTTTGCAGCCTTCCTCTCCAAAACCCCAATAACCAGGCATGCAGTGGTTACAGCTTGTGCCCCCTACCCCAGACTTACAGTGGCACTGCCCACTTCTAGGGTGGCACCAGTGTCCCTCCTCTCCAGCTTGAGGAGGTAAAGTGCCCCGTGGATCACACCAGCAACCTGAGAATGAGACAACCACAGTTCTTTGTGCTGCTCAACACTTGGACTGTTTTATTGTTCAATGAAGTGTTTCAAAACATAGCCAGCAGATGGAGCCTGAAGACATTGTTTTTCTGTTTGATTGTAACCACAGACCCCCCTGACTGTGTAATTGATTCCACCAAGGCCAATTAAATCAAGAAAACTCCTATAATTTGCTTCCCTGTCTAGTTCAAACACAGAAACCACACATCCTCTCGTCTATTATGTGTGTCTTACGTATGCAGGCGTGTGGGGAGTTAAGTGGCAGGGATGGGTGGCGGTGGTAGCCATGGCGACATCGCTGGCACCTGCGCCCAACTGTGTTGTGCCTGCAGTTATCACAGACCCCCCCACTGGTACCACCAGAGGCAGTCCACACCCGCTGTGAGAAGTGACAGCTTGCTGCGTGACTGTGGCACTGACACTCTGATGTCACCGCGGTGTGTGATGTCGTAGATGTTGGAGAGATGACAGAGGGACAAAGTAAAAACATGAGAGAAGTCAGGGACGATAATCTCATGATACTCCTTCCATGGTGTGTATTCACTGGCAGGGTTTCTCCTGATCAAACAGCGGTTACTCACTCTGGCATGGGTTCGACTCTCCACTTGTGCTGTTAGCAGGCCTCCAGGGCCGGTCGTTGTAGAGCGGCGCACACTCCTCACAGTGATCTCCTGCTGTGTTGTGAGTGCAGAGACACCTACCGAACACCTGGAAGACACATCTAGGCCTGCTCAGTTACTTCACCTACATCAGACAGTCCGTCTGGAGACAGCTATAAAATACATCCACGTAGGTGGTGTCAGGAATAGATCCAGCTATTTAAAGCCCTTTAACGGGGGATTTTTTCCAGCAGCAAGAACATTTGACATCTGGCCTTGAGCAGACAGACCTGTGTTATACAAGACTGGAATAGAGCACAGGGCAATGCAGAAACCTCATAGTTTATCACTAACCTACACTCAAAAAGCCACTCACCATGCTGTTGTTCTGTCTGGAGTCTTTGCTGTTATTGTGTGGTACACAGTGCTCAGCATGTCCATGGCATAGGCAGGTCCCCCTTGCCAGTAGAGTATAAATAGCATAAGGTACAGAGGCTGAGCTCTCTGTGGTGAGTTTGGAGGACAGAGCTGAGGCTCTGGGGTTGGTCTCTTCTGCGGCAGCTTCCAGAGGAGCAGGACAGGTCTGAGCTTTAAGCAGTCTAATGCGGAGGTTAGTCAGAGTGAGGCGGGCGAGTGCTTCTGGACTGTAAGGGTCCAGTATTTTGGCTCTGATAGGGTCAAGGGTGCGGATTACGACCTAGGAGAGAAACATCACTAATCAGCAATGAGTGAAACAGTCTTTGGAGCTCACAATGAATCATACAGTTTGCACTTATTATATATTCTCATACCTCCCCCTTGCTGCAGGGTGTAGTGCTGGTATAGCGGGACGTACACAATGATCCTGGATGAGACAAATCATCAGGTAAACCAAATTCCATGCTGCAGTTTTGTGCAAACAGCTTAAGAGCTTCCCAAGTCTTCCCAAAATCCGCTGAACGCTCAATGGCCATGACAGCAGGCCGAGGGGACCTGAACACCAGAACCACATGGGACAGACAGAACTTTGTTTCCAGGTCCAACCGGATCTCATCCTGCTGCTCCTGTACCTCAATATCGGCATGTGATGCCCACCAGGTGTCTGGATTTAGGAAAGGGTCATCAGTCATGTGAGCAGATGGATGAGGGTTCTCAGGGCAGGGGAGGGGCGCAGCAGGAGAATGGGGGCAGAGGCCGTGATTGAGGGAGCTGCCTGAGAAGGTGAAGAGAGTCCTGCCACTCGCAAGGTTTCCTATGGGTGGACTGCAGGCCTGGTCCACACATCTGGAAACTGGTATGGATTTTGAAAAAGTCATTATCATGAAGTACAAAATATGATTTAAATCTTGTGATGATACAGATATTGTCTAAGTCTTTTTATAACATCAACAGGTGATGAAAAAACATTCAAATATTATCAGTATTGACAACATGGACATAGGGCTGGGCGATAAAACGATAACATTATCTATTGAAAATTAATTTCACTTGATATTGATATAAAACATGTTCAATATACTTTTCAATAGTCTGCATTGTGCCCTGTTTTGGTAGACTATACGAACAGCCAATTAAAAGGGGAGTTGCTCCAGATCCGCACTTTGTCCTGAACCAATCACCTGCTGAATTAGAACCAAGTAACAAACAACTGTGTAGTAGCAGGCTTTAGCTAATCACAACCATAGTACTTAAACACGTGAAACCGACAGCACTGTTGGTGAGAAAAAAAAGAAAATGAGTGCTAACCCCCGCGGAAATGCAGATGAAGGCTCAACAAATGACGACATTGTCCTCCACAGTAGCACAAAAATGTCGGTGGTGTGGAGGTATTTTGTTTTTTTGAGGTCGGACATGAAGCAAAGTAATGTGCACTGCAAATTATGTCGAGTACGTCTTAAATTTCACTTAAAAGTAACAGGGAACATTTAAGATCGACAAGTGATCTTTTTTTATACAGTGGTATATATCGATATCGACTGATATGAAAAAAAATATATTGTGATAAACTTTTCCCCATATCTGCCAGCCCTACATGGACATAATTGAGGTCCTCTTCACTGTTTGTCATGAATAATGTATATCAATGATCATGACTACAGGGCCACTGCTGCTTGCTCTAATGGACACAGAATCCCGCCCTTTCCCCAATGAACACAGAGATCCTCTCAGGTTACATGTAAGACAAAAGGCTGCTAAGCTATCACATTAAATTAGCAACAAGTAAGGCCATTAACGGGACAGTAAAAAATGAATGAAACCTTTATTGCTCCCAAGAGAGTTTGCCCTGCTGCAAAAGGATAAAAATTAAACGGCACGGATATCAAATGCCATATAGGACAGCGCACAATAGAAATTAAACACAATTGTTAAAAATATGCCTCAATGGTGGTTATGCATGCAGAGTGCCAAGTTCAATGAAGTGCCCAAAAATTTTGTATTAAAATGTCAAATTTAAAAACTCAGTTAGGTGTCATTACATCTTACATGTGGTGGTCATTCGACACAGTTATGTCCCCTTCTCTGTATGTACAGTGGAAAAAACCACATCACGAAAACAAGGAGTTAAGTTAAGAGGGTCAGCATCCACAGTGATGATGTTGATGATGATGCTCACCTGCTCCACTCCTCCTCACAACCAAAAACAGCCAGAAAAGCGCGGCCAGCATTTGATGTCGATCTTTCCTCTGCGTACTAAGCACCATTGTCCTTGTTTATGTGTTTATCATATGCATAGTGCGATACGTGCCCTCCATGAGAGACTAGTCCAAGCATAGTGTGGCGCAAATCTAGATGATAAGCGCATTTAATAACCAATCGCAATGCGCACAGTGTCCTGATGAATCCAAGAGTTTTCCCCAAATCCGTCCAGATCAATATCGAAAAATATCCTTGATAAAGTTCACAGCATCCTCGAGAGTGGCATAAGCATCTCTTGGCGACTCTCTGCAACAAAATGCGGATCACTTCTAGATCCAAGCATGAGCGATCCAGAGAAAAATTGGTTCCATTTGAGGTATGTATGTTGATATGAAACTGTTTGTGTGTGACCGCCTAGAAAAGTGAAAGGTAAAGTCCCCTTTACATGCAAATGAAGTCCTGTAAATGTTTCCATTAGCTCACAACCACAACCCGAGTTGTGCGTCTCAGCCAAGTCTCCTGTGCGCTCCAGTAGAGGAGTGAGTGTGCTCTATTTATCCAACGTCCTCCCTGCCGACACACACGCACACATTAAACACACACACATACTCTGAGAGGATGTTGCGCTGCACCACTAGAACTCATCCAAAACCCATTTTTCTCCATCCTGGCTGACTTTCATCCATATGGGGATTCTGCGAAAGATTGTGAGGACAAACTCACGACCTGCACGCGAACACCGCAGTTAATATGAACCAGTCGCAGAGCGCATACCATCTGAACCAGGTCCCTCCACTAACCTGGGCCTCGTAATACGGCTGAGAAATTACTTTGTCTGCTCGTGCCCTCCTGTTTTTCAGCTGCAGCTACTCCATGTTACAGGCCCCTTTGATGTCTCACCGGAAGAAACCTGAGTAGGAACCAAAAATAGTCGCTGGTGATGTGTGTGTGTTTGTGTGTGTTTTTTTCTTTTTGTTCAATGACGCATTGTCGTACCCAGACAATCTGACAGCTTGGAGTTTCATGCAAATGACTTTGACAAGAAAAGAGGTCTTTTTCCCATCTGTCTGCCGGATGGATAGATTACAGTGCCACTCTTCATTAAAATACTGGATAATAAACACATGGTCGGACACATGACAGACCTCTTTTCAAATTCTTTTTGACCACACACGTCAGGAAAGCTGGGCCCCTTGCTGAGTCTGTTGTAGTTTTTCTGACTGGCACACACAACACACACACAGAGTTTTATGGCTTAACATCAAATGCTAGAAACTAAGAAAACTGGAATAGACAGATGGAGAGAGATCAGTTTCAGTGTCTTTAATGGGATACAAATTATATACAGACCTGCTTCTTCAGAGTGAATGACACAAATAGGATGACTGAGAGTTAGTACATGCATGGGCCAATGATGATGATGATGATGATGATCTTTGTGTATGGAACCATCAGTTTAACGCAGGAATGCCCCAATACCATCAATCATTTTTTAACATGTGCAGTGATCATTTCTTGACCCTTTTTTGACCATTTCTAATCTTGTGAATCATTTAGCCGAACATTTGTCTCCATTTATCAGTCTGTGGTCAGTTATCTCACTGTTTGTCTGCTAACACCAGCTATGGTGCCTTTACATCAAGAAACTGTGGCGGATCTCCATCTTCTCTTGTCTTGCAGTTTCCTTAATCCATTGACTCCATTGGTGCAGTATATTCTATAAAAAGCTCTAAAGGAGATTATGGTAATGCCATATGTAAGGGATTAGCTGTTATCAGGTACTATTTGTGGTTTCAGGCATATTTTTTTGGCTCCTTTGGACAGATTCAGAGCCAGTTCTGACTCAAGGGACGTACAAGGATGAGATTCACATATTTTTGCTGCTTGCAGGATGGGAGGACCTGTGAGTGTGTTTATTTAAGGAGGAGGGATAATGGGTTAAACATAAAGTCTACTCGTCAGTGTGGTCTGTTTCTGCTTTTTTTTTCAGAGATACAGGTCTGAAAGAAGTTCATACTACAAACTCACACTTCATACTGTATGTGGCCAATTTCTGATTCCCGCAAACACGAGAAAAACTGCAGGTTTCAGTAAAGTCATGGAGGTTTGAGGTCAAGGTTTGCAGCATAGCTGTAAACATTTTAAGAGCAGCTGGTTTCAATGCAAGGAAACTATGTTTAGTTACTCATTTTGGCTTCAAAACCCACAACCAATGAATTCTTAATTGAATAAACAGTAATTAAGAGACATTTTCTGTCATGCAGGAATGCAGTTGTGCCCACATTCAGTAAAGTTCTTGTTTAGGACGTGAACAAAAAAAGCAGAAAATAACTACACATCCCATTCCAAGGTTTTTATCAGGTGTAACATTGCATTGGTATGAAAAAATGTCTTCCTCTCTCATCTTTCAGTCCCTTCCTGCAAGTACATTCTCCAAAATGTTCAGCATGTATCTTCATCACAGCCCCCAGCTGTGAGAGGTCAAATACCAGCCAGTAAAGGTCCCAGGGATCCTCTACCTGCCCCATGACTGCCTCTCTAATTGCTCCTCTTTCTCTCATTTACAGAGCTTAATAAGGGCCAGAGGTGAGAAGGCTGGGGTCAGGTGAGCAGGGACTCCACTTTCCAGTCATTTTAATTTGCAGTGTTTGTCCAGGATGTTCATACATGCGTGTATCAAGCACATGGTGTCACTGCACACTTCTCTGTCTCTCTGAGTCTCTGTGCTCTGCATTTCATTTCACATGTTCCCCCACGGATAAGGAGGATTAAGCTGCTTCCAAATAAGACTTTTCAGTCTGAGGGCTCTATGGGCCTACGTGATCCGTCATTAGTTAATATCTCCAAATACTCCAACTATTCAGTGTATATTGATTTGTAAAAATAACCTTTATGACAGTTTGGCTTAAATGTTGAATTGTCTGGTTTGGCTTTTTCTCATGGAGACTGTAGAGTCACAGAGTTGGATCTCATATGATGTTATCCCCCAGCCACATGGGAGACCATTGGGTGCCATGGTTAATAGGGTGGGCTTGAGTTAAGCCTTGGGGTCAGAGTTAATTATCCTGGTGCATTTCTGGAGAGAGACTCATAGCTTTTGCACTATAAAGTACCAAGAAGTGATATTTGATAGACAGATCAGAGAAATTCTAGCCCCTAGCTGCTGTGCTCTTTAAAAATCCGTTAAGGTCCTCACAGAGTATTTCACTCCAGGGCCTGTGGGATGACACAGTTCAAAGTGAAAAGGTCAAGGTGAAAAGTCAACTGCAAAGGTCTGTAGTTCAAGACTAATAAAACAAAGAGGACTATAATTCTTTGTAAATTTGAGCTGAGAGTTGCTTGCATTGGTTTTTCACTTTGAGCTTGATAATCAGTGCAGACAGCTGACACAAAGACAGCCCCCTCATTTCTGAAGTTTACTGTGATTCTAATGTCAGAGGGAAGCTTTAATAAACTCGCAGAGACTGTTAAAAGTTTGTCTCTGAACATTTGCACATTTACGCTTGGAGTGGGAAAAGCACACATGATAGGTTAAATTACATGTGGCCTCTTTGATGTGTGAGGATGAACGACACAGATTAAACTGTCAGACCAGCATGTGATAGAGGCCAGAAGAGGCAAAAACACGAACCAAGGCCTCGGTGAAGCATCCCAGCAGTTTGACAAATAAATAATGTGCATATGTGTGAGTCGGTGTGTGGATTTGTAGTTGTTTGTTCATGGGACGTTTGTGGTTGTAATCTCTCACATGTGTTTGGGAGACGGAAATCCATATGTAGGTGTTGCCTTTTTTCTTTATTAATTCTTAACAAGGAGGCATGACAGGAATGTTAAAGAGTGGCTTCAGTTCAGCAGCGAGATATTTATAGCTGAAAGTCCTGTTTAATATCACACATCAAACATAAGTCCCACCCAAAGGCACACACGCAAATAACACATTCCTACCTCAGTGGATGTCACCAGCTTACAAGCTTAGAACTTACTTTGTGCGCCACATAAACACCGAAATACTGGCACACACAAATACGCATGTAAACAAAAACAGACACGTTTTCTTGATAACTCTTCCCTTGCTTTTTTTTCATTCCCACCCACACAAACAAAATGAAATGCCAGAACACACGCTCTGGTTTTCGACCACAATAACACATACAGACATGTGTTACAGATTCCACTTAATGCTCATATTTGCACACCCACTTAGATAAAGCGCGCTGACTCGGCTTACGTAACAGTTTACTTTAACTGTCTCAATGAGGTTCTGTGGTTTCAAAGGAAATGTGGTTTGGGGCTTGAAAATGGGAGGGAAAAGGGTTAGTAGAAGAACAAAGCTAATTACCATTAAGGTCCATGTAATAAATCTAGGGTAACCTTTTTTTTCTGAGCAGCATTAAACATGAATAGATTAATAATTACTATCAGCAGTTACATTTTGAACTTTACATCATCATGATTCCCCCTCTGGAACATTGCTTCTGACTTTGGCTCTCCTCCTAAAAGTCACAGAGAGTAGCGGAGCAAATGAGAGGAAAAATCAAATGCAGCTGTTCGAGGTGCTGGGCCTCAGGTTGGGGGATCCAGTCTGTCTTTCATGCCTGGTCTCTTTCAGCTACAAGCCCCTTCCCAACTTATTAAAGAAGCTGTTTTTGGCTCGCCAAGAGCCCACCTGTGCATCACCCAAGCCAAGATGAGGAATTCAGTCTATAGTCAAAGGTTGCTTTTTAGCATTAATTTAACTTAATACATGCTGGTGATATGTGAAGTTAAAACAGATAATGCACAAAGGCCACTGCTAGCAGATTTCATTTAATTATTTCCCTTGTTGGAATATAATACTGAGATGTTGATATGACGTATGCTGCCCTTGCGGTAGTTCTGTCTTATCAGTGAGCCAACCGCAGTGACAGTTTTTGAAGTAATTAAAAGGATGCTGTGAAGATGGGGTTTGGAGACGGGTGTTACTTGAAAGTGAAGCATATAGCCTGAGCCTTACTTTGTGTCCAGGAGTTGTGGTGTCTGGGTCAAAATGAGGATTCTTATACTTTGTCTTGTTTGTACTTGTTTTTTGTAAATTTTTAAAGTACCTGAGCTAAATTTAGCACAAACTCAGCATTGGAATGTGCGTTTCCATGCCTGTATGCAAATGCAAAAGTATAATCTTATTGCAACTCAAGGGTGTGCCCACTTTAGTGGTTGGACTGTTGGTTTCTACAGAGGAAGAAATATGTGGCAATACAGTATGTGCGACTGCCTGACCCCTCTGATTTACCCGACAATGTGACGGTAAGAAAGGGGCAGCCAGTGTTTGATCATATCTGCCTAACATCTGGCCCTTAGGAGGAGCTAATGTTAGCAGCATATACTGATGTCATTAGTGTAAAATGGGAGTTGTGTTCACAAAGGCAAGACCTGTATGGCTTCTCATCAATGTAAAGACATGAGGTGAAGAAAAGTGGATAGATGATGTGATGAATCTAGCATGGATTTCATGTATGTATGATTATGTAAGTGACATATATTGATGTTGTGTAATGATTGAGGCTGATCCAGATCTTTTGTATCTGTGTCTGGACTGTTAAGTGATGGATTGGGCAGATCAAAGCTGTAACAAAGCTTTTTGGGGTTCACCAGTAATCAGTTCCACTCACCCAGAGCTCCTGGCCACATCTGTACAATCAAGTTCATTACCATGGTGGACTCCTGGCCCCAGAGATGGCAGCAATATTTCCAACCAAACACTGGCGTAGGGGACCATGTCTAGAGGATATGCGTGGTTTTAGTGAAGTTTCCTTCAGAACCTTTTCTGCTTTAATCAATACCAATAGGCATGTGCTAATAATTAATGAATTGCTGTGGTCATGGTGATTTAAACGCTAAGGCAGCTCTGATATGATAATGTCATTATTAGATGTGGGTTGTTTGGACCCAATGGGAAGTCTTTCATTTGGTTTAGGCCTCCTCAGCTATTGAGGTCATTGCTTTAAGAGCGGGCTCCATTGAAACAATGCCAATGAAGTGGAAAGTCTATTGCTCACTGTTTCCAGAGAGCTACATTGAGTAATGACTGCTGCTTGACATTGAAGTATTCATAGCACCTCTTTGAAGCCATGCTGTGTGACTGAATTTACTGGCCCTATTTTACATTTGTGAAGTAACAATGAAAAACAGACATTTAATCATGACAATGCAGAAAAACAGTTTCTTGTATGTATCTTTGATACTTATAAAGTGGGCTATTGCTGTTGCCTATTGTCAGGCTGCATAGGGGTCCTCTCAGTACCTTTCAAGTGGTCTTAAAAATCGCAGCATGCATACTGATCAGAACTAGAGAGAAAGGTGATTTATTATCCATACCAGCTTCTTTGTACTGCTCCCTGTAGGATCTAGAGATGACCTAACTGAACTATTACTCTTTTAGAACATTGTGCTCACAGATCAGACCTGTTTTTAGTTTATAAAGTCTCAAAGAGTAGAGTGGGAGGCAGAGCCTTTAATTATCAGGCCCCTATCCTATGAAGTAATCCAGCACTTGGGGTCGGGATGCAAACATCTTCTCTGAGCGTAGACTTGAAACTTTCCTAGATGTTTAAGGTTAGAGTTCATCCTGTTTAATGTTTTTCCTTGCCACCAGTACCAAGTGCTGCTTGCATGTGCACAGACAGATCTCTCTGAAATACCAGGGGGGCCAAAGACCTGATCAATTTATTGAATGAGTGAGATCTCATTTGATGTGATATGGCATTAGATAAGTAAATAAAACAGATTTTGTTTTTTGATTGATTTGAAACATATCCTTAGCTGTCTCAGCCCCTTCAAGGCCTTAACTCATCCTTATCTGCTCAGTAACTAGTTCTTCATAAGTCACTTGTGAGAGTTCAGACACATGAGACCGTTCATTTGTGCTTGGCTGCCTGATGTCAGACTGCTCGGATGGGTTTCAATTGATCAAGCCAGGAGGAGAAAGAGCAGAGGCCGCAGGGGATGATGCTTGGGAACTGTCATGGGAAATGAGGGTGAGGACTGCACATTTCAATTTTCTTTCTCTTAATGGACACATCCATCCTGTTTTGATTGTGAAAAAAGGCAGACAATTTGCACTAAGGAAATGTTTGTTTTTATGATCAAAAGTTTTATATGATTAAAATTTAAATCAGGATTATGAAAATGATATCAATATAGACTGCCTTCAATATTTTAAAGCGATCATATGATAGCTACAACATGTAACAACGCTTGTTTTTCAAGCAACACATTAATTTAATTAATCTCACTGCCTCTTTTTCTATCTTTTCCCCTTCAATGCCCATTTCTTTTCTTAAAAATTTCTCTTAAAGATATCTTAAGGTGAAAGTTGATATTTTTAGGTGAAGCACACGGTCTACTCTCAGCAATTTACGTGACAAGGCAGAAACATTCCCATGGCTACTGTCTGGCGGAGAGATCTATCTCCATGACAACTGTTGCTGGGTGCTACATGTACATACCGCTAGTCAACTTTCAGTTGAAAACCGAGATTTCAGGAGCTTAATTTGTCTACGCGAAGGTATGAACGGGATATTAAAACCAGAGTTCTGCCTTCTCTAACAAAAGGTAAACCGAACTGCTTGTTTCAGTTGCTTGCTGAGTAAAATTTGCTAGGGTTAGCCAGCCAGCATACTTCTCATTTGTAATTGGCGAATTGACACACCTGTAGCAGACTCCAACGTCTAATGTAGTTAACATTGGCAGTTAGCTTATGCGTTCATCTCTATTTTACCGGCAGGTCGGTTACTACAGCCGTTTTACACGGAAATAACGTTTAAAACTTTACTGCGCTGGCGTTTGTCTGTTTATAACCGTTACAGTTGAATGCTGTCATTTTCACATTTTCATATCTTGAATTTAGTAAAAGTTTGCTCTGGTACTTTTACCCATTTATTTTATATTCCTAGAGGATGGAAAGGAAAAACGTCCCTGTTTTTGGGGTTTTGGTGCCTCGTCCTCCCAGCAAACCTCCACAGCCCAAACCTCCAGCTCTCCGTCACAGACTGATCCTCCCTTCAGTTAGAAAATGCACCGTGAATGAGCAGAGGGGCCTCTTCTCAGAGCCCATCAGTACCCTTCATTTTCAGGTAAGAAAATGTGGTTGTTTTTAAGTGCTTTACAAATAAAGTTGAGTTGAGTTGAATCTTCTAATTTATAAATATTTCCCATTATAAAGCCTGCTCAAATGACCTAACCCATATGCTTTTGATATATTTTATCTTCCTCTTTCCATAACCAAGAGTTATCATTTGTTTATTAGTCTCCCATAGCTGGGGTCCTGGAGAGGAAAAAAGGTCAATCCAGCGTGAAGTTCAGAGATTGCAAAACAACCAAATGTAAGAAACAGTATGAAATGCCACTTTACAGCATATTAAGCTACTTTTCATAGCTTTCTGTAAGCCATGTATATTCAGTCATAACAGATCACAGTTCGCAGTAAAAGGTTTTTTTTACCTCTATGGGGCTGAAGACGTATCCAAGGTCCGGCTACCTCACCAAACCATTCCTGGGCAGATCCCTCGCAAGCTGGAGATAGAAAGGTGTGTAATGTTTGTGTTAAACATGTGTTATTTAAATATTGAAGAGGGGACTGGATCTCATCCTGTTTTTGGCATACTTTGACACCAGATTAACAGGTGATATGTTAATAAATCAGATTGTGAGTTTCAGTCATATCTTGGCATAATCCTTCGAAGAATTTCATTCTCATTTATTTGTTCGTATAGATGGCGAAGGGAATATTTAAAGTTGGACTTGGAAAAGCTTTTGGTGGAAAAAGGCATAAACTCCAGCCACCTAATAACCAAACATAAGAGCAGCAATGAGCCCGCAACTACACAAGGCAGTTCTGTGTCACATTACCTCCCCCTAGAGGTGAGTCTGTCGCTACTGCAGTCTTTTCTAAGGCAATTCAGTTCCTTACACCCAATAATTGGGGCACAGCAGCATCCCCTGTCCATCTTCCTTGCATCTCTCACTTAGATATTTGACAATGAGGAGTATGACTGCCAAACTCCAGAAGACTGGCTCGCCTTGTGCAATGCTGAAAGATCGCCTGATGGAAAAACTGTTCATGGAAAAGCTCTACTTCCTGCACAGGGCAAGATTCCTTCTGGTAATGTGCCCTATGAACATTTTTTTAAAGCAGTGGCTGAAACTCTGTTCTTTGTTGTTTACCCTCTTTTGTCCCTTTTGAAGAGGACCAAGAAATCTCCTCGCTGGAGTACAGCTGGCATTCAGTTGTAGTTACTGACTTCAGCAAGGAGCAATGTCAGTACCATGTAAAGAAGGTTTACAAAAACACCAAGCCACCAGGTGGGGAAGGAAATTTTAGTCTTTTTGCCTTTAAACACAGATAGCAATGCCATGTTATTTCATCACCTCCACACTGTAGTTATCACAAAAAAAACAAAAAAAAAAAACATGCATTTTTATTTTCCATGTTATTCTGTTGCATAGAAGTAGACACCGTAGAAGCAGACACTGGGTACTGGGTACCTAGGATAAGATTGTTATTCATTGCTGAGGATCCTCGTGTCTTTGTTGAGCGAATCCAATATGCCCTGCGTTGGAGGGATAGCACAGAAGCTCTGATTCTCTACCACTTGTCTGTGGACTGCATGCCTATCTGGAGTGGATCACCATCACTTGATACTTACAGTCTAGAACGTGTTAAAGAGCGTACAGTTTCAGCTCCCGGGCTCAGGCTTGACACGTGAGTTTCGTTAACATGATTTTACTCCAATTCAGGTTCTTGGTTTTTATATATTTTGAAACTGTAAACTAACTACTTGGTTAAATTTATCATATATTGTGTATTCAGGAAGGGAAAGTGTCTGAAGGACCTGGAGAAGGAAGTCAAACTGGAATATGACCGAACAATGAACAGTTTGAGCTTTGACAAAGTAGTTACGACACAACCAGAGGATTTTCAACACATCACCTTACCACAGAGGGATGCTGAGAATGCACCACAACAAGGTAAGACAGTTGGTCTTGTATGCATTTGTTTGAGTTTGCATTAAATATACCTTAATTCATGACATTCATCCTCCGAATCATCAAACTGTTCTCTTTTTTTCCATCTATGTACAGGGTGTGTTCCAGTACCTTACTCTAACTTAAAAAGGAACCGAGCTGCTTTTTTCAAGAATTTCCTGTTCAAAAAGTCAGAGTTGATCGGTGTATTATCTGAAATAGGGTTGGAGTGCAACAAAGTAACAACCATGAAACTTTTCAATGTCACCTTGGTCAAACCACTGCTGCTTGATGAGTTTGAAAGCATGCAGTTTCTAGTTCATGACAAGGTATTTCAATTAAATGTTCTTTTCTTCAGCCAATAATTTGCCATGTCTGAAAAACAACTTTTTTACTTAAAATGTGATAATGATTACACAACAAGCATAAGCCCCTGAACTTAACCTATGGCCATACAGAAAAAGGTGCTCATCAGTCCATTTGCAAAATTGTGTTGCTCATACTAGTTATATGAAAGACAAACCTTGTAGATAAAAGATACTAAGTATCAAAACTCTTTCTTACTCTCTACAGATAAACAAGTATCTTACAGAGGCATGGATACTTGCTCTGAGCAAAGGTATTCGTTCTCAGCTGGAGAACATTGACTGGGGTTCGTACAATGTTAATGTGTCCTGCTGGAAGATGTACGAGTTTTCCAGCCTGCCCAAACTGATGTCTTTGGTGCGCTTCAAAATGCAGGACTCCCTGCATTTCCTTGTGCAGGATTCACTTGTCAGCCTGACTCAGCTGTTTTTAGATGCCTGCCACAGTGTGCTGACATGTCCTCAGGATCTGGTCTGGGAAAACAACCTAATCACCAGTCCTTACAAGTAGGATAGTACGCACTGAAACAAGGGCCTACAATGACATTTATATTAACATCAAAACTATCTTTGCATATGCATCCATCTTATTCTGTGACTATCTATTTGACATGTTATGTAATTGCATATTATTCTCTAAAACAAGGCCAAAGAAGAACCCTCTTTTCCTGGTGGACTTGGTGCTAGATCAGACTGGAATCCATTACAGCACCCCTCCGGAACAATTTGAGACATCCATTATCAATTTGTTCGATAAGGGTATTTTGGCCACACATAATGTTCCACAGCTTGATAAGGTAAACTAAAATATTGAATCATTTAGAATTGTGAATGCGGGGATGTGAAATTTATTCACTGTAGACTCCTTGTCTTTGTTTGGCGATAATGATAGAGAATGATGATGCTGAGAATTTGATATTTTCTCTCTCACCAATTCCAGTTCGTGATGAGGGAGTTATTTTTCCCCAATGAGCGGTTTGTTGACTCGGTTAGTTTGTGGGAAACTGAGGTAAATGAACTGAGAGAGAAGCTCCGCAGTGCTCTGACACAAGCAGCCATACCTCTCAAAGCTTATGCTGCTAAGTATGAGAAGTACTTGGAGCTATGCAACTTGGACATAGAAACTCACCTGAAGTAAGTCTGTTATCTTACTTAATTACTTGTGCACATTCTCCCACAAGTGCATGGACCTAGTCACTCTGACACATGCAGTATTTAGCTTGTTCCTGTCATTGAATTGAGTCATTTGTGTCTTCTCTGGTAGGACTAATATGAATGCAGAACTGACATCTCAAATGGTGAAAAAAGAAGTGGAACAACATCTCAAAGACAGGGAAATAATTTTACACTCCCTGCCATCCTCAATTGTCATTGGTCCATTTATTGTCCGTGTGGAGGCTGTTCGTCAGGCTCTGTCCAATAAAAAGGAGGCTCTGGCCAATGCAGCGCTGGCACAGCTTGTGCAGAAGTTGGGAAGGCGGATTGATGATGTAAGTTATTTGTTTAAAAAGACAGTTTTTCCTGCGAGGGTGTTAGGTATTTAGCTTCTTCGGTACATTGCACCCCTGTTAACTTCAGCACAGAAGTCATCCCCTTGTGTCTGTCAACTTGAATTGAGTGTTTATTTTTTGTATTTGCAGGCATGTGAGGAGTGTAACACAATCAGTAGAAGGCTGCGTGAGAGGCCCAACAGCATTGAGGAATTGACTGAAAAGAGAGACTGGATGAAGCAAATCCCTGACCAGCTCAAGATTTACAAGGTGCACATAAAAGACATTAGCCATTGATTTCTATTCTGTTCTATAAAAGCATCCTTTTACTGAAAAATGTTCAATTTTCAATTCAACAGGAAGTCGTTGGAAAGATCCTGACAGACTATGATCTAACTGACCAATTTTTCTATTGTCTTCCAAAAGACAATTTTAACAAAAAGTAAGTGTTATTTCATATGGTTGATTCTAAAACAAATCTGTTAAACACTTGTGTTATAATTGCAAAAGTAAGAAAGGGAAAGTTGGGAACTACCTTTGTTACTCTTCTTGCTATTTATCTGTGCAGATGGACTGCTATTGGATGGCCACAAAGGATAATCAGTCAAATGAAAGCAGTTGCTGCTCAAAATGTTGAGGCAGAGGAACACTTCCATAAAATCCAGCTGGCCGACCAGAACAATTTTGAGGAACATCTAGATTCTCTACAGGTGGGAATTACTTTTTTTCCCTTCTGTCATCATCTAAGTAACCTTGTGCTTCAGGCAGACTATGGACTGTTTTTACTCAAGGTTAGAAATTTCTTTTTACTTTGTTTTAATGTGAGTTGATAAAATTTGTTTGTTGATAGATGCTGATTTCTGGGTTTGGGGCCCATTCAGACATCGACCATGCCCATGAGGTGGCCAATGAGATGAGACGTGCAGGCAAACAACTGAAGGAGTGTCAAACATTGGCTCAAAGTTACAACACCCGAGAACGTTTGTTTGGCATTCCTGTCACCAATGTTAGTACAAAAAGAAATCAACAACCAAAACCACGCCCAGAAAATTATGCAGTTGTAAAAAACTGGTACATGAAATTCTTTGTCACCTAAACTTTTGTATTTCGTAAATGTGCACAACAGTATGATCGCCTACAAAAGCTGATAAAGGACTTTCAACCTTTCAAAGACCTCTGGACCACTACCTCTGATTGGCTACGTTGTCATGACTACTGGCTTAGTAGCCCTCTGTCCTCCATTGACCCAGAGCAGCTTGAGCACATGGTCACAGAAGCCCACAAAACCATGCACAAATGTGTCAAACAGTTCAAGGACCTTCCTGGTATGCCATGTATCCATCACAATTTGAACGTGTAATACATAGTGTGCCAATTTATATGTTTCATGCTTTTTTCTTTTCTACCACCAAATAGACTGCCAGTTGATGGCGACAGTAGTCCGCACCAAAATTGAGGACTTCCGCCCTTGCGTTCCTCTAATTCAAGGCCTGAGGAACCCAGGGATGAAAAACCGCCACTGGAAGATGCTTTCAGAAAGAATTCAAATGAAGGTGGAGCCCAAGGCTGACCTGACTTTCTCCCGCTGCTTGGAGCTTGGCCTACAAAACTATGTGGATGACATAGCCCATGTTGCAGAGGTGGCTGGGAAAGAGTACACCATTGAGCAGGTACCTTAGAGCAGAACTATAAATACAGTGTTTTCTGCAATGTCAAGTTATGCATAAAGTATTTCAATGTAAACTGTTGCATTTGGATTGAGATTAGACTTTCATTACCAAGGGAGAGATTAAGCAAACATCATGTCTTCACTCAAATACAACTGATTTCACATCAAATTGAGAATAGTAACCGCTGCTGCTTTGTGTCATACCCTGTCATACAGGCTCTGGAGAAGATGGAGCAAGAGTGGTCAAATGTGCTCTTTGAAGTAGTGCCATACAAGGACACGGGCACCTACATCTTGAGAAGTCCTGATGAAGCTTCTCAGTTGCTGGATGACCACATAGTCATGACCCAGAGCATGTCCTTTTCTCCCTTCAAGAAGGCCTTTGAAGGCCGCATCAACATCTGGGAGAGCAAGCTCAGACTGACTCGAGTAAAAAAACACTCTCTTGAAATTTTCTGTCCTGTATCAAATGCAGTATTTCATGTTGTGCTACTGTCCTCTTCTGGTGCCTGCAGGATGTGCTGGAGGAGTGGCTGACATGTCAGCGCTCCTGGCTCTACTTAGAGCCCATTTTCAGCTCTGATGATATAAACCAGCAGCTACCTGCGGAAGGAAAACGATACCAGCAAATGGAACACACTTGGAGGCGTATAATGAAAAGTGCCTTTAATAATCCAAAGGTCAGATTCTACACAAAATCCCATATATGAGGACAAATGCTTTGTTTTTGTAAAAGGTTATTTCAGAATAAAATTGTCATCCTTGTGATTTATTTGCTAAAACTTCTGATTGTGTGTGTTGTGGTTTATATCCAGGTGATTGAACTGTGCCCAGATGCTTACCTTCTAAGCAACCTGAAAAAATGCAACACAAGTTTGGAACAAGTGCAAAAGGGCCTCAGTGAGTACTTGGAGAAAAAACGAAGCTCCTTCCCCAGGTAAACCTTACCTAATTTTTTTTCCTGCATACCCCATTTCCAAGAGTTTTGCTTGAATAGCCCAATAATAATTGGCTCAATAAACATGCTTTGTTTTTAAATAAAGGGGGAAATTATGATACCAAGAAGATAACACCCAAATAGCATTGTAGAGACAACTTGAAGCAAGACACGGAGTAAATGTGACATCATTGATTGTGTAGATTGAGTGTAATACTCTGTGAAAATGTGTTTGTAGGTTTTACTTTCTGTCAGATGATGAGCTTCTTGAGATTCTGTCGCAGACAAAAGATCCCACTGCTGTGCAGCCACACTTACGCAAATGCTTTGAGAACATTGCAAGGGTTTGTTTTGCCTGGTTATTTCGTCACCACCCCATGTTTTCTCTCATATGTGACTATATATATATCATTTTTGTTGTCTGTGACTGGGATATGTATTTGCTATCAGCTTCAATTTCAGTCAGATCTCCAGATCACTCACATGTACTCGGGAGAGGGGGAGGAGGTGCAGCTTTTCCTGCCAGTGTGGCCTACTGGGAATGTCGAGGACTGGCTCAGGGAAGTCGAGGAGTCTATGAAGGCCACACTGAGAGATAATATTGACCGCTCCCTCAAAGTGTACCCTGAGGTCAGTAACTCTCCTGCTGTATTGCTTCTCTGTGCAACCTTAAGCTGAAGTATTTTTAGTTAATTCAGTGTTAACTGTCTTTGCCCCTCAGCAACCTCGGGCAGAATGGGTGTTGTCATGGCCTGGCCAAGTGGTCATAGCAGGCTGTCAGGTCTTCTGGACAACAGAGGTGTCTGAGGCTTTGGAGCAGGGAGACCTGGCCAGTCGTCTTTATCCCCAACTACAGACACAGGTGTGAATGAGAGAGAGAGATACGTTTCATTTCACTGACATGTACACCTAACATCATTCACACGACAGACCACACTACTGTATGCTGGCATTTTTAACGGTGTACATTTTATTTCTGCAGCTGTGTGACTTGGTGCAGCTTGTGAGAGGAGGTCTGTCTAAAATGCAACGGGCTGTGCTCTCTGCTCTCATTGTCATTGAGGTACATGCTAAGGATGTTACAGCCAAACTGGTTGAACAAGAGGTCTCAAGCGTCAATGACTTTGAGTGGATCAGCCAACTCAGGTTATCTTTTGTTTTTTGGCCTGTGCTTTTTTGGCCTTCCAGTTATTTACCACACCTATTGCACCTTTCTGAAGAAAGAGTTTGACTTTGTTTTGTTTGTAGATATTATTGGGCAAAAGGTGACCTGTACATTCGTGCAGTAAATGCAGAGTTTTTGTATGGGTACGAGTACCTTGGTAACTCAGGACGTCTGGTCATTACCCCACTCACTGACAGGTAGTTAGCAAGTCTAATGTTTTTCAGCCAGTTTTACTTTATTGTCAAATAGGATTTTAAAATAAAGCATTTTCTGCTTCTTTCAGATGCTACCTGACCCTAACAGGAGCTCTGCATTTAAAGTTCGGAGGGGCTCCTGCAGGCCCAGCAGGTACAGGAAAAACAGAAACCACTAAAGACCTGGGGAAGGCTCTGGCTATTCAGACAGTTGTTTTCAACTGCTCTGATCAGCTGGACTTTATTGCAATGGGAAAGTTTCTCAAAGGACTGGCCAGGTGAGAGGCAGGTTATAAAATGTAATAGTATTTCAGTTTTACTTCAGTCGTATTTATGCCATTTTGTCTTTCTATTACTCTGCAGCTCGGGGGCCTGGGCATGCTTTGATGAGTTCAACCGTATTGATGTAGAAGTATTGTCTGTGGTCGCTCAGCAGATCACCACTATACAAAAAGCTCAGCAACAAAGGGTGAGAAGCTAAGAATTCATACACTGTTACTAATTACTCTGATTAATGAAGAACTTCAGTTATATAAGCACTCTGTATGGTAACTGACAGTATCCCTAAGTATTCCTAAGATAGCATTCCTACATTTAAAGTGAAGCTGACCTTGTGTAGTATTTCTGAGTTGAATAATATTAAGTTCACAAAGACACAGAAGGACTTAGAAGCATTGCTATATAATGTTATTTAAAAACCAGTACTGATACGAAAGAATTATAGTGTATCACATATCCCATATTTTCACAAAATATAGCTATAAATTTTGATTTTAACTTTTGAATTAATAATTTTCTGTTATAAATAAAAAATAAATGTACTTGGTTTTTTTCTAAGTGATTTTTTGATGATGCTTTCCATTCATAAAGAATGAGTCCAATCCATTTAGTGATGTATCTGTTTGCTGTATTATTGTAGGCAGAGCGCTTTGTGTTCGAAGGGTCAGAAATCCCTCTTGTCCCTTCTTGTGCTGTATTCATCACTATGAATCCAGGATATGCTGGACGCACTGAACTCCCTGACAATCTCAAGGTTTGAAACTGTCAACTGAAACTGAATTTACAGGCACATCCCATGTATATGTATATCAGACGTGTATGTGATGTATCCCTGAGGGAAAGCAGATGGATTTAAACTTTTTGAGTTTACATCCACAGGCCCTGTTTCGTCCTGTGGCTATGATGGTTCCTAACTACGCCATGATAGCTGAGATCTCCTTGTACTCATTTGGCTTTAGTGATGCCAAAGTCCTCTCCAAGAAGATCACCACCACATTCAAGCTCTCATCTGAACAGCTTAGCTCTCAGGTACTTTATGGATTCAGAGGAGGTCACAAAAACCCATTTCTATCTGTCCATCAAAAAAATTGTGCTGTGTCCGAAGAAGTTGGATAATGTAACGATGTGTTTGTGGGTAAGAAAAACAAATGTAAAGATGACACATTTTGGCTCTTGTTTACATGAAGGATCATTATGATTTTGGTATGAGAGCTGTGAAAACTGTGATCTCAGCTGCTGGCAATCTCAAAAGGGAAAATCCTGACATGAATGAGGTAAGAAACATGAAAATATCACGTTGGTAAATAAAGATAATGGACGAATTTCGAGGGGCTCTAACTATCCAATCCCCTTCTTTTTTCAAAATTGTGTTGTGCCCCAGGAGTTGATCTGTCTACGGGCAATTCAAGATGTCAACGTGCCAAAGTTTCTACAGGACGACTTGAAGCTCTTTAGTGGTATTGTGTCAGATCTTTTCCCCAAGACTAAGCAGGAGCCAATCAACTATGGTATCCTGGAAGAGTCCATGCGTAATGTCTGCAGAAACAAGAACCTTAAAGATGTGGATGGTAAGTGTTTGTGGATGATCAGGAAATGAGTTTTGATGACCAGATTCATGTTTTATTGTATGAGTAAACGACAGTATCATGCTTATTTCAGGTTATATCAGTAAGTGTATCCAGCTGTATGAGACCACTGTAGTACGACATGGTCTGATGTTGGTTGGGCCCTCTGGATCAGGTAAAACAAAGGTGAGTTTTACTCATCACAGTATTGTTTACGGTTGACTCACAGTTATACCATGTTTTTTTTCATTGCATTGTCCTTTATATTATTGAAACAAATACGTTTGTCAGTGCTATGAGATTCTAGGTTCTGCAATAACAGCTCTGAAAGGCCAGCCCTCTGTAAGTGGAGGTGTGTATGAAGCAGTTCAGATGTTTGTCCTCAACCCGAAATCCATCACCATGGGACAGCTCTACGGAGAGTATGACTTACTCACACATGAGTGGTAAGAACTACGGATGGTAAACTCCTGACCAAACACAAAAACTCAAACTGACTGATGAACAGAAACGTTTCCTTTTTTTCCCTCACATCTTTAGGACAGATGGTATCCTCTCATCTCTTATCCGAAGAGGTGCAGCATGTATGGACAAAGAGAAGAAGTGGTACATGTTTGACGGGCCAGTGGATGCTGTGTGGATTGAGAACATGAACACTGTGCTGGATGACAACAAAAAGCTTTGTCTCAGCTCAGGAGAAATTATGAAGCTCACAGATGTAGGATTAAGTTTTCACAGTCTTAGTGAATCTTTAGGCTGTTTCCATCCATGTGTACTTAACGCTATCATTCTGCAGGTGATGACCATGATGTTTGAAGTGCAAGACTTAGCAGTGGCATCTCCAGCCACAGTGTCTCGTTGTGGTATGGTCTACCTGGAACCCAGTATTTTGGGCCTCGTCCCTTTCACAGAGTGCTGGCTGAACCAGGTCCCTGAAGCCCTAAAACCATATACAGAGCAGCTAAACTCCCTGTTTGCCAGGTTCTTGCAGGTCAGGAGGGAGACAAGCGGGAAGTCTCAATGCTTTTTATCCTTAACTTCAGAGATAACAACAGTAAAAATGTATCGCTTTTTTCTGTTTTTACCCAGGACTCCATCAGATTTGTCCGCACATCAGTAAAAGAGGTTGTCACATCCCTGGACAGCAACCTCACCTGTAGTCTCCTTAAACTTATGGACTGCTTCTTCAGTCCATTCACTGCTAAAGAAGTAAGTGAAGCATATCACAGTACATACTGTACATTTCTATGCTTATTTGCTGCTATAAATACCATGACTACACGTTAAACTTTAAGCTTTCTTAAGTAGATTATCAGTACTCATGGGAAGTTACTGAAGCATTTTAACAAATTAGGGATTAAGGTTTTTACTCATGCTTACATTATTATAATCGGTATGGAATCTGTTGAACCAATGCAGAGGATGCCCTGCTTAATAAAAAGGCCAAGTTTTTGTTGCATCTATTCCCATAAACTGTTTACTGGAACTGAAAAAGCCAACCAAGTTTGGAATAATGTACAGACAGATTCAGGCGGTACAGTCCTATACATTTGTTTTCTGTTGCTTGTGACCATCTCCTTGATCGTCTTGCAGGGACAAAAGCCACCTCCCAAAAAGAAAGTGGAACGTCTGAAGGAATTGATAGAGCCCTGGTTCTTCTTTTCTCTGGTGTGGAGTGTCGGAGCCTCAGGAGACGCAGCCAGCTTTAAGCGCTTCAGTGCTTGGCTCAAGAAAAAAATGGCTGAAGAAAAGGTCTCTACTCACAACGTTATTATTTTCAATTACATCTGGATGGCTGGAAGTAGAGTTTATTGTGACAGAGGCATATATCTTTCATTGCACTAATGCATTTGTCAATCAGGTTCAGTTGTGTTTTCCTGAGGAGGACTCGGTGTATGACTACAGGCTTGATGATGCAGGAATAAGCCATTTTGAGGACGATGATGAAGATGAGGAACGAAAAGTAGGTGGATGGATCATACAGATTTTGGTACCTCCAAGATTATTTGTTAAAATGTTTCTTTTGTTTTTTCTTGTACTGTAGGTCCAGTGGGTAAACTGGATGAAATCCTCAAAGAGTGTTGTTATCACACCACAGACAAATTATGCCGACATCATTATTCCCACCCCTGACACTGTGAGAATGTCTTTCCTCATGGATATGCTTTTGACTAATAAGAAACCTGTGAGTATTTGGATTATAGTTGCACTTTACACATCTATCCAAGGCAAAGTGTGGAGGATGCTAAAACCTGTAATTAGAGGCACTAAATTAGGAGTATTTATAGATATTTACATAAAAATGCACCATTTGAGCCAGGCTTATTGCTTGAACTAACTAACAGGTGCACAGAAGCTAAAACATTTAGCTTGCCTTTTAAACTACTTACTAGACTTACTATAACCTGGATAAGCGAGAACCTTAAAAAAAACCATTAAACTACATTTATATGCATACATGTGTGTGGTCCAGGTGCTCTGCATTGGGCCCACTGGCACAGGAAAGACCCTGACTATGTCTGACAAGCTGTTGAAGAACATGCCTGCTGAGTACATCACACACTTCCTCATGTTTTCTGCCTGCACCTCAGCCAACCAGACTCAGGATTATATTGACAGTAAGCTGGATAAAAGGTTAGTCGTTCTTATTGGAAATTACCTATTAACTGTATATTATCTGCTATACAATTCTATATGTGCAACTAACCATTTTGTGCCTTTGTGTCAGGCGGAAAGGTGTGTTTGGACCCCCTCCAGGGAAGCACTTCATTTTCTTCATTGATGACCTGAACATGCCAATGTTAGAGACCTATGGTGCTCAGCCGCCTATTGAGCTGTTGAGGCAGTGGATGGACCACAGAGGCTGGTATGACAGGAAAAAGATAGGTGAGAATACTAGACACCTTTTCCTTTCCCCAACTCTTACCTTTTATCTTTTCCATCTGCAAATCTTCAAAACTGACTCGTAAGAGTCTTGAGTGCAATTTTGACAGAGTAGATATTAATTATTACAGTTACAAATACCTACATAACTTGCATTACCTACCTACATTTACCTGTACCTGTATTTTTCTCTGGTATAATAGCTCAAATAATGTGCAATAATAACATGTCCAATTATTTTTTGTTCACTGTGTAGAACCATTTTTACTTTTGTTGTTGTTGTTTATTTTTCTTTCTCTTTCTTTTGTATAAAGTATTTTCCGTATAGGTCTAAGTTACCTTTTAAAAGGATGTCATCTTATCTTATTGTATCTCATCTTATTATATCCTATCCTGTCATATCTCATCTCATCTCATCTCACCTCACCTCACCTCGCATCACCTCATCTCATCTCATCTCATCTCATCTTATCTTATCTTATCTTATCTTATCTTATCATTGTAAATGAAGCTATTTTGTTGTTTGTTTCTTGCTTCCCCACAGGGACTTTCAAGAACATTGTTGACATCAATTTCTCCTGTGCGATGGGACTTCCAGGGGGAGGCAGGAACCCCATTACACAGCGATTTACACGTCATTTCAGCCTCCTGTCCTTCACTGAAATGGAGGACGCCAGCAAGAAAAGGATTTTTTCAACCATTTTGGGCAGTTGGATGGGTCAGTTGTGGCTGCTTTTCCGTTTCGATTGACATATCAGACAGGTGTTTCGGGGTAGAGAATACTTATTGTACATTAGTGAAAAGAAGCAACACTTTTAACAGAATCTTTGTTCTTTTTCAGATGGAAATATAAGTAAAAAGGAGCCAGGTACTAAGTTAGGGACATAGAGATGATAAGATGACAGATTGTGATGTGTCAAAAATATCATTCAGTTCAAAGCATTAGCCAGTACAAGTGGTTTGGTAAAGAAAAATACTAAACACATGAAGATACAATAATTGTCAGTGAAAGTCTTTTTATCCACTGAGAAAATGTCCCTCCTGTAAAGGTGTTCACTTCTCTCTTACGTACTTTTATTTTCACCAGGACCTGTGCCAGCAATCCAACCACTGAACGAGCCTCTTGTAGATGCTACAATCAGAGTCTACTCCATGATTACATCTCAGCTTCTCCCAACTCCAGCCAAATCCCATTACACGTTTAACCTCAGGGACCTTTCAAAAGTCTTCCAGGGCATCCTGATGGCTGAGGCTGGAATGATAGAGGTAGTGAGATCCAAAAGAATCAAGTGTAACTATTACATATCTGTTACGTAATACAGTATATATTGTCAAAATATTCTTTCTGGTTTAGCTACCTTAACCATAAGGTACTTAAATCTATGCTAAATCTGGGTTTAAACAATTGAATCAATTTCATGATATTCAGAAGCAATAACCCCAGAAAAATCATGTCTGAAGGAATGATGAAGGATTCAAGTTTTTTCAAAGGTACAATGTCAAAGTAACATCACTTTGGTGTTTTCAGGACAAACAGCAGCTATTGCAGCTGTGGTACCATGAAAGTTGCAGGGTGTTCCAGGACCGCCTGGTGTGTGCTGAGGACAGGCTCTGGTTCAACAGACTCCTTCAGGACTGCATTCAGGAGTTTGACTGCAGCTTTGATGAGGTTGTGTCCCGCCAACCTGTTTTGTATGGAGATTTCATGACTCCTGAAGCTGATCAAAAAGTCTACACTCTCATAGATGACAGGGAAAAGGTGAGTGGTGCCAACAGTAAAAAAAAACAACAACAACATTTTTTAAAAATAATTTCTTGCACTTTTGCTTCACAAACTGCTGGTTCAAGGTTTGTTTATCTGTGTGAATGTGACGCTTTTTCTTCTATAATCCAATAATGCCCCATGATGATTGATCCAGTTGGTAAAAGTGATGGAGAACTACATGGAAGACTACAACCAGACCAGTAAGACCAAGATGAAGCTGGTGCTCTTCATGGATGCCATTGAACACGTGTGTCGTATCTGTCGCATTCTGCGCCAGCCCCTGGGCAATGCTCTGCTGCTCGGAGTGGGTGGGAGCGGGCGCCAATCTCTCACAAAGCTGGCCTCATACATGTGAGATCCCCACAGTTTGTATGATTGAACACAACTTGTTTTGAGATGTTTTTGTTGGTGCAAAGATGAAATGATTTGATGATGATTTAGATGAAACAGTTTTTTTCACTTTCTAGACATTAAAAAGGAAAAAAAGATGAGTGAGACTAACTGCTGGGTCATTTCCATCTCTCATTTGTTGAATTTTTTTGAGTCAAAATCAGTCAAAAGTGAATGCGTCTTGTGAAAATATTAAATATACATAAGTGTGCTGTTGCAGGAGCATTACTATGACCCTTCAAACATCTTGTTGCCTCAGCTTTATAGCTCCATTCTCCATATTTCAGGTCAGATTATGAGTGTTTCCAGATTGAGCTGGCCAAGAACTACGGTCAGACAGAGTGGAGAGAAGATATTAAAAGCATCATGCTGAAGGCTGGACTCAAGAACCAGCAGATCACATTTCTCTTTGTCGACACACAGGTGAATAGTACAACTGTCTTACTGTCATGCTGTAACAGGCCTGTACTTGGACAAACATGTGAGTAAGAGCATAAACCGAAACAGAAAGTAGATCCCCATACCCTGAAGTATGTCATTCATTTAGTAGGTCTTGTTCCATTCCATTCATTTTAGTCGGTCTTGTTCCATTCCCTCCAGAACTTGGGGCTCTGTATCATAACTGCATTCATTTCCCAGATTAAGAGTGAGTCATTCCTGGAGGATATCAACAATATCTTAAACTCTGGAGATGTTCCCAACCTGTATGCCACAGATGAGCAGGAACGCATTTTAACAGCCATGAAGCCGGTGGTGCGAGACCTGGGCCAGCAGCCAACTAAAGCAAACCTTATGGCAGCCTACATCAGGAGGGTCCGCAGCAATATCCACACTGTTCTCTGCATGAGGTTAGTTCAAATCAAACATTTGTTAAGATTTTCAAAGTTTAAGTAGAAGTTTGTCCACCATTGTGTTATCTTTCATCTCTGTTGTTTCCATTTCCACTTCCACACCTCCCCTCTTTATTTCTTGTACCACAGCCCTATTGGTGAGGTGTTTCGTGCACGACTAAGGCAGTTTCCCTCACTGGTGACTTGCTGTACAATAGACTGGTTCAGTGCCTGGCCAGAGGAGGCTCTGCATGCTGTTGCAACCTTATATCTCAATGAGCTGCCTGAGCTTGAAGCAAGCCCCACAGCGATGAGAGGACTGGTGAGGATGCTGTGTGTGTGTGTGTTTGTGTGTGGATGCAAGCGAACTGTATGGCATGGAGGTTTTGAAAGCAGGAAGGTATTCTTCAACAAAAATATTTTCACCTCTTGTTTTAACGAATGCTGCTCTTACAGTTATTAAAAAAGCAAAAAAAAAAAACACTTTTTTCAACAAACATTGTCTTTTCCAAATGATCCCCTTCTACAGACATCGATGTGTGTTAAGATCCACCAGACAGTAGCCAGAAACTGTGAACAGTACCTGGCTGAGCTTTCGCGGCACAATTATGTCACACCTAAGAGCTACTTGGAACTGTTAAAAATCTTCTCAAATCTGATTGGACGAAAGAAGCAAGAATTGTGTGGTGGTCGTCAGCGAATGAAGACCGGCCTCGACAAGGCAAGGCACCTGCATGGAAAAAAAATGATCTGATATATTTAATCATAAAGATTCAATATGAATTTTGTTGAAATGACGAGTACCTTGCTACTCTGTCCTATAGCTTCTTAGCACAGCTGAAGATGTGAGTAACATGCAGGAGGAGCTGGAGACAATGAGACCTCTTTTGGAAGAGGCTGCTAAGGACACCGAAGTCACAATGGAAACCATTAAAGTACGCACAATTAAAGACGTTTGGCTTTAGTTATCAGTGATAGTGGAACAAACTCTGGGGTGTCATTGTAAACTGTTTCTCTCATGTATTCATATAAGACCAACATACATAATATGTGGAATCTTAGTTCTGGTTTCTTCTGCATGCTGCCAGACAGACACTGTGGTCGCTGAAGAGACTCGGAAGTCAGTACAAGCTGAGGAAGCCAAAGCTTCAGAGAAAGCCCGTTATGCAGGAGACATTGCAGCAGATGCTCAGGAAAAATTAGACGAGGCTCTGCCAGCTCTGGATGCAGCTCTCACTAGTCTCAAGTCACTCAACAAGGGCGATGTCACTGAGGTTTGGGATTTGGTTACTGATTGGTTCATTATTTATTGAACAGCATTTTGTTTGATGACATGAAGAATGTGTATATAATGTTTTGTTTGTTTGTTTTTTGTAATAGGTACGAGCGATGCAGAGACCTCCTCAGGGGGTGAAGCTGGTTATTGAGGCAGTGTGCATTATGAAAGGCATTAAACCCAAGAAGGTTCCTGGAGAGAAGCCTGGCACCAAGATTGATGACTACTGGGATGCTGGTAAGAGTCTGCTACAAGACCCTGGCAAATTTCTGGAGAGCCTCTTCAAGTATGATAAGGTAAAGCCCATATCTGATTGAGTTACTGCCAGATCTTTTTTTTTCTTTATTGAAAATTTATTTATGGGGAATTATGTTGTTGTCTTTTAGGAACAAAACTTTTATCTCTTTTAAAGCTGATTTTAAGCTCCTACATCGAGCAGTGATGCAAATGTGATCGTTTTGTCTTTTAAAACTGTAAGCTGTTTTAAAAGTAGTCTTTCCCTCTGCCACATCGAAATTCTGCAGGAAAACATCCCTGATAGTGTGATCAACTTAGTCCAGCCCTATATCGATAATGAGGAATTTCAGCCAGCCTCCATTGCTAAGGTTTCGAAAGCCTGTACCTCCATTTGCCAGTGGGTGCGAGCCATGCATGTATATCACTTTGTTGCCAAGGATGTGGAACCTAAAAGGGTAAAATACTAAATTCAACGTTGATAAATGTCTCCTTGACCCTTTTACTGAACTTGTTTAAATAAGAGTCAGCTTGCTTTTAAAAATGCAAATACTTTCACAGCAAGCTCTCAAAGGGGCCCAGGAGGATTTAGCAGCTACCCAGCTCATCCTGGATGATGCCATGAAAAAGCTGGCAGCTGTGGAAGGTGGCATTGCCACTTTGCAGGCCAAGTATCAGGACTGTCTGGCTAAGAAAGAGGAGCTGGACAAGAAGTTTCAATTGTGTGAGGCCCGCCTTGTCCGAGCAGATAAGGTAAGACAGAATTATAAATACCAATGGGAGAAATTAAGTGATAAAGTTGTGGAGGATGACAGAGAAATAGGATATTTTACAGCGATCACAATATGACTGTAATATTAACAATGTCTAATGTCTACAAAGTGGCATGTGGCAGACTTGAAAAATATGTGACTGGTTCAGTGATTGTTACACAGTACAGTGGTCATAAAATAGGTGGCTGGAACATACAGAATTTTTCTTACTTTCATTCATTTGCTACATATTTTTGCAGCTTATTAGCGGTCTCGCAGATGAGAAGGTGCGTTGGAAGGAAACAGTGCAACATCTGGATTATATGGTCAATAATATAACAGGTGATGTGCTTCTATCTGCGGGATATATTGCATACCTGGGACCTTTTACAGTAAGTTGGTTTTACCTCACTGAGCGTGAATGAAGTCATTACACTCCCTCTTATCTGTTGTGTCAACCCAATAACAATTTACTGCTCCAGGATTCAATGTTGCTTAGTGTTTTACTGGTGGAGATTAAGTATTATTGTTTTGTAAAGTCAAATATATTCTTTTGTGGTTTAAGAAACATTAGTATAACAAGAGTAATATTTGGTAGTAAAGTTTTGTGTGTCTGTGTATGTGTTTAGGGAGAGTACAGGTCAGCCATGGCAGCGGAATGGCTGCATTGTTTCAAAGAGCTCAGTGTCCCACATACCGAGGACCCCAACCTGATCAACACCCTGGGAGACCCAGTAAAGATCCGCTCCTGGCAGGTCAGAAACAACGAGTCATCAGCTGACTTACAGTGTAGTATAGATGTAAACCACACAGAAGAATAATCAGAATGGACAGAACATCAGCCTCTTTAGAATAATGCGATTTTAAGACTGAAAAAGTCATTTTCCTTTTCTGCTATCACACTTTCTAACTGCATTCTGTTCCGCCTGTGTGCGTAGATATCAGGCTTGCCCAAAGATAACCTTTCAGTGGAGAATGGAGTGATTGCCCAGTACTCTCTGCGCTGGGCTCTCTTCATTGATCCTCAGGGACAAGCCAACACATGGATAAAAAGCATGGTGAGGATACTTTCCTGTGTGCTGATCAGACCTCGACTGCAGGGGGTGCCAGTGAGAAATAAATGTATGAAAGTAGCCTCACCAAGGTTATAATATATTCCTTTGCATCACATTTAAACTTTGTTTCAAAGTATTGACAGTTTGAAACACAGCATCAGGTGCATATGTTAAACATTTTAAACAAGGTTCAGAACACTTCCAGGTTCCTGTTTTAGCTGTTTCTTGTTATTTCTTATCTATATGATCAACAACTTTTCTCTGAAGCCTCTTGGTAGTTTGTCTGAATCACTCCACATTCATTCTTGCTTCATGCCATCATAAAGGAGCGAGCCAATGGATTGGAGGCTATAAAGCTTAGTGACCACGACTTCCTCCGCAGTCTGGAGTATGCCATTCAGTTTGGTAAACCCTGCCTCCTGGAGAATGTAGGAGAGGAGTTAGATCCTTCCCTGGAGCCTGTTTTGTTGCAACAGGTAACTGCACAGTGCACACACTTACTTCATATTAGATGTAGTTCATGAGTAGAAAGTTAACTTTTTGCAAAATATACTCTTTACTGATCTTTTACTCTCAATTTTGACATTTAGACATTCAAGCAGCAAGGCACTACGAAGCTAAGGCTGGGTGACTCTGACATCACTTACCATGAGGACTTCAAGATGTACATCACCACCAAGCTACCTAACCCACACTACTCTCCAGAGGTCTCCACCAATGTTACTCTGATAAATTTCACCCTGTCTCCCAGGTAACTCATTTTCACACCAAAGCTAAGTGATCTCTCAAATAGCACCAAACGTATTGAGGTTGTTTTTTGGGCTTGCATATGCCATTGTTGAGAGGAAGAAACAGTGGATAGATTTGGATTTTTTATCATCAGTTCTGCTCATTTTGAAAAGTCAAGCTCTCTCACTGCTGAGTGCAAATCCATTAATTCCTGATAAATTATATACCAGTATATTTAGCATTTTCATCCTAAAACAAATTAAGATGTAGTGTTAAAGGTAAGATTTAGGACATGAAAAGGGGCTTAAATTCTGAAAACAGTGTGAACTATTCATTTTATCCGAACAACTTATTCAGAGTTTTCGGCTTAACTTTGTGTAAATTGTGCACTTTGTATGCTTACAGTGGTTTAGAGGACCAGTTATTGGGCCAAGTTGTAGCTGAGGAATGCCCGGACCTGGAGAAGGCTAAAAACCAGCTCATCATCAGCAATGCCAAGATGAAAGATGAGCTAAAAGGAATTGAAGACGAGATCCTGTTCCGTCTCAGCTCCACAGAAGGAAACCCTGTGGACAATGAGGAGCTCATCCAAGTGTTGGAGGCTTCTAAGATTAAAGCGGCAGAGATCAAGGTCAGCTGTAATATTTTCACCTAGGACTCCCCCTCTCAATGAAAAAAATGTCATTGAAGTTATAATCCGTGGTTATATTTTCCTCCAACATGATTGTGTTGTCAGGCTAAAGTGAAGGCAGCAGAGCAGACAGAGCAGGACATTGATGCCACCCGCCTGGAGTATGTGCCTGTGGCTGTGCGCACACGGATTCTCTTCTTCTGTGTATCAGACTTATCCAATGTTGACCCTATGTACCAGTATTCACTGGAATGGTTCCTTGGCATCTTCATGGCTGGCATTGCAAACTCTGAAAGAGCAGGTAGAGTGACACACCAGAGTGCATTTTAATTAGTTAAGTTATGAATCATATTTTTAAAAAAAGCAAAAAATAAAATAAAAATAAATCAAAATGGTTTATAAAATTAGAATCAGGTGTCTTGTCCTTCCTGATACCAGTGTTGTCTTACAATGTGTCCTACAGATACAGTGGAGCAAAGAATCAAAAACATCAATGAGTTTTTCACCTTCAGCCTGTACAGCAATGTGTGCCGCAGCTTGTTTGAGAAGCACAAGCTCATGTTTGCCTTCCTCCTGTGCGCTCGCATCATGATGAATGATAACAAAATTAATATGGTGAGGCTGTATCTTGCTCTTCTCTACAATTTCCTGTAGCTCTTACAGTACAGAGATCAGAGCAATATAAGTACTTTTGATGAATCTGTGACATGTCTCTGTGGCAGGCTGAATGGCGCTACCTGCTATCTGGAGGGATACCCGCCCAAGAACTGACTAACCCTGCAGTGAGTTGGCTGTCAGATCGAGCCTGGCAGGACATCCTTGGCCTCAGCGCTCTGGACAACTTCAGCAACCTGGCAGAGAGCTTCAGGGAACATCTTCAGGATTTTAAGAGGATTTTTGATAGCAACCACCCTCACAGGTGGGCATGAAAAATTCTACTGTGAAATTACACTTACTTGTGAATTTTACTTTAACAAACAGCATATCTAATATCTTCCATGGCGTGTGCATGAATATTCATTTTTACACAGGGAGCCCCTACCAGGAGAGTGGGACATAGAGCTGGATTCATTCCAGAGGCTGTTAGTCCTGCGCTGTCTGAGAGCGGACTGTCTCATTCAAGGCTTACAAGACTTTGTATCAGCTCAACTGGGGCAGCGCTTCATAGAACCTCAGGTAGAGTCCCTGTCCCCACTTCTACCTTTCTGTTACAGAATATCAAAGCCAGTTAACATTTAAGTTGAAACAGAAATCGATTTCATACAGTATGTGTGGTAGTTAACACATGTTATGTCAAACATACTTGATGTTGAATAATACTTTCAAAACATTTGCTAACCCTCTGGCTTCTTTCTCAATCTTTTCTTTGACTCTTTCCTACAGACGTCAGACCTGTCTGCGGTCTTCAAGGAGTCCTCCTCCCACACTCCCCTCATCTTTGTGTTGTCCCCTGGCACTGACCCTGCAGCCGACCTCTACAAGTTTGCTGACGTCATGCAGTTCTCAACAAAAATGAGTGCCATCTCACTAGGCCAGGGCCAGGTCAGGACCTGAGGGACGCCCTGAAAGCCTTCCTCTTTCTCTGACACTCTTGTCTTATGATACCCTGAAGGAAATCACTTTCTCACATAACCAGGCCATTCAAATTTGTCTCCTTAAGAATGACCATCTTGGTGTTAATTGCTTTCCCTATTTCTGACAGTAGACTTAGAGAAGGTGATATACGTCGTTGACAGGTGAATGATTTCAGGACAGAATTGATGAGATACTAGAAAAGCCCCCTTACATCAAGCGTAGTTTGTGTTATAACTGCAGGCTCATAAGTCTGAGGTTTGTGGGTTTAGGTTTTTTTTGTTAGAGTACTTTCAATGATGGGGGTTTGAATAGCTGTTTTGTGCTGTGTGGTTGCATCACCCAGTGTTCTCAATTTCCTTCTACACTGAATTTAACGCTTTTAAACCTCCAAACATATTTCATAGTAGATCACACTGATTCAAGAAAGATGTGCTGTGTCAGTGCTGCTGATTCTTTTGCAATCTGGATTTTGCCACTTCATGCTGAATTGACTTTTTTGGCACAGGTCTTGTTTTTGTCCTCACATCTGCTTTTCCCTCCACTGCTGCTTGTGTGACTCAGGGCCCCTGGGCTGAGAAAATGATGCACGCTGCCATGGAACGAGGTCAGTGGGTCTTCTTCCAGAACTGTCACCTGGCTCCCAGCTGGATGCCTTCCCTGGAGAAACTCATTGAGAACATCGACCCAGAAAAGGTCGGGACACATACATGATGTACATTCAAGCAATTATTAAACCTTTTTACAGATTATATCAACCACATTCATCGCACCAATCCCAAAACAGGTGCACAAGGACTTTCGTTTGTGGCTGACAAGTCTTCCCAGCAACAAGTTTCCTGTCACCATTCTCCAAAATGGGTCAAAAATTACCATCGAGCCTCCAAGAGGGATCAAGGCCAATCTACAGAAAACATACCTTAGACTCACCGATGGTTTTATTTCATCTTCTACAAAGGTTCTCACTCAGAGTCCAACTTTTCATATTTACCTTGATAGACTTTTCAACAGAAACCCTTTTTTTCAACTGTTTTAACTCCACTGTCTCCCCCCCCTCTCTTGTTTCAGGTGATGAACTTGAAGTCTTTGCTCCTCTCTCTGTGTCTTTTCCATGGAATTGCTCTGGAGCGAAGGAAGTTTGGCCCACTAGGTTTTAACATTCCTTACGAGTTCACAGACGGAGACCTGAATATCTGCATTAGCCAACTCAAAATGTTCCTGGATGAGTACCACGACATCCCATTTAAGGTAGGGAAGAGGAGACTTCTGGCTTCACTTAACTATTTAGTAATAAGTCCAAAGCTGTGAAATTTAACAAGTAGTGAATCACTTTTGTGTTGTCTTTGTTTTGTTATCATTCTTGACATTTCCCTATTGTTCAACGCAAGCATTTATTTTTTCGCTCACACTTGAAGGCTACTGTGACATGTTTTTTTCATCACTGCGGTTAAGTTATTCTTAGAAACTCAGTCTCTTCCTGGTTGGTTTTTATCACACCCAGAGAATGTGTTTGTTTTAGTGGGATATACAGTATATCACAAAAGTGAGTACACCCTTTAGATTTTTGCAAATATTCTGTTATATCCTTTCAGGGGATAACACTATCTTAATGAAACTTTGAAATAATGCAAAGTAGTCAGTGTGCTGCTTGAATAACAGTATAGATTTATTGTCAATTGAAAATTACTCTGTACACAGCTGTTAACGTCTAAACAGCTGGCAACAAAAATGAGTACACCCTGTAGTGAACATGTCTAAATTGTGCCCAAAGTGTCAATATTTTGTGTGACCACCATTGTTATCTAGCACTGCTTTAACCCTCCTGGGCATGGAATTCACCAGAGCTGCACAGGTTGCTTCTGGAATCTTCTTCCACTCCTCCATGACGACATCACGGAGCTCATGGATGTTGGACACCTTGCACTCCTCCACCTGCCTCTTGAGGATGCCCCACATGTGCTCAATTGGGTTTAGGTCTGGAGACATACTCGGCCAGTCCATCACTTTAACCTTCAGCTTCTTCAGCAAGGCTGTTGTCATCTTGGAGGTGTGTTTAGGGTCATTATCATGTTGGAAAACCGCCCTACGGCCCAGTTTCCGGAGAGAAGGGATCATGCTCTTCTGCAGGATGTCACAGTATATAGTGGAATTCATGTGTCCCTCAATGAACTGCAGCTCCCCAGTGCCGGCTGCACTCATGCAGCCCCAGACCATGATGCTGCCACCACCATGCTTGACTGTAGGCAAAACACATTTGTCTTGGTACTCCTCACCAGGGTGCCGCCACACACGCTGGACACCATCTGATCCAAACAGGTTTATTTTGGTCTCATCAGACCACAGGACATGGTTCCAGTAACTCATGTTCTTGGATTCATTGTCTTTAGCAAACTGTTTGCGGGCTTTCTTATGCAGCGGTTTCAGAAGAGGCTTCTGTCTGGGGCGACGGCCATACAAACCAATTTGATGCAGTGTGCGGCGTATGGTCTGGGCACTGACAGGCTGACATCCCACTTCTGCAACCTCTGCAGCAATGCTGGAAGCACTCACACATCTATTTTTGGAAACCAACCTCTGGATATGACGCTGAGCACGTGGACTCAACTTCTTAGGTCGACCCTGGCGAGGCCTGTTGCGAGTGGAACCTGTCCTGGAAAACCGCTGTATGATCTTAGCCACTGTGCTGCAACTCATTTTCAGGATGTTGGCAATCTTCTTATAGCCAAGGCCATCTTTGTGAAGCGCAATAATCCTTTTTTTTCAGCTGCTCAGAGAGTTCCTTGCCATGAGGTGCCATGTTGTCCAGCGTTCAGAGAGAATTGTGCCCAAAACACCAAATTTAACAGCCTTGCTTATCATTTACACCTGAATCCTTTTAACACTAACGAGTCACATGACACCAGGGCGGGAAAACAACATCATTGGGCACAATTAGGACATGTTCACTGCGGGGTGTACTCACTTTTTTTGCCAGCTGTTTAGACATTAACAGCTGTGTACTGAGTAATTTTCAAAGGACAATAAATCTATACTGTTATTCAAGCAGCACACTGACTACTTTAAGTTATATCAAAGTTTCAGTAGGATAATGTTATCCCCTGAAAGGATATAACAGAATATTTGCAAAAATCTAAAGGGTGTACTCACTTTTGTGATATACTGTATGTCAGTTCTCCACTTTTGTCCTCCACCTGTGCAGGTACTAAAATATACTGCTGGGGAGATTAATTATGGCGGCCGCGTGACAGATGACTGGGACAGACGATGTTTGCTCAGTGTGTTGGAGGATTTCTACTGTCCCTCTGTGCTTGTGAATGATCACATCTACTCTTCATCCGGAGTCTATCGGCAGATAGACACAAATCTGGATGTAAAGGTAGGATGAAAGTGTAACAGTTAAAAAGGTTATGTTGAAAATTGTGCATTTGTTTTTATCTAGATCCGTTTGTTTGAAACCCAAACTATTCTTTACATACTACTAACTGTACCACGATCTGTAACTATATATACTGTAGTCTCTATGCGTTTGGAACCACAGAGTGACTCACTGTTTGGTAACATGATTGTGACTAAAAGGCCACGCTGCAGTGAGTCAGGTGTCTCAGTTAAATGAAAGAACATAAACTTCTGTACTGCTGAGCATCAAACTAATTCATGGCAGTTACTATCAGTAAGTGACCTGTTGTCATGGCAATCTGTACCCTAGGGTTACTTGGCATACATCCGTGGTTTGCCCATCAATGATACACCTGAGATCTTTGGTCTCCATGACAACGCTAACATCAGCTTTGCCCAGAATGAGACATTTGCCCTTCTAGGAGCTGTGGTTCGCCTCCAGCCTCGGACTGCATCTGCTGGGGGGAAAACCCTGGAGGAGGTACAACGATCAGTCAATGAACAGATTGCCGTGATTCATGTCAGTATTTGCAACAGAAATGGCTCAAACTTGTTATGTATCATTCATGATCTGTCTCTTTCTGTCTGGTAGATAGTGGAGGAGATAGTGGCAGGCATTGTTGAAAAGATTCCTCCGCCTTTCAATGTTCAGGAGGTGATGGAAAAGTACCCAGTCCTCTATGAAGAGTCCATGAACACTGTGCTTACCCAGGAGGTCATCAGGTGACACAACAGGCTGTACTTTAACATAACAACAAAGACCTTACTGAAGGTCTCCTCTGCATTTTTAACATGCTACTCTGTCTGTTGTTCATGCGTGATCAGCCCCAAAAGGTTTAAGTTTTCAGTCAGCCGGTGTGTCCTGTGTGTGACTTTTTTTTTTTTCCTTGTTTTGCCCATTTGATGTAAGTGTAATGAAAAAGCAGCTACAAAGCTGTCTTTATCTGGTAGAGCTTTCATAGTTGCTGGAAGCTCTCTGAAAAGTATGACTGTACTTTATTTCTGTATATTTTCTCACCCTTGAGATAAAAACAGCATTCATGTGCGTAACTAGCAATGTCATATGTCATAAGTTGTAGCATAACAAAGTCACTGCAACCAATCGTTATTACCAACCAGTGAACTTTAATAACATCAAGTACTATTTAGTCTAGTTGTTTATACAGCTGTAACTTGCAACATCGGCAGAAGGTGGCAAGTAACTTTGAGAGTTTGTGTTTCCATGAACGTAGTTGGTCAAAGAAAGTTGTTCAAGTTTTATTCATCTACCTTTCATCACCTTTTACAATTATATTTAAAACCTACAGGTGCTGTTGAAACTAGACAAAACAGGATGCAGTCGTATCAAAGCTTCCAGTCCTTCCATTCTTCAGTGGTGCTATGGTTTGTGTTTCAGATATAACGCGTTGCTGTCAGTCATCTCTCAGAGTCTCAGTGATATTGTGAAGGCTCTGAAGGGTCTAGTAGTGATGTCATCGGAGCTTGAGCTTATGGCTAACAGTCTGTTCAATAACTCGGTGCCCAACGTGTGGAAAGCCAAGGTAAGACTCACACCACAGTTATTATTTCCCACCACTGAGTTTGAAATGACTGGTGAATGATATGTGACAAAACATATGACGACAAATCAATCAATGATTTATCTTCTAATGTAGAAACTGAAATCCAGCTTAATGAAATCCTTGACTGTATCAGTTCAACTTTTGTTGAAATTTTAGTTCTGCTCTGAAAAGACATCTTTTGCTTTCCAAGAATAAATAACCGTGTGTGTCCCTCTCACCTCAGGCGTACCCGTCTCTGAAGCCTCTGGCCTCTTGGGTGTCAGACCTGCTTCAAAGGATCAATTTCCTGCAGAGATGGATCTGTAATGGCAGTCCACCTGTCTTTTGGATTAGTGGCTTCTTCTTTCCCCAGGCTTTTCTCACTGGAACCCTCCAGAATTATGCCCGTCGTTCTGGCACCTCCATTGACACAATTGGATTTGATTTCGAGGTTAGTTTTTTACTACATGTAACGTTTCTGCATCATGAAGCAATACCAATTGAATTTCTGTCTGAAATACATGTTGCATAAATACACAATGTTCCTTATATCAGTCAATAAACCACCTGGTCTTGTTTTATTAGAAAATTTCACAGTAATTTTTAATATTGACTTTTATACCAAATGGTATTCATTTCTTTTCTAAACCTCTCCCACCTCAGGTTATGGTGAAGTCAGTGTCCGAGATAACCGAGAAACCAAACACGGGCTGCTACATCCATGGTCTATTCCTGGAAGGGGCTCGCTGGGATGACAACGAAGGTCAGCTCACAGAGTCCAGGCCCAAGGAACTCTACACAGACATGGCTGTCATCTGGTTTATCCCCAAAGCCAACCGCAAACCTCCGCAAAGTGGGGTCTACGTTTGCCCCATCTACAAGACCCTAACACGTGCTGGTTAGTATGTGCTGTGTGTCTAATCTCTCGATTAGACACACTCCACAACTCTTTGGTTGCGAAATAGATGAACAGAAGTTTTCTTTCTGTCATTAACCCTGTTTCTCTGCGTGACTTGGTATCAGTCTGCTCACTCTTGTGTTTGTGTGTATCTCCTGTTGGTGGTTTTATTACTCACCCAAAATAGACTCCAGTTAGTGTCCTGTTTCACGAAGCGGCTAAATGTGCTGCTCTGTATTTTCCACCCACAGCATGAAGCCAACACCTTGTGCTGGCGCGTAAGCCTGCTCAGAAGTATTCAACTCAGTGCCGTGATGGAAAAATACTGACTATCTGAAGTTTTACCCTAAAGTGACCTGCTTTCTTTGCATTTACAGGGACTTTGTCTACAACTGGTCACTCAACCAATTATGTGATTGCAGTGGAGCTGCAAACAGACCAGAGCCAGGGACACTGGATAAAACGTGGAGTCGCTCTCATCTGTGCATTGGATTACTAAACATGAGCAAGAGAAAAAAAAACACCTGTTGTGACTCTGTCTTTTTATTTTATTTTTTTACATCCCACAATGACTGATATTACAGTTTTTGCAGTTTTGACTGAAACAAAAAGAAAATATGTCACTTTAAAGTATCTTTCAGACTTGTCAGTTAAACATTATGTCTGATTTTTACATAATTGAAACACTCAGAGATCCTGTCCCATTGATTTACAACACAGTATATGTTATATTTTTAAATATACCTTTTAACCCTCTATTGCCTTTTTTATCATATTTGATACATACTTTTATATACTTCTATCAAATCAATATCATCAATAAATTACAAAGAAAAAAAATACACGGATACAGTAAATAAGAAAAATGTGCTCTTGTTGTTTATCAGTTTCCAAAAACATCTAGTGTATCAAACGAGATGAAAAAATATATTTGTTAAATTTTAAGGACATTTTTTTTTTTTTTTTTTTTTTTGGTTTTCAGGAGTGAAATAAACAATCCAGCTCAAAAAAATAAAAAATTGAATTTTCTGGCTATGATTTGTGGCGTCACTGTCAGGCATTAAAGGGCTATATATCCAAAACAATCCGTTATTCTCAAAAGCCAGTAGTGCTCATGGTGACCATTGAACTGAATGTGTGTCCTGCTCCTTTAAGGTTGTCTCATAGGGACTGTTGAGAAATATGACTTAACTGTTGGAGGGTGGTGCTTAAACCGACAGTGACAGTGACCGGCCATGTGAACACAATCACTGGACTTCCACTGAACGAGAAGCTGAGAGCACCAGGATCAATAGAAGACTCTCACAGCTGCTGTCTGCTTGAACATTTTTCTGAGTGGGATATTTTTTTTTTGTGATATTCTGATGTGTCCAAGTATTTGGTTTACTCTGGGAGGACAGCCTTTACCGAGTGACAAAATACCTCTTCACTCAACAACACATCGTGTCACAGAAGTCCAGCAATAATGAGTAGTGATTTAGTTTTGTAAACAATGTTTGTGGCTTCCTGAGCTCCTCTGTTGACTCTTGTTGGATTACTGTGTTTAGTCCTCTCAGAGCTGCGCTGTCCAGGACAACCAGACGCGCCAGCGGTTTCTTCCTCGCAGCTTTACGCAGTTAACAGAGGGCAGCAGGAGTCATCGCAGCACACTGCTGAATTACTCACGCTTTCTTCTTCTTCTTCTGCCGGTAAGAAAACAAGCCTATTTGACCATGCTTCAGAATGAAAACGAGAAGGACAAACCACCGCAGGCGCCAAAGGCTGAGCCTGAGCCGGACTCCCCTGAAGATGATCCGAAAAAGCAACAGCCTGCTCCCCCAGCTGCTGAGGGAGAGGATGCGGATGGAGGGTCTCACTTCCCCCTGCCTGTTCATCCCAAACTGGATATAAAGCGCAATGCAGTGACGGACGATTATAAAATCTCCACACAGGTCCTGGGTTTAGGGATCAATGGCAAAGTCCTTCAATGCTTCAACAAGAAGACAGGACAGAAGTGCGCACTGAAGGTACCAAAGTTTCCCAAAACCGTGTTTTAAATATGGAAGAAAGTGGTAGACACTTCAAGTTCACAAACCTCCTCAGTTCAGTGTGTATGTTCTTTATCTGTAAAACTTTATTCTTAAAGTATCTCGTCCTTTATTTTATTATCAGACCTTACTGTGATGTTAAGTCTTTGGAGGTGTTTGAGTGTGTGTAACACTAAATGTGTGTTGTCACGTCCTGATAATAGGCTGCTGGATATTGTGTTTACAGTGTTTTGGTAGTGACTCTACAAATCCGGTCAAGATAAAGCCTTATAGTTATCCCTGAAATAACAAGTCTCAGTCAAATGTCAGAACAAATGTTCATGTCTGTCTTTTTCCTATAGTTAGTGTTGTCTTGGTGTACCATAGTTAGTCCTTGAGCCAAACACCTTAGAGTAAGGCAGTTCACTCTCAGGTTTGTTGCCAGGACTCAGAAACTTTGACCTTTATTGAGGTCAGACTTGTGTAACAGACAGGCAGGACTCAGGCCAACACTGAGGCTTGTAAAAGAGTCTGTAACTGGTGTGGATGCATGTCATGTAGTACATGTTTCCCTCTGAGCTCACATGCTCTACATGTATGACGCTTGAGTGTGATCATGGTGCTGTGTTTCATGGAAACTCTGGATCAAATGAAAGGAGTGAGTCGCAGTCACACTCCAGCTATGAGACTCTGCTTCATAGAAGGAACATAAATTCTGATGGGTATTCTGCATGCTGGAAAGTTGGACATGCCTTCATCCATGTCTGCGTGCACACAAGCCCGAGTCAAGGGCAGTCACCTGTCACCACAGTGCTACACAGACTCAGAGAGATTTACAGGTTTACGGTAATCTATCTGCATCTAAGCTGCCTAACCAGGCAGCTGCAGCGTCACATGCAGAGCCGAAGGCCCGGCTCTGTGATAGAGGAGAGACAAAGGGAGATAAACTGCTGCAAACAAAAGGAGAAAGGCCAAAAACGGACAGGACGCTTGATAGCATCATGTCAGACCTGAAGAGACGAACATAATTAATGCTTTGAAACAGCAGCAGAGTCAAAGGAGGGTTGCAGAAAATCCTTGAGGCTACTCGCTGAAATGAAGAAGTATATCTGTCTGTCAGCACCGAAAGAACAAGTGGGAAAGATGCGAGCGAGACTGAGTTCAGGGTCTGCTTGTATGAACAGGTTGATATGGACTGTTTGTGGACTATGAGAGTCAGCAATTTGGCTTCAGATTTTAGTATCTCCTTGTGAAACATAATGACAAGTGGGGCGCCAGTTTGGTCTGGCGGTGAAATTGTGTGCCCAATTTACAGAGGATAAAGTCCTCAGCAGGTGGGTCTGATTCCATTCTGCTTATCACTCCCCCCACTCTCTTTCTTGGTTTCTCAATCTGTTCTTGGTCCTGACCTCTAAAGAAAAGGGGAATCTATGAATTTTCCCATCTAAAATCTGTCAAAAACTCCTGGTCGGTCCATCTCAAGAAAATACTGCTATTTATGATGTCCCACAACACAGCTTTGTACTGTCTTTTTTAGAAACTGGTGTGATACTCTGTGAGAAGGTTTTTCTGTTTTGCTGACAGCATCTGAAACACATTGCCTCAGCTTCAGTGGGTCAGAATGACCTCAGCTTAAAAACAACACAATGCCATCACATTTATAATCTTTCCTCAGGTGTAGCTCTTACTGGCATGTGTGTTGAGCTAGACACTGGGCCTTAGAGTTCCCCTAACAGGGATTTTATTGTACATCACTTCAATTTAAGCTTATTTATGGCTTCCCTTGTGTTTTTTAATCTTAAGATAAGAGGACATAATGGAGATTTCTTGAAGTGGAGGGTGAGGGGGTGGGGGGGGACTTGAGCAGCTCACTAGCTTTTTAATTAAGTGTTGCTCTGAACGCTAAACGTAATGGATGGGAATAGGTTTAATCCACTTTGCAGCAGAGCTGGAGGGGAGCCATCCTCTCAATGTAATGCACTTATAGTTATCAGGATTCTTTTAATGTGTCTGACTCTTGGGAGGAGAGAGACCTGGGGGAGCCCTGGCGTGTCCTAAGGTCCACTTCACCACCAAAAATGCACAGAAGAGACACATTTGTCCATCGATGTATGATTATTGTTGTTGTCTGAACATCTTTGAGCTCTGTGCAAAGTCAACACCGACGTTTTTCAAGTTCATAGTGACACTTTAGAGTTTCCCCTGCACAGAGATCAAACTGCCACAAGATTTCTCAATGAGTTAGACAGATATTGCTGATAAAAACGACTCGCATCATTTCCTGGCTCACTGCGGGCAGTCAGTGCTGTCAAATCTGTTTTACAGTTCTGGACTTGTACAACTCATTTGACTCTCAGGGATCAGCTGCTTGTTGTTCACTTTAAGCTCATCCTGTGCAATATGGTCGAAGGTTTTATCTGGTTGTTTAAAATTAACACTGTTGGAGGTCCAGAATAGTTGAGGGTCTTTCAGCTGCAAACTGTAATTCCTAAACCTAGGTCTTTGGGTACTAAGGCCCTTACACATGTAGTGACCCCCTGCAAGACTTCCATGTAGGGCTGGGAAATATGGGAAAAAATGTATCACTGTATATTTTTTTATGTCAGTCGATATTGATCATGATACTAGAAAAATCACTTGTCAATCTTAAATGTTCCCAGTTACTCTTGAATGAAATTTAACAGTGCTTATTGGTAGCATGTGTTTTGCAATTCAATAAGCTGCTGCATCTGTGAGGTCTTTGTGTCTCTTTGACGTTTTGTCGTAAGGCGTTGCGCGAGAGAAAGTGGACTGAATGGTCGGTTGTTTTGGCTGCACAGGCACCATGGGTTTGTAAACTTCAGGTGATGAAAAGATTTGAGGTATTCCCCGACTTTGAGAGAACATATACTCGACATAATTAGCAGTGTACATTACTCTGTTTCATGTCTGACCTCAAAAAACAAAATACCTCCACACCACCAACGTTTTCGTGCCAGTGTTGTCGACTATGTCATCATCTGTTGAGCCTTCATCTGCATTTCTGCCGGGGAGAGCACTCATTTCCTCTTTTATTTCTCACCAACAGTGCTGTCGGCTTCACATGTTTAAGTGCTATGGTTACATGTAGCTGCAGCCTGCTACTACGCATTTGTTTGCTATTTGGTTTTAATTCAGCACATGATTGGTTCAGTGCGAAGCAGACTCGAAGCAACTCCCCTTTTGATAGGCTATTCATATGGTCTACTAAAACATGGCAGAATGCTGACTATCGAAAAGGATATTGACCATGTTTCATATTGATATCGAGGGAAATTAGTTTTCGATGTATATTGTTAGCGTTTTATCGCCCAGCCCTACTCCCATGCAAACTTCAGTAGCTTTGAAGGGGCTAGGAGTCGGTCCACATCGAGGACTCAATCCACATTGTCCCTCTTGCAGCTGAGGTTAAATGACAATCCAGAGCCTCCTTTCCAGCAGCCTAACACAAAACACTTTTTCAGCACCAGCATGTTAGCCTTGGGTTTGTTGCCATGCAAGTGTTGGCATCCAGTCGACATGCCTGATCACAGTTTGACAGAGCTGCTTGCATCATCGTGGAATTTTTCTCACGCTTTAAAAAGAACGTCTTTTTTACAACACCGTAGAAGAGCTTTTATTAAACTCTAATGAATTTTACAGTAAGATAAATATTGAGCAGCAGTGCAGCAATACCTCATGATGTGAGGCTGTTAGTAATCATTACACAGTTCCTGGACCACATTATTGTCGGCTTTGTAAACAAGACTTTAATGGCAGATGTTGAGATAAAGCAGCTCTGGTGTAGACACAGAGCTGCTTATATTAAAAAGAGAGTAAACGTTGAAATTGTGTGTTTGTGTGTGTGATAGAGGGAGAGAGTGAGTTGTAAATTTTAGGTATGTGTGTGTGTGTGTGTGTGTGTGTGTGTGTGTGTGTGTGTGTGTGTGTGAGTGATCTGATTGGTCAAGAGAGGTGTAGGGTTCTTGTTTCATGGTCCATGGTCCAGGGTATCATGCTTTAAGTCTTACTGATGTTGCCAAACATAAGAAAGGAGTCCGACAGAAGATTAATTCTCCTCTCCTCTATGTTTGGATTTAATCCACGCAGTCCTTTTTTATTGCAGGTTATTTTTGGCCATGACAGGAAATTAAGGGAAACAACTCCCATGCTCTAATTTGAGTCATAAAGATATGAATGAACACGCCAACTCAGTAGGCCCTATGTAGTAGCTGATTGAAAAAACAAGTTCCTCAAACCCTCAACTTCTACTTTCAACACCCCGCTTCTCTGAAACCCTCGGCTCTCACTTCCTCTTTGAAGCGAGAGAGTTTACACTTCTGCCCTTGTTTTGCTCTTGGGGCTCTGTGGAAACATGAGGCTATTTTCACGTCCTTCTTTTGAATTGATCTGAACTGGTTTAAGTGTTTTGCTATTTTGTTGACTGTAGCTCAGTGTGTGTGTGAGTGTGTGTGTTTGTAAGTGTCTATAGGTGTGTCTGTCATGCGTTAGTGAGTCAGCTTGTCTGTGTGTTTTGTACGCTCGGCTCGTGTGTGACCATGCCGGCCTTGTGAACAGCGGACCACTCCGTCAGTGTCACATCCAAAAATACCCAATGACTGAAGATGTGTGCTATGCTGATGTCCCCCACCTGCTCTGTGTGTGTGTGTGTGTGTGTGTGTGTGTGTGTGTGTGTTTGCAAATGTTTAACAGCCAATGTTAAAAACACATCCTGTATTGTGATAACACTACAGCTCAGGGGCAACATGTATTTGCTTTAGAGCTTAAAGATGTTTAGCATGAAGACCATCAATATTAACCTTTGCAAAGACTTATTCTGATGTCTGCATCGTGGCTGTAAGCAGCAGACTATTACTCTTCACTTAATCATAAGTCTGTTAATTTTTTAAACATGCTCAGTCTCACCAACTTTCTTGGATTCCAAAAGTAATATAATAGAGAGAAGTTAGCACTGAATTGGAATTGGCACTAGAATAAATCATCGGATCACTATTTTGTGTGCGATAACTGCCTCCCTTTGTTTCTCCCAGATTCTCTATGACAGCCCCAAAGCCAGACGAGAGGTGGAGCTCCACTGGAGAGTATCAGGAGGACCATACATCGTTCGAATCCTCAGCCTGTATGAAAACATGCATCATGGGAAGAAGTGCCTGCTCATCATTATGGAGTGGTAAGGATCACGTTTCACAGCTGAGCTCAGTTTACACAGCCTTACCTAACCCTAAAACATTTTTGTTCTTAGAGTGTCGGCTTATGTAAGTACAACAGTCAAACTGAATCATTCAATTTACCTTCAAGAAAACAATCAAGTGTAAAAAAACCAAATCAACCAGAAATTGAATTTGAATCAGGTATATTGTAGATTTTAAAAATAGTGATTGGTCCTTCTATTTTTGGAATAAAGTTCAAAACTGGCAGCAGGGCTCTGTGTGATCAAGTCCCCTTAAAAAAAGCTTGGTGTCAGTGTGCCACTTTGACAAAATTATTGTCTGTGATTTTATCTCCTTGACTCTTCAGCTAAACTCAGCAGTTGACACAAAAACAAAAGCTACAATCTCTCCACTTGGTTTACAAAGATATCCACCATACTTTTCTACACATGCTTTGTGGTAAATTATCATCTCAAGATGTTACCCCATGTTTTTTTCTAGCCCTTTAATGCCTTTTGTGTCATATTTGATACATACTTTTATGATACTTATATCAAATCATGATCAACAAATTACTAAAAAAAACATCTGAATACAGTCGGTAAATGATGAAAAATTCAGTTTCCAAAAACTAACAAATATATATATTTGTTAAATTTTACGGACATGTATGGTTTTTTGGTTGACAGTAGTAAATGAAATAAACATTTGAAACAATAAAAACAATAAAAAATTGAATTTTCTGGCCAAAATCTGTGGTTTCAGGCATTAAAGGGCTAGAAATAACCACACACAGAGACATTCATGCTTAGCCGTTAAAGCTGAAACAGTTATTTCAGTCTGTATCTAATACATAGTTCCTCCTATACCAACAGAAAACAAACAGTAACAAACAGACCCTGGATGCTCTTAAAATATATTTCTTCCCATAACTTTATTTGGACACATGATGAGCAAACAAAAAATCTCATTTACAGCACTCAGCAAAAGCTATTCTCATCAATTAGCTGTAAGACTTTCAGCCAAAGTGGAGCAGGGACATGTTTAACTTATTTAAATGGGGTGGCCTAAGTTGGCCACCACTGCTGTGTTAGTATGTTTGTGTGCATCCGCTGTGAAGGAGGCTTTAGCTTTGAGTCACTGAGGCCAGAACATGATAACATACTAAATGTCAGACATAAGACCTGACACCCACTGGAGACAAAGAGCAGATAGGTGATAAAGAGGAGCACAAATCCACCTGGGTGTCACGTGTTGTAATAAACAAAGTTAGTCCAATGACAGAGCTCAGACAATGTTGGCGTGTTTTAGTGCTCTAATGTGCATACAGGTAGTTGATCTTTGTACTTTTTATTGCCCTCTCTTGTCTTCTCCTCTTTGTGAGGGAAAAAAGCTGCTTTCTACTTGAGGGAATCTTAAAGAGAAAGTAGTCATATGGTCATGTATGTAGCGACCTTGCATGCACATGTGTGGACAGTCTTCCTGTATAACCCCAGGTGGGAGGAGAAAGAAAGGCAGCACAGCCGGCTGCCGTCACTTCAACAGAAAAGCACACTCATTTTCTCCCTCTGTTATTATCTTTGTGTCATGAACCACAAAAAGTACATGCTTACTCAATGAGCAGGAGCACATTCATAGGGGGATCATAAGGGAGAGTTTCAGACACCAGTGATTGCAGTTTTTATGTGATTGTGAAGATAGTGAGTGGGAGGCTTAAACACCTGATTCTGACATGAAGAGTATCTGCACTTTGAAACAGAACTAGGGCACAGGGCACAGGTACGCTACTGTGAGAGTGAGAGTTATAAAAATAATGAAATACAGTGTCATTTTCACTCAAACTTCATTTAAATTAATTTTGCTTTCACTATCTTGTTCGTTGTACTCTTGGTTTGACCAAAGAGACTCGTCTCATACTCGTTCAATCCCACTTATAATTTCTTCTTGTCAACTAAAAACTTTATTTAAACCAACTTTAACCTATTTTCACTTCCTCCAACCTAGTAGCTTAAAGCATTCAGTGCAGCACAGATGAGTGTCGAAAACGGAAAATGAAAATAAAAAATTTGTCCAACTGCAATGTTAATAATTTACTGTTTGAAAACTGTATTTTTTTTTTACACTTTTGGATAGTTTTATAGCCTACGTCTGTCAGTCTACCTTGTTTCTGTTGTGGCGTTGATGCTCGTGCACATGCAGATCTTTAGAAAACGTGTTTCAGTTCAAGCCTTAATTTATGTCGACCAGTTTTTTAAAGGAACTGCATGAAAGCAAGAACTGAATTTGAAAAAAAATGTGCATTATGCATTTAGTTTGGCATTTATACCAATGCTCTCTCTGCATTTGTTCTTCAGAAGGTAAAACGCATTTTTGAAACAGATTTTTCAGTGAAGCTTAAAGATCAGGAAAGGTTTTTAAAATGATCTATAAGCTGTTTAAAGTAATTTTATTTATCATATAAGTGGAGTTGTGCTTTTGAAGTTTTTTTTTGTAACAAGTTTAAACTGTGTGTGTCCAGTATGGAAGGAGGAGAGCTGTTTAACCGAATCCAGGCCAGAGGAGACCAGGCCTTCACTGAGAAAGGTAAGGACTGATGGAGGGGTGTACCGGAGTACAAACACATTACAGGATGTCAGACAGAAAGATTGGACCATTATACCCAGGAAACAGCATTAAAACGTAGCCAATAAACTTCAGACAGGAAAGTGGAAAACATATTTTTTCACACCATTTGTGTTTTGTAACTGAAGTGGGTTGAAACTGAAACTGCTTCTGGTTTGAGAGGTTTTTTTTTCCTCTTTTCTTCCCAGAGGCTTCTGAGATCATGAGGGACATCGGCACGGCCATCGACTATCTCCATAGAATTAACATCGCACACAGAGATATCAAGGTGCTGAACGATTCAAGCTGGCAACACAAATTCTTAAAAACTGAAAGATGACATGGAGTTTATACTTGCAGTATATATCAGTTCAAGCCCATTGAAGAAAATGTCCATTTTTGTTGTTCCTGTGTTTCATTTTTAGCCAGAGAACCTGCTGTACACAAATAAAGAAAGAAATGGGGTCCTCAAGTTGACTGACTTTGGTTTTGCTAAGGAGACCACACTTCACAACCCTCTACAGACGCCCTGTTATACACCCTACTATGTGGGTAAGTTGCTGTTTGTTGTTCATCTTATTTAACAAGAATCTGACCCATTAGTCATGAAAAAATCCCTTTACCAAAGCCTTTTTCATCCATCATTGATCCTCATTCCTGGTTTGTATCTTTTTCCATGTGTTTGTGTTGTAATTAAAGCTCCTGAAGTTTTGGGTCCAGAGAAATACGACAAATCATGTGACATGTGGTCACTGGGCGTCATCATGTACATCCTGTGAGTACCGTACGGAGGAGGAAGCGGGGTTGCCATGGATTTAGCTAGAAATGATATTCTGTGATCATATCACTTGATAGACAAGCCACAGTGGTTGATTCTTGTCATGGTTGTCTCTGCAGGTTGTGCGGTTTCCCTCCTTTTTACTCCAACACAGGCCAGGCCATCTCTCCTGGGATGAAGAGGAGGATCAGGATGGGCCAGTATGAATTCCCCAACCCAGAGTGGGCTGAGGTGTCAGAGGAAGGTGAGAATACCACTCCAAACATAGAAAATGCTTACTGCTCATTTTCACCTTCTTTAGAGCAGACACATTTCCAGGCTGTCTGACAACAACACAACCTGCGGCTACTGAATATAAACCAGTATTCCTGTGTGTGAATGTGTGGAAGTTGGAAAACAATCAACTAATCCTCCATTCCAGTCAAGATATGGGCCAAAATATCTTCAGTTTAACTCCATACCAACTATTATTCAACTGTGTTGTCTAGTGAACAGCAGAGTAAACTTTTAGGAATTGTCCCAAGAGTGCTTGTTGTTCGGACGTCATACTTTTTTCCTCTCTCTGTGAATGGCCTCTTGTGTGCTCGAAAGTTTTTGTAAAGCACCCCAGGGACCCAGATAAAGATGTTGCCATTGTTTTTAAAAAAGAAAAAGTATGATCATCCTGTGCTTTCAGATGTCACAGTTTACATCTTTGTGTTGTATCACCTCTTCAAACTTCCCATGTCATGAGCGCAGTCTCTACAAACATATTTCAGCCATGGTTTAGGTAAACCAAGGCCTCTGTTTGCCTTTGCTGTAAGTAGAGGTTACCCCGGTTCATCGCCCACGCCTACTGACAGCATTTCCTGCTGCTTTCCTGGAGATATTCTAAAGGCTTATGATAAATGGTTAGACCCAGACATCCTACACTTAACTCAGATACACCAGTCACCTCATGTCCACTTTCATAACGGCAACATCAGCATATTAAACATCTTTTTCTCAATCTCACTTACTGTGATCAGGTCAGTTTGTCTTTGTAACCAGAAAAAAACTTCATCAGATAGAAAACATACAGCTGTGTGTGTGTGTGTGTGTGCGCGTGTGTGTGTGTGTGTGTGTCTAGTTGCTGACAATACAACTAACTGGAACTTGCGTTTGTTTTTTTAGCAAAAGATTTAATTCACCAGCTGCTGAAGACGGACCCTAACGAGAGAATGACAATCACCCAGTTTATGAATCACCCGTGGATAAATGTAAGAATACGGCGGGTGTCAAGTACAGTCTCAAACTTTCTGTGTTTCTTTCTGTAGTCTGTGTATCTTTGTGCTCATTATCTTTCTGTGCTTGTATTTGTGTGCAGCAGTCCATGGTGGTTCCCCCCACTCCACTCCACACCACCCGGGTTCTGACTGAAGACAGAGAACTGTGGGAGGATGTGAAGGTAAGAGAAGGAGCAACCCTGACCCCTTGTGGACACCTATTTATATTACAAACTGTCTCTGTTCAGCTGTCAAATTTTGGGTTGGTACCATAGACTGTTTATAGAATAGACGCCATCTGCCCCCATCTGGCTTGGTGAAGCCACCCCGAGAACAGCACCCTCTGCTGATGGGCTGCAGTATAGGTCATAAAACCTGCCACCTCCAGTCATCCTTATGGAGCTGTGGACAAACTTTAGAAATTTATTACACAGTATATAACATTTTCTCCCCTCTGCTTGCGATGTTGACATGTAGTTTGTGCTCAAGTCCTCTTTTTCTGTACTGCTCCGTTTTTTAAAAGTTATTTGGGGGTTCCTGTTCTCTATGATTGACACTTGAAAGAGCCTATGGGCATATGAAGATTGTGTAGCTCACCTGTAAATACACTGTTTGAGCCGAGTGTCATTGCAGCGTCTCTCCTGCACACAATGCTACTACGCAAGTGGTGGAGTTCGTACAATGCTACTGCGCAATGTTGGTTTCAGGAAATGGAGAAAAATCGCAGAATTACAGAGAGCTTTTTGGCTTCAAGGCGGAACCAAGTTGTCCACAGTATATACAGTCTATGGTTACACCTCAATAAAACTGTGGAGGATGAGGGGAAAAAGCCTGATCAACACTCTGCTGGATTAAAGATAAGATAAAAGATAAACTATATGGTAATTTTATTTTTTACTATTTGCCAAAAAGAGGCAGAGATTTTTCCATGCAAACATATGCCATAAAAACACAAGGAAACACATGACAGTTTCCAGGTAACACAGTACACAAAAAGGCAAATTTTAAACTAATCAATACTCTTAAGACTCAACAAATCCCCACAAAAAATCAGATAAGTTAGAGCGACATTAACAGAGGGAACCAGTCAGTAGTAACATTTAAAAGTGCCATGTGCAACATAAGGCAACAGGATGACTTTAAAGTTCATTATTAAAAGCTTTTTTAAAGTATAAAACTTTATGACAGGTAAAGCTGCCTAGCATGTGTTTTCCTACATTACCCACAATGCAACTCATGAGCATTTTCAAAGACCTTGTATGCCTGTTTCTTACCCAGTGTATAATATGTTTGAATGATTTTTGAGATCCTCTTAAATTTTAAAACCCCAGTCCCTAACAGTGATCCACTTAACAACATGTTTGATCCTGTTCATCTCTAATAGTGAATTTAGAAACCAAACAAGGCTGTCAGAAGGAAAAGGTAACTCTGAAATTTCAGGCTCCAGTCAGTTTTTTTTTTAATATTTCAAAATTTAGACCCTCTCCAGCATTACCATTTTTGTAAACTCTCAACAACCACTAGGGGGAAGCAGAGATCACAGTCGAGTGTGATCAAGGTGGTCAGTGCCATATTCTGGAGTAGCATTCAATACACTCACACACAAACACAGTTAACACAAAGGAGCTCAGCTGCCCCACGCATTTGTCTTCAACTCTTTCTCTGTAATTTAAATAAAGAAATGTGTCAAAAGAACCAGAAAGCTGTTTGCTCTTCTGAAGTCACTGTGGGGTTAATTCCTCACACTGTGCTTTCCAGTGTGCTATCACAGTTTTCCTCCATGGCTGTGAATGAAAGTAAAAAGTTCCAGTCAAAAGGCATGGTCTTTCACAACTCAGAATGAGCAGGTTTCAGGCGATAAGGTTTGAAAGGCACTATTCTCAAAAATGATATGCACAGTGTTGTATCACTATTATTAAGTTCTACAATCGGCAATGCCACATTGCGTAAAATTTCCAGATTGCGGTTGTAACCAACCACTTCTCAAGATGTGCAAAAGGGAGGACATTATTTTAAAGGAAGTATGGCTCACATTTGAGACATCTTGTCATGTACCATGGTAGGAGGATTTTGAGCAGTAATATGATCAGCGCTGTCGCCATAATCTCCAATGTAATGACTCGTATTTGTTCTAGTTTTTCTTTCACTCAGGCTAGGGTTGAGTTAACCTTTCTCTGACTCTGAAATGGTTTTTCCAGGAATGTTTTCTAGCCCATTAAACCGTTATTTTTCTTGCTCTACAAGTGTTTTCAGTGAAATGCTAAAAGTCTTGGCAGGCAGCAGTTTACGCTTCAAGACTGCAACATGCCTGAAAACTGCTCCCTGTAATGAAACAGTTGAATACCTTACCTCTGTTGAAATCCAACTGTGTTGCTATTATTGTGTGTTCTTTTAATAGATTCAAATATGACATATTTTTTAATGTTTTAAGTGAATTACAGAGGGACAGGTGTGTTACTGTTTTTGGACAGAACAAGGCTATTTGTCTCCGCCACTTGTATCCTTAACGCTATAAGCTTAAATAACTTGCAGCACACAAAAGATGTTTACATGTAACCTGTCAATCAATCTTGTTATCAAACTCTCAGCAAGTAAATATATAATTGTAAAACACTGAAGTATATTACATGAAAGATGTGGCCTACAGTACTCCCCTCTGACCATCGTAGTCTTAACTTTCAGCTGTCCTTTGTGAACTAACCCACACCTTTATCTGATCCTTCTGTCACAGGAAGAGATGACCAGCGCTTTAGCAACCATGCGCGTGGACTATGACCAGGTGAAAATCAAAGATCTAGACACTTCTAGCAACCCATTGCTCAACAAAAGACGCAAGAAGGCGGCTGGAGGGGGCAAGAGTGGATCCACGGTGTGCCAAAGTCAGTGAGACACTGAGGACTGTTTTGGAATTGCAGGCAGGACTGCCAAAGATACAAAAAGAGCAGCTCAGAAAGAGGAGGAAGAGTTTGATTTGACAGGAGAGGATCACTGGAGACCAGCACTGGACTCTTGACAGTCTGAATGTAATGAAAATGTTCTTTGAAATAAAGGGACAATGGTCAGAGCTGGACTTCTGTAAGATATGAGAGCACATGTTTTTCCTGCCAGTGTAGAAATCAGCTCTCTGATAAGTGTGGACCTCTCTGTTTTTAATCATACTTCATGTTTCTAAACTATTTTTAGATCTTGCCTGTTTTTAAGTGTGTCCATATGCAGACATCAAGTTTTTGTTGTGATCATGCTTCTGTATTTGAATGCTGGGTTGGGACACCTGTGTAGCTGTACTGCGTGCACAAGACAGAAAAAACCAACCATGGTCAGACTGTGAAACCAGGACTCCCACTCTTACCTCTGTTGTCTTAATGGTTTTTGTCTTTTGCTGCCTTCTTTTACGGATTACATTGAAGTCTGACACTGACTGTCTGGTCAATAAAATGTAGCCTATACTCTCAAGGGAGTGTTTAACATAAACGCAACAATAAAATGGCTCACGCATGCGATTAAGTGGTAGATTTCACTTAGTGTCACCTAGTGCTGCAGATCATCACTCTGGGGTCTTCAGGGAGCTATTAAAGGCAGAGCTCAACCTGTCTGCTTCCTGTGAGAGTGAAGACACGGTGTCTTCGTGTCAGCAGCAGTGGGGTAATAGTTGGTTTTGATACATGGAAGAGTTGTGACATTCGACGATGGTTTTCCTGTGGACGTGCGCATGTGTGTGTGTGTTTATGGGGGCAGAGTAGAATGCTTCCTATAAATAAGGGCCTTGGTTTCACTTCACATCCAGACTTGAGCAAAACAACACAGCCTTCCATAATGAACACCTCATCTGTAAGCCGCCTCTTCACTTTGTGCTTTTGACTAAATGGTTGTAAATAAAGGTTTTTAAAGTAAAACTGGAGCGTCCGATTGAGTGTGATCCACCTCTGTGGACTTGGGACCCATTGTTTTTGTGTCTGTGCCTCTCAGGCTTTGAGAGGCCGCTTTAAATAGCAGCAGTGGAGTAGTTATTTGGGACGCAGCCATCTGACTTTGTGTTCAACTGGAAAAGGTCAACATTATTATGCTTAGATTATACAGTAAGTACCTTTCCCCCACTTTCATCACATGGTCCCTCGCAGTATTTAGGGAGGAGGTTAGGGGAAGCGCATCATAAGAAGTCCATAGATTCCCTGCTGTAAATACGGGATGTCAGCCATGATCCAGTGTGGCCCAAATAAAGTATGACTGCTCAGCTGTTGTTTGGTGCTCCAGACAGAAAGGATATGTTAGTGGAATTTTACAATACATTTTAAAGAAGTTATTGTCTCATGAGGAAGCAGTGGTTTATTATTTTTTTCTTTGTTAGTCAGCCTTTAGGTAGTGTCATCATGATTACAACACACATCTGTTACACCAACATGATGTTGACATAGCCGCATTTTGTACACTTCCTGCTCCTGTCACTCCATTAAACTCACAAATCCTTCCCCCTCCGGAGGTTGACAAACAACACCGTTCTTCACGCTGACATAAAGAGAGCATCTGAACACAGCAGCAGCCAACAGCAAAAGGTCAAGGGTCAGATGGTCAGATGGTCAGTGATAGAGATGTTCACAAGAGACGCACGGTTCTGATATTGCAAAACTTTCCCTCTTTTGCCTAAAGGACTTCAATGCAAGTCTCAGCCTGATCAGTTGCCCACTTTTAAATCATGAAACCAACATCAATAACAGACAAAGACAGTGTCTCCTGACAAAAGGTATCATGTTTTAAACTATATGATCACTGTTGCTTGTGTATATGAAGCTTTTTCTGTTGATTATATATTATTTAATGCAAAAGAAAGGGTTAAATTTCAAACTAAAGAGGAAAAAAGGCACAGTGAAGTCAAAACAGTCATTTTAGCTTCCACATCACAACAAACTTATGATGGACCAACATTTTATGCTCCACAGGATATTCAACCGTGTTTGTCCACCTGTAGCTTTTGTGATAAAGCTAACCGGGACAGGTCTGACCAGTATACTATACATTGTTACTGTGTGTGGTGCGCTGCCTGAAGCACGGGTGTGAGGTGTGGGGAGGGTGGGGTGGTGGTGAGGGGTACTTAACTTTGCCCTTTAGGGCGGAATGTGTGAAGGTTGGTCGAGAGCTGTGTGACCTTCAGATGAGTCTTTCTGGGCTTCGCTGGTCCCCCATGTTTTATGGCTTTTATCGTGTGTACATCATAACAAATCCCTGATGTCTGTTTTCTTTTTCACTTTTTAATGTGTGTATGAGTGTGACTGTCTTGTATACACACTGCTAACAGGTCTTGTTTTGATGGTTAGGGTCATTGTTATCATACAGGCTGCTGTGACAGACATTTTTACTCATGCTGGAGTAGTTTCATTAGAGGGGAGTCTGTGCCTTTTCTTGAAACCAAATTTTAAATATTTTGTAAAATTTTACTTCAGATGAAGCAGATGGGTAATGATCCGAGACCTGTGATGCTTCAAATCAACAGTTAAAAGCCCAGTCACATGTTTTCCTGACCTCTCAGATGTTCTCCTCACATGAGTTTTAGTTCTGCAACCTTAATTTGAAAGGGTTTTATGATTAAATAAAAAAAAAAAGGTTGGATAAAAAACAAAAACAGACCTCACCAGAGCGTCAACAAAAATGATGATGTGTCATGAAACAGTTTCCCGTTCAGACAGAAGTGCACAGGTGTTTAATATGAGTCAGTCTTTTAGGACTTTTCTGACTGTTCTGAATCACCAGAGCCTTGTTTTGTTCCTGGTGCCCTGTCTGTGGTTTGTTACAGCTTTCTTGTTAAGTGTCTTAATCTTGTGATAACATGTAGATTATCATTGTCTGGCACATAGATACTTGTCATAATACAAGAAGCTACACTATTGGGTGTGTCATGGTAATCAGGTGCATGGTTATGCGATCACTCTGTATTTTGAAGCCCTTGATTATCCTGGCACGATGACCATGCCGTAGATAATTTTTAGTACAATTTGTGTTTGTGTGATAAGAAAGGGACCGTTCAGCTTTTGTGTGTTCAAGTCAACAGTGTAACTTAGTTGTTGTTCAGCCAAACAAAGAAAGATAAACTTGGAAAGAATGCTTTTAGGGTAACTGAGGAAAAACAAGTTAAGCAAGTGTATTGGTCCAAGAAAACCCTTCCTGTTACGATATATTCTTCAATTGACCTCAGGTTAACTATACACTTTCCTTTCGAGTAAATGTATTAAAACAATAATAACTTTATTTGTATAGCACTTTAAAAAAAACAGACGTTTACAAAGTGCTTTGACATGTAGTCATAGAGCACAAGGAAAAAGACAGATAAAAACAAAAAGCTCAGTAAAAACGGAATTGAACAGACAATACAAGAACCATGCAACATAAAATGAGACCATGAGGACCAAAATAAAACCTGGCTTATAATTTATAACTTGGCTGATCTTATCATGTTGAATCTATATGTAAGCAGGTTGCACTAACATACTGACTGTTCCGATGGGGAGTCAGCTGATCTTGCCTGTATTATGTGTCAGTCTCGCTTAAGCCTGTGTAGTTAAGCTGCACTGTTATTTGCTATAATAGATCCAAAATTAAACCAGTCATTGGAAATAGTGTAACTTTAGCCATCAGCTGATGAGGGTATCTTGATGGTAAGTAGATGGGTGGAGGATGAAGGAGGGTGTTTGAGGCAGGTAGGCTGTACCTTTTTTTTCCGTCTAGTTTTGGAGAAGCACACGGCACACACGTTCACAAACACACACACATATATACAGAGTGGGTGTGTGTGTACAGTGAGCATCAGAGTGAACAGGCTGCTGTAGGGCGCACGTACACACCGCCAGGCTGCCTCGCGCTCCATCAGACGGACGCCCATGATGAGAGGCTGCTCCAGCCGACCCAAGCTCGCGCAGAACCAGGACCGAGCAGGTAAGACAACCCTTTAACTGAGGCTTTAACAGCCTGTGCGCTTTCCTATTGAACAATGTACCCGGAAAAAGAGCTGTCGGGCAGTGAAGGCTGGTCGAGCAGCTCTCCAAGACGTAAACAAGAGTCGATGTGCCGCCGCTGCTGCTGCTGCTGCCCGTCGCTGTGTTGGCGCTGTCACCGAGACCTTTCCCCTACATTACAACTACAGGCGCTGATCTTTGTTTTATAGAGTTACCAAGCTCCTCTGTTACAGCAACAGCCCTGCTGTCACACAGAGGATGGGGAGATATGCGGATATTTCTCTGGATGATGAATTTTAAACAACAACCTAAAGCTCTGTGTGGGCGATCTTCACGGTATCTTTATTATTGCCATTGTAAATATTTACACACCGGTCGTGGTGAAGCAGGGTATCTGTTGCAGTGTAGATTGTCCTCGTTTTGTGTTTGTATTTCTGGTTGTTGTTGCTCATACTCGGCTACTGCGATGCAATGCATTTCATTGAAGTCTTGCACACACAGGCTGTTGATTTATAGGCTGAAGCGTCTGTTTGCTCGTGTTTACTGCCGAGCGTATATGTACACACTGTACTTGACAATGCTCTGTCTACTGTAATAAAGGCTAAAGGCTGCTAGCTGCAATCAGAGTGGCAGCTTTACAGAGAGAAGGAGGAGCATTGATCTGTTTCCTGTTCGTGTGCTGCCTGTGTACTACAGTGTGCAAGAAACCTTATTTACCCTCTCTGGAAACTATCACATACAGTCAATACACTGCTTCAATGAAGGGCTGTCTGCTGCAGGCTGCCCAAAGAGTCAGAGCTTTACAGTATGTGCCACACAGCTTGTTTTAGTTTTCTAAACTATCAACCTCAATACATTAGTATTGTTCTGCTTGAAAAGCTGAAAGTAGAACCTAGAATAAGACAGCGTGCCAGTAATTTTCAGACCTGATGAAGCTGACATGTATTCTGCTTGCAGTCAGGGAATTTGAGAAAAGGAGAGAAGGAGCTATTTAATTAGAAAACCTTCATTTCACCATATGTAGGTCATAGGCCTGTTAGTCCAGCAAAGACAGAGCATGCAGCTATAAATGTGCATCAGATGTAAGTTTATAAGGAAGGCATATATGATGAAAAGACGGGCCTTGATTCAGTAAGTGAATACAGTGTTTAGAGTAGCCACAGCTGTTCTATGTAATCCAATCTGACACCACTGCAAAGTGTCATTGTATAGACTGTACTTGGTCTTCTGTTGTTGAGACTATGCTAGTGATAACTGAGATCATGAGGGACTTTTTGGATTAATAATGATTAATAATAATAATCGTAAACCTTGAAAAATATGTGTGTACATATACTTTAGGTGGTAATTTCTGAGACCTTCATGATGCCTACAAAAGGCATTGAGGCAAAGATAAACAGAATCTCTAATTTCTGTATATTCTTTGAATCAAACCTGAAAATTATAAGCCTGACATTTGACTAGACTTGGATGACACCACACACACACACACACACACACACACACACACACACACACACACACACACACACACACACACACACACACACACACACACACACACACACACACACACACAGATAAAGAAGAGGAGTAGGCTGCCATCTTATGGACAATGTCTGCTCATGCAAAAAGTTTCAGCTTCTCTATGTTCTTAAAATTAACAGTTTTTTCGAATGTTCTTCATAGAGCAGCAAACAAACTACTCTTGATGAAATCCCTGGAAGTGGTAAAACTGATGTGAACTGAAAACTTGCATTACCAGGAGATGGGGTACATGGTAATATTTTCACTGAAGGAGAGATATTTTGTCATGATATGGCAGCACAGCCATTGCCTCTTACAAAGTTTGTTTGAGCTCTGTTAAATGTGCAGGTATTTAAGAGACCCCGAATGACCACTATACCTGTGGTTTTACAGCTCTGTCATGCCAAGTATCTTCCATAAAGGCGGTATATTGTTTTATAGTTTACAGTCAGCAAAAATGTTGAAAAGAAAGTTTGTCGCAAAAAGAACCAACACTTGGTTAAAACTTTTTTTTGTCTAAAGAAGAGTTACCAGAGTTCCAGCAAAATTACCCCATGCTCTTTCCCTTAATGAGAACCAGCTCATATTTTTCAGTGCTCCAGTGAAAACGAAGCCTCAAGAATATGACTTTTTCCTACAATAGAAGGAACCACTTCTTGTAAGACGATAATAGCTGTTCCATTTTGAACTGACTCATCTCACAATAGTCTAGTACAGCTCTAAAAAAAGAAAAAGAAAAAAACTGCACAGCGTATCAACAAAATGCTATCCTGTTTTCTATGAGTGACAAAAACTCTGTGCTTTTTGTAGGTTAACATCACGTTTTGTAAGCAAAGTCCTGTGAAATAATCAAACTTTACCAGGGGTCAGGTCTTTTGCAACTACCGTATCAAATCTCTGTGCTACGATAAGGTCAAACGTTCTACATTTTTGCAATGATATTCAACACAAGGGGTGAGTGTGCAATAACTTCACCAAGATTTGCAACCAAGATGATTAGACCTCTGCTCAGGTTAAAAAAAGGACAAGCGATGGTGGACTGTGTTAGATCTGAACTTGTGGTGAATTACATTTTAGCCTTGCTATTATGACTTAATTTTCTGTCAGGGATTTTGAAGGGCCAAATTTTTTTTAAACTACATTACCTTTAATCTTAAAACCTGCATTTTAAGAGGCCACTTTGACCCTAGATGACTACTTGATTTTTTTTTTTTTGTCTCCACCAAAAATCCAGGACAGTGCTTTAAGAGTTTTATGATGTCTGTGATCTGCAAAGTAATTTTTAACACCTTTGTCTACAGTTAAAGCTGTGCTAATCCAAATTTTTGTATGAACAATGAAACAAACAACTGTGCCTGTGTGTCATCATAACTTTATATGATAAAAGACATGTATTTTTAGTAGGTTTCCTCCTTCCTCTCAGCATAGATTGAATGTCATTTACCAAGACTATCCATGTTTTTAAAATGTGACTGTTTGCACACAACTTGCAAATGAAGAGGGGTTGGTGGCCAGTGAGATGTGTTGATAAAAGCTTCCAAGTTCCTCTGAAGTTAACGGTTGAAACTTTTCTTTCATGATGCTGTTTTCTACAGATAGGCAAAGCAGTTTAAAATTGCCAGAGAGCTGAACAGGGAGACTGAGAAGATTAAATAATGGTGTCAGAAATGCAGTGTGAATTTTAAGTTGAATTTGCCATTGAGTTTTAAGTTTTCAAGTTTTTGTGATTGAAAGGAATTAGAGCTTGTTTGTTAAGCACTTTTGTGTGGACTAAATTTCTTGCTTGCAAACAGCCCTGTAGTGTATCTCAGGAGGCTTTCTCAGACCTCCTTCCAGTGAAGAAAATATAAGAAAGTGCCCTCTATATGCCCTATTAAGAAAATGTTATAATGTGACCTCTCAGGTGCACTTCCAGTGGCGCAATGACAATGAGCCTTAATAAACACAATCATGAATAGTGTTTTAATAATTATGTTTTTCCTTATAGGTTTACACCACAAATTGTCCCAGATACTCAAAAACATTCATCAGAACATGAGCAACCAGGTAGGGGAGAGTGGGGTACGATGAGCAATTTTTCATATTTCGGATCACTACATCAAGTCAATCATAGTTTTGTCTCTAACTAGTGTATCTGCATATATATTTCAAGATGTTGTGCATCCCTGCAAACCAACAGAATGACTGTAAACACATCTGTCTGGATAATATAGCATGACAAAAAAAGTGGTCCGCTTTGCTCAACTTACCCTGTGTATGGGGTAAGTTGACCATAGGAGCGGGGTAAGTTGAGCCGTATCCCTACTAACCCCCACTCTCCACCCCAGCCCTCCCTCACCTTCTCTCTCCCTAAATAACAGTCACTTCTTCACATTCATGTGTATTTTTTATCTATTATACACGATTCAACTGGTACAATAATTCTTTTTATTATTATTGCATATAACTGCTAAAAGGCTGTTTTGTAAAAAGTCATTTTAACATGAGAATGTCTTTAAGTGATTCAGAACATTCACAGCTGTATTTTTGAAAAGAAAAAGTAACACATTTCAACAATCTGAAGTGAAACTCTGATCTTCTCATTAGACTCCTTTACTTTCTCAGTTGAGCCACTGGCTCAACTTACCCCTGAATTTATTAGTCCTCTAAGCAAAAATGGTGGACTCTTATGTTAGGTTTTGACCTCATGTTGGAGCTCATAGATACCACAATTGATGTATAAAACAAATTTAAAATAATCTTTTTTGGTGCGAACACAATTCTAATTAAACTTATGACAGACTAAATTCACTTTCAAGAGTGAATTTTTTTTTTTTTTTTTTTAATAAATGTCTAACCCCTTCACCCATGTACTTCTAACCTTCACAGACTCCATGAATTGATGCCCATCTCCTTAATATTTGGTCACATGATCAATTTCTTTTATAATTTTCAAGCAACAAGGAGTGGCTCAACCTAACCTTTGGCTCAACATACCCCACTCTCCCCTTTACAAAAAATTTCCTTGGGTAGGACTCCAAATGCCCCTCTTTGAGACAGTGCCTCAAGTTAATTAAATAAACCCTATGCTGTAATTATTGGCTTTGAAAGCTATTCCAATCCAACATGTTACCCATGTAAAATTAACCAGCCTACTTTTTTTTCTGACTGGGCGGAACTGAACCTGAGAAACTACCCTGTTTGCATAGGCTGGAAGAGATAAATCACACTGAAAGGTTTTTAAATTGCTTCAAAATGCTGCTTGAGGTATATCTCAGTTGATGACAAATTTTTGTGGTGCTTCATACACACAGCAGGTGCACCTCAAACAGCCAGAATATGCCACTGCTAGAGAGCATCAAACAGTTGTGCTGAGTAGAAAGGTTTTGTTTTTTATATATGCATTTCTATATCCTGTATATCAGGGGTGTCAAACTCAACCACAGCAAAGGCCATATTCTGGATTGAGGTCTAACCTGAGGGCCAAACAGGGTCAACATCGACCTCCTTTTCAAAAAATATGTAATGAAAACAGCAGTGATTATAAATTATTTGGAAATTCAAAATAAGATGAAAAGATACGTTCAAAGGCAATCTGAGATAGAACATTTTATTTTATTTTATTTTTATTTATTAGTTCAAAAGATCAGAGATATATTAAAAATATAAAAATAATGCTTTTAAAGAGCAAATACATGAGGAGAAAGTTGAAATCAGGTTAAAAAGGTCAACGCATGACTTAAATTTAAAATTTGAATCTAAAGTATAAAAATGACTCAACTCTAAATACTGACTTGAACAAAATCAAAGCATGAAATAAAAAACCCAATCATGTTTGACTTGTAATCTTGAGATGAAAAATTGAAAACATGGAATAAAACACCAAATACTTTCCCCCACATTCTTGACTATTTATCAAATCTTCCTTACTCTTTTTATTTCCTAGATTTTTGTGGTTTAGTAAGGACATTTTTAATAATGGCGCTAAAGTTTACATTATTATACTGAAGGAAATCTGTAGACCTCATACTGGTGGGCCAATAATAATACAAATATGATATGATCTTGTGGGCCAGATATAATTGTTCCACGGGCCAGATTTGGTCCCTGGGCCTTGAGTTTGACACCTTTGTTATATATCATTCTTAATATTTATCTTTCCTATTCTTGTACATAGTCTTCATTGCACTGTTTGCACTGCACTAAAGAAAGAATTTTATTCTATTTCCCCTGTATATATTTTGTACCTATTTTTTTCTACCTCGTAATTCTGTTTCTGTTTTTTTTCTTTTTAACTGATTTGTTGCACTAGAAATGGAGAAGCTTTCCAATCTTCATTGTACTTCAGTATAACGACAATAAAGGGCATTCAGATTTATGTTACTTACGGTAAGCAGAAAACACCGTGCGCCCGTACTGCAGTCATTACGATCGCCTGTTTGAGTGTGGCCAGACACGGTCACGTGACACCAGCACAGGGACACCGGTGGGGTGCGGAGTTGTCTTCATCCCCGCAGAGCAGCGCGGATGAAACACCGGTCACCTTCAGAGCAGCATCACGGGAAAAGGCCCCGTGTTCCCGTCGCGGCTGCCTCCACCTCACCGCCGGACGGAATGGAGGACAAAGCGCCGACAAATCCGCGGGAACTCACGCAAAACCCGCTGAAGAAGATCTGGATGCCGTGTAAAAATGGCCTACCTGAAAAACACATTTCGCAAAGAAAGGGTGCGTATGACAACGTGGCGACACTTGTTAGCATCTATATTTAAAGCTAAGCAGCGTATATTCTTCATGCCTTACTCGCGGGGTTTGTTGTTCACGTTCGCGTGCACGCAGCTCGAGCCTCTGTGGAAACGCTAATCCGTCCCCCCCTGCGTTTTAGCCATATTTCTCAATCAGCTTCTCGTGTCCCTGCTAACGATGCCACGGTCAAGAGCGCGTGGACCTCGGTTCGCCGGGTTCAGATGTCTCGCTGTGCCGCAGCAGCAGTAGCAGCCATCTGGTTCACGCGGTTATGTAAGGACCCACTGACTGAATGCTCGCGCAGATGAAGGCAGCTCGCACCGAGGAGAAAGGACTGGTACTGGGGATGTTCACGCTATTGTTACTGTGTGTGCCAAGTCAAGCACCAGCTGTTGGTAAACACGGATTGTATCTCTGCGCTCATGTGACTGATTTGCTCTGTGGATGAGTTTTCTGTGGCCTGACCGACCCCTTACATAAAAAATCAGGTTTTTATCCCCCTTTTAATTTGCTAAAACATGGACAAAACGGAATAAAAGAACTCCCAAAGCCCAATCTCTCTCTCTCTCTCTCTCTCCTCCTGTCATCTGTCCACTCACTGTAGCTGAGTGTTGAAACTAACTTGGAAGTGTTTCATAACTCCTCTTTTTTTGCCACTGTCACCTCTGCTCTTGTTGAACTCATGCCATAGTGGTAGGACAAGACTTTGTGTTATTGCCTGTATCACTGGATTACACATAAAGACAATATAATTACACAATAGAGTTTGACCTGTCAAAGATAAAGAGACAAAATCTCAAGATCTTTACCGCTCTCTTCATCATTGTTTTTATTTCGTTGTGATGTTCATGATTGATATAGTGTTGCTTTTTTTCACTGCAGTATGCATGACCAACTGTCCCACCCTGATTGTGACTGTGGGCCTTCCTGCAAGAGGGAAGACGTACATCTCCAAGAAACTGACCCGCTATCTAAACTGGATCGGCGTGCCCACTAGAGGTATGACCTCTCTGAAATATCTTTACAGAAGCTGATCAATATAAGGGTTTAAGGATAACAAAATATGATACAGTACTCATGATAACAGCATGATGATACAGTATTTGTATTACGATAAACAATGATGTGATACAGATAATCACAGAGTAAATGCCACTAGAAGGACTCCACAAGAGAAGCAGTGCAATGAGTCCAGCAACGACTTTTTTGTTTAAGAAAGCTCACCAAATTTTTTATTCTGCTTTTATTGAATCGATCATATCTTTTTGTACTATTTGTTGGTACGGCAACCTGGGGACCAGAGAGAAAAATGCCCATGACAGGATTGTAAAGGTGGCAAATAAGATTGCAGGTGTGCAGTTCACTAGCTTGAATCATATTTTTAACAGGGTTCAAGGGTTAATTTATTCTGTCTCCCTAAGGAGAAATTTGTCTTGGACACACGGGTAGGTTCTTAAAAATTGCGTCCATTTGGTCTCATAGTGACCATCCTCTCAGCTCAGAATACCAATCTGTTACCTTCTGGCCATCGGCTGCGAGTTCCTACAGCCACAAAAAAACAGGTCTAAAAATTCCTTCAACCCAGGCTCTATCAGAGCCCTAAATGATTCCTGCAGGAGGAGATAACTGATACTGATATTGGATGGTATATATTATTATTATTATTATTATCATTATCATTATTATTATCATTATCATTATCATTATCATTACTATTATTATTATTATTATTATCATCATTTTTATCATTATTATTATTTTTATTATTATTTTATTATCATTATCATTTTATTATTATTATTATTATTATTATTGTTTTTGTACTGTACTGAATATATTGTGGTCTTGCTGTATGGAGTAGGTTTATGGTTTCTGCATTTTATGCACTCTGCATGCAAAAATACTGGTATGACTGACATATGCTTTTTTTTACCTTCTAAATCGTCTTTAATGCTTTTTACCTTCTGAATTGTTTTTTATATAAATGTATTTTCCTTTATTTTCTTTTATGGTGTATGACAGTGTTTTCAATGCCTGTGCCTGCTGCAACCAGATTTGCCCATTTTGGGACTTAATAAAATTGAAGTTAAATGTCATACCGGGAGGGAAGTTTCTCTGTTGCCATAGCAATTGTTTGTCACACTCCTAGTGTGCCTTGCCTTTTTTGTCTTTAAATGATGTTAATGACCTTTTTTTCTACCTTCCCACAGAGTTTAATGTTGGCCAGTATAGGAGGGAGTTTGTAAAGATCTACAAGTCCTTTGAATTCTTCCGTCCAGACAACGAGGAGGGTTTAAAGATCAGAAGGTAAGAGCATCATGGAGCCCTGGACTGCCTCAGCAACTGATCTCACTGCAGTTATGCTTCACCCATGTCCGTATTATGTTTCCAGGCAGTGTGCATCAGCGGCGTTGAATGATGTGCGACAGTATCTCACAGAGGAAGGAGGTCAGGTTGCGGTAGGTACAGTGTTGTCTTAGCTTTATTGTTGAAGGCAGTTCAAACAGTGCACAGTGATGAGAAGCTTGTTCTGTATTTAACAGGTGTTTGATGCAACAAACACCACAAGAGAAAGAAGAGAAACCATCATCCAGTTTGCAGAGCAGAACGGCTTTAAGGTAACTTGACTGTGAAGCTGAGGAGCCTTTTCGCAATAGTGAACCCTCAAACTGAGCTTGATTCTTTCCTTCTCTGTCTTCCTCCAGGTTTTCTTTGTGGAGTCTGTGTGTGAAGACCCAGATGTCATCCAGGAGAATATAGTGGTAAGCAACTTGAGTTTATCGGATTTGACTGGTCTTGGTCTAGAGATGTCTGTCCTTATGGCTCTGAGTCATCTGCTGTGTCTCTCTCTCTCTTTAGCAAGTGAAGCTGGGCAGCCCTGACTACACAAACTGCAACACAGAGGAGGCGGTGGAGGATTTCATGAAGAGGATCAAGTGTTATGAAAACTCGTATGAGACACTGGATGAAGTCTTGGACAGGTGAGGCAGGGCTTGACACTAACTCTTTTCACAAGGAGCACATATGCTCATAAGTTGAAAAATTAAGGAGCACACAAAGAACTTTAAGGGCACAATGAAAATTGATCAGGTAATGTTTGTCTTATTGATCGACATGAGTACTATTATTGGAAATCAATTTTAGGTCTTTTGGTCTCATGACATGGAGGCGATTGAAGAAAATGTTCAAAATTTGCCTTTAAATTTATAAGGACAAATTAGGGAAATAAAGAGGTGTCTCTTATTGGTCGACAAAAGTATTATTATTTGAAATCAATTTTAGGTCAGTTGGTCACATGACATGGAAGCTATTGAAGGAAAACAGCCTCTTCTGAGAACATCAACCGGTAATTTATTGATGGTCCCTTATTCAACCGCCGGCATTGACAGCGAGGGTGCCGAGTAGATAAAACTGCGCTGCTGTTGCCATTACCAGTTACGGAGATTGAGAAGACACCGGTAGATCTGCAGTGAATGTCCATCGAATATCCAACCTAAAACTAACTGTCGAGCTCTGTGAGGTGAAGCTTAGAGAGTGTGTCAGTGGAAATTACATAGCTGTAAAAACTACTCCAGTAAATGAACTTGAGCAAGCACACACTGGTCTTTCCATGACAAGGATTTGGACAGTTTACTGTTTCCTGTCATTTATTAGCTTGAATCGGTCTCACACGAGAACGCTGGTTTTGCCGCTGTGACAAATAATATTGATTGGAAGGAGTCATGTGGTTCTCTTCAGGGATCTCTCCTACATCAAAATCATGGACGTGGGTCAGCGCTACTTGGTCAACAGGGTGTTGGACCACATCCAGAGCCGTATCGTCTACTACCTCATGAACATTCACATCACACCCCGCTCCATCTACCTGTGCCGACACGGCGAGAGTGAGCTGAACGTGAAGGGACGAATCGGAGGAGACTCAGGCCTCACACCAAGAGGCAAAGAGGTAGAACAAACCCCAGCGATGTCTCTGTGGAGAGTTTTTTTTTTGCTAGAGTGAGAAAAATTCACTTTCTGGGTATAATAGTGGATGAAAATTTAACATGGAAACCACATATTGGGTTTATTCAAAATAAGGTGTCAAAATATATCTATTTTAAGAAAAGCAAAATATGTTTTAGATTATACATCAATGAGAATTTTGTACTGTTCACTTATTTTGCCATATTTTCGTTACTGTGTTGAGGTCTGGAGAAACACTTATGTTAGCAGCATAAACCCTTTGTTTCTGTTACAGAAAAGAGCAATAAGAATAATGCACAATGTAGGTTTTAGGGAGCACACAAATGAGTTATTGTTAAAATCAGGTCTGTTGAAGTTGAAGGAGATGACTGAATTAGGGACGTTATTAGTTTTATTTAGAGCGAGAAGCGGACTGTTGCCTGCATATCTGCAGAGGTTATTTGGTTCAGTTTCAAAAGAAGATTATCATTGAAGAAAACTAAATTATAAACAGCAAATGACTAGAACAAATGTAAAACTAATGTGTATTTCTGTTGTTGGTGTGAAAATGTGGAATTCTTTGACAGCAGAAGAAAAGGACTGCAGAAAACATTTTTTAGTTGAAGAGAAGAATACAGAGGCTATACAAAAGCATGTTATGATGAAAGAGTTTTATTTACCTATTTTTTTGGTTTCATTCATATTTATATTTTCTTGTTTTGTATGTACCCTTTCTTAACGTTATTTATATGATAACTTTTTTTAAATTTTGATTCATTTATACAGGTGTATTACACGGTAGTCATCTGATGCAAGGATTATAAGTTCGCTTCATTCTGCACCTTTCCAGTCGTTGTATTGGAAAAAAATAAAATGAAATGAAAAAAAAAAAAACAGCACATTTTTCTCTCTCACTCTGTAGTTTGCCAAGAAGCTGAGCAACTTCATCCAGTCACAGGACATCAGCGACCTAAAGGTGTGGACCAGTCAAATGAAGAGGACCATCCAGACTGCTGAGGCTCTCAGCGTGCCCTACGAGCAGTGGAAAGTCCTGAATGAGATTGATGCTGTGAGTACCTGAGTGCTCGGCACAGCTGTTTGCTGACGTGTGTGGTGTTAATGAAGTCTAATCTATGTGTGATGTAATTTTAGGGTGATTGTGAGGAGATGATGTACGAGGAGATCCAGGACAACTATCCTCTGGAGTTTGCTCTAAGAGACCAGGACAAATATCGCTATCGCTACCCGAAAGGAGAGGTCAGTCCGTTTGGTTATGTAAATATTAAGAGTTTTGATTCTTTTGTGCAGCGTTTGGAAATCTTGGGCTTAGAGTCAGCCCTCCTTCACAGATAAACACTCACACACTGATACAAACCGACAGAACCATAAACACAATTACGCTTCATCCAGATGGCTGCAGGCCAATAAATCTCCGCTAATGAGTTTCAACTTGGACGTGCAGCTTTTCAGGACAGATTTGGCCAAACATCAGATTAAAGGGAACGAGGGTGAGCGAGTGTGCCAAAAATGTGGTTTCAGCTTGTTTACTTTGAGCCTAAATGCCCTCTGGTGTGTTCTCACCTTAAGTCCATCCCATTAACTCTCCATTAATCCAACACAGGAGAGATAGATGTGAGCATTAGCAGGCAGGAGGTGCTGCTGATGGACTTATAAGAGTTGTGGTGAAAGTAATGTTAGGTGAGGCGGTCCGGATTGATTTTGATGCTAATTTGTTTGCCTCCATTATTCGCCATAATGTGCAAAGAAAAACAGCTTGAGTGTAAGAGGAGGGTAATGAATAGATTCATGACTCCTGCTTGAGGAAGCTGTTTGATCTTGAGTTATCCACTATCTATAGAGACACATGTTCTTTCCAACACTTGTCTGTTTCCATCCATCTGATTCGCCCCTTTGCTCTTTTCTGCCTCAGTCCTATGAGGACCTGGTGCAGCGGTTAGAACCAGTCATCATGGAGTTGGAGCGGCAGGAGAACGTGCTGGTCATCTGTCACCAGGCCGTCATGCGCTGCCTGTTGGCTTATTTCTTGGACAAGACAGCAGGTAAGTCCCAAAACTAAATATCATGCTCAAATTCAGCGATTTAGTGGCTACACAGATAAGAAAGAGCGTTATTTTACCAGATGTAGAACCTGTAACATAGGCAGCGCTTGTGCTTACTAGAAAAGTATCCTAGTTTGTGAACAAGTTCAGTTTCCTGAGCTTTTGCTTTGATTTCCTTCTTTCGAACAGAGGAGCTACCATATCTGAAGTGCCCACTGCACACTGTGCTGAAGCTAACGCCAGTGGCCTACGGTAGGTCTGGTTTCCTGCTTGCATTACTTGAATGTATTTTTCTCTTTTTCACTTTTCTGCCCCCTTCACTCCTGAAACCAAATTTGTGTTTGTACGCTCAGGCTGTAAGGTGGAGTCCATCTGCTTAAATGTGGAGGCTGTCAACACACACAGAGAAAAGCCAGAGGTGGGTATGACTACTTGCAGACACATCCACACACAGGCACACAAACAAACACACACACATACATTAGGGCTTCAGCTAACATTTCTTTTGATAATGCACTAATCAAATAAAGTCAGGGTTGGAGGGATATCAGTTTCTGTTGTCCCTTCTCTCAATCACTGCAGTTTAGGAATAGATCAGTACTCTTTGTAACTCAACAGGAGGTTGCCAAAAAAGAGGAGGGCAGGGTTCTTTACTTGGGAACCTTTCTCAACTTTACATAGTAGAAACAGAAATACCTCTGTACCATAGCAGACCAAGCTGGACCAGACCCTTTGGTGGTGATTGGTTTTGATACGTTGCATGGTTAATATTGAGGTAAGACTTTGCTCCTGTCTAGTGGTGGGAGATTAGAAGGGAAAAGGGAAAGGAAGAAAAAAAAAATGGCATTACAGGAGAAAATGTCAGAGAATGTAAAACTCACACAGCAAAGCTCTAATTTAAGTAGTTCAGTGTCACATTTGATGTTTTAAAGCGAGATGTCAGATGCATCACTGACGTTCTTCCAACTCCATCAAGCTGAAGTTGACAGATGTTGCAGGCAGCCCTTGTCTCTTATGTGTTGAGAGGAAAACAATAGTTCTGCAGCACTGTGGTGTTCAATTAGCTGTTGATATGATCTTGATCTTCTTTTTACCTGTTGCTCTTTTGTATCCACCACTTATCTGTGACATTAATCTGCAGTCAATTTTGCCATCTTGATGAATCACTAACACAAACCACAATTACATTCTTCAACTGGAAATCATTTTACAAGGTTAGACAATTCATGTGCAAGTATGTTTTGGGTTGTAGCAACAAGCATAACTTAAAAAAATGTGGTTATTTGCTCCAGCAGATTTGCCAGCTGATCTTCTTGTGGGCCTTTCTCAAAGTGAAGTAAAATAATCATAATGAGGTTTCTGTTTTGGATTACATGTGAATGATATACAATCGGAGCAATACACAAATCAAGACTAACCTACACACTATGTAGATAAACATGCCTCTGAGAACGTTATGATCCACTTTTACAGGATTTGATGATAGCAGCTCTGTAGTCATATGATTATATTGGACAGTCAGTGAGCTCAGTCACAGGTTATCACAGTGAATACACCGGGTCAGATGTGAGCAATATCCCACATAAGGCTTTGGACAGAAGTACAGGGCAGATACAGCCGAGCAGATGTTCAAATGAGTCACCTGGAATAACAGTTCTCCTGTCCAGTGATTATGAAAACAAGATAAGCAAGATTAAATTATGTAATTAAATGCCATTTAAAAACTCTGGGGTAAATAAAGTTCTTATTATGATCTTATTTTATATTTGTTTGATGTTTTGTTTTGTTTCAGAATTGAATTTTAGTGCGACCCCATTATTCTAGAGCAGTGGCTATTGGTCTTCACTGAAAAGTCTAAACACATAAATATCGTTGAAACCCTAGATAGTTAACACTTTCACAGGAGGAAAGCCTTTTGTTATCCACTTTTCTCAGATTTGATCTTTTCTGACAGATATATGCAAAAAGTTTAATATTTAATCAGTTGTCACTTATTAACAATTCTGCTTGTTTTCACATAAATCCTATCATTCTTACAGTCTGTCTGATTTAATGTGAACGCTGCCACCCTCTCAGCCTGGTTATCGTTCACCAGACAGATGATTAGGACTTTGATTTTCACTTTAATTTATCACTTCAAATCCAGACTGATTTAATCCCACTTACAGATGAGGTTGCTTTTCCAGAACCTTTAGTTTTTGCAGCTGGTGGGTTTTTATAGAAAACATCAAGACAAATGAAAAAGATTGCATCCAGGGGTTCAGTTTTATTCTTATCAGGAAGATTTGATGTACTAAGAAAGAAAGACCTGAACTATATGAAGAAAGAAACTCTGACGCTGAATCCTCCTCCCTGGGTTGCCCAGTGTGTTTGCAGTGGATTGTCATATCACCCATGTGTTTGATACCCTCCCCCTCTTTGTGTTTTTTTCCCCTATCAAACAGAACGTAGACGTGTCGCGGATGTCAGAGGAGGCTTTGCTAACAGTGCCAGCACACCAATGAGGCAGTGCCCCTCACCCCATCCCCAACCCCATCCTACACCCCCCCCTCGAAACGCACACTGTTACAAACTCAGCAGCACCTAGTTTGTTTGTTCCATCGAGTCACTCCTCACTTTGAATCACACTTCTGTTTCTTTCAAAGAACATTTCAAGTGATGATGGGGAGAAGCGACTGGAATCCAGTTTATTATTTGAATGATTAATACTCCTATGACACAAATCTCGTGTCGCACACATTCTCCCATTTTTGGGGACTGCATGAAAAGCAGAAGAATTTTTAACCCTCGCTGTTATCTCAACTGTGAAGTGGTGAAATTGGCACCTTTTTTTGTGTTGAAGAAGTGATTAAAAGTAGTTTATTTTCCTCATTGAACTTGTCTGTTTTAAGAAGTTTAGCTACTTTAATCAGTGTTTTATCAGTTTATATATGTCTGTTGGTGGAAATCGGAACTCTATGATTAAGTTTACAGAGCTGATCATGAGGCAAGGATGTGCTATATTTAATATTTTGCACATAAAAACCTTTTGTTCATTTCATCATCACATCTCTAATTGTGCTGTTTGTCTGGTTTAAAGATGTCAAATACTGTCTACCGAACCTGGTGAAAGCTGAAATACATATATATTTTTTTTGTTCATCATCACTGTGAAGACTCTTGCAGTATATTTATATCACTCATCAGAATCAACAGAAGGATATTTATGTTTCATGTTTTCTAAATAAACACTCAACCATTCATGTATCCCTACACTCTTCCTGTGCTTCATTTTAGCAAATTGAATGCAGAAATCTTTTAACACTCAAATATATCTGAGTCAGGATCTCAGGTCATATGCTTTTACTTTGAGGGGAACTCTTGAGCTGAAGTAGGTGTTGCCTAATAGTTGGATATTTCCCCGTAGATCAAAGAGAGTTTCATCTACATAGAGTCAACTATTTCCTTCCTCTCCTCCCTGTCTGTAGATCAGACGTGTTCATTTCTCTTCCTGCTCACTCTGCTGTGCAAACTGGAGTGATTTCCCACTCCTTCATTTATATGCAAAAGCTCTGCTGGGGATGAGTAAGAAAGTGCCGTCATTCATCAGTCTGAACAAAAGTCTCACTGTGTGACAAACACATTTCCCTCTGTCCAGAGGAAGAGACTCAATGAAATGTATGTTTGTGCTTCACAACTTAAACCGCTAAAAATTTCTTCAAAGGCTTAGTTATTAAAATATTATGCTATATGAAAATGTTTATCCAACTTTTGCTCATGATGTGATAGGAATGAATAGAAAAAATTGAGGCTTTGGTGAAGTGCAGCATCCGCCAACTCTGAAGTGTTCAAAGGGAACTGACGCATACAGGGCAGCTTCAAGAGGTGAAAGATCATCATTTCAAAATATGAACTTTTCCACTCGTGGCAGTTATCTTGAAAACCGTGTTGCTATCTGATTGCAGCATTCGTCACTCTGACAACCAAGAGTTACCAAAGAAAAGTGACTTTTCGAAGATGATGTTTGGTCATGACCTGGGGTTCAAAGCTCTTGGATCACACGCAGTATTTGTTAAGAGTCCCTCTGACTGTGATGCATTTGTCTTTGCAGAATGTGAACATTCATCGAACCACTGAAGACGCCTTGCAGACCGTCCCCGCTCACCTCTAACAGCCTCTTATGACTGGACCTCCTCTTTCACTATTTTCGAAGGACTCGTTTGTGCGTTCTTCTCCAGCCTGCTCATCCTCCTCACTATGGTGACTGTCTGGGTGATGTGCCTCCTTCTCCTCTTCCTCCTGCACTACTCCTGCCACACTTCGCCTTGTGTTCCTCATTTGGAAGAAACTAGAAGGAAACAACCCGCAGACTTGTTCTGTTGGGGGTTTTTAGAGATGACCCACGCTGCTGGCTCACTTTATTTATCAATCAGACTGTTGTCTTGCACTGGGGGGATCACAACACCTGATTCATGTGTATTTGTTTCTATATTCACTATGGTGTGTTATTTTTGCAACAGTGAACCTAGCACTGAAGCTCGCTGTAAAATTCAAGTATTAGCCATGTAGTGTCATCAGATGATCATGTGACTTTCTGCTACATGTGTGACATCGTAGTGTATCGTGTGATCATTGCTTCATGTGAAGGTGTCTCCTGTGATTATGTGCAATATGAAGTTTATCTCCTTGGAAAAAAGATAATTTAAAGCTTACTATTTAAATAATGAGGGGGGTTTATGAAGTAATGAACAAGCATCTCGTTAAAAAGTTTCTAATTTAGAGGGGAAGGTCGTTCAAAGATTTATACTTAATGGTAAACAAAAAAATCAAGTACATTAAAACTAAATGTTGATCCTTCACACGGATGTTGAGTGAAAAAGAAACACGTCTTAAACACTTTTTGTAGAGAGCATATCTAAACACAGAGGATCGGAAACTTCAATGTGAAACGATAGCTCAGAGCTGAACTGTATGTCCTTTCACTTCAACTGTAATAAAGATGTGTTATTTTTATAAACCAAACCCGTCTTTCAGTTTTCTGTGCTGTTGTAGGTGCATTCATCAGCTACACATCTCAGTTTAGAAGCGCTGATTTGTGTATTTATAAATATACATGATGCTGTATTGTTTAAATGTCCTTATTGTCAGCATGAATGTGGCACCAGCTAGTCCTGGATTATTTTGGTTTATTTTTTAAATGCCAACTAGCAGAAGCTGAGCAGTCAGATAACCATAAACTGTAAGGTTCTAACTTCAACACTGTCTGCATCTAATGACATTTACGTTTTTCTTTTAAATGCCAGTGTTATTTTTGGAGTGTAAACCAAAGACTAGCTGTGAATGTGACTAAATCAGCTCCCACACGGTCATAGTATGAGGGTATTACTTCCCTTCTCTCACAGAAATAACACCTTAACTGTTAAAGTGCTGACTAAAATCAACTTCCTGTGAAGTAAACCAGATCCGTTTATAGAGCAGCCTCAACAGCAGCAGCACAGATGTCCACTGTAAGTAAGACAGAGCAGCTGTGAGAAATATAAGAACACTAAAGGGTATAAAACAACAGAGTTTTATTAACTTTTGTTCTTTTCTACATGGGATTCTGTGGCTTTCTTACAGACAGCTTTTGCTCCATGTTCCTGATTAAATCCAAAACAGACTTATTTTCTGAAATATGGTTTGAACAGAGAAATTTTTTAACAAATTTGAAACATGTGACAGGACATACAAACTCACACACAGAAAAATACATACACCCGGCCATTTGGTTTGCATCAACACAATCTCAATGCCCCTGTACTCATGACTATCAACATGATCAATACTTTAAGGACCCGCCTTTGTTTGGGGATTTGTTCTAAGTGGCTGAAAATGAAACTGGTATATTTTTCATTATATACAGTCATTGATATTCATGAGTACAGGGAAATACTCGAGATGGGTGCAAATGATATCATCAGATTGGTCATGTTCCTCTTATCTTCTCTCTGATTGGCTGCTCACTTCTCTAGTCCTCCTTTCCTGTGCTGACTGGCCCTCGGAGCTGTTTCCTTGTTACTGCGGGATCGTGAACAGCCCAGTCCTCAGAACTGTGGAAAGAAGTCACATTACTTTCAATTTTCCTGTGCGTCAATTCTCCAGCTGTTCTAGTCACTAACACAGGCAGCTGAAAGTTTTCTTACATTCTTCAGGAATTCCTCTGCAACGATACGGGCCCTTGCATTGACGGACAGTTTCATCTCGCTGATTTCCTTGTCAATCTCCTCCATGAAGTGGATCACAAAGTCCACTAGCTTGTGTTTGTACATCTGCTCCGTGTGGAAGTTGGTAATCAAGAAGCTAATGTCGTACCCCTGACAGAACAAGGCAAGAGAGGAAATAGAAACAAGTTAGGGGGCGATCAACAAACTCCAAAAACATCACTTGTGTAGGTTTGTTGATGAGAAACAGGGATGTGCACACTTAAGAACCGTACACCGGTGAACAAAAACCACTACATTTGTGTACAATGATAACTATGACATTTGGCATCACTAAAGTTGAGAGTGGTCCTCATTTTTTATTTGATCTGTCAGCAGCTTTTTTTTTAACACCATTAAAAATATTTACCTCTACTGGTTTCCTCCTCAGAATGAAAAAGTTCTCTGCCCTCATCATCATAAAACGCATGAACTTGTGGCAAAGGATCTTCTCAATCTCATCAGCCTGTGGGGGCATAGTTTTTGAATGAACATTAGGCTATCCAAAAAAAAAAATATCAACAGACTAAACAATACCCTAAATGTTATAAATGACCTGTTTGACAGCAATGCTGACTCGAACAGAGTTGATAGATCCCTCGATGAGGACCTTCTCCTTGTCATTGCGGCTAATGACAACAGGCTGAAGCAGCAGCTCCTTACTGCTCCTGTAATCACAGCACAATACACCCCTTGGTAAACAGGCCTGCACGGTACACTATAGGTGGGCTCAAGTTGCTGATGTTGCTTTTGTAGTAGGTTTGATCTTTGAGGCCAAGATCCGCTCTTAACACACAGCATCAACCTTTGTCCAAGTGCAATGGTTTCTGGTGAGAATATTGGATTAATCAGATTAAATTTTATTTATACTAATGAGTCTCTTTTCTAATTATATATTGCAATATGATCCTGTTACCTCGATGAAAAGTACTTAAACAGATATTTAACAAAAAAAGGACATTTATTATTTGGCCGGTAGAAAATGTATTCGGCCGGTGTAACACCAATTTTAAAATCTCTGCATCGACTACCTGTGTCTTTAAGAGTAGATTTTAAGGTTCTTTCTCTTTCTTTATGGTCTTGGTCCTTCTTATTTATCTAATTTGCTTTACTGTATGAGCCTAGAAGAGCCCCAAGGTCTTCAGGTGGTGGTCTTTTAATTGTTCCCAAAGTAAAAACTAAATCATCGTTCCAACATTACGGTCCCCATCTGTGGAACAGCCTACCTGCAGACCTGAGAGCGACACCTACTGTTCATATTTTTAAAAGTAAACTCAAGACCTACCTTTTTAGTCTGGCTTTAAGTTGAATTTTGTTTTAATCTTTTAATCTGCATTATGTGATTTTACCCTATTTTAGTTGTAGAGTAACATTTCTGTGTTTTATTACCTCTTTTTTTAATTTACTTTCTTTTATTGTTTGATTTTAAGAATGTTTTATTTATTTAGATTTTAATGCTTTATCACCTTTATTATATTTTATCATGGTTTTATCGTTTAAGTCCTAGATCAAGTGTTTCCTCATTTCTATTAACTCAAGATAGTGTTTCCTCAGTCATCTGTGTCAAGTTGAAGAGTCCTCACCTGGTCTTTTGCATATGTATCTGTGTGTGTGCGTGTTAGTGCTGTATGCGTTGGATGGGGGTTGTAAGGGTGGGTGGGGTTTGGTATTTGTATTTGTATTTATTTTATTTCATTGTTTTTGATATCCCGCGCAAATGGACAGCACTTTGTGCTACATTATATGTATGACAAGTGCTTTAAAAATTAAGTTTGATTGATTGATTGATTTTTTCATCTAGTCAACACCTCTGACTGCACCCGTTTTAGTTTTAGCAACACTGAAAGTCATCTTTTTGAGACTTTGCAGGACTCTGCATAGAACTAGAGAAATTCATATAGAATGACAGGAATTTTTTTCTGTAAGTTGTACTCAAAAGACAGCTGCTAAAGGCCGCTGCAAGTCCCCGCAGGCCAGTTTTGCAGCCTTGCCCATGCTTGTGTCATTTTTTTACTGCAAAGTTTTACCTGTGCAGGTTTGTGCAAGTCCATACATGTGGACTTAAGATGCTCTGCAGACAGCTAAAGAGCCAGAAACCTGGAGAAAGCCCAGCACAGGGACTACTTGTATGGGTGCTTTCTTTAAACACAGAGTCAAACCTACCTGACCTCCACCTCTGGCTTGTTGTGACGCTCCACCACCTGAGAGGAGAAGTTCTCCAGACAGAGAGCTGCCTGCAGAGTGGCCCTCACAGCGTTCAAGTAGGGGCGCAGAGTCGCTGTCTGTGGAAATTGAATACTCTCAGTGTCAGGATGGGTCCAAATGCAGATTAAATCTTTACTGAATTATGTATTTAACATTAAAAGACACAGAGAGAAACTGAGCCACCCAGTCCAGTGAGGCTGACTCAACAGACAGCGTCAGCTCATGAGGTCAGTTTTAACCAGGAACCATTAAGAGCTGCATAGAAGGATACAGTGGCTACACTTTGATACTGCTTAAAAGATACAGTCATTTACACTTATTTCAGACAAGACAACACCGTCCACAGAGAAAAGGGATCTGTAATTTCATGTTAGGGTTTAGTGTTATTTTGCTGGGATAACGTCAGTGGATGGGACGTTTTCAGGTGACCGAGATTGCAGCTCATCAAAACCATTTACATTAATTAATATTAATGTACAGACGGGTTTACCATCGTGTAGAATCAGAGCTTTGAGAAAGGTATCAGTCACAGTTACCAGAAAAAAAAGGGGGCCGGAGAAAAAAAGACTCAGCACAGCTCACTTTAGTTTCTGCAACCGTGTTAATGATGCCCGTCCTCTCATTCCTCTGCTGCAACCGACTATAAAACCGCGTCCACAGGCGATACTGAGCTTAGTAGCTCACCCTATCTCGAATGCAGGCACGATTAGTGGACATAAATGGACAAATACATTAAAAAGAGATACATTAAGAGCAAAAGACTTACCATTTTTACGCTGTAAAAGACGGAAGTTCCTCTGCCACGCCTGGGACTCCTCTTCCGTAAATCCTACATCGCCGAGCACATATAGGATGCGCTGAATTTATTCAAATCCTCGCTTGAACAGACGGGGTTCACAACACTAAAGGGATTCTACGGTTTCCTCTACTTGCACCGCCCGTTTGGAGGTAGTGATACACAAAACAAGCTGATACCAGGAAGCGTCCATTATGCTCTTTGCATAGGAGACAGTACTGTTCAGTCGTCGTAGGTTACGGGACAATTTCATCCACGGGTCGCATATTTTCAGTGACAGCTGTTAAAAAAACTAAACTGTTGCAAAAATATTACATTTAGTGACTGAATTACGGTTTTGGCGGTGGCTGTTTTGAATTTAAACTATGGCAAAATATGGTCTGTCCCGACGACACCATTCTATCTCCAGGGCTATGCATTTAAAAAATCTCTAATCGATAAAGACACTGATTTGTACAGCTCATTCCATACTGGTAATATTTGCGGTTTTGCTTTTGTTTTTTCAAAATAGTCACCATGTTGAAAGTCGGCCATATCTAATTTTACTATCTTTCACACCCCCATCAATTCAAAATGGTTTATACCATCATGGACACCATTCACTGACGGTAATAGCCGTAGTTCTTCAACATTTTTATTATCAAGTCGGTTTCAGGTCTGTGTGTCGTAGCCGTACCAATCTCTTTGGTGTTAAACAACTATGTTCAATTTTGTGTTCAAAGTCGTAAAACCATGGAGGGCTTAATTAGAAAGGTAGGATAATTTGGGTAGCTTGGGCCCAGCGGTCTTGTGTTAATTGAAACAGACCTGCGTGAGTGTGTCGGTGCGTGCGGTGCGTTTATCAGTGTGTTTTGATGCGGTTCTGTAGTACAGAGACACATGCTAAAGGAGGACCAACATCTGGACATCACTACGCGTGGAGCTTGTCTTCTCCTATCACCTCTCCTGTCCACCTTCTTTTATAAAACCCTGCGAGCCTCTGCAGAGCCGAATCATGAGTGAGTTAAAAGACTGCCCCCCACTCAAATACTACGACTTCAAGCCAGTTGAGCATGTAAAGGTGTGCCCCCGCTACACTGCTGTCCTCGGCCGCTCGGAGGACGATGGTATCGGTATCGAGGAGCTGGACACTCTGCAGCTGGAGCTGGAGACGCTCCTGTCCTCTGCCAGCCGCCGCCTCAGAGCCCTGGAGGAGCAGAGACAGGTAGGACTGATTTAGGCCATGTAAACATAGGAGAGAGTGGGGTAAGTTGAGCCAAAGGTTAGGTTGAGCCACCCCCTGTTGGAAATGGTAAAAGAAATTGATCATGTGACCAAATATTAAGGAGATGGGCATCAATTCATGGAGTCTGTGAAGGTTAGAAGCACATGGGTGAAGGGGTTAGACATTTATTTACAAAAAACATTTTTCACTCTTGAAAGTGAATTTAGTCTGTCATAAATTTTATTAGAATTGTGTTCAGACCAAAAAAGATCATTTTAAATTTGTTTTATACATCAATTGTTGTATCTATGAGCTACAACATGAGGTCAGATATCTAGCACCTAAAAGTCCACCATTTTAGCTTAGAGGACTAATAAAGTCATCATAGTAGTTCTGGGGTAAGTTGAGCCAGTGAGAAAGTAAAGGAGTCTGATGAGAGGATCAGAGTTTCAGTTCAGATTGTTGAAATGTGTTACTTTTTCTTTTCAGAAACACAGCTGTGAATGTTCTGAATCACTTAAAGACATTCTCATGTTAAAAGGACTTTTTACAAAACAGCTTTATAGCAGTTATATACAATAATAATAAAAAATATATCTTGTACCAGTTGAATCGCATATAATAGATAAAAATGCACATGAATGTGAAAAAGTGACTGTTATTTAGGGAGAGAGAAGGTGAGGGAGTTGTTGTTTGTCCCCTTCTCCAGTAAGATAAATATCTGCTCCTCTCACTAGCAATTTTTAGAACTCAAGAAGCTTCTTGGATAAGAGGCAAAACGTCTTCTCAATTCTACACAATCCAGTTGCCTGTTTTTGGAGTCTTCAGGATAACCATGACCTGGATGAATGAGAATCTACATGGACAGGGCTGGGGTGGAGAGTGGGGAGTAGTAGGGATACGGCTGAACTTACCCCGCTCCTATGGTCAAATTACCCCATACACGGAGTAAGTTGACCATAGGAGACCACTTTTTTTGTCATGCTATATTATCAAGACAGTTCTGTTTACACTCATTCTGTTGGTTTGCGGGGTGCACAACATCTAGAAATATATATGCAGAAACACTAGTTTGAGACAAAACTATGATTGCCTTGATGTAGTGATCTGAAATATGAAAAACAGCTCATCTTACCCCACTCTCCCCTATGTCTCTGTTTCTATCGCCTCCCTTTTTTGTTCTCCTCCCCTCTGGTTTTATCTGTAACTTCTGTTCTGTGCCGCTTCTAGATCCTCACAGACTGGCAGGACAAGAAGGGAGACAAGCGCTTTCTGAAGATGGGAAAGGACCCAGATCCTGCTGCCTCTTCTCGCCACAAACCAAAGAAGCAGAAATTAGATGGTAAAGGAGGTCATGGGCCAGGTCCAGGTCCTGGTAGACCCAAATCCAAAAATCTGCAGCCTAAAGTTCAAGAATATGAATTTACAGATGATCCTCAAGACATTCCTCGCACCCCTAAAAATGATGCACCCAACAGGTCAGTGACAGTAGTGCTCTATGATATCTTATTGTTTCATGTTGAACTCGTGAACTTATTTTAGAATTATTCTGTTTATTATCAGAGCCTGTAAAAACAAAGAAAACATCATTGCATCATGTTTTTTTTTCTCCAGATTTTGGGCATCGGTCGAGCCATATTGTGCTGACATCACAAATGAAGAGACACGATTGCTAGAAGAGCTTCTGAAACCTCCAGACGATGAAGCAGAGTATTTCAAAGTATGACATAAAGGACTATGTACAAGTTATCATATCATACCTGATAGTGTATTCGTGTAATAAGAAAGTGTATTATGGAGTGTGTTGAGCTTTAATGCTCTATGTGTTGACTGCAGATACCAGCGCTGGGTAAACACTACTCTCAGCGGTGGGCTCAGGAGGATCTGCTGGAGGAGCAGAGGGAGGGAGCACGAGCCAACGACAAGAAGAAAAGCCTGATGGGGGGGCCGCTGTCTGAGCTGGATGCAAAAGGTGGAGGGAGACTGAAGCTTTGACTTGATGTGATAACTTATGTGCTCGTAAGCCCTTAGTTTCAACATGCTAGATGGTATGATAATAAGTTTTCTACTTTTTCTACTCTTCTCCATGCTGACTGCTTTAGACGTGGATTCCCTGTTGAAAAAGTCTGAGTCCCAACATGAGTCCCCAGAAGATGGATGTCCGTTCGGTCCCCTCACCCAGCGTCTGCTCCAAGCCCTTGTAGAGGTCAGTTTGTAATCAATATAATAGGTTATGACAGAGATGTACTATCCAAAATTTTTGCGTTTAAACATTTTGAAGACACTAAAATATGACATTAATTTACAACTTTTTTTCTGGTTTCTTAAAGGAGAACATTATATCCCCCATGGAGGATTCTCCCATACCGGACATCTCAGGGAAGGATGCTAATGATGGAGCAGGAACTTCTCCTCGAAGCCAAGGAAAAGCCTTCAGGTATTAGTGCGACACCTGTTGAATGTGTGAGATCGGACACCGCTGTTGGTTCTGTTTCTGAGATTCAGTCGAAGCATATGTTTGGCCTGTGTTTGACCTGCTTATACAAGACTGCTTCCGTCTTTTGATCACACATCAATTTTAGTCATGGCACCCAAATAACTTGTGTGTTATGTTTGATGATGTTCATGCCCGTATGAGAACCCTGTGAACAGAAGCAGGTATATATCTCTCTCACCTGAACAAAAGACTGTAAATAATGAGATCGATATTTGAAAATCAACTCCTGTGTTGAAGTTGACATCAGCATGGACCCTGATGTATCTAGAAGTCACTTAGACTAAGGGGACACCGCTTTTCTATGTATGGCCACAGTTTTTGTGCTGACTTCAGTTTATCCATATTTTGTGCTCGGTTATTTTAGGTAACACGTTGACGTTCTTGCTTTTCTTTTCCAAATACTTTTAATATTCTATCTTTCCCCTACCCCACACAGTGTTCCTCACACACGCTCTCTGGAGGCAAGGATCAAAGAGGAGCTGGTAGCTCAGGGGCTGCTGGACTCAGAGGAGCGGCCTGGACCCGGAGGAGACTCAGAAGATGAGGTCCTGGCAGAGCTGCAGAAGAGACAGGCTGAGCTCAAAGCTCTGAGTGCTCACAACAGAGCCCGTAAACAAGAGCTGCTCAGGTGAGGACAGATCGAACAGATACGCTGTGCTCTAAAAGAGAGACAGAACTTCAAAGTCTGATACGTGATAATCTGCTGACTTTGATTTTGCTGATGCCTCACAGGTTGGCCAAAGAGGAGATGCGTAAGCAGGAGCTGAGGCAGAGAGTCAGGGTGTCTGACAATGAGGTCATGGAGGGATTTCGACGAATCATGGCAGCTCGGCAAAAGAAACGCACCCCAACCAAGAAGGAGAAGGACCAGGCCTGGAAAGCTCTGAAGGAGAGGGAAAGCATCCTGAAGTTACTTGATGGATAAAAAAATGTTTTTGCTTTATTTCCTTCTTTATTAAAAGACAGGTTGATACAGATTAGGGCAGCTGTGACAGCTGTTACATGGTCGGCTGTAACTGTGAGGATGTGTGATACAGTTTAATGCAACTCTGCATGATTTGAGTAGTGACGTTTTATAGTAGTTTTATGTTGCAGATGCTTATTTGATCAGTAGTTATAAAGACGTATCAGACTTCTCTTCTTTTGTTGATTTGTTGTTCTTTGTCATTTGTATATTTGTTTTTTATTTGTTTACAACAGTAAAGGTAACTCAACAGTACACATAAATTTGTGCTTCAGTGCCAGTCAGTTCAAAGTTTTTCTTTGTGTATAAAATGCTCAGTGCAAAGGCAGTGTGTCTCTGAAGTGTCACTGTATTCTTTTATCAGGTAAATCTCCCTGCAATCATCTTGTTACCAACATCAGACTCAGATGATCCAAGCCCACAGGTTCAAATATAAGAAGGTTTATTGTTAGTAATTTTCAATCACCATTTTAATCCACTGACCAACAGTGTTAGTTCGTGTTAGTTTTTACATGGGCTGATGTGTTACTGCAAGACAGTGTTTAGAATTATGAGTAAAACCTGATTAACATCTTTGCATAAGCAGGTTTTATGACTGATAGTTGAGAGATCACTTTACTTTGTGATCTGTTTAAAGTTATTTACAGTGAATACAGTAATCGTGGAATCACTTCACTCCAAATATCTGACAAAGGAAATGAAAAAGCATAGACACCAGGATCCACAGGTCCATACAAATAATTAGTATAAAAACTACAGTAACACTTGTCAGTAAATCAATCTATTTTTATTGCACTGCACCAGATAACAGCAATATCCATCTCGTGACACTGTAAAGAAAATTATTCCACTGTGAGTGAACACAAAGAAGCAGACAGAAAAAAAACTGTTTTGCAGCAGAAAACCGGACAGAACCAGAATTATCTGTTCCGTCAGTGGATAAAGGAATTGAAATAAGGGAACTAAACACAAATAGATGAACAGACCAGTAGTATATTTTCATATGTAGTTTTTTTGCATTTAAAGGAAACTAACCAAATGAACGTACTTTTATATACATTATTGATCATCTGGTTTATGCTTTAGTAACATGGCTTTCACCAGTTTTCCCAGAAGTGTCTACTTGGACATGATACTGCACATCTACTAAAATTCACATAATCTATCTTTCAGCTGCTTTTAAAAAATAGTTTGAGGTCCTGTAGAGGTACTGGCATTTACTCTCACTTTTAAATCAAGGGTGAGATATTTTAATAGCAGGTATTTCTCATGTGTCAAAAACATCTTCAGTGTGCCTTCCTGTCCTTGCTTAAAATTTTGATACTTTACAGATTTTCCACTAGATGGCAGTACTTCTCTTTTGACCAACTAGCCCTACAGGATTTATACTTAAGTGGGTCTGTGATTGACATTGGATCAGCAGAGAGTGGTGGGCCCTGTCATCGTTGGTGGATATCAGCCTCACTGATCTTAATGTCATTGTAAAACTGGTCAGTCAGTGTGAATCTAACAGTGCACAGCTGTTATGGGGGTCACTCAGTCCATACAACCTCATCAAATACACATAATAATCAACTCATATACAAGATGCTCAACAATGACTGATCTTGTTTAAAATTAAATTTTACAGACTGGATGAGGATTGACAGATCATCTCACTACAAATGACTATACCTTTAAATTATTTTACTTCAATACCTTAAGTAAGGTTTTCAAAAATAATGACATTACGCAGCACCATTGGCGACCACCAACTTAAACAACCAGACTATTTTTAACTTGCCAGGCATACAGGTATTATTTCCCATATAGATCTATAGTAACAGAGTATATACTGCAGAGGAGGAAACCCCTGAGTGCAAAATGACTCAGTTTGCAGCTGGAGCATCTTTTTCAGAAAGACGGCAGACTGGTCTAAAATAGAAGCTCATGTGTCTCTGTGCATAGGCCTAACAATGGCCCAATCATGACGAGAAACCACCTCAGTCAAGCCTGCTGTCCTCCATGCAGATCCACGCGTGAAAGCTTTTAATAACATGCAGACCTATTGAATCGCCCTCACAGGTGAATGAGAGGATGAATAGAAAGCTGTGGCGGCCCCTCGAGGCTGGGCGTATCACACGCTGCTTTTGTTGCATTTGTTGTCATTAGACCTTAACTGAAGGGCAGGTGGGTTTTGTTGATACAATGCTCATACACGCTCAATGATGCTCGTCTGCTGTTTGCACATCCCGTATTGAGTTTTTTTTTTTTTTAAAGGCTGGCCAGACTTCTTTTAAAAATGCAGGTGGTGTGTCCCTGAGGCATCTATAGAGCTCTAACTTCAGCCTTTGCTTTGCATGTTCACGTAACTCCTCTCTCTGTGTGAAATTCAGCTTCACGGTGAGCTTCTTCACTCCTCTCTGTGGTGGCTTGTAAACTTTTATGGTTATTTAAGAGGAAGACTCTCATCTGGAGGGGTTTGAGTAAATAACTTAAAAACATTTGTACACAGGGGTGCCACCAGGGATTTTAGGTACCATGAAAAAGTCTCCCAAACTTCCCTGTTGCAAATTGTATAATATTTTCAGGGGTCCTAAAATTGTTCCAACTTTTCTCTCTCATCCCTCCCTTGACAGAGCTGTGGAAAAAGATGGAGAGAAATTGCATGTCTGAAAATGTCTATATCTCCTCAGGCAATGATTAAAAGACAAACAGAGTATAAATACAGCATTATCATGTGGGCAGGCTGTGTATTATGTATTCACATAAGTACACACACAGACACACACTCATCTACTATCACTCCTCATCTCATCGTCGGGTCTATCGGCTCTTTGTTTTACCAGTTTGTACGAACTATGTCTCTTTCTCCGGGGCTCTCTCCTCTCCTCCTACTCCACCTCCGTCCTTGCGTTCTTGAGCCGGCACTTACAATGAACTGAGCAAGATACACACACACACACAGACACACAGACATACAAACACACACACGGTCCCGCAAAAACACACTTGCAGGGTGAAGGGGTTTACCATAAATCTGCCAGTCTTCCGTCAGCTTTCATGCTTAGTTGAAATGGTGTGTGTGACAGAGACACAGACAGAGGTTGTGACAGCTGTTGAGGCCGGCTGGTCCACTGAGAAGACCCTCTGTCCAGCCAGGCCACGCCTCAGCTCTGCTCCCGCACAGAGAACTATTGTCTTCAGCTCTGCTTCCACCATTATGATGTCATGGTTTGTCTTTCCCCAGAGGACTGCTGTTGTGGTAAAACTTGACAAACCTTTTAGCTCTAAGTCAGAAGCACAAACATTGAGGACTGTATACATAAGAACACTCCTTTACTCACACATTTTCAACCCCCCTTACCTGGATCTGGTTTGAATCTCATTTGCCTCACATTTGCATGGCAGTTGATGCTCCTCTTGTGTCGCCCCTGAAGTCAGCAGCTCATATGCAAACCTGTCTGCCTCGTTCAGCCCTCACCTGCCTGGGCTTTGCCTGTTGTTGGGGTGAAGATAAAGATTGTTGGATCCTCTTTTTAGCCTGACAGGTCTCTAAGGTATTTTGTTCATGATAAGATAAGTTTTCTTTTGGTGTTAAAGGAAACACAACCCTGTGATACCTTGTCAAGAATACTGTTCCTTATAAGGGGATTATTTGTCAAGAGCCTGTTGCAATGTCTTATAACACAGTTGGTCTGGCACTCTGGCCCACAAGAAATTTTTCCATGACTTTTGATGAGTTTCCATGAGATTAATGTTCTGCAGAGAATATTTCTGACTCACTTTTGTCTGTTTCACTCCAAGTTTGTTTGCAGAAATAACTTGCTTCTGCCTGAATAGATTGATTTTGGGAATCATTTGGTCTTTTCATCTTGGGCCAAAGTTTTAGTTATTCCATAAAATATGTCACAATGTGTTTGACAGGAATAGGTATCTCAATTAATGGTTCCTGAAGTTATCTGTGGTATGACTGTGAACCTGAGATTTGTGGTTCAGTATGTAAATGAAGATAAAAACCAAAGGATTAACTGCCCCCTTGAAAGGCTGGTTTCTACTCTGCAATCACCAGGACTGACCCATACTAATGACAATTTAGAATAAAAGGTAATCCCATCACACTCAACTCTGCCTTGCCAGCACTGACATGAGGTTCACAGCTCTGCAGTCCCTTGTTTCATTCAGTCTCGCAGAACCGCTGGTATCTCTCCAAACTCTTGGTTCTTGTTAACTAAGAGAAAGGAGGGTTTGATTTTTAAGCAATAATGCTGGTGGCATTTTGAAGATTTATGAAAAATAAACAACCAGTTCATGAACGCATGGTTTTTATCAGGATTCAGGACCCTGTTTGATGCTGTTTTGTCACAAATTACTCTGAAACACAAATAAACCAACAAGTTATTGATACCAAAGGCAATTTTCAGCTCATGCTTGTTTGAAATTTTATTAGCCCTGAGTTGTTTTTTATAGTCTCAAGTCATGCCAAGTACACTCACAGTCTCAGAAGTTTCCCTTTCTCCCCCCCGCTGCAAAACCAAAGCCTACCAAGAACAACACGCTGCCATTAGTGTTTGACTACCTTGTTGGACTCGCCATAAATATAAGCAAGATAATTGCAAGAGGTTGGTGGATAAGAGTGCAAACATGTTAGAGTGCTGCGTGTCACTGCAGTAATTATGGACAGAAAAGGTCAAAGCTCTTGAGAAATATTCTTCCCTTGGAGATATGACCAGATAGCAGAGGTATGTAGAGAGGGCATATAAGAGGACCAAGTGTTTAAAAAGTGTCTGCCTCCACTTTCTCTGCTCGCCATATTCACGTCACCCATTTTACTCTGACCTCACATCCAGCGTGGAGAGCTCAAATATCAATCACATTCAGTAGCATTTGGACAGAAAGTTCTGGCAAACTTTTAAGTGTCTATAAGTGGGCAGCAAGAGTTGGAAAAGTTTGGAAGTGGCGTTGGAAGTGTATGTTAAGGTAAACAGCACGTTATAACTATTGACTACCACAAATTAAATTACAGAAGCTATTAATATTCAACTCATTCCAATGTCAAGATTTTGATCATTAATTGTCTTTTTTTGTTGCTGATCATGAAGACAAATGATGATGATACCTCGGTTTTCTTAATGATTTAGGTTGTTCAATGTTTTAAATCAGTGTGAGCGGGTAATTCTCACCAAGTGGCAAGTCAGCCAAGTGGCGACAGAAACAGCCCGATTTTACAATTTTCACCTAAAAAAATTCTTATACACTGTTGACTGTTTTGGTTCAATGATACTCTTGTGAAAGTCAAGCTAAGTAATGACGTCTTTGTCCACATGGGGCGCCAAAATAGACCCAAACCAAAAGTCCCTCACAGAAGCTTTAACCATTTTTTAAAAATAATCAGATTTTTTTTTTTATTTTCAGAATTTACATAGAACCATACACCATTAAGCAGTAGTCAGATCTAGGGGAACAATAAGTAATAAGCAGAATTAAAAAAAGGTAAAAAATGTCAAGAAAAGGATAAAACATGAGGAAAAGAAACAAAAAAAGAAAACAAAACAAAAAAAGGGGGTAAACAAAGAAAAACCTCAACAACAACACAACGATGTATCATCAAATAAAGAAGTACATGTCCTAGTACTTATCAAAAAGTATTTTTGATCACCAGTCAGCTCAGTCTGGGAACTCCTAAACCACTGTCTCCCCTCTGTATAGTTTCACTTAGACCTTTAGGCAAGTAATCCAAAAGGGGTCGCCATGTGTCCATAAAGATATCATCATTTCCTTTTAATTTGGCACTTTGCCTTTCCGTCGGAAAAACTTGAAAAATTTCTCTGTACCACTGAGTTACAGTGGGAGGTTTCTCACCAGTCCAATTAAATAGTATAAATTTTCTGGCCAAAAATAAGAGTTTGTTAAGTAATTTTGATCTTCTCACATCCATAACTCTAAACAGGCCTGGATCTTTATATATCTTGTTGTTGAATATTGCTGTCACTTCCTTAGATACACATGACCAGAACTTTGATATTCTTGGACAGCTCCAGAAAAAGTGTATATATGTTCCACTTGTTAACTTACATTTAAGGCACAATGGTGATCTGTTAGGGTCAATTTCCTTCAACCATTTTTAAGCCATAACACAACATGATACACTGTCGATGTCAAGTCGCTGTCAGTCACATTGACTGCTAACTGAATATGATGATAGTGGGTTAACTGGAGTAATGCAACCGGCAGAGACCCATCTGGTAGTTTCAGGACATCAGAGGTCCCCAGTGTTGGCCAATTTGGCTGAACTACCAACTCCTTTCCCAAGATTTATTTAGAGCATTAAGATGATGGGGCAGAAAAAGGACATCACTGAAATCATGGATAATAGCCACAGAGGGGAATAGGAAACACAATGAAAAATACATCTCTCACCACCCACCACTTCTCTGTCATCCTCCCTCTATCCTCTCCCCATCTCTCAGCCGTTTCCTCTGCTCTGTTATTATCATCCAGATCATTATCAGGCTCACTCTCCCCTCACTGCCATGGAGAGGAGGGCCTGCCGCCCACATGGCTTTGGTGAGAGATTTCTAACAGAAGCAGCTCAGGAGCAGGGGGAAGAAAAGCGAAGACAAGAGACCCAATAAAGTCTATCTAAATATAGAGGCAACAAGGCTTTTTCCCCTTGCCCTTATAAAGAGCTGCTGGTGAATCCGGGACTATCCTCCTCACCGGTCAGAGACTTGATCTCTCCCTCTAGGATCAGGAACAGAACTACTGGTGCATGGAAACACACATAGTGCTTTATGAAACAGAGAGGACAGGGAGCTTGGAGAGGTTTTTCTTTACGCAAAAAGGAAAATCATGTTTGGTGGAACATACTAAATTTGGAGAGGTTTGAGGAAACTCCACAAAGACATGTTGGGACATAGAAGAAGGGGTGGAGGATGGAGGGATGGTCTTCTGGTCCAAGGGTTCCAAACAGCAGAGGAGATTAGGAAAGTAGATATAGTTGGATTTAAGGCCAAAAATATCTTGATGGGTAAAATTCAAAAACAACAGAGTCTTAAGCAGCTACCGGGCTAAAGACTCCCCTTTGGGTTCTGTTAATTCCCCACTGCAGTCTCACAAGTATTTCTTTAAAAAAAACAGATCTCTTCTCTATATTTGGCTCTGTGTTGTTCTGATATTATTGCTTATATGACAATCTACATAAAAAGGAAACAGCCAGTGATCACATTCCACTGATATAGAAGAATAGAATAGAATAGAATATTCCTTTATTGATCTCCCATGGGGGAATTTTTTTTGTCACAGCAGCATCACAGACAAAGAGTGCAAAAATGCAGTTATAAAAAAATGTATATAGATTCACTTAGAGCAATTTTTTTGGTTGTTTTATATTTAGTAGAAAACAAGTAAGTGAGTGAAGAAGTAGGTAAACAAATAGATTGAGGAGGAAGAGTATTCAACAAAGGTTATTATAAACCTTCACCCTGTAAATAGAGGCTCCTCAAAAGCCTAATTTTTAAAATATTTTTACTTGTAAATATTATGAAATAATCCTGTGGTACTGTTTTTATACGCAGTCATTTTAAATGTAAAAGCTCTGAGCAGGAGATTACAAAAACTACACTTACCAACCAGTGTGCCCCGGTTTTTTCTGTTAAACAAAGCTTGATGCAAGGCTAGCAGCATTGGTGGTAAGGTTGCAATTAAAAAAATATTCCACTTAAAGCAAGACGATGCCATAACTCAAACAGCAAAAGACATAAATAAAACTTTCCCCTTTTTTGGTTATAGTTATTATTTCCAATCATTCATGTTAAAAATATGGGGGAGTATTTCATGTCTGTTTTTTCTGTTATGAAGGACATACAAGTTAGAATAGTGGGAAGTCTTTCTCTTTTTCACATAGTGCCAGATATGACCCAGTTTAACCTCTCTGCTAGACTGTTTCTTGGCATGGTGTATTGTCTCTATTGGTTGCCAGGCAACCAGACTCTGATATTAAGTCCTTAGGATATCAGGATAAAGTTATAACCAATTATCATTATTCTTTTGCTTAAATGAGACAAAATACCATCAATAATGTTGAGACTTTTTTTCTTTTAACTTTATGAAGAGCCAGAATAGATGTTTTCCAACGTTTTCAGTGGTCATGCACAGCTAGGCCAATCGTTTTCTTTTTGCAGCCTTGTTATAACAGGCTTCGCTCTAAAGAGCAAAACAAAACCCAGGAACAGTTAATAATTCCTTTCAAAGGTGTAATTTTGACCTCCGATTCTCTCATGATGCATCATTTCCCTGCAGAGCATACAGCAGAAAGACTTGAAATGTCAGAGCTGTAGCACTCCTCTGTTCTGAGAGAAAAGGCTGACTCAGTGAAATAATCAGGCTGCAATCAAAAACAAGAAGGTGACCTCCTTACAAGACCCTCCACCTCATGACATATTCACAATCCAACAAATGCGTCATTCAAAGAAGTGACTGATGTGATTTACTCATACATCCTACGCACCGTTGATGCCCGGCAGAAATGTGACACGACTGTTCTCCGCATGGATGTGGTTTGTGATAAACAGCTGCTTACTACCATTGAATAACAACGCCTTTTAACAGGTCAGAGGAGTACACACTCACACAGAGACAGAGATATAATGTTTGTCACGCTCTCTGTGGGCATTTTCACAGCTGTCTTTGTATGCCTGCAGTGACAGCAAAAGTTCAGAAGTCAAAAAGGAGGAAAAAAGTCTAACTGCGTATCACAAATCCTCTGTCACACCTGTTGCGTACTACCCCCCCTGGTGTGTGTGTGTGTTTTCGGCCACACACTGAGACCTTTGAGGACACATGAACACACACAGTGAACAAGCACACACGCACGCACACATACACAAAATGGTTTAACGATAGTTGTCTCAGCTGAGACTGTGGTCCAGAGGCAAGCCCGGAAAACCTGAATCATACCACACAGATACAGACTCACACTCTGAACATCAGCACTTGTTACATAAGAGCTCCTTTCCACGCACGCACGCAGCGCACGCACGCACGCACACAGACACACACAGCTTTACAGAGCACAGTCTGACAGAGTCAATGTCAAACTCTGCATTAAAGAGAAAATGGGTATAATTTGTGCATGAACACAAAGCTGAAGTGGATCGATCTATGTTTGTGTGTGTGCGTGTGTGTGTGTTGTATTTGTATGTATGTGTGTGTGTGTTTATGTTTGACTGTGTCAGTTTGTGGTCGTGAAAGCCCCACTGAGAGAGGAAGCTCAGCTGTCAGTAGTTGTCAGGCACTGGGCCTCCCTCTGTTGCTCTCTCTCTTTCTTCCCTGCTCCTGTTGTAGTCGACCTCACCCCCCCAACCTCCTTTGGTTTTCTCCCTTCCTTCTCTTTTCTGCCCCCCAACAGCAACTGGCCGGGTTTGAGGTCGAGGTGGAGGCACTCGTTTGTAGATGCATGTTGGCTAGAGATAAGGGAGATGTGGCCCAGGACCAACAAACCTCCCTTGGGGCCGCACATATAATACACAAACAAACAAACAAACACATACCCACTGGTGTTTAAACACACAGCAAAGAAGTGTCTAGAACATGCTGGTCAGAGGTCAAAGCGTGTATTTACTGGTATGTAGCACTGATATTCTAAACTCTGACCCTGTCTTACCCCTAGATTTAACACTTTCGGTTTCCCCTCTTGCCTTCTTACACTCTGCAGAGCTCTCTCTCACACTGTGCGAGGTGTTAAACATGCTACACTAGCTGCTCATGTGCAGGATAACACAGAGCAAACACCCTCTCTCTGCAGAGCTGGTTCCACGTTTGTGCAGGCGAAGAGATTTCTGAGTGTGTTTGCCAGCTTTGCCAGACTGTTTTGGCGAGGTGTGAAATGAAGAGGAGAGGATGTGAGGTTGAAAACATCTGTAGCGCCTCATTTGGCTGTGGGGTTACGTGGGGGGTGGGTTAGGGTCTGCATAGAGGGAGCATTTGGGGGTGTCAGAGCTACGATTCCAGTATAGCTCTGATGGAGCTCCCCAGGCTCTACTTGGGTGAGACAAACTCAGATCACATTACAGAGCGAGAGACTTGGATGATCAGAGTGAAAGCAATGACAACACACTCATTAATTCAGAAACAGGCACACAGACTCAAACAGTTCAATATCAGCATGCCCACAGACGCCTAATAATAGAGACACACTTCATCATGTCACTTGACTCAGAATGCAGTCTGCTCCAACTGCTGGTGTATCTATGCTTTTCTGTCTAACCAGCTAATTACACCCTCTTCACTCCCATTAACTTTGATAAACTCCACCCCAGTATCAGCTCTGGATGGGACCGGCTCATGGAGGTGTGAGAATGACATTTAGGGCCTGCAGAGCGGTCGATAGGATACAGGCCTGCTGTCAGATAAGCACTTGTTTCTGCTAGAGCTCTGAAAACTCACAGTCTAAGCCAGAAATATCCCTTCTCTATCACCTCAACATGACTCCAGTATTTAACTCTTCGGCTTCTAAAATATACCAAAGTCCTGCCCCTTCAAAGTCATCATCAGCTAGAGTATTTTAAAGAGACTTATCCACAAAAACAAAAAATGAACCTTTATTGTTGTCAGAAATGTAACTCAGAGGAAGTAAGATGCTCCCTCCTTATCTTTCACTCAGAGGTTCCCAAACTTTAGTTTGACGTCTTTCAAGGTATGACCAGTATCTTAACCTTCCTCCTGTGTTAGCTTGTACTACGCACCCACCATGTTAAGGGTCGGTTTTGACCCGTGTCTTAAATCAGCTGTAAATTACACTAAAAACAATTCTCTATCATCCAATTTGGTTCTCATCTCTAGGTTACTTCTAGGTTTCATTATCCATGAAAATATTGATTATAATAGTTTTTGTCGTGGTCCTCTGGGCCTTTCTTTGTCAGTATACCCCCCATATAGACATCTACACTGAATTGATCTCACATGTCTGGACATGCCCGACGTTTTTTTTGCAGGGGAAAAACATGGAAAAATGAATATTTACTAAATCTCCCATGATTGGAAGAGGATCTGACTGTCAGTGTGGTGCCTGACAGTGCACTTATGATTTCAATTATTGCTCTAATTATTAGATATTGATCTAACCGGGTCAACAGCGACCCTAAAAGAACAAGTTCCATAATCCTAATAAGAGCATTTTATAATTTAGTCAATTAAATTTTTTTTTTTTTGTTGAAATAGAGATTCCTGACAAAGTCAAAAAGTCTTGATGCAAAAAAGCTAATTTAATTGGTTCTTTTAAGCATTTAAAATCAAAAACGGGTCTGTGCAGACCCTAACACAGGAGAAGGGTTAAGTTGGCTCATAGTTGTTCAGTGTTTTTTATGGTTGTTGTTGTTTTTGTCTATTGATTTTTTAAAAATGTTTTCTTCTCTCTTAAGTTTTCTAAAAATTTGGTTTTCTGATTGATTAATTTACACATGAGTATATTTATATCAAAAAAGAAAAAAACAAAAACAAAAGGTGATTGTTTACTATGACCACTTGTAAAATGAACCATTCAAAAGGCTGTTGAATTATTGGCAAAGTGGATGTGAGGAAATAAAAAACAAATAAATAAAAATAAAAGTTGGCTCAAAATATCTGATGTCTGACTCCTGAATTTTAAATAAATCTTTACTTCTTTTTCTGTTGCAGCACATTTTGGCTCTTCTCTTTATCCATTAGCACTGCCTACAGTGACTGCTGTCTAGAACAAGCCGACTCCATGATAAAGATTTGGGAAGTAATTTATCTTAAAGACCGACGGTGTTTCTTTTTTGATCAACAGTCCACATCCCTGACCCAGGCCCTAGTTCTTTCTGCTGTCAAAAACAGCCAGTCACCGGGACAAACAGACATGTTTATGAGAGAAGGGAAGTATGTTGTTTTAGGAGTCTGCTATGTCCCCAGTCTTACAGGCTCATCCAGTTGACTTCAGTGCTTTGAAAGATGAGGTTGCTCAGCTTGTTCCAGGATTGCAAACCTTGATCTTTGCCAAGTTTTGGAGCATTTGTTGAATAAAGATGTTACTGTTAGGATCCTGTCTTATATTTCTCCAATTCTTCTTCCTCTTACACTTTTGTTTAATGGCTAACACAACATGTAAGCAACATCTTCTTTAGCCTTAAGTCTTCTGTTACAGTATCATAGACTGGGATCATGTCTAATGACTCAGACATACCAACAGAAATCATTTATTGTTGACATCATCTGCTGTTGCTATGTGCTCTCACTTGATCTTAAATAGACTATATCTTTACTATGTAGCTTGAGAGTAATATGTTATTCATGGTCAAAGTTAAAGCTTGAGTTGATGACTGTGGAGACACCAAACAAAATTTAGGAGTTGTTGAAAGTGCATTGTATCCCAGGTAACGGCCCCTGACAACCATTGTCTGCCAGTCTCTTGGTAACTTTATCATGTTAGTAAATTCTTTTCATGCACAACAGTGGGCAGGGTGCATGCACTCAGACAGCTATAGAAAGGTTATTTCAACAATTAAAGCCCCTTCATAAACCAGTCACAAGTATTATAGACTGTTGAACACAAACTTTATCCACTGGTTGATCATTCTGCATGTTTTACTGCATTCCCCTTTGGCTTCATACCGTCTGTCTCAGCTTCTTGTCAAAACCTGACTCTCTCCAGAGCAGACCGTGTTATCTGAATGGATTATTGGGATGAGAGGAGGCCACGAGAAAGAGCATGTGATAGGCGTCTGGGGTCTGGTCAGAGTCTGGGTAAATATAGCTTGTATCTTAGGTCTATCTGACACTTCTTCAATACCACAGATAGAGCCATGTGGGGCTGGAAACTGACATGTCACATAGGCTCAGGAGGATTGACGGGTCAGTAGAGTCCGAGATGGTTGATTTTGGTTTATTGGGCCATTTAATGAGGGAGTTTTTTCATGATCAACTCCCACTGCAAAGAACGAGCTTGAAAATATATGTTTCACAATTCTTGAGTGAGAATAAGCATTTTATGCGATTTGTACAGGTTGAACTTGATCATAATTTAGATAACACTGTCTGTTGTCTGCACAAACTGTCTAAGGGTAGCTTCAGGCTGCAATGCATGACACACAACTAAAACTTGAAAGGGATAAGAAGGTATGTTTACATCAGGGCAATTCAGGGCAACTCAGAGTTGTCCTACAAGACGTTAATGTGGCCTAGGGAATGAAAACAAGAGGTGTCTTTGCCAGGTTGGGATTAGAGTTGAGCTGAGGTCTGATAAGAAGGGACTGTTTTTAAGATAGTTCTGAGGAATCCCTTGACATCACAGTTGCACCGTGGAGCGAGAAGCGTGCAGGGAGTGAGATTTGACTGAGCTCACTTTGTATGTGCATGTGAAAAAGAGGCTAAGAGAGAGAGAGAGAGAGAGAGAGAGAGAGAGAGAGAGAGAGAGAGAGAGAGAGAGAGGCCTAATGGTGACTCAGCATAACAAGGTCTGCTGGGCCTGTGTGACCTCGTTCATCAAGCTGACACCGGGCTCTGTTTTTGCTCCTCTCTGGTGTGACTCACAAGAACAAGAACATGAAATGGAGGTAAGGATGAGAGATAGAAGAAGAAGACAGAAACCTTGGCATGAGTGGAGGAACAGGACCATGAGCCCTGAAACTGGAATGACAAGAAGGGATGTCTGTGAAAGAAAAAAAAAAAAAGACATGAGAGGCAGAGGAGATTGAGAGAATGAATGTGTGAGTGTGATCACGAGCAGAGAACAGGGAGGTGAGATAGTGAAAGATAAACAGTGACAGAGTGATGAGACAAGAGGGGGGGACCAGAGCTGCTGCGCTTCAGCAACAACCAGTAAACACAGCAACAGCAAGGACATCAGTTCTGTTGAGCACAGGCATGTTTAAATATCTGTGACATGAATCAGCTGTAAAGACTGCAGCTTGTCTTTGGTGATCTTGCCTTTTACAGCGTGTCCTAACACAGGAGTATGGCTTCCATCAAACTTTTCTATACTCACTTTAACGACATGTTTTGCTTCCAGACAAATCCTGGACACAAACATACCCTGCTGTCATCACTAAAAAACGAAAACTCTAATATTTTTTCCCACCCATGCACTCTGTCTGGGTCAGGAAAAAGGAGCATTTCACCATTTATAGACTTCATAGAGACTTTGTGGCTGTCTCTTAACCTGTTAAGGTCCTTAAACCTTTCAAATTAAAGTGTTGGTAGAATTTTAAAAACACATGTTCAAGGTTTTGAAAGTGTAGTCACTTAACATTCATGGACAAACTAACTCAGGAAAGACACAGGAACAAAATAAAGTTTTAAACAGGAAAAAAAGTGTTGGTTTTCATATGATTAAGCTCAGGATTTCATGAATGACGAAGGAAATAGTAGCGACCCAGACAAGCACCTGAAAACTATCTGTTAAACTCAAGATCACATTTTGGATCATTACTAGGTGGATAAGTAACATCCTGGCTGAGAACAAAAAGATAATTGATGTGTTAATGTTTTCCCACAGTCTTCCCTGCATTGTGGAGTGGGGCCTTAGAGGTTTTAAGAACTGACACATCTTCAAAAGAAGCTGATGTAAGCACAAACATGTAGAGACGCAGAACTAGCCGAGCTTGTTTAGCAGAGTGAGAAAAACTGTTACTGGCCGCCCTGGTTTAAGGGGCTTCAAATCCACTTTCTGACAGACTCCAAGTTTTCTCTCTGCCTGATAGCGAGCATGGTGGCCTGAGGGAACACCCTGCTCCCCTGGCAGGTGGTGGTGTTACTGCTTGATAAAGTCTAGGCCCCCCTCGTGTTCAGGATCTAACAGCACACTCAGCTTTGATAACAGGCACATACATATATAACTGAACTCTCTGACCCAACAGTATCATCATAGCCATGCTGCATCAAACACACAGTATATACACATCATTTATTGAGTCTCTGCAGCTTTGTGCTTCATGTTCTAAATAATGAAAAAAAGGAGATATCTGTAATTACAAAGTCTTTATTTTATTTTGTTGTTTTTTTTGTTTCTACTAATGTATGGCTTCTTTGAAGGGACTGTAAAAGATATTTTATTGAAAGACAAAAAAATAAAACTAAAAAAAAAACAAAAAACAGTAGAATTTCTGATCCAACCAGTCAAGGATCTACTGAAGTTGCCTCGCACCAAATCCAGTGATATGGCAACAGGACAACAACAAAATGAGTACGACACCTGTGAGTCCGTAGCAACGCCTCTGCAGGATAAATGACATCAGTTGCACAACTTAAGTCATAGTAACAAAAAAAAGCTATCTTAATTTAGTACCTTTTATAAATACCTACATATAAATATTGTAAATTTTACTTGATGACATAAAACATTTGCTGTACATGAATGTCCATTTGGGAACAACAGTTTGTGAAAATCTCAGTGAGGAAAGAGAAGAAAAATACACCGGTGTTTGAGCTCAGTGTCAGCTACCTTTCATTATTGATAAACAGCACTCCTGGTCTCCATGGCCCACATACTGCATGTGATTATCTACATCCATTTGAAATCGAGACCCGAGTACGCCAGATAACAGTCACCGACAGCTGATAGGCGAGTTACATCAGGCTCTCTGCGCTTGGCTGTGGTTAGGAGAGTGCTGTGAATACAGGAGAGTCTACAAGTTTGTTTTTATTAAGGCCTCTTTAATTAAAAACTATTTATTCAAAAAATATGTAGTCCTGACACCGCGGTCTCATGTCCTTGAGGTTTAATCTTTCGTTGTCCTCCAGTGCAGACCTGAACACCGGTGGTTTGTTCATGCTGAATGCTCTACCTCAGTGCAGAGCAGCAGGATGAGACCACAGAGAGGTCGAGAGGCTCACTTTTCCCAAAATCGCCAACCCTGCACCCCTCGATCTCTATCTGTCCCCCAGTGTCCTTAAGCAGCAGTCTCTTCAAACCCCAAATCTGAAGGCAAGGGGAGTTACATCTCATGTGCTCCTCTCAGGTTGACAATATGTACCTTGGACATGACTTCCACTGATTGAGCCAACAACATGACGACATTGATAATAATGGTACTCAAACAAACATCGACAATGACATTAATACAATAGTAAAGGACAATAGCAAGAATAAAAATAACGATAATAAAAAATGAAGTGTCAGCTTCTGGAAGCCCTTGGAAGCGACCACATACTCTATGCTGCTTAGCTTCCCCACCTTGACAGTCCTCCGACCCCTCCCACCCTTTTAACCCTATCACCAATGAGCAGATAGCTCGTCCAGATCGTATAGTGCAATAGTCCCACCCTTCTTCCTAAAATCCCCTGCTGAATGGAGCTGGGTGTCCCTGTAGGGTGTTTGCCATCCTCTGTCCAAAAGGTCCACAACCACCACTGCCGCCCTCCTCCTCCTTGTGTCGAACCCCCCGTCTTTGTCTTCTTTCTGAGCTCACTGCATGCGGTCTGGCTGGATGTGCTGCTGTGGGGCGTAGTGCAGGAAGGCTTGGCCCGGTCCGGTGGCGGAGGAGAGGCTGGGGTGGACAGTGGCTGGAGCCGTGGCGGCAGAGGCTTGGCCGGCGGTGGCTGTGGGGCTGGTGGCGTAGCTGTAGCCCAGGTAGCTGGCCGGGGAGGCGGCGTACGGGTACTGATGCTCAAAGGCTGCCTGGGCGTACTGAGCGTAGGCTGTGCTGTAGTCCAGGTAGGGGCTGGTGCTGACGGAGGTGGAAACCTGAGTGGGCAGCACCAGGCTAGGCTGCACAAAAGCTTGTGGGAAGACGTACTGTTGGGCCATCCTGCGCACAGACACAAAGACCAAAGGGGAGGGCGGTTATTACAGAGCAAAGAAATCCAAGAGTCTGGCTTCAGTTGTTTACATTACTCTCAGAGGACGAGCCTGCTGGGATTATAAACCGTTTGTAGGTGTTCTTAGCTGAAGAGAGCACTTACATGGATACCCACTGTTATTAAAAGAGAAAACAGACAAGAGTCAAAGCAGGTTAGGAGGTAAAGGTGACTCAACTCTCTGTCTGTTTCGGTTAGTCAAACTGACCAAACCTGTTAGGTAGGGCCTCATAAGGTAGATGGGCGGGGAGGAGCTGGGGGGGTGAGGGGGGTTGAAAGATAGAGTCAGCCGTTACTGGCAGGTATTCAAGCCCAGGCATCGGCAGAGTGTTTTAACAGCTGCTGCTCTTCACTCGTTACACACACACACACACACACACACACACACACACACACGCACACACACACACGGACAATAAGGGGAAGTGCATGAAGGCTGTGCAGAAGTTGCAGTCTGCTACTTCTCACTTGGTGTGTAAATCTCTTGCAGACTGTCGGCGGTGATGATGCTAGTTGGGGGAGTTAATGGTGGCAAGGGAGCTCATCAGGGCTGGGTGCTGGGCTCTGCCAGGACTCAGGAGGCCGGCACTCAGATGTAGCTGATTAGAGCTGTTAAAATCTGGGGACTGCACTGTCTCTCCTCTTTTTCTGCCTTTGCTTTGCCACTTTATCCACAAGGGTAAGAAAAAGGGGAGGGGGGGAGGCTATGGCAGTCTATTTTCAGCCAGTTTCTTGGTGTGTCCCTGCTGGGTATGTTGTCTACAGGGAGGAATGGCTGTGGCAGAGAGGAAAAGACCCCTTCCTTCTACTAAAGGGTGATGTAACCAACTCCAGTTTTAAGGGAAAACATCCACATCCACACCCTGTGACAAAGACAATAAAGTCAAAATAAATGTCACTGTGATGGAAGCTCTACAGCTGCATCTCAATACTCACACAAATCCTCTTTTCCTGTTATTAAATTTCATTTTTAACTTTTTTTCTTCCACAGAGGAAGAAAATGTTCAGTAATGAGTAGCAGCCATGACATCAACACAGCAAAGGATGGAAGCATGCATGGATAGAGATGTCATCACGCTCTCTAACACACACACACACACACACACACACCCTCTCATATCCACCCCCTGTCCCCTCCCTTCCTCACACATCCACTCATTCACCCACCAACACACCAGTAACCACTGCAAACCCCAAACCATGCCATAATAGGGAAAGAGTCACACTGCAATCAGCATAACCCCTTCAGCTCATATCACTCAAAAGGGAAAAGATAAAAAAAGGCACTCCAATCCATCACAGCACACCGCACTGCACTCTCAAGCCATCATCGGCACCTTGGAGAGAGGCTGGTTGAGGGAGGGAGGAAAGGGGGTGTTGTTGGGCACGTATGTCTGTCACACCCCTCCTCTGGACTAGTCCTGAACTGTGGACATCTTCTGATCCCGGTCAGCTGGCAGCACAGAGCAACCACAGCAGAAGGTTGGGTATGAGGCAGTGATTATTTTTCAACAACATTAAAATGATCCTGTTGTATAATAAAAGGCAGTTGAAGACTTGTGAAATCTTTAAGTGTTGCTTCAAATCCTGCTAATTAAAAAATGTTAAATAAACTCCCACTTACAGTACACTATGACAAAGCTAATGTCAGCTTTAGCTAAGAAAACTGCAGATTAAAAAATTCATTTTACCACAGGAGTACAATTTTACATCGAAGTGAGACACATCTGTGGAGTGGAGAGAGGGAAAAACAGCGATAGCCATAAAACCAGACGACAGCGGCGTGCAACGAGGAAGCGTAAGCAAATGAATGTTACCCCTACCCACGGGCATAATCTACACTCTGCCCTTACAGTGCTATTGAGCCACTCACAAAAGGGGCATTCAGTTTCACACACAGCTTTCAAACATGACCATACATTAATGCTGAGGGGCATATGTGCTCTCACTCGCATCATGTATAATGAGCCTGCCCCCTCCTCAGCCTTGGCAGCGTGTTACCTCGGGCAGTTCACAGTAATCTGGGCTTAAAATCAAGTGACCTTCTGTAGGTAAAGTGGAACAGGAAATAATTTCAAATAAAAAGGCTGGAGGGAGAAAAAGATAAACCACAGAGGTCTATCTTTGCTGTGTGTAGAGATGGAGATGTTCGCTTGAGTTGCAGCCTTTCTTTGGGGGTTTAAAAAAAGAGGGAGATGAGGACCAGGGGAGGCTAGAGACAGTATCCAGCTCCCAGGGGCCACAGAGATGCCAAGTGGATTGTGGGACAGCGGCAAGGGAATGTGGATGACGGCCAGAAGATCATAGGTCAGCTGGTTTTGTGCTGACGGCCAGTCTGTGTGTGTTTGACATAGTGCCACTCTGCGGATGGCAGGCCCAGACCAGAGAGAGACATGCTCAGAAGAAAAAAAAAGATTTGATGCATACCTACACAACAAAACAGGACAGAGTGATCACCGACATGACAGCCACTTAATGAGCTCATGTGAAAAAAAACCATGGCGATATCACACTGAGCGGCTAAATTTTTCTACACGATAACACAAATGACCTTCAGCACATGACTCACAACAACACAACGTGTGAAAACAGATGGGTCCGGACTGAGTGGGGGGAATTAAACGACACCTCACAATAACTTGTGAGAGGGCTTGATATTCGTCCCTTTCTTCTTTGTTAGAGAGGATTGTGAGGAGTCTTTGATAGCAGGAGGGAGAGGGTGTTTTGTTTGGCACCTGTAGAGGTGTGTTTCCTTGGGAGCACAGAGCCTCATTAAGCATTAGGACCAGAATACACCCAGGTACCCTCCCCCCTCAATCTCCTCTACAACCCCCCCCTTTTGTCTCAGAGAGGTGTCAGTTTTCATCGCCTCTATCTGACACGCTGGTAGAGGCACCCCTTTAATGAAAGATCTTTAAGTGGGAACCGGTTATAAAAGCAATAAATTTGGGGTATGACGTGGGAAAGCCCAGGGAAGTGGACCGAGTGAAGGGGTGATGTATGAGGGGAAATGAATCTGCAAGCTCATTGAAAACTCCCCCCTCCTCATCAAAACATTGTTCTGGCCTCAGTGACCCCCTCTGGCCTTTACAGCATCTGCTGACAACGGCTTTACCCACAGACTCTGCGGTAAGCCATAGCCAGAGCACCACAGCTACATGCTACACCCCAGCACTGCTCAAAATCCTACTTCAGACCCCATCCTCACACCATATGTTGTCGAGGGGTCTGGAGGGGGAGAGGAGGGGCTGAAAGAAAAGCCACTTGTGTGCTCTGCATCTTAGGGAGGCCAGCGTCTGTCACCCAGCATACAGAGGAAACTCAGAGGCAGGCAGACAGGTGCTCCATGGGCCTCAGTACGTCTCTGGGGTGGTGGTCATGGGAGATTAGGGGGTGTATGAAGCTGTAATATGAGCCAGCACCTGTCGGGCAAAAGCCTTAGAGCGAGACTGTGCTCCACATTTTGGACCCTCAGGGCTTCTGTGCCATCCATGCTCACTGTTGTAGAAGGAGCACAGACCAAGAAGGGACTTTCCAGTGTCCTCTTCAAGGTTCGAACATGATGAGACATGTCCCGAGTGGACCCTGTGTTTCTCATCAGACCCACTGAGATCTTACTGGGTAATAAAGCTGATATATAAATCCTGTAGCATCTTGTAAGTGTTTCTTATTTTACTCATGTCCCTGTGGACGGTCCAGGGATTTCCGAGAAACACTATATACACTGAAATACTCTGAGATCTAAAACTGCGTTGAAGACAGCTGAGAGTAGTTCACTGAACACTGCTCTGCCAGTTTTTTCAAGATTTGATGACTTAACATTCAAACAGATACACTTTAAGTTTAGACAAATGATGATAAGAAAATTTGTTGTTAATTAAGTTTAATAAAAATGTACGGTAAACCAATAAGGGTCTTATTTTGCAGAGATATTTCGCTGTTAGTGAGTATGTAAGTGTGTAATCACTGATTGTTAAAAATGTGTAATTACTCTACTGGACTGGTCCAAGGTATCCGTGTTTAAAGCCTGAATGGGGGTTAGGGATGATCTAGCAGAGCAGTGGGGGGTGAGGAGAGTCATTACTGCAGAGAAGCACTCATTAGCTGCTCGGTAGATCATGGCTCCAAGACGCTGTCCAGGCTGTTTCTACAACACGACCACTTCTAGGAAGCTTTCTCAGTGACAGAGCCCACTCATGCAGGTAAACAAGAGGAGAGGCTCCTGACAGAGGGCAAAAAAAGTGAGTCACGCGATCACCTCTGGAATGCTCTTCTATTACCACAGATACGTGAACCATCTCCCAGCCCTGCAGAACTCAGATATGTTAATAGACTACTCCTGGAGTTGCACGTGGACACAGAAACTGACACGTTCATTCCAGAGGCCTCAGCTGTCAAAGGAATAGTAGCCTGGTGGCATCCCAAAGAAAGAAACACAAGTGAATACAACAAGCGCCCACTCCCGCTCACTTACCCATACTGCCTCTGGATGAGTGCTGGGTGAATGGGCTGCACTCCGATGGATATGCCTGGAAGATAGGAGGCCGGCTGTCAGACGCACACATTAGCATTTACAGAGGAGGACCAGAGAACAATACACAGAGAGCAGGGAGAGACAGAGAGGGGGTCTGTTTCAGACCGACCGTGGATGGAACAACAAATATAAATGCACAATATGACACTTAATTACATGTATGATTTAAGGAGCTGAGTGTTGGTGTTTCTCAAATGAAATCTGGAAAATGCTGTAGGTATGTGCTGTCATAAACTAAACTAAGCTTGTAAAAGTTACTGAATTACAGTCAACTTTGTCCTTTAATCTATAAGATGACAGAACAGTACTACTTATAACTAAACCACAGGATATCTCTGCTCATCAAACAGGTATTTAATGATTTCAGCTTTGCTCCGCAATGTCTTCACTAAGCTCCAAATCAAAGCGCCGTCACTCTGAATTACGGTCTTAGATGTTTTTTTATTATGTGTGGTTTTACTTCATGGGTCTGTGGCCTAAGGTTTTCTCTTCTAAATCCTTTTTTTCCCAGGGGGTATGGATAGTAGTGTGTTATTTTGAAGCTTTTTGAATAATGCCGCTGAAAATTAAACAAATCTCACCTGTTTGTATACTGCGGGGTTTAGCACCCAGGTAGGCCAGGTTCACATTGGCTTTCCTTCCATCTATTATGGGGTTTGGATCCTTGCAGGCTCTCTCTGCTGCTCCTCGGTCTGTCATGGTAACCTGGTGACAAAGTCAGACTCATAAACAAGGACTGTAATAAATGAAACAATGATCTCATGTAACAAACAAATCGCTAAGGCATGGCATCCCCAACTGGTTACACATTAACTATCCGGGGAAATCAAAAACACTTGAAACACATAAGACGGGACTTGGTCTCATCATAAAATCCCCCCTACAGGCTTTCCACTGTTAAGACTCAGTGTCTCTGAATAAGAAGGAAAACTCCTAACAAAGCACAATGATAAGCTTTGAAAACTGCCCACAACAGCAGCAGCAGCCAGCCTCTTGACTGCCACTCAGCTCCGGCTAGTGCTGAAATATGGATCTGGGAAGAGCAACAAGGAGCTTATCCAATTAGGGACGAAATATTAAGGAGATTGGTATTAGTCCACCCCTCCTCTCTCCCTCCTGGCATTAGAAGAGCCCTTCTGTTTTGATTGCCACATTCTGCCAACTCAGAGGGTTCAGCCACCCCAGTGTGTGGACCGAGCGCTGAATGTAGGCCATGGCTTGCATTGTTGAAGAGGACGTTTTTAAAAGCAGTGTGCCTCTCCATAGTGGAAGGATCCGGAACAAAGCCCACTCCAGGGTCTGTGTTGTGAACACACAGGAAGGAACGAGACTGTGTTTACACTGGAAAGAGACTTGCTGTGGGGGGTTCTACTAATCCACCTCTGAAGTGTGTTTAGAAAAAAGGTACGCTCAGCTTTGGGGCACCTCCCATCCCTCCTGCTGCCAGCTACCTCTCCAACTGGAACACGCAGAAAACAGAATTATCAGGTTGCTTCATGTTGCACAAAAAAAGTGTGTCTTTTTTCCTGGGCAGCACCCACATCGGCCTGAGCCAGTTTAACCTGAAACACAAGACTCAATAAGCAGCCGTTTGATTCCAGCTCGACTCACAGGACCTCTTTCCTCAGTGTTAAGGAGCTGATGTGTAAACACAGAAAGCAATTGTCTTCAAATTCTGGCTTTAGACGTAAACATGCACACATAGCAGTTTTCCATTCCTTCTTTGGCCCGGTGGTACATAAGGACTGAAATGTCTTCCTTTGGCTCTGGTAAATATTTGCATTTCTTGTGCTGCTTCTGTTCTATGTGTCAAAGAGAGAATGAGTACCTTTTTTCTAAATTAAACAGAACAAATCTCAGATTAGTGTTTATTTAAAAAGATCACACCAAGAGTGCTTACATAATTTTCATTAACCTGACTTGAAGAGGCTGTGGCAAAGGATTACACGGTAATTTAGACACCAATAAATGGCATCTTTCCAACTTGAATCAGGATTTACAGACTTGAAAGTGTTTTGTAATGCTTAACCTGCCAAATGCCTCAAAAATGAAACAATCGTGAGGGAAATAGAACATAAACTTAGTAGTACAAGAGGGCTAGTTGGTTGATGGTGGAATTTCTCTCTAAGCAGCCAAGATGTGATGCAAATCATGTGCTACAGCCGAATGCTCCGGTCCTTGACAATGGAGGGCAGGGTGTGCAAGGTCAACCTCCCCACTGCTAAAAAATAACCATATAAAGCAAGAAAGAAGTGCACTGTGCACACTGTCTCTCTCTCTCCTTTTCCTTCTCTCTCTCCCACTCACACACACACACACACACACACACAAACCTAAAAGCTGGGGCTTCTCAGGGGTGAGTGGTGGTGGTAGTGGGGGTTTCACATCAGACATATGATGACATATAATCTTCTTAGTTACCCATTAACTTGTGTGATTCTTCCTCATCCCCATTAAGCTAAAACAACAGCCAGCCAAGCGAAAAGAGAGATGCTGTGCAATTATGCATGTCAGCTTCAGAGGGGGGATTACCTTTGACACATATCAGACAGAAGGCCTGTATGGAAAGTCAGGTTATTTAGTCATATTACCCTCCATAAAAACACAGGGGCAGAGACACTGACTCATACAAGTGTGAACATAAGCGTGCTTTTAAGATAAGACAAATGAAAGAGTTTCAGTGCAACACTAGCTTTAAATGAGGTCGTGTAGTAGTCAAAAGTTGTGAATGCTCGCTGCATGCAGAGCTGTGCTGGATGTACTCACAAAGCCGTATCCTCTGGATTTACCGGTCTGTCGGTCCGTTATCACCACCGCCTCGTCAATGTCCCCGAAGGCCTCGAAGTATTTTCTCAGTGAGGCATCGTTCGTGTGGTACGGCAGTCCGCCGACAAAGATTTTGGTAAAAGTTGTGTCTTTTTGCAGCGAGGTGGGATGCATGACTTCCAGGGCTCCGTTCATGCACTGATGCAGAAGCATTGGGCGGCTGGAGAGAAGACCGGAAGCACGCTGAAATGTTTCTGAACGATTAACAGCGACCCAGCATCAGTAAGGAAACAACTCAATATCTCACGATACAACGGTATAGTCGCCCTCTCGGGTTGTTCGTCGTCTAAAGTCGGAGCAACCTGGGGACAACTGTGGCTCTCCCGCTGAGGACACTCCTCCACACCGGTTGCTTTTTTGACGCCGAGTGGAGCTGTGCCGGGAGAATTTATACTCTCTGACTAAGACCACGCCCATGAATAACTGTCAACCAATCAGCTTCCCCGCTGAGTGCCAACTTGAGCAGCAGCTCCTCCCAATTGTCCGCCTTCTCTGCGCTGCACCTGCTTTTGTCTTTTACAGCACAAAGAAACAGTCTACTGTACGGGAGGAAAGCGCGGCACTGATTACCACATGGTGCTACTGTAACGAGGAAGTAATCGTCTCGGCAACACTCACCCAAATCACATTTATACGCATTAATTAAAAAAAACAAAACTGTACTTTAACTCTATCATCTTTACGAGGCAGTTACACACTTTACAGGGAGCTAAAATGGATATAAACTTCTCAAAAGTTGTACTCCCGTCGACAACAACTTTTAAAAACAATCAGCTTAAAAGCATGTCATGTTGTTGGGTTTCTATCTATCTATCTCTCTCTGTAGTTATATTACTAAATTTAGTATAATTATCTATCTATCAATATCAAAGTTGTAGGACTGATACAAAAATCTATATATCTATCTGTCTGTCTGTCCGTCCTCTATATGTATAGTGATCACTAAATTTAGTATAATTATCGAGCCTCTTATGGGAGGCCAATATCAAAGTTGTAGGACTGACACACATCTGCCTCTTCCTTTCTGATTAAAGCCCTACTTAGTAGTTTCCTTCTGTCATGACACATCAAGCCACTTTTCATAACCTCTTCATATTTTGCAGAAAACAGGGTATACATTAGTGGTTCAAAGGGTGTACTTGTTTGTTTGAAGTGCCATAATGTGATCTCCCTCTGTGCTACCACCACACAGTGATAACCGCTTTGCAGGTCAGGGTGGATCTAAGCATCCAAGGGCTACAGGTCTGTCCAAATAAATCCTACTGTTAATGCAAAGAGCCAGCAAGTCATGCTTATTTATGTTATTCTGATGGACTTTTTCCAAGAAAAACTTGAAGTACTTTGACAAAGAAGTACAGGAGATAGAGGTCTAAAGGATTGGGACTGGTGTCAAATCATGACAGGTGAGAGGAGCCGCCAGCTGTGGTTGCAGCACCACATTCCCGCCCCCGGTGCCTTGGAGTTCCACTGCTAAGTATCAAGGGTCAGGCTAACAGTGAGGTGATACTCTAATGACCTCAATAAAAAGGCTTTTAATTCACACCTCTTCCTCTATGAACCGGTTCACATTTCACACATAGCCTTTGTGGCAGCCCGTGACAGCTCATTCATATCCCCTTGATAAATCCCTTATTTCCAGCTGTGTCCCCGTCTAAAGGAGTCAGATGAAGAACCCCTGTTCTACTTTGATCTTGTTTTTTTTCTGCTTAGTTTTCTGACCTCAGCTTCAGGACTGATCTACAGGTAGCTCTTGGGGTGAGAACATAGAAGAAATACTCCACCTGCTGGTTGGTTTACACTGAGACAAGCAGACAGACGGCTCTTGACGGTGCAGATGTTAGCTGAAGTTTATCATTTTGATTTGTGGTGATTCACATGTTAAGACTCTGGCATAATGAGTTTACAGCTGGAATATCAGAGTGGTCAAGTTCATTGTTTGCATGCACAACATAGTTTAACATATCCTAAACATTTAGACAGCAAACACAAAAGTTTCTCTCTTTATCGACTTACCCTCTCAAGTTAGAAGCAAGGTGTTGAAATCTAACAGTATGCACTTGTGCTTATTTTACATCCCAGTTTTATTTATTGACCTAAACCAACAAATGACAGCATCAAAAGAGAATCATAAGTCTTTGGAAAGCGGTAAAAAAAATGAAGGACTGGACACATGTAAAAAAAAAAAAAAAAAAAACACAGAATAACAAGATGACTGAAAAGAAGCCCTGCCCTTTTATGACCACTTCTAAGACCAAGTGTCACGCAGCTGTCATCAACACCGGGTATGGTAGGCCCCTCTGATTGGTCCATGCACAATACACAGCGGCGTAGCGTTGGTCCAGATGTTTGTCGTAAGGAAGGAGTCTGTCTCGAGCGTATACACACACTAAAGCAGCAGGTCCTTGCATTTCCCCCGAAGAGATGCGACTTGGCACGGTGAATCTACAGACAGGAGGAAGCAGTCAGTCACAAAAATCTTTTTCAGAGTTGATGCTTGGTTTATTTCTGAAAGGGAATTTAGCATGGCTCTCCTTCTGCACAGAATATCCAGTACAATATCACTCTGAAGGAGAAAAAAGTCCTTTTTAGAGCAGATTAGGATTGTTTTATCATAAATTTCAGCTTACATGATTTTAAAAATATATTTTCATTATATGTCCATAAATTCAGAAGTTAAATCCTCACATTCATCCTCATGTCAGTAAATACACTCAAAAGTTCACTGTTTTTCATCTAAAAGCTGTAAGAAAGCCAACAGGGAACTTTACAAAGTTCCTTATTACACAAGTGTAAAGGCAGCGTGTTTACATTTCACAGGAGAAACCACACAATCCTTTGAATAAACACTCACGTCAGCTTACAACCATTTCCGTACAAAATGGCTACCACTAGCAGTAAACAGCAGTGCTGAAATTAGAATCAAATCTATGAGCAGTACCCAAATCCATGCACAGCAGAGTTCATGGGGTTTCTATAAGGCCCCAGTGTGAGTCACAAGAGCACTGAGGAAGTCGGGCAGCCCCATCCAGAGACCATGATGTCCAGGTTAACAGACAGTGGCTGCCCTTCTCTCACCATTTCTTGTTCCGAGGCTTCAGCTCCTCTGCAGCGTTCCTCAGGAAGATGTAGTTCTTCTTCTGGGGGTTGTAGTACTCATGGCCCTGAGGACAACACATTAAAAACGCATTAATGAAGACCTGTCAGGGGTCCACTTACTCAGCCTATACACAACTGGACCCCCCCCCCCCTACCTTTGACCAGTCATAACTAGAAGCATATGCAAAGATGTTGCCGTTGTGGTTGAAGCAGCAAGCTGTAATAGGCTGATCGAGCTGCTCGGAGGTCTTCAACTTGGTGCGAGCATCTTTGTCCCAGAAACTGAAGCGCCCATCTGAGCCCACAGTAGCCAGTGTGCCGTGGACAGGATGGAAGGAAATGGCATTAACCTGAAGGGATAAAATAGAATTTAGTAGATCAGTCAAAACAACAACTATGACTAGTTTGATTTAGCTGACTCAGGCTCGTTCTCTCTGTGTCAACAGCCAAGTCTATTCAAAAACACCAAAGAGTAGATGTATGAGCCATTTTATCGACATTATTTTTGGGGTTTTGTTTCGTTGCTCACACAATCACCACAAGGGGCACTTCAGGTGAATAGGGTAAATGCTACAAAAGGCACACAGGTGAAGCAGTGATCTGGGGAACGGGAAAAACACACGGTTTTTACCGCTATTCTCTGACGCCACTCTCACCCTCATCACTTACATCACCATCGTTGTAAGTTAGACGTATCTGTCTTTTTTGTTGTTTGTTTTCATTAAATCAATGAGTGACAAAATATTACTCAACAACAACCTTGGATTGGACATTGGATTGTTCTAGAAGCGTGTCAAAAACACCTCACTCTCGCACCTAGACAGTGACTAAAATTCAGGTCAGCATAGTCACTACAGTGGGACTAAACTGTTCTCTGTCATAATCACTGGCTGTGGCAAATGAAGCACACATCCAAGAGTCTTATCATTGTGTTACAAAGAGGGGGTGGACAATGCATATGACTTTGTTACAAAACTATGTACACCTCACTGTGCTCTCTGATAATGTACTGGCCTCTCCAGGATTTTGCACATTTCTTCTGCAGTTGTAGAAACTTTTGTCACCTCACTTCAGGGGTAAAAGTTGGAATAGAAGTTAAAATATATTGAGGCTTACATTTCCTGTAACACATATCCACTGTGACTAACTAGAATACAAAAAAAGCTGTATTTTGGTCAGTCAAGCTCCATGCATAAATCTCATGAAAATGGGTAAAAATGAAATGGAAGTAGAATAAAATGACACTGAATTGTAACTTTGTACTAGTACCTACCACGGCCATTTCAGAGCTGGGCATTTATAGAAAAGTAATCTGCTTTTTCTTCATTTGGTGGATATCCATCCAAACACTGCGATCAGCAATGACTCACATTTGTAAAAGTTTGCCGAAAACTTGGTGCAGTCTCTGATCGGTCAACACACTAAACCAAGCACCAGCTAGCCCTAAAATTTCAATGAATAAGCATAAGAAGTCATGGAATTATATATGAAGCATCATAGATTTATTGGATGTACTTATAGGGTCTCATTTAAGACTCTGTAGTTTGAGGTACGATTTGGGAGTGATCAAACCTCATTAGAACAATACAGCAATACTTTCTGATAGTTATTAAAGATTGCTGACCTAAAGGAATCAGTATTTTCAGAGTTAAAGAAGTGAGCCTGGTCATGTGCATGTTGACACCTCTGGGGCCGACAATGTGGCTGATAATCAATGACAGAGGAGGATTCAACAGCTCAATGGCACTCTGGTTCAAATTCTAAAATCCACCTTTCTTCTATAACTAGCTGTCAAAGTGATCAATTAAAACACTTTCGATCAAAACTCTTGACACATAACTCCAAAAATTGATCTAATTTCCTCATTTTCCTCTTAATCATATGGTGAACATCACTCTAAAGGCAAAAAAAATGTCCAGATGACTTACAGCATAGATGTCTTGTGGAGTGGTTGTGTTGGTTCCATTGGACCTGTGGCACTTAAAGGTGAAGTTGTCTTTGGCTCTGAGGAAAGGAGAGTAAATTCATGTTGCATTTTTTAGTAAGCCTTTGGCGTTGAAAGCAATTAACTTTTTTACTGAGTAAAAACAATATAATCATAGTTATGTTTTATATCAATGCAGTGGAGAAAATCTCTTAGCGCTAAATAGCTGATGTTTTAGATACTCACGGGTTTGGAGGGTTGATGTAGTGGATGGCCACTCGGCCCTCGATACTTCCCAGTGCAAAGCCTGTTGGCTTGTTCTGCTTGTCCTTGAATATGGCAACACAACGGTGCTGGGGGATCAGAGCAGAACAATACACCAAACATGAAAACAATTGGTTTAGCTGTATTGTTAGCTAAAATGAAACAAAGGTCAAAAAATTTCACCTGATGTTTAAGGGGAGAATCTATCCTGCGAAACTCTGAGGGCTGGTTTTCCAGTTGGTACACTATCAGGCCTCTCTCAGCTGTTGCAACCACAGCCATAGGGTATACCTACGTATTACAGACAGGGAAGTTAAAAAAGTAACATAAGAAATTGTAAACTCAGCAAGAGTGAAAACCTGTGTAATCCAACTTACAACATCTGCACAGTAGCATCTCTCTGGCATCTGCAGAGACATCATGGGATTGGGAGAGCGGGTGTCCCAGAACTGAGGAGGGAGATAAAAAGCAGTCATGTTTCTCTGTGCTACATTAAAAAATACTTGATAGATTGAATAATGACTTTGAAACTAAAGTCTGTATTTAAAAGCACTAATTAGATATACTGAAATGGCTGTTGTACCTTCAGTGTTTTGTCCCAGCTACCAGTCATGATACAGCTGTAGTTTGGAGCTTTAATCCAGTGAATTGATTTAATTGGACCTTCATGCTGTAAAAAAAAAAATATGATCGATGTAAGATAGTTCTGCTTCTCTCTAATGACAACAAAGTTTATCTCTGGGCTCACGACTTACCTGTGCGATCTGCATTGCTTGATTGCTGTTAAGATCCCACATCTTGGCTGTTTTGTCACAGGAAGCAGTGAAGACTTTACTCCCGTCCTGGTTTAAGGGAGTAGCACATCATAAATTATTCTGCAGCATTTACTACAGGGCTTGAATGACTTTTTACTGTGGGACATACATCACTCCAGCATGCATCCAGCACTGGACCTGTGTGCATCTGTTGGGCTTTGGGGACAGTCTGTCCATTGTCTTGCACCTCCCAGCAGCGCACCTGTGGTGTCAAAATTACATGTCATAGAAAAATATGTATCTACCGTTAAAGTGCATTATTAATTTATCATGTAAAATAGAGGGAATACTTCAAAGAAGACAGGCTTGGTGAATTTATCTTTTTGGATCTTAACTGCAACTGGATGCTACCTCTGCTCTCTCGGTCTGCTGTTGGGTTCCTGTGTTTTACTTTAGGATTGATTAAACTGTTTGGGTTTCCCGAGGTGGATCCTTCTGTTGGATTAGTTATCCACTGGTTGGATGAGCTTCTAAGCCTTTTTTTTATTCTGATTTTTAAGTGTACTGTATTTTGTTCCTTTATTCTTTTTGATTTTACCATATTCCGAATCACTTTGTACACCCCTGTTTTTAAAGGTGCACCAAGCAGCCCAAAAATCATGAGCACTTTGGCAATCTAATGCAATCCAATCCAACAGCTCTACCATTCAAGGAGCTTATAATTTTTTTGTTGACAGGTGATTATTGCGCTGTATACTCATTGTTGAAGAAGTGGTGCGTGGCGGTGATGTACTGAACCATAGACTGTATAAAGAATGGACATAGTCTGCCTTCTCGCTGGGTGAAGCCACTCTGAGAACAGCACCCTCTGTTGATGGGTTGCAGTATAGGTCATAAATTCCGCCTCTGCCAGCAAAGCTTATGGAGCTGTGGACCAACTTTAGAAATTTATTACACAGAACACAAATTTTTCTCCACCCTGCTTGTGATGTTGACATGTAGTTATTGTAAGACTGGTTTGTGCTCAAGTCCTCTTTTTTCTGTGAAGCTCCATTTTTAAAAGTTATTGGGGGTTCATGTTTTCTATGATTGACACCTGATACAGCCTATGGGCGTTCAGGGATTGCATAGCTCACCGGGGGGATACGCTGTTTGAGCCGAGTGTCATCACAGCGACTCTCTGTGACTGCGCGGCCGAATGCGCACAACGCTACTGCACAGCACTGGTTTCAGGAAATGAAGAAAAATCCTGGAAATACCGAGAGCGTTTTGGCTTCAAATCCGTATACTGGCGGTAGGCTAAACCAAGTTATCCATAGTATATACAGTCTATGTACTGAACTGTGTTATAGTGTTCCTGATATTTTGTCCATTTCATTGACCAAAATAAGGAGAGTAAATTGTCTGGAACGTCTTTCAATAAGATTCACCACCGACAACTTCTACAACTAATTCAAAGAGCAATTATCAGCTCTCTGATCATGTCAACAAAAATTTTGAAAAAAATTGGTAAAACAAGAAGGACTTGTGATAACGCTGCTATAGGGGGGAGTGGGGTAAGTTGAGCCAAAGGGTAAGTTGAGCCACCCCCTGGTGCTTGGAAATGGTAAAGGTTTTATACATCAATTGTGGTATCTATGAGCTCCAACATGAGGTCAAAACCTAACATTAGAGTCCACCATTTTTGCTTAGAGGACTAATAAATTCAGGGGTAAGTTGAGCCAGTGGCTCAACTGAGAAAGTAAAGGAGTCTGATGAGAGGATCAGAGTTTCAGTTCAGATTGTTGAAATGTGTTACTTTTTCTTTTCAAAAATACAGCTGTGAATGTTCTGAATCACTTAAAGACATTCTCATGTTAAAATGACTTTTTACAAAACAGTCTTTTAGCAGTTATATGCAACAATAATAAAAAGAATTATTGTACCAGTTGAATAGTGTATAATAGATAGAAATACACATGAATGTGAAGAAGTGACTGTTATTTAGGGAGAGAGAAGGAGAGGGAGGGCTGGGGTGGAGAGTGGGGGGGTAGTAGGGATGAGGGTCAACTAACCTCATACACGGGCTAAGTTGAAAATAGGAGACCACTTTTTTTGGTATGCTATATTATCAAGACAGTTATGTTTACACACATTCTGTTGGTTTGCAGGGATGCACAACATCTTCAAATATATGCAGATAAACTAGTTAGAGAAAAAAAACTATGATTGCCTTGATGTAGTGATCTGAAATATGAAACATGGCTCATCTTACCCCACTCTCCCCTTCTGGCTGAATTTGATTGCCCAAGGCTAGCCTGTATGTGTCAGGATTTTCACTTTCATTTAATTCACATTCAAAATCTGTTATCCCTAATCTTGTTAACTTGTAGTAAATTATCCTACTTCTTTACAGAGCTTTACATAATCAACTCACATCATTAGCCCAAGAACCTCCGATGAGAAAGTTCCCTGGCATGGTTGGGGGACTGAAAGCCAAACAGCTGATGCTGTCATCTGGAGGTGAAGTCACTTCAACATCCTAAAAGTACAGCCACCACAAAGGGACAAACAGTAAGATACTGAGTCTGCAGATGAAGGACATTTTAACATCTCAGTCCTTTACTCTGCTTTGACTTACCTTCATGGGATTGTGACTGTCTGTGGCCGCGTTTCCAAACACACCGGTCCCTCCTGTCCCGAACCCGGCGTTTGTCCCAAACAAACTCATTGTGCACCAACGAAGACCCCTGAAGGTGACATAGAGCCATTTATGAAGAGACAGTACACATATATTCAACTGTTGTCCTTTATGGTATCGATATTATCAAGGTTCAGATCACTGTAACTCAGTGGTTCTCAACTGGTCTCATTCTGGGACCCACATTTTCCCATGGTCCTTAAGTCGCGACCCACTTTTATAGAATTCAAACCAAGCAAATTTAAATTTCAAATTAAAAAAAACTTCGAAAGACTCTACTCTTTAACATAAATCCACTTGTTTTACTGAGTAAAGAGCATTTCAAAGCACATGAAGGGGACAACATGAGGACGACAACGACTGAGGTTGCATGTACAAAAAATATCAAATATCTAATAAATATCGCATTAAATATTTACTTTTTTGACCGGCTGTTTGTGAGCCATCCAGAATGTGTCCATGACCCACTTTTGGGTCAGGGACACGCCCCACCAGTTGAAAACCACTGCTGTAAGTGAACATGTGAAAAACACTGTTTATGGTGTTGGAGCTAACAGGGTGTAGCATCACACGAACAGGTAACCTTACAGAAGGAAGTGGACCCCCGGACCGGCACTGTGGTAACATGTCAAAGGTTTAATGCTTTTAAAACATGTTTAATGTCGGGAAGAGTGAATTCATCCACGTTAATACAACCAGATGACAGCTGACAAGACGGTAAAGATCTAATGTTTCAGCTAACTGGATATGCTAGCGTCTGCATTTATGTTTGCTCATATTTCAGAGTATACAGGGGATTTAACGCGCTCATGTGAAAAGTATGTAAGACTGTTTTTAGCATTTTAAATGTACTCTAGTTAACACAATAAAAATAATGATAAAAACCGCAAACTATCGTCAGTTAGCTCGCACGTCTACTGTTACTGTTATCGTCTGCTAGAGCCGCAAACAGGACCACATTCAAACACTGTGATATTTCTAAAGCTACCGCTTCAGTCCGTAAATATACATACCCCTGTGTTGTGTTCTGGTTAATAGATATCACCCGGTATCCCCTAAAATGTCAGAATATTTTTGCGCAGGTGAAATGTGGCGCTTATTCCTGGTGTGGTGTCGCACTTTGGTGACGTAACAACCAAAGCAATAGCATATACCGACCAGTAGGGGGCGCTGTGAGACAGACAGACTCAAGAGGGTCTGTCTGCGGGTGTATCATATACAGTCTATGGGGTGTATGCAGCACATTTTGGTCCTAGTCCTGTTCTTCTAACCATAGACTATTGGTCATTTAAAAGTGTACTTTTTTATTCGGCTGACACAATGTAAATATAGCTCACATCTGACTACCATTTCACTCCAGGTAGAGGAAAGTCCCCCTCTCTTTACCCCTTAAACTACATCGCGAGTGGAAAATCCCTCCTTTAGGCCCATCTACAAATACAATACAGGCCCAAGAGTATGACTACGGCTGTTGAAAACACTTCCAAGATACATTACCATAAAAAACAATAACTACAGGTTAATGTATTTCTTGTGAAAAATAACACAGAATCCATAAAATAATTTTTTCTCATACAAAAGTGTGCTGAGATATTGTAGTATTGTTACACTGTTATTATTTTTGACATGTACATTTATTGAAGTATTCTCTTATTCTGGTTGATCTAGTTATTCTGTGATTGCACTGGTCGTTTGTAGTGTGTTTAACTTATGTGGATGTTTGTAGCTGGTTTCCAGTGTACAACATGTTTACTGTTCTGCTGAGAATAACAAAAATGTTAAGAGCACAAATGTTAAGTATATACTGATTTCAATTATAAATGTATATTAGGAAAGAAAGATGTGAAAGAATTCCTTCTGTGTTTTAGAATTATCACGGAAATAACTTGCACAGCAAAGTTGAAACAAATTAGAAATGGAAATCATACTAAACTTGTAATAGCAAGGAATATAAATGTGTCTCCTTTAGTTGAACTTAAAATCAACTTAAAATTGAGAGCTAAAACTACAAAGAAATACAAGTTCATTTAAATTAGTAAGAGAAATTACTTCTACTTTCAATTTACAATAGTTCTTTGTTAAGCTGAAACAACAGGGTTTCAAAAGTTGATCATCAGTCATAACTTGGCTTGTAATGTCAAGGGAACTATGATATTGCAGTTAACTCAACTATGTGAACTAAGTTGAAACAAATCAAGTCTTTTCATTGACTTAACATGCATTTTCAATGCAGCAGGTGAACTTGCATTTGTAAGTTAAACTAGCTTGAAATGTCTTACAGTGTGTGATACAATAAAAACTTAAATTTATAGTGTTTAAATAAAAATAAAACATCCTCCAATGTAGAATCTAAGTTAATTACAAGAACATAACATCCTTATTAATATTAAAGATTAAAAAAAAAAAATTATCCCACTTTTGCTCGCCAGTAACTATGAGTCTCACAACTGCTGTATACAAGAGGGGCTCAGAAAATTACACATTAAATAAAAATATGGTTCATCAAATAGTAGCCTTGTTAAGTTAGTAGTTAATGTTAACAATTCATCATGGTGCAGGACCTTGTTCTGTTACACAGTTGAACGGGCCCAAAAACAAATAATCTAATTACTGAACGTTTTGCATGTGGCAGTCAACTTACTCTAAAAAGATATTATTACAGTAGGGGGGCGTAATGAATTTTTCATGTTGGACTGAGTCTGTTGAAAGGATATGGTGCATGGTATAAATCATGCTTGTGAATAAGTATCACCTGGGCCCAAAGATGTCCTGCTCCGCTCATACATGAAAAACAATTTTTGTTCTGAACTGTGGGAAGATGCAGTATATGAGACAAAAATAGTAAAGAAGATTTTTGCTGCCTTCAATAATCATTACTATTGCATTTGTAACCTGACAAATATTTGCAATGAAGAAGGAGACTCCAGTGATGTTTGTATAAGTTGAAATCCATGACCATTGTGAGTAATCCCCCAGACAAGAAATTCTCCTATCTGAGAGGAAACAACTAGCCCACTTTATGAACCTAATGACAGAACAAGAAAACTCACATTACAAATGATTTCAGTTTATGGCTTCAACCTCTTTGTTGGGTATTTTGAGCTGGTACAGAAGAACATGCATGTTTGATCCCAACACAGATGATTCCTGTCACAATTTGTCTCCCCAATTCTCTATTTCTCACAGCAAGGATGTTAACATGTCTGTTCACGATCACTTAAACTCCTCTGCAGTAAGGGTGGGTCTAAGTTTATTGTTTGAGTTCAAAGGTGTTTACTGGAAAACGGGATTAGGGGATTTTACCTAAAGACTCAACTTTGAGCTGTGTTGGGGGGTCTTCGCTTGCACAGAGTTAAGAAACGGTGGGAATACATTTAAAACACATCATGAACAAAATCGGTGGGAATGAAAAATGTAAAAAAAAAAAAAAGGTGGGTTTTATTTATGTTAATAAAGTTCACTAATAGGCCTGTAAACATGTCCAGACAAAGGACGCATTGATGGGCCACTTCGACTGGAGAGATCACCACCCCACCCACCCATCTCATTAAGGTGAAGAGGTGTGTAAAGATAGGACAGTGATCCGTAGTTTTTAATCACCCCCCCTCACCCCACTTCATCTCTAAATCTTCCCGACCCTTGGTTAATCCCTCCTGCCCCTCCCCTGAGACACAGCGCCTAAATAAAGTCCATTCCCCAGTCACCATCAAGAGTGGCACAAGACACCAGGACAGCGCGTAAAAGTCATTCAGGAGAATTGTATTGACTGAAGGAGACTAAAGTGTGTTTCAACCCTGCAAAGACTGGAACTACCATCCGTTCATCTTTCGACAATTAGGAGCAACATTTCACTCCTGTCCACAATGATGCCAAGCACCCTTGAGATGTTGACTGTCTTCTTGTGGTGTTGTTACTGTGTAGTGGCCGCGCAGGTCTCTTCTTTCTCCAACTTCTCAGTGGACAACGAGGTGCGATCCAGCTTTATCCAGCGGCGGCTGCGGAGTCAGGAGCGCAGAGAGATGCAGCGGGAGATCCTCTCCATCCTGGGGCTGCCGCACCGTCCGCGGCCGCATGTCCACACCAAACACAACGCAGCGCCGATGTTCATGCTGGACTTGTATAATACAATCTCCACGGATGCACAGCCGCCCGGATACTCATACCACAGCCCCAATTTACCCACCCAGGTGTCCCCCATGGTGACCCCGCAAGACAGCCGCCTCCTGGATGACGCAGACACGGTGATGAGCTTTACCAACCTCGGTAAGTTTAGTCTGACCCAAAAGTAGATTTTCCCAGGTTATTGCTCATTTAAACAATTACAATTAGTGTTTTTTTTTCTTTTAAAGTGTTTTCTATTCTATTTTATATGTTGAAAAAGGTCCTTAATAATGCCTCTGGTAGGAATACAGCCTAATACTGAACTGATTTTAAGTACTCTCTGATATTCCCCCATCCACCTAATGTTACAAACACTCACTTTGATACCAAGTTGTTCACAATTCAAAAGATTTACTCTCCTAGTTTGAATCCTTTATTCACAAGCTTCAACAAAAATCTGTTCACAGTAGCCTACATGTCATGTTGTCCATGAGGGAGTTTCTGTCTCCTGATTAAATCAACTTCAGAATTGAGGTTTTAAATGCTTCCATTTTGTCATCAAACTCTGTAATGCTCCCATGACAAAAGAGGTCATTACTTAAAAGTGTGTGCAACTGTGTGCGTATGTATGTGACATTGAGGCTTTTGGGTCACTTTCTTCCATTGAAATTGCAGCATTATGCATACCAAGCTGCAAATGTTATGACAACATGCCTGTATCCTATTTCCCCACAATCCCTTCAAAGCTGTGGGGGAGCAGCTTTAGCGTGGCTTTGTTTCACATGACTAAGAATTGAACAACATTTCGAAAAACCCGAGCGAGTGAGGACCAGGTTAACTGAAATCCAAATATCTGAAAATGAGTCTGTAGTAATCTCTGCAGGTGTAAGTAAGTGAGTGTGGTATTCCTGTGTTTTTGGGGTCTGTTTGTGTGTTTGTTTGGGGAGCGTAAATCACAGGGGTCACAAGTGGGAGTCAGGGATTACGCAGACATTATTAGATTTATAGAAGGCAAATCCTGCCTTTGTTTCCTTTGGAGATCCTTCGGCATCCTTCTCACTGCAGTGAAATGGCAAATGCAATGGTAGCCTGGTGTTTATTTGGATGTGGTTGCATCCCCAACTGACTGTCATCTTTTTGTTGAAAGAAGGGTTATGCGGATCAAAGTGAAGAGTGTGCTCATATGAAATAGCTCTTCAAAAAAACCTTCCTCTTTGTGTGAGAATGAACTCAAACCTCATAGCATAAAATCATTTGGACTCATTTCTTCTCAGCCAGTAAACAGGTAGCCAATTCAAAACATATGGGGGTTTCAATTTAAAAAAAGTAACATAACGTTTGTGTACTAAATCCCAGATTTCTTCTGTAAGTTTTTAGCTAATGATCTCTGGAAACACTGCTCTGAAAACTGTTAGCAGACTTCTGTGGTTCATCGTCACAAGTATTTGATTATAAAGAGGAAGAAGGAAAATAAAAGACACAAAGAGTGTGTATTATTTTTACTAAAGCCCATAACAGCCTTCTGTGCTGATGATTGGCAGAGTTTTAAGCCGAGGTTCATACTTGGAACTGGAGTGACTTTCCTGGTGGTCCCTGGATGATCGCTTCAAGACCAAACTGGATTATGGTATTTCCCTTCCAGGGACCACAGCTTCCAGTGTGAGGGAGCGCTGCTCTGAAGCTGCATATAAACCTCTCCCAGTGCAGCCAACTCTACGCTGCAGGTGGACTGTGATGTGAATAGCACTTCACTGTTGTTCTTAATGAATTAGCCCATTTCTTTAAGTGAAATACATGCAGGAGTTTAAGAATTAAAGGTAACAATGTTTACTCTTGATTTCACCCAGTTTTCTAGAGCCTGTTTATTCACACTGAGCACTCTTTAGTGAACACATCACTGTAAACAGGCCAAAACATTTACACAGCTGTACAGTTTTTCTGTAAGAAACCGTCATTTGTATTGCATTTATCACATTTTCATGCACCATCAATCAAAACAGCTGCTAATTCACTGTTATAAGTTTCTTTTTTCTAGCAGACGACAAAGAAATAGAAGAGATCTCATGCAGAGAGGTGGATCACTCTGTCTTATTTCTGGTACTTAGTCTTCCCTTCAGTTTACTGCTGCTAAAATCTTGGCTTGAGCCACATCAACATGTGCTAAGTATGTTTTCTTTTAAATGCACTGGCCACAGCACACCTGCAGATCAGACTTAATGAACAGAAATGTCACCAGGTTTTGTCCTTATAGAGAAAGCACAAAATGCCCTCTTAAAAAATGGAGGGATGATGTTACTAGAAAAGAAGAAATAAGAGTATGAGATGAACTGATGAACTGTGTTTTTGAGAATAAACAGGATGAAGTAAAGGTATCCTACCAAGAGGCAGAGGATGATTATGCTAAGAACTTGACAGACAGAAATATTCATCAGGCCTCTCAGTTTTATTCACTCATTTGCAATGTAAACCTTTTATTGTTAGTCCAGTCTGGTAAGTAGCTGTTTGATGGATTCACTTGATGGGACACTTTAAATCCACTGTTGTGCAAAGTACTGGTGAGTGTTTGGAGTGTTACAAACTTATTTTTATCAAAGCAGACACAGCTGACTATTTAAGAGCAGATGTGTAATATTTGTTTGGTTTTATAACCTTCGTAAAAGAGAACAGCTGAGCAGTTGGACTTGAGAAATTTGTGGATTACGAGACACGGCTATATTCAACTTAGTTACAGAAAAAGTAGAAAATAAATCACTGATTTGTAAAATAACTTTAAAAATCCGTCTTTTAATTCACTTTTTAAATTTTGCAAACACTGAGCTGCATCCTGAACTTCACATGCTGACTAAAAAAGTGGTTAGCCTCCTGTAAATGTGCTATAGGTTAATGATAGCTCTGTGGTTGTGTGGCCCTGCAGCATGAGGAGTAATCTGAAGTGTTGAAGTGCCTCCCAGAGTGAAGTTTGCATATCTGAGGTCTGATCTCTGCAGCTAATGGTCCCTAACCTAAACACACAAAGCCCTTACAAGCAATTATTGCTTTCAAAAAACACCCCTCGTTCCCTTCCAGCATTTAATTGCGGTCAAACAAATGACTCGCATAGTCCAGAATGCACTGCTCTTAACGACCAGCGGCTCGTGTGTGTTTCTGTGTCGTTATAAATGTTTTGAGAAGACTGTGAGTCAGTGTGTGTGTGTGCGTGTGTGTTCAGCTCTGTTTTTAACATTGGTTGCCAGCGCATTGAAACGATAGCAGACCATCAGTAGGAATGAAGTGTGATGTCATACTGATGTCATGGCGTATAATAGTGAACAGGATGTGTTTAAGGTGGCTAATCGCTTCCTCTTGCTCTGCACACCTTCAGCAGAAACCTCTATTGCTTTCTTTCAAGGACAAACACGTTGACTGACGCTGTGAAAACACAAGACTGGAAAGCTTCAGGAAGCTTCGGGGTCTCTGTGACCACCGCTTCTCTGGAAACTCTGAGTGTTGGAGAGTTTTAGCTGGCTCGGGCAAGTCGGAAACCCCTCTGTGCCATCAGGATACTACTGCTTTATTCCATTTTCTGCATCAGTATGAAATCAGCGGATGGTGCAGCATGGCAAAATGATCAGGGAGGTGTGGGTGGTACAGGCTGGTAGTTTTGTGTGTTTCTTTATACTTTATGTGAGTGTGTTTATAAAAGCACTCTGGCTGCTGTGGTTTTCCGGGCAATGCCTTAATGGGCCTTTTCTTGTGGTCAGCACATGTGTGTAATTTAAACATAGAGCCAAACTCAGTGTTTTTTCTACCCCCACATTGGCACATATTGCAGACTTGCCTTAAGTGATGTTTAAATCAGTCACTTCACTTGCGGGAGTAAAATTTTTTCTATTTTTGACCCGTGCCTCTGAGATGTGGGTGGAGTGACGTGCATCAGAAGGTAGTTTGATTTGACAGATCTGTAACCACTGACTGTTTTTTTTTCCATTGGATTGGGCAAACAGTAGTTTGTATTTCCTCAACTGTAAAAACTTCAGTTTTGTGTGATTGAAGTATTATTTTGATTTGTCCGACAGCAGATGGCAATTTGCATAATATATATATCATTGTTTAAGCACAGAAATTCATTCATCTTCTTTCTCTCCTCCTTTAGTGGATCAGGATCAGGAGATTTTTCTCAACCAGCACAGCAGAGAATTCCGGTTTGATCTTTCCCGCATCCCAGAGGGAGAGGCAGTCACAGCAGCAGAGTTCAGGATTTATAAAGACTTCATCCAGGAGCGCTATGAGAATGAGACGTTTAAAGTCAGTGTCTACCAGGTGCTGCAGGGACCTCCAGACAGGTAAATTATTTTTTTTCTATTCTCAGTTTTTATTTTAAATCCTTTATGTAGTGACGTATGCCCATCTTAAGTGCTATAAAGCATGCATTGTTCAGGATTAGTTCTGTTTTTCTGCATTGGGGCCATATTAGATACTTGTCAGGTGTAAGTTTATCACCAACAAAGGGGCTAAGCTAACTCACAAGTTAGCTTAGCCCCTTTGTTGAGAAACCTTCTAAAGAACCAGCATTATATCTAGGCTATCAACAATGCAGAAGGGCCATTTTAACCATTTATTTTTGCCAATTTAAGACAACCAAAGCAAACACTAAAGCCAAGTGAAGTTCATGCTCTGGTTTTTCAGTGCTTTGCTTCAATGTCCCAAAAGCCCATTTGTATCTTGCACTATTTGTGGAGACTAACTGTTCCCCCGCATGCATCAATCTGAGTCCACTGTGTGCTTTGATAAGGTAAACGCAGTGGGCAGACCATGGCTTTTGTCATGCAATATAAAACAGTGAGGAACAAATATTACTTTGAAAATGCACCCCCATTTGACATTTCAGTTCCCCTAATCTAACTTAGGAAGATAGATGCAAGTCTGTAAAACAGCTGTATCCAAATAATCATGTCTCTCTGTTTTTGGTGTGTTGAGGCTCGTGTTCTCTCTTACCCCCAAACCTGGATATCATTGTCTCTGTCAGGATCCCTTTCTTGTTAGTTTGGATGTGTTTTTGTCTCTTTCTTAGTTTGCACTCCCAAACAGCTCCTCAGTGGGAGTAAAACATTTGTGTTGAATCCATGCATACTACCAAAATAAATGAGCTTCCTGATGGCACAGTAAAGTACAGACAAAAATCAAAAAGCATGCACTAACACAAAATTTTGTGTTAGGTTAGAATTTTCATGTTAGAATGTTAATTTTATTAACAAAGCCGACCAGGATCCACTATGGGTGAGAATACACTTGCTATTGACGAGTATCTCACACAAACACCAAAGACCTCATAGTGCATAAAAATCTAATGCAGAAAAATGCTTTATCACATTAGTGTGCATATACAGCCGCTGTTTTTATTTATTTATTTGTTTTTTAACAGTATTTCTAAACCAGGTGGTAACCTGTAACAGCTTATGAGATTTCTCCTTAATATAACTATTGGTAAAAGAAAACCACCAGGAGACACCAAGTTGATCTTAAGACTTCACTATTGCACTGGCTGCCACCTTTTTTTTTTTTAAGATAGGCTATTTCTTTTTTTTTTTGTCCTCTGTGCACTCACAGTATTGAATCATGGATTACCTAGTACTACTTGTTTTACATCTTCCTATGCATTGATTTTGCAAGGTAATGTTTTATAAAAAGAAAAGTAATCTTACCTCTGGTCTGAAGCTTCTCTGTTCAGACTTGAGTACTGTCTGCAAAAACTGTCTTAAACTCTCTTTAACTCAACCCAGTAAAGCCTTCTTGTCCTGAAGTAGATTGAATAAAAAACATGAGCTATTTCAATCTGAAACGTTCTCAAATAACCTTCTCAGCCTTCTTCACAGTAACTGGTGTTGCTGCTGTGTATGATTGCTCTTTAAGGATATAGTATGAGAAGTGTTTCTGTGTCTGTGTTATTTTTGCTGTTGGAAGTGTCAGCACTGAGGCTGTTTACTTAGACATTAGTGTCAAATACAGGAGTAGAGCATTTCTCTCCAGATCATGTTTACTCTCTCACAGTCAGAGCAGGACAGTCCTAGGAGACCTGCATTAACAGCACACAGCTCCGACCGCATATAACATTTCTGACCCCCAACACGCTAGTTAACCGCCTCTCTCTTTCACACAGGAGGTTATTCCTCAGTGTTTCCGTCTGTCTGTGTTTTTGTTTTCTGTCAGTCTGCCAGCATCTATCCCACACTGCCGCTGATTTCTTATTTCACACTTCATCTGAAATTGGAAACAGCAGATGATCTGATAGAGAGATGATAAGACTCCACACATCCCCCGTCTCTCAGCAGTTTTCCTGTCCACGTTTTATAATCTCTGAGATAAGGAGAATTATGTGCTGGCAGAATATTTAACTGCTCCATCGGTGACAGTGAGGCTGGTGATGGTGGTGTTAAGGGCAACACCATTGTTATTCAGAGACACACAAAAGCTGCAGACAAGCAGACAACAGGATGACAGGGAGACGTCTGCCTGAGGGTCTGAAACTCTCTGTAAATTAAGCTATTGTGAAATATGCCCTGAAGACACTAATACAGAGGGTTTAAGGAATATTCATAAATGACCTGTTTGATATGATTATTTAAGTTAAAATCATTGAGCACCCTTTTTATGCTGCCAGTTTCAAAGTGCCTATATGTTTTGGTTTTCCATGGCAGAGATTGTCAATCTATTTGGTTGTTAAAAGCAGGATTAGATTTTTTTCGTTAAAAGATAAGGCTTGCAAATGCACAGGACAAAATAAGAAAAGACAAAGAGGAGCAACTTCCACAGGTGATCAACACAAACTTCAGCACAGGAGCTTTAATTTAAACTTGTGAAAATCTATGACTGCTGTTAAAAAAGACAGAGCTGGAGCCTCATCAGAGAACGTCTTTGGACAAGTTAGTCAACCGGTTATAAGCTGTTGTGTTATATATTTGTGTCCTTTGCAGCCACATCCATCAACACTGAGCCTTATTGGATATAGCGCTCATTTTGTCGCAGGGTTGGATAGAAATAGACGTCACACTTGGCTTATGTGCAAAATTCTAGTGTTTCCACAAAACTTCATTCTTGTGTGTTTTTTAAAAACATTTTTATTTTGTGTTGTTCATAACTCGGGTATTGTTTCTTAAAAGATTCAGGGCAGGAACACCAACTCCTTCAAACACCAGGCTGAAGTGAAGGACCTCGTCCTCTAGTTCATCCTCGTCTTTGTTTAATAAAGTGCTGGCATACATGGCCACCAACCCTGACGACTCACTCACTGCACTGTGGCCAAAACAGCACCACACATGTCGTTTTCATTTTTTTAAGAGTTAAAAAAGTTCACTCATGAAGCTCTGATGGCAGGAAATGTTTTTCATTAGGGTTAGACTTTTGACACATTGGCTTAGAGGCCTTCAAGTAGATTATATGAATGTGAGGGATTTCATCTGTTCTGCCCGAGGTGTGCAATAATTCACTTGTTTTACCTCATGTCTTCATTTAAATCTAGTGATTTTTAAATTTTCTGATGTTGCATCCAAAGGAATTTATGTCTTGGAGCCAAACATGCACACTCTGTCGAAAAGTGATTCTTTTGTTGCAAGTGCCAGTGGCTGTGAAAATGCTTTATATTAAATGTGACTTTTCCATCCTCAGCGAAGTGGAGCTCCTACTGCTGGACGAGCGAGAGGTCTGGGTTGCTGAGGAGGGCTGGCTCATCTTTGACCTGACCACCACCAGCAATTTCTGGCTGTCCGATCCAGAGCAGAACATGGGCCTACAACTGGTCTTGGAGGACAGCCATGGTTAGCAACCTGCACGGTGCAAAATAATAACAAAGCCAGAATGCAGTCTTCGTTTGGAGGAATAATAGAAAGGAATTTAAGACTTATGCGCTTTCTCTCTCTATCACCCCCTGTAGGACAGAGGAGGAACCCTCGACTGGCAGGTCTGGTGACAAGCAGTGGACCACAGGACAGGCAGCCCTTTATGGTCGCTTTCCTCAGAGCAGATGAGGTGCGTTTGCGCAGCATCCGCTCTGCCCATGGCCACAAAGGTCGCCACTCAAACCGCTCCAAACCTCAGAGGACTGTTCAAGATGCTTTGAAGGCAGTGGAGGCTGCAACAGGTAGCTGAGCATCTAAGCTTTTGTATCATTGTCAGTATCACATTGATACATAGATACTAATACTGGCATGTTTGCAGTTTCAGATATCCTTGGCATCTCAAAAGAGGGGTGTAAGAAACATGAACTGTATGTCAGCTTCAGGGATCTCGGATGGCAGGTATACTTTGGGAATTTTATTTGATTTCATTTCGCTATGCTTATGTTTTTAAAAAGTGTCTTTTGAGTGACGTTTTCCTTTTGTTTCATCCAATCAGGACTGGATCATAGCACCAGAGGGCTATGCAGCGTACTACTGCGAGGGAGAATGTGCCTTTCCCCTCAACTCCTACATGAACGCCACAAATCACGCTATTGTGCAAACTCTGGTAAGTCCTCAACAATCCCAGATGACAGACCCTTTCTCTACAACTGAATCCACGTTTTGCAGTGATTGATTGGTGCATCTTTTATCCTCAGGTGCACTTTATCAACCCAGAGACAGTACCAAAGCCCTGCTGTGCTCCCACTCAGCTCCACGGCATCTCAGTGCTCTACTTCGATGACAGCTCCAACGTCATCCTAAAGAAGTACCGCAACATGGTGGTTAGAGCCTGTGGATGTCATTGACTACTCATACCAGCTCCTGTGAACTCGTTACATCTTGATGAATTCATCATAAAAGACAAAGTCAAGGAGTAAAAGACAAGAAATGATTGACTGGCTGGTCCTAAGGGAGCTCCAAGCCTTCGTCTGGTGTACTTTTCAGAGCTTCCCACGCAGTATTAACTATTTCCATGAACCAATTAGAGCTATTTGTCACAGAGAAAGGTTGAACATGGGGTTTCTTTGTTTCCTTTCAACCGCGACTTGCAGAAGTGCATTGCAAGGACTCCAAGCATTGTGGAGTCTTTTAATCCAGTGTAATTCTTTTTTTTTAAAGCAAAAGCAAATTTGCTTATAAGAAACACGGATATAGCTGCATTTCAATTCTCTTTAGATCATCAGGTATGAGACTATAAACACCTGCATGGAAATGTGCACACGGAAACTCGTTTTACAGCACCAAACACCATCTGCCTGTTGAACCACCGCACCTTGTCTTTTCGAACAGCCGGATGAACTTCTGTCCTGATGAGGGAAAAAAACATGTTCACTACCAAACTTTCCTGTCACTGAGCTGGTTGTTAAGCAGGTGTAAGACATCTGGCAGCTCATGTCTGTGATGCTGATGTACAGGCGCTCAGTACTGACTGACAGCAGAGACTGTTAATAATAGTGTGGGGGGCTGGAGGGCTGCCTGTTGGACCTGGTTTCCCCGATAGTGGGCCTGTGAACACAATAAAGTCTGCAAGTTGTTAGTCATTGAACCAAAGGAAACGAACTGTATTTTGTAATATTAAAGACCCACTTTGATGAAAATCATGTTTTTCTTGTTTTTATATGTCCGTAGGGCATTTTTTTGATGCTACAGGACATATCATGAGAAAACTAAATTGAAATTGCTTTTCTGAGTATTTCCTCATTCAAATCGCTGTGAATCTCTGGCAGACCCAAACGGCAGGTTCAGAAACAATGAGATTTCATACGTAACCAATACAAGCTCCGCCCCCACAGCCCAGCTATGCAGGCCACACTCTGCATATAGAGCGGAAATAGAGAGGACATGGTGTCCCTAAAGACATTAGTGTCCGAGAGCTGAATAGCTCCTATGTTACCTGCCACTTCTACTACACCGGCAATGTTAGGTTGCAAGCTAATGTGAAGAGGAGTGTGCAGAGCAGCGCTGTCTCTGCCCACGACTCAGGTTAATTGATAATGATCTACTGGAGCTCTGCAGAAGAAAAGCCCTTAAAGATTACACAGATAATGGGATTTTTTGGTAAAAACTTCATCACCACAATTGATAGACCAATGAGAGCACTTTAAAGGGATATTCCGGTGTAAAATTTTTTTTTTTTAATATTAATTAATTTCTTTATCTTATTTCCTTGAAGTAATAATCAACATATTAATCATTTTGCTGTACAGACACGGTACTTATTCTGCCTAAGCGTCTCGGTCTGATTGCATTTCCATGAAGAAATGATCATAAATGTTCTTCCTTAAGCTGTGTCACTCCACAGCAGTCCGTAATGGACTGGCCTGAGGTCTCACTACAGACAAGCAGCTGCTGGAAGAGAGTAGGTGAGTTGTGTTTTGTCTCTTTGCTAAAGAAATTAGACGAAGCTAAAAAGATGTTTGGTGGCTAGTGCTTTGGCTGGGACCCTATATGTACTGTTGATGAAGTTAGGTGCTGTTCTGAGCATTATTTGTGGCTATAGAGTGACTTTTTGGTCGAGGTTAGTTTATGGCTCCTGGGACTGCTGTGGAATGTTATTGTGCGGTCGTTACTAAAGTTGGTAAAACTAGAGAAGCAAGCGGTCAGCAACATTCAACTCTTGACAAGGTGTCTAACTCGTTGTTACAGTGTGTCTGACCCTAGATTCATTTTACACCGGAATATCCCTTTAGGTTGTTTAACAAAAAAAAAAAAAAAAATGATCGTAGTGGAAGTTTGAAGAAGTCCAAAAATGAGAGAGAGAGTGTGTGTGTGTGTGTGTGTGTGTGTTTGTGTGTTAACACAATCTGGCCTCCATACTGATTTTTGAAGTAGCTTACAAATAGATGTTTCTTCAGCATTTAATGGGTTTTCATGTGAAAAATGTGAAGACATTTTTTACACAAGACTTTTTTAATCAACGGTGAGAAAGCTATTTTACAAATATTCAACCAAATCTTAACAGCACCATGCCTGTCCTTGCTGTGGCATCACATATGAGTTTTTGATGGTCTGCATTTTAATTGTTTCACACGTTTCCTGCGCCCGCAGCGGAGGACAGCTATTGTGGGTGATACACAGCCCTATACACGGATAACAGATTGTGTTTTTAGAGTACTCTGAATGGAACAAACATCTCAGCTGTGGAAAATGGGACACACGTTTCAAATAAAGCATCAGTACATGAGCAAAGCAGCTGTGTACAAACAGGCAAATAAAGGCATTCATGTGACACTAACAGAGCTTCTATATTACAGCACAGCCCACACTGTTTACACAAAGATTATGTTAATCTCTCACCATAAATAGAAATCAGAGGTAGAACTGTGATCAAATATCACTGATTCAATTAAAACGAGTGATCATTCTCATAAGGAAACCTGATTACCAAACCTAGGACTTAATTTTTAGAAGCTTTTGGCATTAATGCAGTTATTTATATTAAATCTATCATCCAAGATCATAGTCTTACATAACAAGGAGGAAGATGAATAAACTTTGATCAGCAGTTAAGGACCTGAGGGAGTTTCTTCACTGCTTTTAAAGCAACGTGGGCTGATTTTTTTCCAAGCACAGCAAGAATTGATTTGAAAGCTTCATTTTTATATCCAAACATTATTCTCTGAATTCTTACGATCCCTATCCATCTATTTTTTTTTACCAAAGCATGTCCCCTTGGCTGTAAATATAAAGACTTTGGTTTGTCCTCTTTAAAAACACATGAGATGTAGTTAAATACCTTGCATTAAAGAGGGCTAAATTAACTTATGTCATACACTCTGACGAGTTTCAAAGTAAAGGTATATTTAAACTCTTTTTGACAAGTAAACTCTGGGGATTCCTGAGATTTAGACCTATAATTCCTCCTCAGATTTTACTCCTACAATTAAAACACAGCCAAGCTCAGAAAAATGAGGATTGGGGAGGTAGAAAGACAGAAAATGTAGGCTGAATAAAGCAGAGCTTTACAGACACAGGCTTTTCTCCTGTCAGTAAAACAGACTCTTCTCTCTACAGACAGTTTGTCCTTGGAGCTCTCAGCTCAGGGGCTGAAGAGTGTCTCCTCCTGACTGCCTCTCCCTCCTTCTTTCTAGCCCCTGTCTCCGAGGAAACCTGTGCCAGTCCTGCCTTTAGGGACTCACACCTTTCTTCCAACTTCCTGGGGGAGGGTTTTGGCTCCAGGTCGGTTGATGGTGGAGGCTTGTGGGCTACTACAGGGGTGAGGGCGAGGCAGACATCCCCCACACTGAGTTGGCGACACTGTAGGCCACAGAGATGGGCCGTCCTCTGAGGGCTGCAGGAGGACCAGCCCCGCCCACGCACGAAGAAAGGGTACTCCACATAGACATCCACCAGCTCCTGAAGGAGGATTATGCACAAGGAGATCAGACACAAAAATGCAGTTCACATGTTTGTTCACTAGGTGGTGGTGGTGGTGTTCTGTTTGGACCACTCTGTATTCAATAAGCCGGGGTTATGAACTTTGTCAGTTTTTAGGACGTATCTAAAACAGCCAAAATAAGATTATTGAGGTGTTATATTTTGAGGATCTTTGCTGGAGCATGTGCCAAAGGCCGGGCTGGCAAATAATGCAAGAGTTTCAGCATTATTTCTCAACATACAACTCTAAAGAATTTGGGGATTTCATGCTCTCCAGTGCATAGTGTCATTAAAAGACTGAGAATCTGGGGAAAATGTCAAAACCCAACATGGTTATCATCCTTGGGTGCTCTGACAGCGCAGCGGGAAAAACAGGCAGACTTATGTATAGGACATCACCGCATGGGAACAGGACCGTTTCAAAAATCACAATTTGTGAATAAAGCTACAACTGCTAGTTGAGGCTAAACAATACAAAAAGAAAGTTATTTACCATCCAGAGTCCAGAAGTGAAAACTGTGTTCTTGGAAATCTTGGATGGTTTATAGTGAGGAAAGGACCGGCTAACTTGTTATCAGTCTACTGTTAAAAAGACAGCCTCAGAGCATGCAGTGTGGGTAACCTACACATTTTGTCAAGACAAGAATAAATACTGAATAATTCAGGTTTAGGTGCAATATGCTGCTATAAAATATTGTTTCCTTTGACAAAGATTGACCTCAGCAAGACACTGCTAAACCATATTCTGGGCTTACAACATGGTTCCAGAAAAAACCAGAAGGACAGGTCATAGTCTGGGATACTGACAACAACACTGCACTTCTCAGGGTCAAAGCACTGCGGGTCCTGATGGCAAAGAAAATAAAAACCCCCGTGAAAGAGGCTGTGCTCAACTGACTGTCCTAATGAGTCACTCAAAGAAAAGTTTTGCCACGTCAAATACAGCAAAGGAGAGCACAAACTTTGACGTTCTGAGGTTCTATACCAAGCAGGGAAAACTAGCACCTTATAAATTCCAGCATTTGATGTCCTTTGTTATCGAAAGCTTCAAAGGTCATAATTTTAGAAGAAGTCACAAAAAAGTTCTAGTTTTTTATAGAAACCATAAACTTGAGATTTCTCAGTACAAACATTTGATCGGTTGCTTTTGTGTTACATCTTGACAGACGTGGGTTTGTCACTACATTCAGTTTAGTATTTTACTCTTCATCCCAGCTGTTTCTGAAGACTGTTTTTAACCTAAAGAAAAAAGTTGTCTGTCGGTATCAGGCATCTTGTGAACCTCAGTTGCATTAGTGAGTGAGTCATTGAATGATTTATGTATTTCAGAGTTTTTCATTCACACTCTATGTTTGCCAGTAGGAGAACTTGGTCTTGGTTTTATTTTACAGTAACAGCAAACAATACAAAATATCACCTGTTTTCTTAAAGTCTAAACACTCCTTAGTTAAGACATGATAAAAACGGGTATTTGAAATGGTTTAGTAAGAAGAGACTAAAACTATTGTAATAACAAAATCACAACCCAGATTCAGGTTGATACCTTTCAGAGGAATGCCGCCATCTATTTATAAGTAATGAATAGCACAGTGGGATTTCCACCTACCTGGGACTGCTGGTTATGAAGCAGAATGAGCAGACGGGAGATTGAAGAGGAGGATGAAGGGGAGATGCTCTGAACTGTGCAGGAGCTCAAACACAGGTCCGGACAGGCCAGTGATCCCAACAGGAAGTCCTCCGTCTGCAGGTGCTCCACTCGCCTCAGCCGCCCGTCTCTGAGCTCGATCAGAGAGCCGGCCACAAAGTGAGGAAGCAGCCAGGGGAACTGATTAGGGGGGGAAGAGGAGGAGAAGGTGGAGGAGGAGGAGATGGAGGAAGAAGAAGGGGAGGCCTGGCCAGAGAATCTAGATGAATCCTCCTTCATGGATGTGTATGTCTGTCTCAGATCAGTGTCTGGGGAGTGTCCAGGATGTTTGTCAGCCTTTATAAAATCCTCAGCTGGATTCTGAGGTAAACTTGTGCTTTTTTCAATCCGAGGAAAATATGCAACTTTTCTGTCTCTCCTCTTCAGATATGGTCCTTTATTCCTCCCATTGCTCTGCCTGTCTGTGTTTAAACCCTTGTCCCTGATCGTCCTAAACTGCTCCCACCCCTGCCCTCCACCCATTCTTCGGAAACCCTCTGGGGTCAGGTTGAGCCTCGAGATGTGGTGTGGGTATCCCAGCTGGAGCGCAGGTGCAGGAGGGAGGTGGCTGTGGTGCTGATAGTGGTGAGACAAGTCCCACTGAGGCTGCAGGGGGCTAAAGTCTCTCCACTCTGCCCAGCCATGATGCTCCCTGAAAGCAGAGAGAAGAGGGGGTTTGGACCTGGGCGACGTGTGGGTCTGCATCCAGGGCTGGTACAGAGCGGGGACCCTTCTAGGAACAGGCTGGAAAGGGCTGGTGTGCTTGGTCTTGAACTCATTGTGGCTTCTGTATGGGAAGGGGGCTTTGAACGTGGCCGCATCACACTGTGGCGGTTGATGCTGCTGCTGCTGTGGGAGTGTCGGGCTCAGTCTTTGGTCCCTCTTCTTGAGCGGGAGACTGTCCCTGTCTGGGACTGGAGCTGGGTTTGGTGTGAAGCTCATTGGCTCACGCTCTGGTCACTCACACTTCATGAGAAGTTGTGGTATTGACTGACACAGACTGACAAAGGTAGCCAGGTCAAGTGTTGTCACAGCCTGTGAAAAATGAAGAAAGATAAGATAAGATAAGATAAGATACTTCTTTATTCGTCCCACAAGGGGAAATTCCCAATAAATTTATTGAACTTAGCAACCTAAATAAGCCTAAAAACCGACTCAGACTCTTGCATCCTGTGTCTGTCGCTTCCTTCACTTCGTGTTCACCGAGAGACAGAGCATACCATCTCTAACTCTCTTTTTCAGAACGTGCCACTCGCTGAGATGATTGCTTGTAAACATCCTCTTGACACATCGGTAACAACTTCCCCGCTCACTTTGAATGGTGGCTTTTCAACTATGAAATGCTATTTTTGATGGGAATCTAACAACTCTTTTGTTCAAAAAAAAAAAAAAAAAAAAGTTACTATGGTAACAAAGTACTGCTCTGTGTGGTTGTGAGAGTAGTGAGGACAATGCAAAGTAAATGGTAGAGGGTGGGTGTAAAGTTCGATCACAAGGCTGAAATCATCTTTGAGTCAAGTTTTTATGGGGATCTTCTCACTGGAAACAGATATGAGTGTGTGTATTCAGTAATTTTAGGCGTGCAGGTGTCAAAACGGTGATTTTAGGCGTGCAGGTGGCAAAACGCTCAGCCTGCATCTTTCTCATGGAACTGAAGTGATCTCCAGCAACTCGAGCTATTAAAAACAATCATCCACCTTAAATGCACGCAGAGGAATGAGTCAGTACAGGGCTAAATATAAGCACCTCGGGGCCAAACGCACACACAAACACAAACTAGTGTTTCTTCTCAGCCAAAGACTGCAAACACGTCATTTACATAACCTGATGCAGAGAGGTGAAGACTTTTACTGCTCAATGCAAAGCTCACGTCAATGCCCTGTATTATGTCATCGCCACAGTAGAGCATCACTGATGAATGAACCTCTATACCCCGACAGGCATGTCTCTGATATTATATATATATATATGTGTGTGTGTGTGTGTAGGGGGGGATCAGACAACATCCTCACACTGACATTCCTGTGCAGCATTATACCATGAGACACAAATAGATATGTGTTTGTCTGCTAGTGTGCCTGCAGTGTAAATGCAAATTCACTCAAATGGCCTGGATATTATCTGTGCGACCTGCTTACACACATGTACAATTAGACCATGACCCAAACAGACCCACACTGTAATGCCACACAGGCTCAATGACCTTATGAGGTGATGAGTTTACAGGAGGAACTGACATGAATTTCACAGCATGAGGTGCTTTGTGTCAAGAGGACGGGATAATTTGCATATCAGTAGTGGCAATATTGCACTTAGTCAGTTTGATGTTTCTATCTATGGTTCTGAGGCGCAATGTAAGCAAATTTAACCTGCGGTGCAAAATCCCACAGACCTCAAAGAGTTCCTCAGACATGCATTTACAGTCAGACTAACACACATTTATCGCAGAACTCGATCATACTATTCAATTCAAGATATTTTCAGAGGAGCTTCATGTTTCAGACTTACATGTTTCTCCATCCGTCCATCCATCTGCTTCTCTGTGAGTCCATCTTCACTAAGCATGTCCCTCCATGTTCACAGACACTCCACTCCACTCACACACACAAACAAACACACCTGTCTGGCTCCCAGTCTGCAGGTGCAAAAGGCACAGCAGAGCAAAGTGATCAGAGGCATCCAGACAAGCTCAACAGACTGTCTATCAGACACGCTCTCCTCCTTTTCTTTTCTCCTCTTCCTCTCTCTCTCTTTTCCCTCCTACTCGCTTTTTACATTTTACACTCCCACTCTACTTAGTCAGTCAGTCCTGTTAACCTTTCTCAGACACATTTGATGTCTCTCCCTCATCCTCCCTTACTTTCTTTCTCTCTCTCGCATCTGAACTTGTTCACCCTGTGTTTGCTGCTGAGTAGCACTCTCAGCCTCTCTTCCATTTGTAATCACACTCCTCTTCCTGTCTCTCTCCATATTCCACTCCTCTCTCTCTCCCTCTTTCACTCCGTGGCGCGCTCTCTCTCTCTCTCTCTTTCTCTCTCTCTCTCTCTCTGTTGTTGGATGTATAATTAGAAATGAGACTGCTGTGCAAGTCCTCAGCTGATGGTAGGCGTATGACTGCCTGATGGCTCTGGCGCTCTGCCTGGTGTAGTGAGGGTGGGAAACCATTGCTTTAGACCAGCCTGAACACACTTGAGTGAAAAAAAAAACAAAAAAAAAAAAACACAGAAATCTTGCAATCTACACACATAGCATATCTCACTTCCTGCTTTTCTCACCTCAGTGGGCAGACGTGGACTAAGAGCGTTTCATTCTGGACAAGTTAGACTCGAAACAGCATTAATGCTTTGAAACATCCTGTAATAGCTTATGAGGAAAGTGTTCAAAGGTCAGCTTTAAGTACTCTGGCCAATCATCTGCAAGAAAAGAGGGCCTTTCATGATTGTGCAGACAACATGTGCGCCGCTCTCCCCTCACCCACGCTATACGCTGCCTGCAGCTCACTCTCTCTATATGCTTCTCCTCACTTTCCTCTGGCTTGCTTTCTTGCCTCCCTCTTTCATCTCCTTCTAAACACACAAGAAAGGAGGACTTGGCTTTTGCTTCTGCAGCCCAGCAGCCCAGGTCTCTGCTATTGATTCTGCAGGGCCTCAGCAGGTGAACCCCCAGTCATGAAACAGCCCACGCAGAATTTAGTTTGAGGTGAAGAGGATTTCTCACTTTGAGTCACACCATGTTTCCTCTGCCCACTCTCCCTCCCTCCCTCTCTCGTTCTATATCTCTGTTTTTTTTTCTCTGTCCTCTAATGTACACATACACATTCACACACATACACACTTAATGCACAAGGTAACAGCACAGTGAGATGCTGCCTCTTTGTCTCAAGCAGCACATCAAGACTAAACCACAACAACCACTGACATTTACAAAGTGTTTTTATTGATAGATATCGCCACTCACTCCCACTATTTCCCAACCGCTTCACGACAGCCTGTATTTGAAGTTTCTCCTTTCAGACACTCAGTCATAGTTTGGGTATAGTGAACGTTTCTGCTTGTGCACTTTTTAGACATTTTTTTTTATGCGTAGAGAATTTCATGCAACACTTTTCAGTAAGCACTTGAAAAAAACAAATTTCTTCACAGTTTTTAAAGATAAAAATTTTATTTCTGGTAAGTCAACAAAAGTTATCATGCAGAATCAACAGGTTTTTACACTTTTGCTGATTCTCTAAAGCAGATTCTTGATATGACTCACACCGCCGGCCTTAACTTCCTGTGACTTAACTACTGCAGTCTTTGAAAGCCCCTTTCAAAATGTCGATGGTGTATTTTGGCACAGTGTGATGATGATGTCATGCGGTTTGTGAAGCGTCTGCATGCAAATCCTGTGATAATGTAGGGCCAGTATGGAAGGACTGCAGGTAATGGCTTTTGTCCACCAGATGGTGTCTGGGACCCACAGATTATGTGGCTACAAACTTTTCTCCTCATTTCCCACGTCTGTTTCTAATCCAAGTGATGCTTGTGAGAACTATAAAGAACTTTTGTGGAAAATTATTCTGCTTTCCTTTTTGAGAACTTGACATAATCCCTGAGATCTAGTGTCATGTGTGAATGAAGGAGACTATCGTGCAACAAAAAGTCCCTGGCTGGACTAAAGCCCTGGGTTTCCCAAGTATTGTGTATTGACTTGCATATGCAAAGTACTTTACTGATCTTTCTATCCAATCAAAGTACTTATATAGTTCTCAGTATATTCACCTGTTCATGCAACATTCGTACACTGATGGCAGAGGATGCTGCTGTAGGGGACTATTAGTTTTAGTTTATTCCAGTATTATGTAGCCATGCACTGCTTATACTACTATGTCAGAAGGAGCAATTTGGGCTCAAGGCCTTCCTGAAGACACTTTAGGGTGTGTCTGTGAAGGCTGAGAATGATCCGCCAACCTTCCCATTGAAAGACGACTGACTCTATCCCCTAAGCCACAGCTGCAGCTGTGAGGCATTAAGCCTTTAGGCTGCCATACACTTCAACATGAGCCATGTAAGCCGGCGAGGAGGTTGGTAAATCCATGCGGGTTTTGAGACACTGCATTGTAGAATGAAAAAAGAATAAAATTAAATTTTAGAGTTGCATATTTCACCTGTTACTGTCACCTGATACCAAATATAATAATAAAAGTGCAATTGAAAATGTGTCCTCAGATCCCGACATTTCTTTATTGCTTCATGACCTCTGAGGTGACGACAACAGATCAACAAAAGCAGCAGCAGCAGAGGAAGCACATTCAGGGACAGATATTTTTCTGCAGACTTCAGAATTGAAGTATTTATTTTAGGCTGAAAGCTAAAATAACACATGCACAAAAACTCACCTCTGTGTTATTTTATTTGTCCTATCACTGCAAATGCCAAGAGTCGTTGAGTACTTGCATTTGCTCTTCTGACTTGTTTTATATTACTGATTCTATATTATTGTTAAGTTTTTTAGCTGCTGTTTTTTTTTATTATTTTATTGTCCAGTCTTAAATAAGTCTTGGTCTAGGGAGAAACATCTTTTTACATACAGTATTTTACTCCCTTAAGATAAAAGCAGATAGGACTTTTGTGAAACCTCTCTGTCATGTAACTTCTTAAAGCTTTAAGATGAACAGTGATGCATCTATATGATGTACAAAAGCAAAAGAAATGACAAGTTTGATGGTTTCTGTATCATATTTTTTTATGCCCTCAAATTCTGTGAGAGGGTAGGCATGCTGGAAAAACTCCTTTTGTTACGATATTCTTGATGAGTAATAAATTTCATTATAAAAAAAACAACACAGGAAGATGATTTTGATAAATAGCTGCAGCTTAGATCCTTGTGTGCGGGTTATGGACTGCATTTACTGTATTATGTTGTATGAGTATGACTGTTTTTATGTATGTTGAAACTCTGTTCACTGCTGAGGAGTGTCCCATCTCAATGTGGTTTTCTCTTTTCTGTGGATTAAATAGAGATTAAATAATTTAAAAAACATATTCTTCAATAAATGCCACTTTACAAGGATAAATAAAAAATCTGCAGCAAATGATATAAGGGTTACTACTTTGTCCAGAGGATGGCGCCAGAGCCAACACAAACAGAGAGATTCTCACAGGAGCTTTAAAGGAAAAAAATACACTGAACTAAAATATTGTTTGATCAGATTGATGTTGGAAGTCAAAGTGGATATGATGGTTAGCAGAGAAGACTGAGTAAATAAATGATATTCACGAAGTCCCTGGTCTCTGGCAGGGTTAAAATGTTTAGGAACCCCTGATGAAGGATCCATTTGTGTATAATGATCAGTTTCAGCTCAGTTTTATTCCTCCTGTCTTTGCTTGTGTTACCTATCTCCAGAGATGTGGGTCACTTTTGACAGAAGTGTGTGTTCAATGTTGGAAAGTACAGAGTTACTTTGTAACATTGAAGGGAAAGTGCGTATTCAAAACTTCCACAGTGTAGCTGACATCTGCTGTTTTGTTCAGTGAGCAAAACAAATGTTTGTCACAAAATACAGAGAAAAACTGCAAATCCAAACTGGACGAGTCTGGAACTGGTGAAGTTAATCAGGTTTGAACTAAATAACTTAAATTATTAAAGATTAACGAAGTGCTTAATGAACCTCTGTTGTTCTTTTCTCAGATCTTTCCCGATTATCAACTACTTAGACAACATCATTTCTTTTTTATATTTCTACAACAGTATATGTGTGATTTTTCTTTCTCTGTGCTGGTTGCACATTTCAACCTTGTTTAGTCAGAGTGTCAGTCGCTCAGAGGGAAAGTTATATTCATTAAGGAACACATAAGTCTGAGCAAAGTAGCCTTAAAATGTATCGTAATCATTTTAGATATAACAATAAAAGAATAGGAAAAATCTCTTTTTTACAATTTCTTGACATTGCCCACTCTGAGAAGGTGACACAGAAAGGAGAAGTTTCAAATTTTTCACAAAAAGGAGAAGACCTGCAACAAGAGACAGAGAGACAGGGAGGAAGGGTGGGGGAGGGAGTGGGTGTAAGAAGACAAAAATAACAAAAGCATGTGTCTGTCCCTCCTTGGTATTTTCCACCCTGTTACATAAAATCCCTACATCCCTCCTTCCTTTCTTCCCAATCCCTTCCTCCCTCGGCTCCTCCCTCCTCTCTGTCATTGGTTACTTGGTGGACTCCACAGAGCCTCAAACTTGTCCTCTCCTCCGCCAAGTGTCTCAGCACGTCTGCTGAGGGAAGGAGGGAAGTGGGGAAGGAGAGCAGCAGTGTGACACTCAGCATCAGTCAGTTTGGAGCGCTAGAGGAGGAGGGTGATGATCGGCAGCCTCTCTGCTGACCTGCCATCACACACTGATCATCCCGCTTCATTGTCTCTTTCCCTGGTACGACTCTTCAGCAACATGAGCTCCTCGTCTGCCAACCTTCACAGCAAACTTCTGCCCTGTGAGTTTTTTTTTTTCAAACTTTTACATCTTTTCAAGAAATCATTGTTGTCGTTCAGACAGACATTATCAGTGTTTGGGAGAAGTGTGTTAAATTTTAACTGCTTTTATTTTTTTAACTCAGAGAAAGAAGAGAGAGGAGGGAATTGAATACCAAATTTGGTCATCTGAAGTAAACCACACACACCATTTGAGCTTTAAGGGAAAGAAACAGAGAAATAGTAGTGTAGTGTAGACCTTGTGTACGGAGAAATAGACACGGTAAAGGCGACTTTTCATCAATTTTACACTTGAAACTAAAGGACACGTCACCTTAAATCACAGTTTTTGTCTATGTCAGATGAGATATTGTCAAATTACTTTCAAGGTAATAAAAGAAAGTTAGGGATGAGCCTTTTCTTTCTTATAATGGGAATAAAAATATTCTAAGCTTCCTCACTTAAGGGAAATTATACCGTGTGTGTTTGTTTGTGAATGTGACTGTGTGTCAGGTGCGATGCAGAAGCTGCTCTGACAGCTTAGCCAGTGTGTTCAAAAGCTGCTGTTGGGTTGATGTTGCCTAAAGTGACGAGTCCAAGTGCTGTGCCAGCCGAAAATCAGTCAGGAATGTTGAATCATCAGCCTGAGTAATGCTTGCTAATACCAAGCCAACAGGTCATGCTCTCATACACAGGAACAGGGACACATTCCCACACACACACACACACACACACACACACACACACACACACACACACACACACACACACACACACACACACACACACACACACACACACACACACACACACACACACACGACTGCATGCACACTAAGCAGGATTGGATTGGGGCCAAGCTCCAGACAAAGATCTCTTATTTCTAATGGGATTGTGCCTGTAGATCTGATCAGGGGTCTGCTTACTGCAGCAGGGTCTGCAGCTTGTTCCACAAACACACAAACCCGGATTGGACATGCTGCACACAGACCTGAAAGTGAATTAGTCTCAGTGAGATCAGTGTGTGATTCCATGAGGCTAAAAAGGATCAGGGCTGGAACTCAGGAGAAGACACCATCCATCTGTTGCTCGGCCTGCAGCCTCAGTTCCTCCACAGTCCTCTCTGTCTCAGTGCGGTTACTGTGGGAATGAGTGTGGCACATCCGTGTGCTGTGGAGTGACAGGCCGACCAGCTGTGGAGACCGTGTTACAGACATCTTGTGTGGGATGAAGAAGGAACTGTTTCTTTGTGGAGTCCCTTTAGATGTGACCCAGATAGGACTGAGGAGAAGGTTCTCTTTGAAAATTAAATCAGGGAAGTCAAGACCCATATCATGTGTGGTCTTTAGCATGTTGTGCACAGTTTGTATGAGATACATAAAGAGGGAGAAGGCAGCAAACGCGAACGTAGACATCTGTCCAGGATGCACCGTGGAGTAAGTGAGATGCTAAACTTATTTGGAGTCTAGATCATATTAGCAGGTTAATGGTGATTGGAACAACCAAATTGCTGGGCCCAAGACGAAGTTATGCAGGTGAGATGGAGGCAGTTTTGAGCTTATCAGACACCTGCAATGATCCCACCACATCGATACATGTGTTTAAATGTTAAAGAGAGGTGCACAATGCACAATACAACGCTGCAATTTAATTGATAATTTGAATATCCACACATGCTGATTTTGATCAGTCAGAAACTAATGTTAATATATGAAATGTTTTTTTTGCACATCCAAAAGGACCCACATAGTCAGTCTCAATTAACACAGCCAAACATTTGAAGTGAAACAACAAATGATATATAAATAACAAATGATAATATTCTCAATGAGGACTTGACCCACACTCAGGCAGTGGAAACTCAGCTCAGATACTTCTTCGGTTGCTCAGACTTGACCTCTGAGCTTTGAAACTTGACCTAGATTCAAGGTTTGGTGACTTGACTTCAACACTGGCTGCATGTTTACATATTTTCAGCTTCGAGTCACTATTTCTCGATAGACGCTTTGCCTCCATGCTCCACCTGTTGTCAGATGTAAAGTCAGAGTACTGCCTTTACTGGAGCGCTGACATATTGAGCAAGTGCATCCAAGATATAGGCAGAAGAAATCATGGCTGATAGAGCCACAGGACTGATGTCACACTCCAAATCTGCTAACAAAAACACACATTAACCTCAGAGATTACTTTTCAAAGATCCCTCTGGTTTGAGCAAATACCCCATCTGATGAAAATGAACTCTTGCATACAATTTAAATTTGAACAGAAGTCAAATTTATTTGACATACAGCAGCCAGTCACCAGGGGGAGCTCTAAAAGATCTGCATCCACTTAAGATAAGATGGAATAATATTTATTCATTTTATTACTGTAGACATGACCACTTCCTGCAGTCAAAACCAGCGATTTCCTATGAAAAAAAAACCCCAGTAAGAATGACTTCAAAATCTGCCCATTAAAGCTCTTGTTAGGAGTTTTCTGCAGTTCATAAAACAGACTGAGTTTCATATAATTACCTTTTCATGATATCCAAAAACCATCAGCAACATGGTCGACTACTTTTATTCTATTGTAATTTTCAATGGCTGAAAGAGGTGTGAGGGGGTAGGTATCAGCCGATGAACTGAAGAAACAAAGCCCCTGTGGACAAAGCAGAGACTGCTTTGTCCACAGGTGGCGCCAAAGTTAAAGTTGTCCTTACAGGACCTTTCACAATGTTTTTGTGAGTATATCTGATTGACCACGGCAAACAAAATAAAATCCTGTCATCTCTCGAAGAACAAGTCAGTTTAACGAAACTTCAGTTGTCGGCTGAGTAATAAGAGGCACTGTTGTGGTCTGATTATTGGGCCAACTGAATAAACAGAACTTCCACAGACTATCACTCTGAGTGTCGGATCAAACTTTTCTAGGTCAAGGGGACTCTGGGTACAGCCTTGTTAATGGAAAGCACTTTAACAGAGAAATTTGACAGTTTGTTGGTAGTTGCAAGATGCTCATTTTTGCACCTGAAGATCTAATTCCAGTAACGTTTGTTTTGAAAGATATTGTCAGGCGACACGTTTTCTCTGTAAACTTTCAGACGTTGACCCTGACTGAATTGAAATTTCCGGATATTTAATTGCCCTGCAGCAGAAAAAAAGTGTTAATTCTGTGGTATGCTCATCCAGAAACAACAGGAATGCTAAGAGGATCATTGCTTTTCAATGTGAATCAAGCTCACATGGTGCAAGTACACAGATTAGTCTGCTCTGTGGCATGTTAGTTTTTGGAGTTGATTACTATTGTGTGATTATAACAGTCTTGCACTGACGGCTGGATAAGATTCCCATCAATTCAGCAGTCTGAGCTGTGAGCCCTGGGGAAACAGACCAGCTCCTTTGATTAGTTCTTGAACAAATCCATCCTCTCTCTGTTCAGTGGAACCCTCTGAGTAGAGGCACCGAAAACCCCTCCAGGCATACGCTGAGAGTTCAGAGCCCATCACTGAAATACAGAGCACATGACCACGCTCCTTTATGTGTAAAACATGTAGCACAAGAATAGAATCGCTGCAGTTTCTAAGCTACATAGATATTTTGATTAATTTCCACTTGAATGTTTGGTGTGTAACCAGTCTTCCCTCTGTTACTCAGTTTTAATGTCACATGAAAAGTATATTGTGTTACCCTCTGCCAAGCATTAAATGACCGAAGAGGAAAAAGTTAAGGACCAGATAGCAGCAAAAAAAGAGATTAAAAAAAAGGTTAAAAAAAAGTCATCACCAATTGGGCGTAGCATTCAGAAGATTCAAAATGACCTCACAAAACATCTCTGAGGACTTTTTCATTGGTTAATGACGTTTGGTGGCCTCATATAACCCAGTTTAACTTTGCCCAACTCCAGCTTGAGGGTCTAAAAGCTCAGAAGTGGAAAGAAAAAAAAAACCTTGTTTGTCATTCCCAGAAATGTATTTCAAAGATAGATCGCTTGAGCTGTTCCAACTTACATTTAAGACCGATTGAATTAGGAATTGAAAATAAAATACAAAGATAAAAAGTTGATGAGAAGTTCTATTTTATAGCTGTGTTGTATGAGCCTCAGTTCAGTAAAGGACACAAAAGTTGGGTTTATTGTTGGAACTTATGGTTACACACAAGATGAGATAAACAGAATCCAGCTCTAATGTAATAAGACACACTGGGTCACATGCATGCCCCCGCATTTAGCAATGGAGTACACACATAATGCCAAAAGCAATATACCAACAACTTCACACAAAAACTACACAGCATACTGCCCGCTCATGTTGTTAAAAGCATATAAATACCACCACTCTCTGCATCATATGACTTACCAGACAACTGCTTTAGGTCCAGGCTACAACTGGCCAAGCTGGCCTGTTGTCCTATCCGGGTCAGATTAAAGCTCAACTAAGAAGTTTTTTTGGGATATTTAGCAAATGAACTAAAATTGATATTGGGGCCTTTTTCGTGATATCCAAAAGCAAACAAGACCATCACGTTGTAAACTGTATTTTTTTATGCTTGAAACCGGTGTGAGGGGGTAGGTATTGACCAAGGAGCTCAGGAAAAAGCAAGATTTTTGCAAAATTTACATAGACTATTTATGATCAACGATAAATTTGACTGTCAAAAGTCTGAAGAATGAGACATGAGCACATGAGCTCTAATTGTAATAATATGCACCGTATTTTGGTGTATAAGGCGCACTTAAAATCCTTAAATTTTCTCAAAAATCGACAGTGCACCTGATGTATGATTACTTGTTGTGCTTACTGACCAATTTTATGTGGTACGATGCGCTCAAAAATCTGTCGAAATGTGTAAGTACGACTTTGATAAGCAACAAAGCCGCTCTGTTCAATGGATATTCGGAGCATAACGGTCCACTCTGTCACTACCTGATCGGCCCCGTAACAGGACCCCTGAGCAGTCTACAAGACTACCTGACTATAATGTCTAAACTAGAAGTGCATTCATGTAAGGCAACCCAGAGTACGTGCTAGTAACAATAAACCAATCGATGCTTAAAGCACCTTACAATCCAGTGTGCATTATGAGTGAACATAGACATGTTAATTCACAGTGCGCTGTATTATCCGGTGCACCTTATTGCCCTAAAAATACGGTATATTTATTGCTAATGCAGTTATTAGAATATAATTTTTACCACGTGCGAAATGTATTTTGTTGCTAACTGGTGAGCTCCAGTATTTTGTAATCTGAAGAGCGGCAATATATTTTGGACCACTTTGGTATCATTAGTGAGCTTTCCACTCAAGGGCTACTTTGACATTTTGTTTTCAGACATCTAAGTAGGAAATAAACGAATGAATAAATAAATAAATAAAAATACAGCACATAAACCCTAAGACCAACTCAAACCGATGCCATACTTGGTATTACTGGTAAAGTATGTTATCTTGGACACAGCGATTAACAATTAACATACCTTAGCTTCAGCAAGCAGAGGAGAAGAATCTGACAGTGTTGAGTTCAGATAAACATTCCCACTGTGGAAAGAGATTGAAACCACCCTGGCAAATGAGTGGAGAGGCTGTGCTGCTTTCCCAGACAACTGTGTGAATGTTGAAGTGGTTACCATGAGAGAAGTGGTGTGTGAAGGCTGAATGGTGGGAGAACAGCTTGTCTGTTTGTCTATTTGTCTTGCACTCTCATTAAAACATCTTTAGACAGAGAAAACACTGGACCAGCTTTGCCCATATGATTTAAAATTTCAGTATAAAAAAAATAGATAAAATTTTCTTTTTCCTGTTTGTGCTTGACATGATTTACTAACACAGTTCAGGTCTTTTGCTTAAATGTTATTCCAAAGATGATATTTTTACCCTCTGGATTACAACAGGATTTGTGTTTCACAAAACCACGTGAGCCAGCTGGTGACACTGAATGTGTTGATTAGAACTCATGACAGTGTGATTGTGGGTAATGAAGGGCAGTGGGACAGGATGTTGACCGACAAACAGTCCTATTGTCAAGAGAGCAGGAAAGAAAGGGCTAACACTGATGTCACTGGTGTCCAGACGGACTGGCCTGACGGTGCTGGACACTGCTTTGTCCCGGCAAAACAACTAGATCGTATACACAAATGAAAACACACACACACGCACGCATGCACGCACGCACGCACGCAAGCGCTGAAATGTAGACCAGACAGATGCACAAACACACATCAACAGCTGCTATAAATAATTGAACATCCTTGCAACTGGAACCCAGTAAGTGGCGGCTTTTTGTGGAGAAAATCGGGAGCCAGGGAAACCAAAAATAAATGTGTGAGACAGAGAGAGTGGTCCATTTTATAAGCTTGGCCAGTGTCCACCTTTCTAGTCCACTTTAGAGCAAAGTGTTTTCCAAAGATATCAGCAAGAAATGTCAGTGCTTTGAGCCAGCAGTGGACTAAATAAAAGAGGAAAGGATGACCCTGGAGGAACAGATCTTGCTGTTACAACAGTATGAATCTCTTACCTGTGGCCTGCAGGAAGACAGCTTTAATTACTAGAACAGCCACAGCAAAGAGACCGATCCACTAAAGACCAGCTGGAGCATGTTAACAGCCTGCTGCTGCTGTTTGGGTCAATGTTTAGCTGGAGGATATGAAAGAAACTCCTGGTCAAAATAACAAGACATCCTCTTGAACTAATTATCCTGTGCAGAGTTCCTTCTCTGTGTGTGTGTGTGCTCAAACTTGACAACCAACACCTTCAGCAGTTTCTCTATGGACTTTATTCTGAGGACATCCTCCTCTTCATTTTTAGCCTTTTTGCAAGTGTTTCTGTCCTGTCTGACCTTTCCCTTCTTGTTCCATTAGCAAGTTTTTTGCTGTGTTTACAGCCACTCACTTCATCCTTGTTGTACTCTTTAGGACAACCAGAATGAAGATTGGTGTTAATTGGCCCCAAAATCTTGAAATATATTTCTTTAACTATAGTTCAGGCAGTTCAAGCAGTTCAGGAGGTAGAGCAGTCGTCCAATAACTGAAAGGTTGGCGGTTTGATTCCCCCCTATCCCTAGTCTGTCTGTTGTGTCCTTGGGCAAGACACTAAACCCACCTTGCTCCCCCTGTGTGTTCCACACTGGTATATAAATGTGAGTGTTGTGTGGTGGTGGTTGGGGAGGCCGTAGGTGCAAACTGGCAGCTATGTTTCCGTCAGTCGGCCCCAGGGCAGCTGTGACTATTGAGGTAATTTACCACCACCAAGGTGTGACTTTGTGAGTGAATGAATGATGTATCCAATGGAAAGCGCTTGAGGGTCTCTGATAAAGTGCTATATGAAATCTGAGGCATTATTATTAACTGCAGAGCTTTAATTGACTGATCTGAAGACAAAATCAAACAAATATATTTGTGCAATATCATGGTCATAACCAGAATAAAAAAAAAAGACGTAACCTTGAACATACTGATGAGTTCACATTATTTATATACAGTGTGCTCTCAGGAAGAAGGATCGTTTTATTGACCATTGCTGCATCACTAGACAAAAACTTTCTTTGGGATGAAAAAAAGGCGTAGAGAAATTTCTTTGCAGTTTTTCTCTCATCAATCAGCTTTAAAACTGAGAAGACCTCATATATTATTGATTACAGCTCAGTTACCATGGCACTTGGTACAACCAGATCAAACACCCAAAATGAGTCACATTGAACACTATTTTATTTATTTTAGGCCTTTCTCATGTCTTAATCGATCAATTCTTCATTTTTTTATAAGGTATTTGCCTATGCTCTCTCACACACATCACAAACACGTGCAAGATGTTTGTGTATTTTAATAACGTTTCGACTGACATTAAAGCAATTTCTCCTGACAGTCTGGTATTTCATAGTGGGATGGCTAAGTGAGCACATGGATGTGTGAGCCACCACTAGAGCCGTTTAACAGCAATGACTTCATGGGTTTGTATAAGGAAACCACCTCTCAGAAAAATCCTTCTCTTGGCTCAGATAAATGGACTCAAACTGAGAGTCTGGCAGACAGCTCTATAATCTCAGCAGAGAAGGAAACGATGGTTTCCACTGGGAGGGTTTCTGTTTAACTACTGTTTACTGAGGGGTTACAGCCAGAGCAGCTCCTCCATGTAACAAGTGTAAAAACAACTGGATGGTCTGGAGAGGCACTTTTCTCTGCTCCGATCCTGACCTTCCCTTTCCTGTCACTGGGGAGTCTATCAGCTCACATTTTTTGTTTGGGCAGTGAGGAGATAATGGCAGCCTGTGGGTGACACTGAGCCCTCCCACCCTGTTATTTAGCCTCCAGATCAATTTGTCAATTCAGCTTCTTGCTTCTTGAATGGCTTTTTAGGGTCCCATCTTTTTATCTTGCAAACCTAATTCTTTGCATTTGTGTTTTCTTTTTTAAGGAAAGGTAAGGTTAGGTAGATTTTATTGATCTTGCATGGGGGAAACTATTTCACCACCAGGACAGGAAGACTCATACAGACAACAAACAGCACGGAGAAATCAGAAAGACATAGACTAACGAAACACAGTTAAGTGGAACAATAAAAGATGAGGACATAATTAAATACAACAAAAGATAAAAATGAATAAATACCAAAATAAATACCTCTATAAACTATGCAGCAGTTCCAAGTCAGACCGTAGCACATACTACTAAAAAATCTCACTCAACAAAGGACTTTCTCAGTCGTTCAGTGGAGCGCCGAGGCATCACAAGTCGCTCACTCATTGAGATTTCAAGACCTTTAAAGAAATAATGCAATATATGATCTTTGTAGCCCAGGATTATTTTTAATTTAGACCTACAAGACGGACTCAATCCCCCCAAAAATCCAATCGCACCAAGAGTAACAGAGTAATGAAGAATTTCTGTATCATCATAGGACAGATGATCTGCCAGCAGCTGTGCAAGGTTCTTCCAGGAAGTCTGACTCATCATGACACAGTTTTCACAGAAAATTAAAGGAAAAAAAAGTCTGGCAAATAAAAAAGCAATTAAAGAAAAACAAACTGCAGCAAAAGATGTAACCCCTCTAAAGAAAAAGAAGTGAATTTACTGTGTGTATTTCCAAAAAAATTCCTGTACATGGCATCATGAGTGCTGTCTTTCCATCTCTGTCTTTGTCCCTCTGTGAATGGGCTCTTTCTTCTTCCTCTGCTGCCCCCTGAGCAGAGGGTCTGGATTTGTCTTTATGTGGGGAGGCAGAGTGGCACGCACACACGTCCGGTCCACTCTGTCGGTCTGTTTCAGTCACTCTGCATGTCCAGCTGGTCCGGAGCCGTGACCTTTGACCTTTCTTCTCACGAGTTTCTGTGCACTTGGAAGACGACAGACAGGAAGGAAGGAAGGGGGACAGGACAGAGATGGAGAAAGAGGGACATATGAAAAGAGAGAGAGAGAGACAGGGAGGACACCAGAGAAACAGAAAAACAGATTAAAAATACAAAAGGAAACTCAGAAAAAGAAGAAAAAAGGAGCGCAGAGACGGAGGGAGAGTGACAGAAAAGAGATTGAGAGAAAAGCAAAAAAAAAAAGGACAAGTGAAAGAGACTGAAAAAGTCCAAGAGAAATAGAAAAGAGAAAGACAGAAAAGAGAATGAGAGACAGAATGAGGACAGAAAGAAATATAGCAAGTAGAAAATAAAGAAGTAAATAAACATCAGAGAGAGGGTGGAATAAACAACCTGCAGGCAGGCGTGTGACCTCTCTTTCTTTACTTTCTCTCTTTCCTTTTCTCACTTGAGTGTCCACAGGCCCTCGGGTCATCTCGTGGTATGAAACTAAAGACTGTGGGTTGTGATGGAGTTGCAGCGCACAAGGACATGTGAGCTCATCAGCTGTGGACACTTTGTTCGGGCTTTTCTTGCGACAGAGGATTTTCCCCATGTGAGCCGCTGTGCTAATCAGAGGTCAGGGGGGTCGTCCGTGGCCAGGGTTGTCGAATCAATCAAGGTGATTCAGTGGAAAAAAAGAACTGGATAGGGAGGCTCAATCAATGTGAGGATATACATCTGTTAGCTAACCTTTAGCTTCTCTGCTCGGGCCTCTGCCTTTAAGTAGAAACAATCAATGCTGTGATCAATCACTGTTTAACTGAGTGGAGAAAAAAAAACAAAGCAAAACAGGAGAAGCATTTTGTTTAAACCTGAACTTTCAAATTTTCAAGGAGACATTTGTGATCCAAACATGCTTTTTCATGTCATTGAATCAGAGAGAAAAGAATAGAAAATCTCCATCTGATTCAAACCCAGTGGTCTGTTTGACATGATGTCCTCTGCTGGTCACATGAGAGCCTTTTTATCCCACACACATGTCAAGAGGGCAGCTGCTGATAGTTACTGACATCCTGCTTTGTCAGCGCAGCTCCTTTCATACGTCTGATTGTGTAACGTTTCAAGAAGCAGAAAGCATCATAGGGTCACGACCAGAGGTGTCTACACTTCAAAACGCTGCAACATAAAAACAGTCATGAAGATGACTGACACAAGAGTATGTAATCATACCTCTTTTTTTTATTTGAAAAAGAGATATGATGTCTTTTATTTATTTGACTCATAAACTTGAGACAGTGCTTCAGGACTGCTGTAGAAGTGCACCAGAAAGAAGAGATAGTGCAATGTGACCTTGCAGGTTTAAAGATTTGGAACAAAGTCTGTGTTGCAACCTACAGCTGTGGTTTCAAAGATGAGCAATGCAGCTTAGAGTCTCCTTTGATGGGCTGATCTGATGGGAACAGAGTTTAAAGGGGGTGAGCCTCTGGAAACTGCTCACTCTTCAAGATTCTGTAATCATTTGAGGTAATCACTCCTGGTCTTATCATGCAACCTGGGTCTCAAATAGACAGCTTTGAACTGCCTTAACTCTTTGTAGGGTTTCATGTGATGGTGATCAGATCTCACTTACAAGCTCTAAATGCAGAAAAAAGCTCAGAACCTCATTCACTGTCATTTGCCTTTACAATACATGAGACAAAAGAGGTGATGCTGACTTGTAGCTTAGCTTGTAGCAGAAATGCAGCAGAAAGAGTACAGGACATGTGGCCCAGGACACGTAAGCGTACCCCGTGCTGGACTCAGACTAACTCTCTATGACCTTAGTGATTGAACCTCATTCCCTCTCAGTGCATTAATACCACCTACAACAGGGTAGTTGTTGTTGGAGCATAAAGTAGAACTGTTCTTATATGATAATGATTAAAAAATGAATGATAAATAAAAAGATAGATAGATAGATAATGAGATGAGGTAGTAAAAAGCGATCAAAGTATTACAGAGAGATTTATCATATAACAGAGGAGGTTGAGAGGAGCATTAAAGTTTCGCTTGACTTCCAGGAAGGCCAGGTGACGTGTCAATCAGATTAATGCCTCTGCCAATGAGGTTATGTTTATAGTTGTTATGTTTGTCAGCAGCAAGAGTACGGATCAACTACTGACCCGGTTTCTTGATTTAGATGGAACAGAACAAGCTCTTCTTCGAGGAGCCTACTGATAGACACAGTGTTGTGCGCACAGGTTTGTGTATCATGTTGGCCTTGGAACAGATTTTGTCTGAAAGTGCTGATTAAGTAGTTCTTCTGACGGGCTGGACAACAACATGACTACTATGTTTTGAAGTCCCAAGATGAGTAACTATGTGTTTGTCGAAGTCACATCATGTACAGAAGCGTGTTATCATCATGGATGGTGCGTGCACTGACAAAATGTAATTGTCTGAACATACAAAGTTGACGACATTGAACAGATTATACTGTTCCCATTCTGTATTCCTGCTTTTGTCTTTGTACACATACTGTAAGCCCCTTGGTGCTGTCAGCAGGTCCAGCTTCAGGCTATGAGTTGTCCTCCTCTTCTGTTCCCTCCAAAGCTGTCTGCCTATCTGATCCCAGAGCCAGTGAGGTCAGAGCACCCAGGAGGCAGGCTGTCAAACAGGCCAGAGCAGAGCTAAAGTGACAGGCGTGTGTCCTTCTGTCCACACAGACATGTGTCTGGTGGGGAGTAACTGCGCTGATGCTGCACTCCTAAGAAGGCAGCCTGGAACTGCTTTTAGGTAACATCCATGTCATTGAGGTTTAGAGTATAATCTAGTATTGTATCTTAAATTGTTTTTATGGGAGTCCCCTGTACTGTTGAAGAAAACAGAGAATCCCTGGTGTCTCTCTCTTTCCTGGTTTTGTCAACATCCTGAGCTGAATGTTTTTCAGTTACCCAGTGGTCTATTTTTAGAGCCTCAGTGACTATTGCTCTCAGCAGACCAGATAATCTTCACATTATTCCCTGTTTAGTCAGGGCTTCAAGGCTTCATCCAATTACCTCAATCCCTGCCTACAGGTTGTAGTAGCTCTGGAAGGAAGACATTGTAAAAAAAAAAAAAAGAAAGTACAACCTTTTAGCTCTATTAACAAACAGCACTCCACTTAATAAAGACAACAACCTTTGTCAGAGCAAACTCAGAGGGTGTGCGAAAGATGCAGGTGCTATTTTTAAAAATCATTTTAAAGTATAACGCCTGTTTTTGATTAGATAAATATACACCACAAAGACATGTGCTCACTACTATTCACAACAATTTTAATGTGTGAAACTAACAAGCTCTTTGAGAGCTAGCTTGGTAAGCTAGTTTTGCTAACTAGTCCATAATCTGAGCCTGTCTGGACCTCTTTGTTTTCTTTTTGCTATAAGCTTCGCTGTAACAGGCTGCTGGCTTGTGCTCATCTTCCATGGGTCTTAATCATCATGGGGATGATGCTTTGGGGATAAATAGCATAGTTCCCACGAGGTTATTTGAGGCTGACAAGCTAGCACGTAGTTTTCACATTATCTATTGCAGTGTAGTTTCAGGTACGCTCTCCACTTTGATCCTCAGTTGACCTGATCTTGTATCTACCATCCTAAATCATTTTTCAAAATCTTCTATCCAGTCTGTCAAACTGTTTGTCACTACTGAGTGTATTCTTTTCAACCAATCATTAATTTTCTTTTATTGTGTTTTTCACCAATGAAATTTTATGTTTTTGTAAAGCGCTTTGTTACCTGATTTTGAAAAGTGCTACATAAATAAACATTATTATTATTATTCATTTTACTATTATTATTGATTTATAAAAAGCATGGAAAAGCACGAATTCCTTTTGCTTTTGGATTTCATCTTTTAAAGGAGTTTAGAAAATTCACAGAGTTCTGACAGCGTCTTGTCATTTCTGTTGCACGCGCTGTCTCTCACTCTTATTTACTGGGTCCAGTATCTGCCCATGGGCTCATCCTTTTGTAGTCTCACAGCAGCTCAGCCTTCCACTTACACACACTGCAGATGCACTCAGCTGTATTTACAGGAATGCTGATGAAGGTGGAAAATGGGATCATACGGTATCTTACTGTAAACAAGATTAACTTGGTAAAGACCTGACAGCTTGCTTTTGGGGATCAATTTGTGAATCAGAGCCGACTTAATAAAGTATGGGCAGGTACAGTAAGTATGTTCTTAAAGTTTATTTAGATAAAAAATATGTGTTTGCTTATCGTTTTTTTAATCAGCTGAGTGTCAGTGGTCATATTACTACCAATACACCTTTCCTTTACAGCAACAAATGTGACTTATAACTTTGTCTCTTGTTTGGTGTCAAAACATGATTGAGTCTATAGAAAGGGAAATTATTCCTCCATGACTTTCACTTACAGCTCAATATCTCCCTCTTCTGGCAACTTACATCTGTCCTCTTTTGTGACTGTGAATACCTCATTATACAATATGAGTTAGCCTAACCTCATGGTATACACAACTCCAATCTAAATCATCTAGTTTTTTTTTTCAAATGATAGTCAAGATATCAGGGGTAAATCTGTACCTGAGCTCCGATCTAACTTCTCGTCCTTGTCCTATGGATTTCCAGCTGAGACGGAACGTGGCCAGAGACATCCAGATGTAGACGCTCCACAGCAACTCAAGATGAGAGAGAGACAGCGTTTCTTTGAGGAGGTCTTCCAGCACGATGTGGACGTCTACCTGTCTTCAGCACACCTTTGTATCAGAGATTATAAGAGACGTAAGCCTGACTAATATTAATTTTAATGAATGATGAAAAAAAACAACATTTGTTTTGCACTGAACTGTACTACTTCTCCCTCTCCCACAGCTCCAATCGGCAGCATTTCATCTATGGAGGTGAATGTGGACTTGCTGGACCAGATGGAGCTGGTTGACATCTCTGACCAGGATGCTTTGGATGTTTTCTTCAGCTCCGGGGGAGAAGACGGAGCTCTAACCTCTCCACTGCCTCATGGTAACAATACCAGATACAAACAAAGATTAGAAAACACACTGCAGGGTCACGTCTTTCTCAATAATTTCTATCTTGTCTACAGTTCAAGGAAACAACAACAATGAGGAGGTCATCAGTAATGGACTCTTTCGACATGTCCTTGAGGGCCTCGATGCCAAGCCTCGCCTGTCCTCTACATCCTCAAACTCATCTTACGACAGTCAGGCCACCAGTGCTAACGGGGCAAGCACTCCTGTGGATAGGTCTGATGATGATGAAGAAACACACACCAGCACACTTAAACGAAGAGACAAGGGGAAGAGTCAGACTCCATCAACATCCTCGTAGGAAGCACCAAGGATCCTCTGACCCCTCTGCCCGAGGGCCAAAACTGACTTTTGGGTGTGATAAAGACTGTCTTCTACTTTGGCTCTTCTCGTTGAATTCAACCTTTTCTTTGATTCATGACTTGTAACCTGGCTTCTGTGTGTGACAATGTTTTTGAGGTGGAAACCATGAACTGTAAATACAGAGATTTTTTTGGAAAACTTTTCATTTTTCCAGTCTTGTTTCAGCATGTTTGATGGACAAACTCACATAACTTCCAGTTCATTAACAACAAATTTTGTACATTATTATGGAAGACAGTAAGGCAAGAATAAGGCAGATTGATTGGATGAACTTTGACTTTGAAAGCTCACATGATTTCAAAGTACTCTTTCTGAAATCAACACATTCTCTGGCCTCTTAGTTATGGAGCTCCCTCTCTAACTCTTGCATTAGTTTTAACATTGGAATTAGAGAAAAACTATGTGTTTCAAGGAATGAATGAAGTCTTGTGAGCTTTGTTGTTCTCAGCTATGTCCAAATGCTTCAGGGGAAACCCGAGGACACTATAACCTGAACTTGCGGGACGACATCATAAAACGTCCGCTGTCAAAGTCAAGTTTGCAGAATGTGTAAACTGTGAAATGTTTGTTGAAGACAAAAGTTATGTCCAGACAGAGTGAGACGGTATTTTCTACTGATCAATATTTTTCTGAGAATGATGGTTGTTCAGCTAATCCTGTTTGCTTAGTCAGTCTCCGTAAGGTGGTGTAAGGCTTTGTTCAATTCTACGAAAAATGTAGTGAGCAAACAGAGGCATGAGTAAGATTGAAAGTTTTTTAAATAAACACACACACACACACACACACACACACACGCGCACACACACACACACACTGTATATGATTGTGTGTGGGCGTGTAAAACAGGGGGCAGGGTCTCGTCATCGTTTGTTTAAAAGTGAGAGGAGCCAGTTCTCAAACACTCTGGGCTGGATGAACTGAACAAGCATCATGCTCGGCTTCTTCCTCCTGGTACGTAATGACTATGACCTCCATTATTTTTGAATTATGCTTTTTGTTATCAGTGCTTTCACGTTATTTTATATGTTTCAATTTTCTTATGCTATTTTATTTTACTTTCATTAGAACATGTATTTGGAAATACAGTGTGACACGATATAACCTTCAATGATGTAATCTGATTACATTTTTTTATAATCATCCAATAAAAATGTGCTGATCAATGTTTTTCTATCAGTTAATATGGTTTTATTTCCCATCACAATTCCAGTTTATAACCACATCAGACATCTAAAAGTAGTTACAACTATGATACAAATTTATCCACCTTGATGAATTTACAAGAGTTTCTGTCAGGTCAAACAAAAGATGTTAAGTTCACTCTTGTTCTGTGACAATATTACTGCTCTGGACATGCCTGTGTGTACACTTAAGAAGAACTGGTTCCCCTGCTTTTTAGTGCCATGACCTACAAACAACGTGATCTACAGATGACATAAATTTCAAACTTCTGTCTGCGTGCGTAAAATGTGCATACTGTCTATGAGAAAGACTGTGTTTCAGGTTTGGTCGGCTGTCCCTCTTTCAGGTTTATTTTTTTATGAGTGCATCTTGCTCAGAGGTGCTGAGCCGCCACAAGAGGGCCTGGATCGTTGACTCCTTCACCATTGAGGAGGAGCATCCTGGACCCTTCCCCTATGTGCTGGGAACGGTGAGAAATTCACTGAGTGACAGAAAATAACATTAAATAACTGACCAGGGTAAGCGGGAGAACAGTGGTTTCATTTTCAAGTGCCAAATTCATCTCCAGAGTTAGTTGTAGACATCTCAGTGTAAACCAGTCAGCTCTAACATGTGGCAAGCCCCGCCCACAAACAGATGCTCCAGCTCGCTCGTATCGTTTCAATTAAATTCAGATATAATGCAGATAAACACTTCAAATAATTACAAATGGGGCCCAGTCAACGTGAAAGTAAAAAACATTGGTGCTACTGTAGATGCCAACAGACTACCAGCAAACACAACATTTGCAGGACTTCTACAACTAGGAAAAAGTGACATAGTCCAGGACCCGAGGTCAACAGTTTTGCGGTGCTACAACACACAGCAGGTCCCGTTTGACAGACACTTCTGTTACAGACACTTGGCTTACTTTGTTAAAGCGGTTTACCTGTCCAGCAGAAAGGTTACAGAGTTCGTAAGATCCCGAAACATCCCCCATCCTTCATGCTTTATTGATATTGACCTGGCTTCTTAGCTCTTGTCCAGGTGGTCTACCTCCTTTTTAAGTGCCTGTTATTCTGCCAGAGTCTACGGTATTTAGTTCATTTTCTTGCTTGCGTCAGCAGTCGTGGCCAAAGGAGGATCCAGACATTTTTCCGTACTTTCTGGTTGGTTACTACTGTCCAACATCGTACGTTGCTAACTTTGTGTGGGCTCATGCACGTTATTCGAGGACGTGGACCGTGCCTCACAACAAGAGGGAGCAGCGTCTGCCTCACAACCAGTCAGGTCGGGGAGGTGAAGAATGGCTTTGTTTACAGTCAGAAAGAGCGGGACGCTCAAAACTTTAAAATGTGGACTACACAGACATAACAAAACACAGCGATATCATTATAATCCCAAATGTCATTAACACCTAATGGCTATTGACGGATATTAAACCCTTTTTTGTATATACACCACAAAAAAAGATGCTTCTTTAACGGATTCCTGCCTACTCCACCTTTAAGGGGGCACCAACATCAATACAAGCTGAAAGTTCTTTGCAGGAGCTTCAATAAACATAGGAAGCTCCTGAAAGATGACTATTAAGTGTTTGTAATTCTGTTATAGGTAAGAATTGATCGGGAGTACCGAGTCCACTTTGATCTGCGTGGGGAGGGAGTGGATGAGGAGCCAAAGGGAGTCATCTCCATTCATAAAAAATCTGGCACCCTGTATGTGCACAAACCTGTGGACTATGAAGAGACGACAGTGTTAAGGGTGAGGCCCAACATGTGTTACATACCAGCATTTTATACTTGTCGTGCTGTTTCCATGATTCCCACAAAAGCATCTTTGCAGTGCCCTGACAAGGACAATGAGGAGACACTCTTGATTTTATTCCTCACCTTTGTACAACAAGATACATACTGACAAAGTTCAACCATAGATAGTATGAGCCTGCAGCTATTTGAGTTATCTAAATTAACATCTATCAGAGAAGGTTTTGGGATATAATTCATTTTTGCCATAACACATTTTTTTTATAGAATTTGTTTTAAAGAGGTTTGAATAAAAAGATGTGACTTACAAGAAACCTGAGTCAGACTGCTGAAAATATTTAAAATTATGCACGCTGGAATCACATTATGGAGTAACAGGCCTCTGTACAGAAGGAAAGAACATTTAACAAAAACTGTTACATGACAAAAGTTTTTGTGAGACAGACACATCAAATTTTATCAACATCCTGTATCTTCTTTTGAGTTGTATCTTTTAATCTGCAGCTGAAATTTGAGGCAAAGAAGACAGATGATTTTTCTACAGACACAAACCTGGGAATTCATATTTCCATACTGGACATCAATGACAACCCGCCACACTTTCAGAATGATCTGTATGAAATCGGCATCAATGAGGAGGTTGACCAAGGTAAAGGAAACAATGAAACCAAAATAACACCCCCAACCCTTTTTTAAAGTAGACTCACAGCCTAAAATTATTTCCCATCAGGCTCCCACCTTCTGACTGTTTTGGCAAATGACATTGACAAAAGAGGGAGTCCAAATTCTACATTTCACTATGAGATCAAATCTGTGTCACCGAAAAATCCAGACACTGAGTTCTTCATCGATGAGCTTGGAAAAATCTCCTTCAAAGGATGTTTGGACCATGAGGCAAGAGATGTAAAATTTATCAACTTCATGTGTCTTTTACAGTTCTGCTGCTACTCGACATGAGGATAAAACTTGACGACTTAAATGTGTGCAGTCGCTCGCTTTAGGCAATGTCTACCCATAAGTGTGCATAAAAAACATATTCCATATTTAGAACTGAGCTGCAGGGTGTGTTTTCTGCAGAGTTATTAAAAATCTTTTTGTGTTTCACTGATTCTGAACTTCCTGCAGAAGTTACAACATATTTAAGAGACATCACTGTAACTCAACAAGTTGCTAGGTTTAATAAAAACAACCAATTCATAACAATTCTTGATGGTGCTGCTTTACAGGAAGTGAATGTGCTTATTGTTGAAGAAAAACATTGAATTTTTCTTTTATTATTTGCTCATTTCAGGTGGTGAAAATGTTCAGGGTGTTGGTGGAGGCCAAGGACCACGGGGATGTCATCAGTCTTTCAAGTTCAACCACAGTTCTTGTTCATGTCCTGGATGGAAACAACCACCAACCGACCATCACTGGACTAACAGTAGGCAGTCAAACCTTGAAAACATCACATAGGCTTTGAAGCATACATTTTCCTGTATGCCTTTACATCTATGTAAATGTCACACCTGCTCTCTAATACTTATTTGCCCGATGTCTAAATATAATGTGTAGAAATAGGAAGCTTGCTACTCAATAAACACAAAAACACATATATTTTGTGCTGTGATTAAAACAAAGCGGTGCAAGATGCCCCTATATAGACACAAAAGTCTTATTCTCGAGACTGCTTATAATGCTTAAGCCTCATCATTTTATTTCAAGTAAAACAGGCTCATTCAAATATCCGTACTTGTGAAAATAATGTTACGTTTCTACCATGACTGGTCTGCTTGATGCCACTAAATAACACACACTGCACCTTTAAGTGACATATTTCTATTGTTTTGACTCAAAACAATAATCTTAAGTACTTTCATGATAAGGAAGACAAGTGAAAAATATACCCTCTTTGTTACTGTTGTGTTTTTCGTGCGTTAAAAGTCAGTCAGTAACAAATATAAGGGTTAAGCAAGACAACAAAAGCAAACAGAAAAGAAACTAAGGCTGGAGGTTGGTACAGAGTTAATTTTTTCTTTTCAAGACTTTTAATCAAAGGTTGGGGGTTCATTCCCGGGTCCTGCTGTCCAGATGCCAGAGTGACCTTGAAGTGTCCTGGCTGCAGTCAGACTGTTTAGCCAGGCCTGCTCTCAGAAGTCTAGGTTTTTAGCACAACTCACAAACAGTAACACAATGTTACCTTTATATTGACAGGTCAGATATTGCAAGTACCTACTTTTTTATTAGGAATAATAACTCCAATAAAATGCAATAAAATGTCCAATTCCTTTTTGTTCACTTGATTTGTATTTAACGTTTTTTATTTAGGTCTAAGTTAACTATTTTATAAGTATCCGTGCACTGTGTGCATGATGAGTGTATTCTTCTATATTTCCTATGCTGATCCTTTGCTGCTGTTAACACTGCGAATTTCCTCACCATGAGATAAATAATGGTTTATCTTATCTAACAAGATACTTGGTTCCGACCTGCCCTCATTGGCTGCACGTGTGTGGATGTAATGTGAATGGGTAAATCTAATGTGATGTTAAAGCACTCAGAGTGGTCAGGAGTCCAGAGAAAGTGCCTCATAAGAATGGTTTATTTATTTAACGTTTATTTACATTGAACTTTCACAAAGGCTACACAAAAATAAATACAAGTGTCAGCTTTTTATTTCATACCGACAGAAAAATAGCCTGTCGAGGTTCATTTTTCTATTAAAAAAAAAAAAACACTAGTTTTTAGCTGCTTGTGCATCCTGCAGGAAAAAGCACTTCCTGGAGCCAATAGCAAAATCTGAGCTTCCATTACCAACATTATGGTCAACAAACAATATCAGTCCCATGTCTTCAGGAAGTCTAAACTTCTTTTTTTTAAACCAAATAACATGTCTGTATAAGTGAGTATGTCATAACAACTAGAGCAGCTGGTTTTCCCTTGTTCTGGGGTGACCCGGTTATGAGAGACATTCACAAGCGTACACAAAAGTTGATGTCAAATGATGATAGGGTGAACTTTTAATGTGTTCACAGTTTCCCTTCTGATCTTTGCGTTTTGGTATCATACATCAGGGCTCTGGAAAAGTCAAAGAAGATGAGACTGGGACGTCTCCTCTGCGTCTGCTTGTGTCAGACAAAGACAGCCCAAACAGCCCAGCATGGAGAGCGAGATTTACGATCCAGGGTGAAGCGCAAGACAGCTTTGAGATTGAAACTGACCCATACACAAATGAAGGGGTGCTGACGGTAGTAAAAGTGAGTGCTGTTTGACTGCATGCTTTACATTACAGGGACAACTTTGACATGTTATTACAACACACCTCTGTCACTGAATGTTTACTCTAACAAACAGTTCTTCTGTCCTGTCAGCCCTTAGACTTTGAGGATGGAGCGCAGAGGGAGCTGCTCATCTCAGTGGAAAATGAATCACCATACTTCTCCTGTAAGGTGAAGGAAAAGAGAACCTCAGGTCTGTGGAAAGTTGACACCACAAAAGCTGATGACCTTGTTGCAGCTCAGCCTCATTCTGTGAAAGTCATCATTGAAATTGAGGACATCAACGACCCCCCTGTGTTCACTGAGTCTGTCAAAGAGGCCATGCTGGAGGAGAACGTTCCCAAAGGAACTTGGGTAGAGAGAGTGACTGCCGCCGATCCGGACTCTAGTCACGCAAGAGAGTTTGTGTAAGAGGGACATCTTTTCCACCTCTTCAAAACCCTTTTATTGAAACTCTGTTGACTGATGTTTAGTCTGTCTATATGAAGGTATAGGTTGGCACATGATCCTGCTGGCTGGGTGACAGTGGATCCACACACAGGAGACATCACAATAATCCAATCACCGGACAGAGAATCACATCATGTTGTTGATGGTGTCTACATGATCATACTGCATGCAGTGGATGATGGTAAAACCCTAAGTGTACAGACAGTCATCTGGGCCAAAATCTTTGTCCGTTTAAGAAACAGAAATTTTTACTAGAAACTCAAGTTTGAAAACTTTGACTCTTACAATTTTCACTGTAAACTACATGCACAAGTTGTCTTAAAAAGAGTTGGCTCATACTTTTAGCAAATATTTTGGCCCAAATTAGGCTCCCAGTGCATCCAGACAGTTAATCAAGGTATTTTCTGGAAAACTTGACATATCTATCATCTTGTACTAGTACTTTTGGACTCACTCGCACCACAGACAATCATAAAACACTGAACAGTTTAAGTTTCAGAAGCATAAAACAAACAAACAAACAAACAAACAAACAAACAAACAAACAAACAAACAAACAAACAAACAAACAAACAAACAAACAAACAAACAAAGACCTAACTTCCTTTATAATAATAATAATAATAAGAAGAAACTGAATTACTAATGATTGTAAAATTCAGTAATTACTTACATGGATAAAAATCCACTTTGGGCTTCAGTATAAATGAAGCTAATTCCCGACTCTCAACTCTTTTCCTATTCATGGCAGGTAATCCACCATTGACTGGCACCACTTCACTTAACATTCATGTAATTGACCTGAATGACAATGTGCCTCAGCTGAAAGTAAACACCTTGGACCTCTGTGTGTCTGATGGCCCAACCATCACCAACATCACAGCCTTTGACCCTGATGACAATCCTTTTGGAGGACCATTCACATTTGAACTGGACGGGGACGTTGATGGAAAATGGACCTTTAATCCCTCCTATGGTAGAAACAATTACCCCAAAAGTGACATTTTATACATGGCTTTAACATTTATGTTTGTACAAAAGAGCAAAATAACTGTGTTACTGTGTGATTATTTCAAACAGGGTACACAGCTGGCCTGGTGAAGGGTCCTGGTGTGTATGCAGGCCAACACACAGTCAATCTGAAAGTCTCAGACATACAGGGAAAGTTTGATGTTTACAGCCTCAGTGTGACCGTATGTGACTGTTCTGTGACGACAAATTGCAGCAGCCGTCGAGATACAGCAACAAACACAACCTTTAGTGCTGTAGGAATAATATTTGCCTCTCTGCTTTTACTCCTGTGTAAGAAACTCTATCTTTTCTACCATCAGTGTTAGGTGTTTTCTTCAGCTGTGCATCCTCACTGAAAGAGACATTTTGCTCTCTCTCTATTTCATTGGCAGTTCTTCTCCTGATGGCAGTTGAGGTTTCCTGTAAAAAAAAGTTCACCACTCTGCAGACTTGTGATTCCTCTGGAGAAACCCTCCTTGCATCAAATATTGAGAAACCAGGAACAGACTGCAAGGTCAGAGTCCAGAGGCATTTTCATAAAACCAGTAGTAATTTCCATACTCCTTGTACAAATCACTTACAGTTGACTCTTTTTCAAGGTTCCTGACAATTTCCTGCAATCGTCCACTGATTTGACGTGTCAGGACACAGCTTACCGGCTAAGTCTGCACAATGTAACGCAATATACACAGGTCCCATCTCAGGTGAGGACAGATGGAAATGAGGACAAACTTTTTTTTTTAATTGCAGAACATGAAAAACTTGAAGATCTGTCGAACATTCTTGAGATTTTTTCAAAGCACTTGACAAGTTTAGTCACATACTTCGAAGTCATTGCTCAGGATACCAAAGGTTACCATGTTGAACGTGCACTTAAACTCAGCATTTAATCTCAACTGGTCTGGTTCTTGTCTTTAGCAGCATATACGACAAAATGTAATCAATAACTTTGGATATCAAAGATACAGCAGTTGTCCCAGCCTTTTCATAGACAGGATGAACCAGGTAAAGTGCACTCTTTTTACATTACTCTTTTTATCTGATCATTCGTTGCAGTTATACACTTCAAACATTTATCTTTCTGCACATCTTAGGCCACCTGGAATCCTCTAATATCCAATGGTTTGCAGCGCCACCAGCAGGTAGAGTAAAAGTAGCTTTTGTCTGGGATGTTTCAGATGAGACAGTTAAAGAAACTTTAAAGTGAATTTTTCCTTGTGATCAGATTAAACATGCAGCAAGGATGAATTCCTTCTACAAGAGGAACTCGAGCTACCCATCAGATGCAGCTCTCCTCGCTCTGCTCCATCGGGTCAGTAACGCTCCGACACCATTGTTACATTAACTCTGCCTTACTGGAGGCAGTACATGCTGGTAAGAGGTAAACACTACATTCACTTTTGTGTATGGATGTCCTCCTGCAGAGGCTCTCCACTATACAGAAGACAGGGGAAGAACTGCTGGATTATGAGCCTCACCTCTATGCAGACGAGGGAGAGTGTGACCAAATCGCAGATCTGGAGGACATCATTACTCCTGACCGGGATTCAGTACAGAAAGCAGTAAAGGAGTTGGGTCCTAAGTTTAACCAGCTGGCTTTAATTTGCAGGAAGTCACAGGGAAAGAAATGAATTTTTTTTTTTTTTGTTCTACATATTGAGGAAATGTTTAGGGTGGAGTTCTATGGCTGATGTGCTCTCAAGGTTTGTCATTTAAAACATTTTCTGATTCTGCATGTTTAATTTTTTTTTTTTTCGTCCTAAATGATGAACAGCACCAAAGATGAAGGACATCGCATAACTTGTATATTATTTATTAGCAACTGTCACAAAGTCCTCCACAGTTCTCATTTCACATTAAGGAAAAAAATAAATAAATGTACAGCTGTCCTCCAAAACTAATTTGGAGTTGCATTTAACCATCAAGTAGAGAGGGATACATTAATCAACAGAACTAAATTACATGCTTGCTAGCCTGTTCAAGAGACACATTTTATTGGATTTAACCAAACCGCTATCAATGAATTAGCTCGCTCTCAGCATACAGCTGCTATGTTAAACAAATCAGTCTCCCAATTCATGGAAAAACATCTTAAAGATCAAAATCCTCTATGAAAATCAGGGGTAAAGAAAAATAAATCTCATTTGGCTCAAGAGCTGTCAATGAGAAAAAGGGAGGTACTTTTTAAATAAGTAGAAAACTACCGTATATACATAAATTTTACATCAAAAAAATATTCTCACAGCCTCCCACTGCCTATTTTTGGGAGGGGGCGCTGCTCAGCAGTTGTCTGCCCAGTGCGGCCTCGGCCCCTGAACCCTCTGCCTCTCAGGAAGCGACCTGGCACACCAAATGTTTCCATGTTCAACTTTTTCTCCTCTGCCCAGGTGGTTTTTCTGTGGACACACAAAACAAGTTCAGAAATACTCAACAGTGTGACAAGAACCGGATTAAAAATTTAAAAAAGGTAATAAATGAGATTCACCTGGGCTTAAGGTTCAATGAGATGTTGTCAAAGAAGCATTTGGCTTTGTCGTAGTACTTGTCACCAAGTGTTTCCTCCTCCTCCTGCATACCCTGGCTGTCCTGGGCGTCCCCAGATTCCACATTTTCAACTACAACAGTTCAAAAAAATATTGCTTTTAATCCCATGAAATTTCTTATATTGAGGATCCTCTTGACAATGAGTACACTTCCTATTAAGTAAACATACCAACAACCTCCTTCGTAAGGTCATCTTTAAACTGAGCGTTTGCAGTTTCAAAATCAAAATCAGATTCAAACTGCAAGGTTGTGGCCTTGGAGTTTTTCACTAGAAGTTGGCCTCTGCTTCGGTTCCTGGGCCTGCGACTGCCTGCATATCAGTGACAAAATATGAGACCCACGACAGGAAAACTGGTGAAGAACAAATGTATAACTTTATCTGGTCTTGGATTGACATTTTTGATCCATTGCCAAAAGACAGGAAATGTATGACTGTACTTTGAAGGTGTTTTTCCAATTTATGTGTTGACAGACCCTCAATTTCTGCTAAGTTAAGGGGGAATTTTCAGTCTTGATACCTTGTTTTTGCTTTTGTTTCTGATTCTCTGTGCCTTGGCTCTGAGTCTTTGTTGCAGTAGGCTGTGGTGGTCCTAAAATGAGAGAAAGTGTTTATATGATTAAATTTAATTTTACAGAGAAAATGGTGCAGGGAATCAGGTGAATTTTCTCACATCTTATAAACTACTGATAAGTTTACTCACTGGTGGGTAAATTCTCTTTCTGAACCTGTGAACCACTTCGGCCGGATCGCTGGCCTGGACGAGTTTGCTGTCTGCTCTGTGGCTGGGTCACAGTCTTGCCTCTTCTCTGGGCAGCACTGGCCAAAGGCACCGTCTGGACAGCCTGCTCCACCATCGGCGCTCTCCTGGCTGGGATGCCATGAAGACCTGACAGTGAAGATCATGAACAGCATGGTTGTTGTGGACCAACAGTGGACACATGGCAAACAGGAAACCAAGTGACAGATTCAAGCTTTTGACGCTCTTATATTACCTAGGCCAAGTGCTGCATTGTACTGCTGGTTGAGGAGAGAGCTAGCAGCCAGCTGGTTGTAGGTGGGCATCATGTCTCTGTATGGACTCCAGCGTGGGTGATATGCAGCAGAGGGGTTGCCAACGGATGACTTACATGACAACATTTAGGATAAAAGAATATTTTATGAGCAGCAGTTTAAACACTCCAACAGCAAATACATCCAGAGGTAGAAGTTACTCTCTTTGTGACACATACCTGTATAATTGCTGGATCACGAGGCAGTCCATGGTGTGCTTTTGGTGGTTCAGATACAGTGATGTCTTTGATGTCACTTCCTCTGAAGATAATAAATTCATAAATTTCATCTTTGGGTGGAACTGGTATATCTGTGTGCCGGTCCTCTGTCCCATAAGATCTTACTGTTTGGAAACATTAAATTAGAAATAAAAGGTACAAGTCAGCAACTTTAACAACTTACTTCAGCTGTCCAAGGGAGAGAAGCACATGGTCTAGATCTACCAACCTACCTTTGGCTAAAGCAACCGTGGACCTATCTGTGTCTACAGAAGACAATATCCCCTCATATCGAATTTGTGCCTTTGATATCAAACTGATTTTACTGCCAATGTAAGGGGTTCCTCCTGCAGCACTCATGTTTGCAGTGAAATAGGTTCCTAAATGAATGGCAGCGCCGGAATCTCAGATCATTAAACCCCTGCACAGCACGGTGCGCATGAACTAATTAGCAATCCACAATTAGCGTGCACCTGTGTGCTCTACAACATGCCGCTGACGCGTCTCTTAAACGCTGCACCATTTGAGCGACTGAGAGGGTGAGTTTGTTTTATCCGTCAGTATACACCGTTAGAAACATGGTTCCAGTGTATTCATATGGATTATATCGGCTCGGCAGCCTTGGTAAATCTGGAAAGTGACGGTTATTCACGTAGGGAAAGATTTACAAGTGGCAATAAGTTTACATCGTTTACATCAAACAGGTACAGGCTGCTACAACAGCCTATGCAAATATTGTAAAACTAAAAATATACTTCAAAGTTTCTTCTTAAGTCTGCACCGCCTAGCACTTGCTGTAGCCTGATTGTTGGGGGAAATTTAACACTTAAATCTGTTGTGTGTTTGAGGTGTGTAAATGAAAGTAATAATAATAACTATTTATATAGCACTTAAAAACAAAAGTTCACAAAGTTCTTATAGTCATAAAGCACTCGGAAAAAGACAGATAAACAAAAAGCTCAGTTAAAACGGAATTTAAGGCCATTTTCATATATAAGGAACCCAGACAATACAAGAACAATGAAACATAAAATGAGACCATGTCCACCAAAATAAAAACATAAAATGGTTAAGAAAAAGAAAATGCGGTTAAAAGGAGGGTTAGCAATTAAAAAACAATAAAAGGCATAAAGGGTTAATTAATTAAAGAGTGTAAGTATAACAAAAGCTAAGAAGACAGTAAAACCGAAATAAGAGAGGTAAAAGAGATAAGAGATGACAGGTAAACGATAAAAGCGTAAAAAAGTAAAAATAACCATACTGTAACAGCTTTTATGTTTTTATTTCAGAATGAGCTAGAAATTAAACCGCACTATTTTTCATGACTGTACAGTACAACACAGTATTCCGTCTCCAAAAAGAGGGTGGGGCGTCCTCAAACGCCTCATTACAACATCAACTCCACTCGCTGGCCAAAAACACTGCAGCCATCTTGCACAGCTCATCGAGAGTGATTAAACCCTGAAATTAGCCTTGTTAGCTTGTTGTAAACCAGGTTATTATTCAACCAACAGTCAAGCGGTACAATTCTGAAACGGAAAAGCTGTTGTGAAGGCACAAACATCCCGGCGACAATTAAACATTTGATGAAAACATTTCGTCTCCCGTGCGATGTTGTTCCGTCGCAGGCATCCCGAGGAATGACAGCTGAAGCCATTGGTACCGCCTTTTAGAATGCGGAACAGCCAATCAGAGCTCGCAAAAACCCCTTCGTGGAGCCGCTTAGCTGTTGTGCGCAGGCGCATGTCAGTTGGTAAGTGCCTCACTTCTCATAAGCTCGCAGGAGTGTGAAGATGGCGGTCGGTCCTGGCCCGCTGGAAGACCCTTTAGTACAAACAGAGGTGAATAAAGCGGTAGTTTACCACCTTGTGCAGTCTGTAGAGTCACACCTATCGTTCCTGTGTCAAAACAACCACTTGAGTGGGCACGAGACAGCCGGTATTTATATGGCTTTAGTTCCGGGACAAGGGGGTAGCGCGAGCTAATGTCCAGCTGGGACTTGGTCAAGACGGTTGCCGAAGCAGGTACGCTGTTAACTACTAATATTGTTTTCCTCTTTGTCTCTACGAGTAAACATGAAAAGCAGGCACCGCTGCTGACAGTGAACAACTGTTAATGTGGAAGAGTCTCGTCCCAACACATTCAAGATTGTTTGTGGTGCTTCTAAACAAGTTATAGTGCGGGGGGTCTCATCATAACTAGGTCCCTATGCTTCAACTATGGATGCATCGACGGCCAGCACGGACCACAACACCGGACGCGACGTCGGCAAAACACTTGTTAGCGGCGGTGCAACTTCCCTCCCAAATGCCCATGGAAAAGTAGGCTCATACTCTGTTCAGACTCTCAATGGGAGCCAAACTATGAACTCACACAATTCAGGAAGCGCTGCACCTCTCAGGGGGTCGACAGTGACGAGTGACACTGGTAGTAGCAGCAGTAATGTTACTGCGATATCTGTCACAGCTGTCAGCAGTGGACCGGTGATGTCTAAAGGGCTGACTGGTCCGTTAATGCCCCCCTCATCTAACAGTGTTATTCAGACACCCCTGCTGAACACACAGAGTGTTGTCGCTTCACCTCAGTCTGTAAGCCAGGCAACAGGAGCCACTGTGGCACTCGTCAGGCCGCCTATGCAAACCGCGGGGTCGGGGACTGTGAATGGAAACAATAATGCGAGCCCCGCTGTGGTTGCCAATGCAACAGGTCAAATAGGTATCAACATTCAAACCCCGCTTGTACACAATAGCCAGTCGCCAAACTCGGTGTCTGTCAGCGCAGGCTCGCACATTATCAAGGCAGAACCCCCTACAAGTATGATACAGTCAGCGCCGCCGTCTGCTGTCACTCCTGGAGCCGTCAGCGCTCACCGGGCTCCTGTTACGGTTGCTGGTGCTCCAGGCGGGATCCGAACTCTAACGCCTCAGATGTTGGCCCCGAGGCTCCCCCAAACCTCGCCGGGACAGCCCAGTATAGGCCTTCACAACATCCAGCTTCCCCCGGGTGAGTGAAATCACAACTTTTCACATGGTGCGCACATCCAGTGATGTTTTCCCTCTTGACCACCTGGTTAATTTCCCCTTTGCTTCTGATCAATGACTTTGAATAACAATTTAAGGGATTTCTATGATGTATAACATTTTCAAGAAAGACATCTGTGTCCTGTTGGACTTACTGTGAGACATGTAGCTTGTTCTTAACTCCATCATAAACATTATGACAGATATTTTGTGAGATTAAAGATATAAGTGGATCATGCTCACTCTGCACAGTGGCTTAGATGTCAACCTTAGATGTTTATTAAAAGAGCACCCCTTGTAACTTCCACTAACCATTTTATGTGCTCATACAAACATTTTCTCACTTTATCCAGGAATGATGCTTGTGCGCAGTGAGAGTGGGCAGCTGCTGATGATTCCTCAGCAGGCTCTTGCTCAGATGCAGGCACAGGCACAGGCACAGGGAGCCATGGCACCTCGGACTGCTACACCAACAAATGCTCCAGCTGGCCAGGTTTGAACACACACTTTCTGCTCCATTAAGAGTTTTATATTTTGTTTACTATCTTTCATTTCAGTGACATGGCCAATTTGAGCCTCCCTTTAGTGTACAGGTTAGGAGACCTGTTGATATAATATTAGACACGTTACAGCTCATGTGTAGACAGAATGAAATGAGAGTGTCAGTATGTTATTATTGTGTCAATAAACTCTATGATAATCATAAAAGATATACAATTTTTAGTCTTTTGAATATGATTCAGTTTATTTTCTTCTTTGGGTTACATCATATCATGCTTTGTTCCTTCTCACAGACCCCGGGAAACACCATTCTTAGCAGGCAAGTGGCTCCCAGCACCATCATTCGTCAGGGCTGTCCAACTCCAACATCACTCGCTGCAACCACCACTCTTCACAGACCTCCTGTCCTTCAGGTAACCCCCTCTGTTCATAACAGTTCATTTAGGATTATCTTGATTTGGCTTATTGCACCTGCACAAGCTGCAGATTATGATTTAAAGTGTGTTACTGAATACTTTGAATAAGATTGTCATAATCTGATCATTTCCCAGCTACTCAGCTGGCCAGGTTCCTCACTGAAAAAGTGCCATCTCTTTCTGTCGGTAGATTATGTGACAAGTCATAAAAAGAATATTATTGTGAACAGGCATGTAGGTCCTAGGTGACATTGGACTTTGGGTAAAATGTGTCTTATCTTGTAGTTTCTGAAAGGATGAGAAAACATTTAGGTTTATTTTTAAGAAAAGAAAACAGAACATATTTGCATAAGATTTAATATTTTTGGAGATTTCTCTACAGTTAAGGCATTTTAGGTTTGAGGGAATAAACTGAAGTCATTGTCAGCTTTCTGGTTCAAACCAGAAAAAAGCAGATTAACTTTAATATCTGCATGTCAGTTTCTTGCTAAATTTTAGCCGATTGAAAGACAGACCAGACTCCTTTTAAAAATGAGAAAAAACAAATTTGAAACAAATGAATTTTCTTCAAAGTGTCAGTCCTTCTAAGTGCACTGAAAGAAATAAAAAACATAACTGGATTTAGTTGTATTCATTTTATTGCTATACCAGAAAAGGGTTGGCCCTGTCTTTGTATTGAACCTTTATCTAGCAACAATTTTAGAGCTGAATTTTGCAGGTAGTGACCAGACAGAGGAAATGTGGCTCATCCAGAACTCCTCCTCTAATTAATAGATAAAGTACAAAAAAATTCCTGTTGATTTGATGGACACATCTAATAATGCTTACAGTTTCAAGAGCTGCACCACGAGAGCAGTAGATTCATTTAAGTTCTATTGTTAGGATGAAGCTAGATCTAAATTTTAGCACTGATGAAGTTTCCTGCAGTGAAAATGAACATTTTGCAAAGGATTTGAATACATTTCAAAACCGTTCTCAAGCCTACTTTGTCCTGTGATGACTAGAAAAATGAGGTTGAAACGTTAAACCATAATAAAACATTTTTGTGATGCTTGTTCTCAGAGCACAGTTGGGGCTGCAGTACCAGGAATGACGCCCAGGACTGTCAGCCAAACAGCTGGGACCACAGTTACCTCAGTAACAGTGAGCAAAGTGAGTTGTGCTAAGTCCAGTAGTTACGTGGAACTTATTCATGTTATACTGTAACATTGTACAGCTGAACATACTGTGTACAAACTTAAGTTGATGTGAATGTGAATAAAAACTCTATTCACATTATTTACAAATGATACTCAATTACCTAAATCCTCTTTTGGAAGGAGACAATGGAGAATGTGAAGAAATGTAAGAGCTTCCTATCTACATTGATCAAGCTGGCATCTACAGGGAAGCATTCAACAGAGACTGCAGCCAGCGTGAGAGAGCTGGTTAAAGACCTGCTGGTGAGTGAACACGACATACAAGAAACCTGCCAGCTGCTGTATTATGTATGTTGTTACTACATGTTTCATAAAAGTACAGGTAAAATAAAAACAAACAAAAAAAACTCTCTTTAAAGCTCCTGGAAGGAACTTTTGGTTTGTGTCAACTGTGATGCCAAAGCAGTCCTTGCTTATCTTGCCCTCTACCTGCAAAAAAAAACAAAACATCCTGCTGACTTTTGACAGTTAGAGATAACAGTTATTGGTATTTTATGTGTAAATTTTGAAAAAACAGCCTGTTTCTTTTGCCTCTTGGCTGACACCTATCCTCTCTCACTGTTTTCAGACACTGAAAACCAGGATATACAAACTCTCTTGTTGCTCAAAGTCTTGTTTGCTTTTGCACATCATGAAATGGCTTTCATGTGAATTTCAGTCTATTTCAGCTTTAAAATGTGCATTCTTTACTGAGAAGAAGAAAGTTCTCAGTCTCAGCGCTTTTTGCCTGTATGGTGTTTACCAGGAGGGGAATCTGGAGGCCGAAGAATTCACCAGCAGACTATATAAAGAGCTAAACTCCTCCCCCCAACCTTATCTTGTGCCTTTCCTCAAGGTAAGTCAGCTAAGCTGGTGTCATTTTTATTGATATACTTTTTGGCCAGGATCTGTGAAATCATATATTTTTTATTATAAATGTTATGAATGGGATTGATATTTTCTTAGCCTACAGCAAGCAGAACATCATCTCCAAGTTCATTTCAGTAAGAGTTGTCTTCCTGTCCGTCTTGTAGAGAAGCCTCCCAGCATTGAGGCAGCTCACCCCGGACTCAGCAGCCTTCATCCAGCAGAGTCAGCTCCCCCAGGCGGCCTCAGCACCTGTCTCCTCCACCTCACCCACCCCTACTACGGTGGTTCTGGGCAGCCCAGCCCCCCGACTTGCTGCCCCAGTCATCAGGCCCCAGCTCCAGCCAGTGGTCAGCAAACCGGGACAGACTCCCTCACTGGTAAACTCTCATTCACTTCTCAGATCCATGACTCAGATCTGTAACTTGCGAGATGCCAAACGTAATCCATTGCAACCATCTCCTCTTCCTGAAACTGCACGCTAAAACAAAAAATATATAAATAATTTCTGGCAATATTCATACAGTCTGCATCTTGAACTGCAGGTTCTCCAGCCTCAGCAACAGAGACCCATGCTGAGACCTCAGGTAACCTTACCAACAACCCCCATGGTGACTCTCAGGAATCAGGCCCCTGGACGCATCATAGTGGGACAGCAACAAGTTCAGCTTAAAGAGCTTCAACCAGGTGTGGATGCCCTTCTAACACCCCCATCAGTGGGTAAGCATGTGTTTGTCAATGAGTGATCTCTCATATTCATTCTGATTCTGTGTCTCTGCCAGTTCCTGTGAGACCAGAGGGGCTTCCTGTTGGTAAACAAGTCTGTGCTGCAGGGCTGACCCCGGCCCAAAAGAACAAGTTGAAAGAAGCTGGAGGCTCTTTCAAGTAAGGTTATTCACATATGACTTCATGATGGCCTCACTTGTAGGTGGAATATCAACTTCTTTTACCTGTGTGGCTTTACAGGATTAAACAGAAGATCTGTTTGCTTTCGTTGCCAACACACTTTCATCATTTAGAGAACAAGTTATCTTTTTTAGATGTCAGCTTGTAGCAACGAGTCCACTGGCACTCATGTGAGACATACAGCATGTCCAGATTCATGACCATCTAAGAGTTGGGTTTGCTTACCCGCGTTAATGTTTACAGAGATGATGATGACATCAACGACGTGGCCTCCATGGCTGGAGTGAACTTGTCAGAAGAAAGCGCCAATATACTAGCAACCAACTCTGGATTAGTGGGAGCTGTGACACACTCTTGTAAGGATGAGGCTTTTCTCTCCTGTGCTATTCTTCAGAGGAGAGTTCTGGAGATCGGTAAGACACTTACAACATTATCGAATTCATGGCGTCTATTCACACACCCTCAAAAGCCTCAAAAGTGACTCACTGCTCTCCTCCAGGCAGACGATATGGTGTTTCGGACCTTGGTGCAGAGGTTGTAAACTTAATCTCTCATGCTACTCAGCAGCGGCTACAGAACCTGTTGGAGAAGGTTTCCCAAGTTGCCCAGCAGAAAAACATCAGTTTTAAGGTTGATCTTCAACTGACTTAAAGATTGGATAAACAAATCATTTTGTCTGCATGGTTGCTGATTTTAATATTGACTGCTCGTCTTTAAGTAAATGCTTTTGGTGCTGTGATTTAGAGGGCTTTACTGTATCCATAAACTTTGGATTATTAGGCGTTTTCATATTATTATCACTACAACTTCTACTGCTAACAATAATTATAAGGACTATTACTATTATGAAAAATCTCAATGTGTTATTTCTTGTCATTTAAGCCACTTTTCTCTGGTTATCTTTTCTTCTTAACATCAATATCACATGACTCTCTCAGCAGGAGGATGACAATTACGAGCAGAGCAGTGATGTTCGTGCTCAGCTGAAGTTCTTCGAGCAGCTGGACCAGTTAGAGAAACAACGGAAGGAAGAGCAGGAGCGAGAGATCCTGTTAAAGGCAGCTAAGGTACGTTTTGCATCGACACTTGTTTTGCGCCAAGTCGTAGTTGTAGTTAAAGGGGATGTCTTGGCTTTGTATGAAAAGTGAAGAGAAACTGTGGACTCTGATACTGGATTTCGAAAAGAGGCCAGATCATAAGCACAACATAGATCAAGAAAGTGCCACTTTAATTTTAACAACAACTAATGTGATTGAATAGCAGGAAGGGCTTTCTAATAAAACATGCTTTAAGACTATGTTGATTTATGAGAGAGCACTGCTTCAGCTGATTTTAGGACAGATAGTTCAAGAGTCTTAAAGCCCTCATAGCAAACGCCCGGTCCCCTTTGGCCGTCCACCTGGTATTTGCAGCAGACAGAATGCAGCTGTTGGCTCTTGAAGTACTAAGATGTACTGACAAGTGTAGTGAGGAGAAAGGGAATTGAGAGCCCAATAAATACTTCAAGTAAAACAAAAGATTATCATTTCATACGTTCATCAGAGGATCCATGTCTGACTCTGCAGGCTTTTTGCTTTGTCTGTGTCACTGTCCCTCTTCAGCTCAAACTTTCTCAAACAGTTGACATTTTTTTTGATGTAGGAAGACGTCTTTTGTTTTTTGTTTTTTTCAACCAAAATAATAGAAAAAAAACTTAATTATTCATTCATTTAGGACCATTCAGGGGGGCTTTAGGTTTATTGGCTAATACAAGGAGTCGAGTTAAATCTGATTTTCAAACTTTGAGATTTTTCGTGATATTTTAGATTCATACTAAAATCAACTTGCTTTACTTTAAAACACCTGTGAGTTTTCCAGGAGCTCTTTCTCTACAAGAACAATGCTTTAGGGTTTCTTCTGCCAACATCAGTAATTAATGTGTCTTGTTTTTGGCCTCACAGTCTCGAGCTCGGCAAGAGGACCCAGAGCAGCTGCGTCTGAAACAGAAGGCTAAAGAGGTATGTTGAGAGGAGGAGCACAGTCACCACTCTCTGTTTCTGTGTGTCTATTCACGCACTGTGTGCTTTACGTTGGAATGTGTGCATTGTCCAGATGCAGCAGCAGGAGCTGGCTCAGATGAGACAGAGGGAGGCCAACCTAACGGCTCTGGCAGCCATTGGCCCCAGAAAGAAGAGGAAAATTCTGGACTCTCCATCCTCGTCTGCTGCCTCCGAGGTAACCAATTTGGTATTTCATAATAAATAGCTTACAGGTAAAACTCCCAGCATAATTTTAGAGTAATTATGTTCTATATTGACTTTGCAGAGGACTCCTCACATACCTTTTTAAGCACAAGTTGGACTGAGACAGAATGACTGACACTCGTGAAAGACGGCAAAGTTATAAAGTAAAAATGTCAGTGACACAATAGTGCTGTCAGGTTGCAGTCAAAAACCTTTCCCAGCTATTGTAGAGTTGTGGATTTTTCAGACTAAGTGGATGTGGTGATGAGCTGACACTTACCATACACTGAAGTAAGGCTGAGCGATTTTTGAAAATAATCTAATTGCGATTTTTTCCCTCAATATTGCGATTGCGATTTCATATGCGATTATTTTTTCAAGGTCCCCTTCTGATGTATTTTTCAACAAACAAACAATAAAACAATCTGTATTATAGAAAACAATATCAGATTAATTACACATAAATTGTTCTTTCTGGCAATTATCATTTCTCACAAACACACACACACACACACACACACACACACACACACACACACACACACACACACACACACACACACACACACACACACACACACAGGCTCTCTCTGCTCACACATTATCACGCTCACACATGCACCTGCTGTCATATGCATCATGAATCTTTTACCGATGTAATCGGTGCTCAGAACACTGGAGTCTGGTCTATTGACTCATCACAGTATTGGATGTGTTTTCCGTCATTATGCAGACGTGATTTGAAGTCGAAGCATTGGTGTTTCAGCCATTCATCTGTCCTATATGGCTTTATTGTGTTTTTTTTAAAGTGTTGATAAAGGTTTGTAGGTTTACCTCCTGATGTAGCAACAGTAGCACAACAGGTTCTGCACATGTTGTGCATCTTTTTTTTCCCAAATAAACCCACACAACTGCCGTGCAGCCCCTCTCTCGTTCTAAAGTTTCTGCAGTGTTAGCTTCTGTAGCAGAATTAGGCCACAGTACGACAAAGTGCAGTGTTAACTTCTCTCTCTACCTGCTCTGCTTCGTTCCACTCGCTTGCAAGTCATGTGACCGGATCACGTGACCAGTCAAAATCGCAGCCTTTGCGGTTAGAAAATTGCCTTTTTATCGTATCACGTTGTAATCGCAAATGCAATTAGTCGTTCAGCCTTACACTGAAGTGACAGAAACTGGCTGTTACTCATCACTACTGTTCACACACATGCAGAGAACACATAATAAAGCAGGGTATTTTTTTCCACTTCTACACAGTTCCAGCTGACTATTATAATAATTGATTACATGAAAAAACTATCATAATAAATAAAGCTGCTGGTCAAGCTTAGGCTCCACCTGCTACATCAGTTATGTTTTGAGTGTCTTGACCTCATCTTTGATCACAGTCTCGTCTCTTCTAGTTTTTTGATCCTTAAAGTAATGATGAGCTTTGCCTCGTTCCCTTAGCGAACAGTATTTTCTTCATACGTGAGTTCTCCTCTGTGAAGTCAGAGCTTTTTGTTTCTTCCTGACTTCAGGCTGTAACTGCATAACACTTTTCATATAACACAAATGTAAGAGAAAGTGCTTTACAAATACAAACTATCAACCAAAACAGTCAAAACTCTAATTTATGTGCAAGTTTTCAAGGCAAGCAAACAAAGGAAAAATTCGATGACAGAGGAGTAAGCTGAGGACTTGATAAACAGGAACTGAGGAAACACTTGTATGAGTTCTTGATGAGGAAACCCTAGAGGCAATATTTAAATGTTCAAACACGAGAAATAAGAGAATGAAATATAATGAAAGCAATAAATAAGATAACGAAACATTAAAACAGTAGCCATAAAAACACACTTTAGTAATGAATAAAACACTTGGAAATACAACTCTTAAAGATCATATATAAAAAAAGTAAAAAGACTTTATGAAACACCGAAGAATAATAAAATGATATAAGAAGAATACATGGTTTATACCACAAAGTTTCTTAAAATGTAGTTAAATTGAAGTCAAAGGAAGACTCAAAGGTAGGTCCTGAGTTTGCTTTTATAAATATAGATATCCTGAGCCACCTTCAGGTCTTAAGGTAGCCTGTTCCACAGACATGGACCATTGTGGTAAAAAGCTGCTTTTGTGTGAGTTTTTGTTCTTGCTTTTCACACAACTAAAAGACCACTCTTGGGCTCCCACAGGCTCATAAGAAAAAAGCTGATCAATAGATTGAAGTAAGACCATTCAGCGCTTTATAATCCAATAAACGAACTTCAAATCAAACAGAGAAGTTCAAAAATGGATGTGATGCGGGCCCTCTCTCTGTTCTTTGTTGGCGTTCTTGTAGCTGCGTTTGAAGCAGATGAAAACGGGAAATATTCTTTTGTGGGCAAAGACCATCACAGTAGTCAATTCTGAATGGGAGAAAAGCATGAATGCATGGCCTTCAGATAAAAACTGTTGCTCTTTGGAAAAAAATGTCCAGGTGACAAAATGTCAACTGAAAATAAAAAAACAAAAACACACAAGTGGGATCAAGCATCACATAAAGATTCTTCACCTGTTGACATGGATTAAAGGCCAGTGCTGGGAGTTTTGCAGCAGTTCCCCTCTCTTTTTAAACTCAAGTACCAGTAACAAAAAACGGAGCTTTGTCCTGTTGAACTGTAAAAAGTACTCTTCCATCCACCATGTGTTATCTAAAATACACTGAAAAATTGATCAATTAGCCCTTGGTCATCAGAAGAATGAGGGCTTTTGTTTTCTCTTGTTATCCAATTGATAACCTAAAAGATCTAAAAGTGTAAGACCCATAACCTCCAACCGAGGGGAACCCTACTATTTACATTATAGAGCCTTAATGAACATTTACCTTTTAGTAGAATTCTCTGTCAAACCATTCAAAAAGACTTCCAGCTGCCTGTAAGGCTGTCGAAAACATGTAGGCTGAACTCAGAACAAAAGAACTGAAGTCATCTTTTATCTTTTATCCATGTTTGACCTGAAGTCCCTAACTGTTACGACTAGTGTAGTCTCTGCGCTGTGATTTGTCCAAAAGCCAGATTTGTATATTTTTACAGAACGTTTCTTTCACCCCCTGCTGATTCTTTGTGCTGTTTTGATTCACTGGTTAGAATCTTGAAAAGCAGTACCTGTTCTTTGAAGTGAGTGTCAAACAATTGGCTGCAGTAAACGGCGCACTGTTCTTTAACTGCTGCTGGCAGAAATTGGCATATTGGGGAAGTTTTATCTATTTTTGTATTTACTCAGTTTGACAAAGGTTGAAGTGATTCAGCACCACTGTTGTTTGTTCACTAACAGGAGTACTGCTCTGGAGCTGTCGTTCTAGATAAAGATTCATTTTAATTTGTTTTGCCAAAGCAAAGATTTGAATGAGTAAAAAACTACAACAAAATAGAAAAACTAAACATGGACAGAACACTCGACCTAAATGCTGTTTTTCTTCAGAGCTGTTCTAATTATTACTCTTTATGCCCAGTTGTGGTCAATACTGCAGGATTCTACATGAATCTGCATCAGTGGATTCACTGGCTCAACAGGAGACTTTTACAGAGTTTATGGTGAAGAACTCTATGTCTCAAAAAAGAAAAATAATGACAACTAGATTATGTTATAGACAATTTAACTCTAATGTCTGAAATATACTACTTCAACGCAAAAGTCTGTGTGACTTTTTAAAATGCTACTGTCAAGTAAGAGTTTTGTTCTGTATCATTCACCACCTTCTTAAACAGTAAAGTGAGGGAGCAGCAGTTTTAATAGACAATCATTTTGTTATCTCCACAGCTGTACGGGGGTATATCCAGGCGTGAGGTATATCCTGTCATTTACAGGACAGGGCGAGGCTAAACCATGAAAGATTACAGGTCTTTAACCCCATAGTGTCTGACCCAAGAACTAATGGACAGAAAATGAGCATTTTTTTAATCGGAACTCCTTTAATAAAATGTAAAAAAATAAAATAAAAAATGCACATTATTCTCTTGCTTGTGTCACATTTGAGACATCAGGTATTATACACGATTGTATTTATGTATTGTATTCACCAGGGGGCAGAAGACAAGTATCAGATTGTATACAACAGTGTTTTGAGCAAAGGTTCACCTTATAGTAATGCAATAGGTCTCAGAAATGTATGTATCCAATATAATACCCACACACACATTAGAGGTGAATGCGCAGAAAAAACAGACAAAATTCTGTTTCTACCTGCTCACAACTGAGAGTGTCTGTCTCACCTCGTGGTCCCGTTTTAAGCATTTATTCATTCATTTTTGCTGGTTGCTACACCGTTTAACACCCTTGTTTGTCAATTACTGTTGTTATCTGTTTTGGACTCGTGAGCAAAATGTAGAGCATGCAGAAGACACTCTGCACAAAAAGGGTAATTCTTTTCAGTGGTCCTCTAGTGAAGTATTTTGCTAACAGGTGCTCTACAGCAGTTTTTGGGGTTTATGGTTTCAGATGAATAAGAACACACAAGACTTACAACATAATATGTGATGTTTGAATTGCAGCTTTTTTAAGCATTTCATCCAACAGATCCCCTCTCTGTCCTTCTCGTGTTGCTCCATTGCAACAGTTTAAGGGCACATTTAACTTATTCTCACTTCATCTCCCCTTGCCGCAGGGATCGGGATCTGGTCCCTCTCTGTCTGGCGGGGCTGGTTCTTCAGGCTCCAGACCCACACGGCAGCGCATCACACGTGTCAATCTCAGGGACCTGCTCTTCTGTTTGGAGAACGAGAGATTCACCAGTCACTCCCATTTCCTCTACAAGGGCTTCCTCAAATAGGCTTGATGTCAGAGAGGAAAAGGAGGAGAGGGGGGAAATGAAGTGTGTGGAGAGACCAGCCGCGCCTGCCACATAGACAGCTTTAGAGACTCTTATCAATGAAGAGGAGTAGAGCAGCAACTTGGCACATTTCAAGGTCTTTCAGTTACGCATGATAACCTGAAATACTGTAGTAGCCATACAGGATGGCGCCTCTACCTCTCTCCTCCAATAATGCTTGCTTTTCTTTTTGGAGCAGTCATGGACTGATTCCCCTTTATTTGCTCCTTACACCTTCAACACTTGTTTCCTTTGGATGGATTTTGTAAAAACAAATGGCCTATTATACAATTATGCATTGGCGCACAGTACAGTTTATTTTTTGGATTATGTGTTTGTGTGCATTAGGTTTTAAAGCAATGAAAATCAACAAATATGTTTTAATTTGGTTTTAGACCGCCTACTTATTTAACAGACTAATGATTTTATTTTTATTCTTATTGTCAGCTGAGCTAGTTTGAGCATCAAACTGTGTAACCCTCTGAGCTGCCTTCCTAACTATGAATAAGCCATATAGCCATCCTGAAGCAATTAACCCTTCTGTAACTCCAGACGCAGTAGCTCATTCTCTGTCATCTCTCTGACTCAGTTTGATTTTTTTTTTTAGCATATTTATTTACTAAACTCAAGCTCAAATGAATGTTTAGTTATTTATTTAATTTCATGTGACACCTCATTTTTGTCTTGTGTAGCGGAAATTCTCAACAAAATGTTCATTTTTACTGTCTAAGATGTGCTTTTAATAATATGTTGGGTGTATAGTTTTCAGTGCATGAAGAGAGGTGTGCACTTCAGTTCTGTTTCTCAATCGGTTTCAAATGTTCTCTTTTAAACCAGTTTGCCATTTATTAATTTTTAAAACTTCAACAGGTTTCAGAAAGCATTTAACCTGTTCTGCTATACCAAACATACATCTACTGAGTACTGATTTCTATTTTTGTAGCTGCCCACCAACACATTTTTACTCTTTTAATAGTGACTGACCGTGCCCTCCGACTTGAGAAACTGGAGTTTCTTCCTGTATATTTGTAAATGTTACATCTAAAGTTTTACACACAGTTTTTGTATAGAGTTGAGAATCTATCAATACAACAAAAAGAAGAAACACATTTTCTCTATAAAAAAGTTTGAATAAATAATGATTTTACAGTAAACTGTTTTTCTTTTCAATGTGGTGCCTCAGTCCTCAAATGCATTTGTTGTTGTCTATCACACTAGGGGGCAGCATTGCATTGGCAGAACATCTGATCTTTGTAGAATAAACCAGATACCTTAAATGTAGTCTCACTTCACCTGTTCACATCCAATCCTTGAACATCTGTAATGCCACTCACATCAGAGTGTGTACACCTCGTCCATAAGTTCACACCTCCCATGAGCAGCTCTTAGCATGAAATCATACTCACACACAGTCTGCCAGCCGTCTGTGCTGTTCTTTGTTGGGCCGTCTTGTTTGAGTCCATCTCCATTATCAGCCAAACACACGGTGCTTTGGCAACAGCTGCAACATCAGCTGCTAACATTCAACACGACCACAGACTGGAAATGATTAGACCATTCTGCCTCTGGGACTGTGGCCTGATGTTACAATGATTGGGAGCAGCTTTTGTATCTGCGTCGGCCAGAGAGGAACAATAAGTGCAGATTTGAAGCAATGGGTGGTGATGAGCCCCAATTTAGTTTTTAAAGAGAGAGTACGTCTGTTAGCCACTAGATGGCAGTAGCTCATTTTGCCACATTTACAGCAAACTCTGGTATTTGACAACAGACTGGAGCTGCATTTTCAGCACCTACAAAAAGTTAACATGAGCTGGTAACAATTAGCTGACTTCCTGTTCGTGTGTTCATGTTTTACACCACTCAACTTCAGAAATACACACTGCTGAGCCAATCAGAGGTTGACAGTAAAGTAATGAGTTAACCTGAGTGTTGTTTCAAGGACATTTTTCAGTAGGCCTATATGTATGGAGTTTCTTGTTTTGTTAATTTTAACCCACTACATTTCTGTAAGTGCTTTTGTCACCAGCCACTTTTACTCTGAAGCCAGCTGATGATTTATTTATTTTTCTTAAACCTATTCTGATAGACGATAAACTGTGTTCATGTAGCTCTGCGTGTAGGTTTTTTGACGCGGTGTTGCCTTATCCGCTGATAACCGGAGTCCACGGTTGAAGATGGAACAAATGCAGAGCTCAGTCACTCGGATCAGGCAGCTCATGAAGTGGATGTACTGATAGCTATGTCAGAGTGGGCTGCGATTTCCTCCCTTGAGTACACACGGCCATATCTTAAGCCCATCTGACTTGTACCATTTTAGATGTCGGCTCTGTATATCCCACGTAAAGCCTGTCACTGTTCAACCTCAAAAAGCATGTAGGGGTATGTACATGGCTGAGCGTGTCTTGTATTTCTGATTCAAATTTCAAACTTCTACTGCTTTTATTATTCTGGAGCTGCAAATCTACAAATCCATTTGAATTTAAAGTAACCAAGGCTTTCTAAATAAATGTAACGTAGCAATACGACCACCCATGTATTCTAGACTTAGCTCAGACATTGTGAAAAAACAACAATTTTTATGGGATTTTTCAAAAAGTATTTTGAATAGGCAGAAATGTTTTTAAAAGTAACTTTCACTTGAATTGGAGTAAAATTTGATCAGGAGTATCTAGTCTTTGACTTAAGTCAGAAGGTCGTGTTCTTTGTCCACTGCTGCTTGTAGGACACTGGATGGTTAGGCGATATTGACGCATGCTGTCTTTGTGAGAAAGCTGAGCCGGATAAAACCAGGCTCGCAGTTGGGAGCGCAGAACCAGCCTGGCCTGACAGTCCATCATGGCATCCTCATCTAGTGCCAGTGGGGATTCAGGTATGGCCATGCCCCTTGTGCCGCTGCCCAATCCAATATTTTTCCTGGTAATCCTCCTTCCACTCCTCAACACTGCTGCTCTTTCAGAGTTAAGTCCACATAAGCTTCCACTTGAGTGCCAGAGGCAGAGCAACAACAGGGATGGTGTGGTTGCCTAGCGACATTTCAGTCACTGCACCTGAGGGTGTTGGGTAAACACCCTGAGCCTGCCAGCGGGAAAAGAGAAAAGTAGCATCACCGCTTCTCTCCATGACGGTTATTAGAGGGGGCTGCCATTAATTTGTAGCATTCAGTGTTGTCATTTTTGCTCTCACCTCAGGGTGAGATTATAAGACATATTTTAAGCAGGTCTATTTGTGTCTTTCTGTATGTGCAAACACACTGCTGCTCATGCCTTTGACTGTTCCTCTGTACTGGTGCGCTTTTGTCTGATTCCTAGATGGGACTTGACGGCTCTGATAGTGCTTCTCAGCAGGGGTTTCCTTTAGCACTTTGCAATAAGTCTCTGGTCTGAAATTCTTTGCGTGTTTATGCTCACAGAGGTTTCACTTTCAATGACGGTTGGAGATTTGCTTACATGACTCCCATTGTTATGAGAATCTTTATAAAAGTAAGACCCCTGCAGTGATATACATAAAAAGATTACGACAATTGCATCATTGACCTTATTCTGCAAACTAAGTGATTCATTATTTGCAACCCCACCTTATTCATGCTTCAAGACAAATGCAATATTAAAGTCAGTTAATTTATATGATCCTTTTCAACGCCTCTTTGCACATTGTTGATTAAGCTTCAGCTTATGAATAACACTCTCTCAAAGGAGGGACTTGAGGGTGTGATTTGGATGAACTGATGTGGCAAACTGTCATCCAATCATTGCTTTTTACCATCCATTAGGATGAACAAATCCACAAAGCCGATATCCTCTTTTATTCTGAAATAAAAGATAATGGTTTTTTAGACTTTTCTGCCTGATGTACAAAATGCAACAACAATTAATTAGTTTTGGTTCACTCCCCCTCAGAGGTCTATTTCCTGTGCATCCGTGCCCTTGCTCTGCTCAGGTTAAAGCTGACATCAGGAGTCTTTTGTTATAGGGTCAGCTGGGGCACTTTGCCTTGGCCTGGAGAAACTATAATAAGACCAGTGTTTATGACCACTGCTGAAATGGGTTTGTAAGCACGGCTGAACCGGTAAGGTATTGATGCGGGGGTTAATAGCCCTGTTGGCCTCTTTAATGGAGCTGAATCAGGTCAAGCAGCAGGCGGTGTCAGCCCACAGGAGAGGGACATCTCCATTTACGAAGTCAGCTCCTCTGAGGAGGTCATAGACACACCTAAAGGTGTTAAGTGTATACACCTGTGGTACACACACAGCAGTGAACTTTAAAACTAACTTAGATGGACGCACGGACAAACAGGTTTAGGGGCCTGATTTTAAATTACAGTTTGATGTTGGAGTGAAAAATCATCTATATGCTGATCTTTGATCCGGGACATAAGTTGGAGTTTAGCAAAAATCATGAGATCAGTAGTGTTCGTTGAGTGCTTTGTTCTCAGTACAAACTCCAGCATGGCAGCATTTGAAGGTAAATCGTAACAACCACTTGTATAATGAGATATACACAAAGGTCTGCAGAAGAGTGAAGAGATCTGATTGACATTTTGACATGCTAACCAAGGTTTCATAGACACAACATCATACACAAGACATTTATAAGAGTGCAAGACAGAAAGTTACAGGCTTCATGAATGTTTTTGTAAAATGTCACAGGAACTCATTAATTTTTTTTGGATACTTAAACGGATATCCGGCGGAATATTCCACTCTCTTCCAACAGCCGCTTGTTTGTATGGACCTCCGGGCGAGTCCATCGACTGAAGCTGGGTGACACAGCTCAAGGAAGAACATTTATGATCATTTTTTTATCATTTCCTTAATAATAATAAGTAATAGTCATCATATTAATCATTTTGCACTGCAGACGAGGTAGTTCTTCTGCCTAAGCGTCTCTGTCTGATTGCATTTCCATGAAGTAATGATCATAAATGTTCTTCCTTGAGCTGTGTCCCCCCACTGCAGTCGATGGACTCGCCTGGAGGTCTCCGTACAAACAAGCGGCTGCTGGAAGAGAGAACGTGAGTTGTGTTTAGTCTCTTTGCCAAAGAAATTAGGCAAAGCTAAAAAGATGGTTGATGGGTAGCGCTATGGCTGGGACCCTATATGTACTGTTGATGAAGTTAGGTGCTGTTCTGAGCATTATTTGTGGCTATAGAGTGGCTTTTTGGTTGAGCGCATGGCTCCTGGGAAGGCTGTGTATTGCTTTCTGTGGTCATTACTAAAGTTGGTATAACTTGAGAAACAAGCGGTCGGCAACATTCATCTCTCAAGGAGGTGTCTAACCTGGTGTTACGGTGTGTTTGACCCAAACTTAATTTTACGCCGGAATATCCCTTTAAATCTTATTGGAGTGATGAACCTCCTGATAGTCGGATCAACATTGCCACTGTAATGCCTGTAAAGTGTCACCTCTTAAGTCAAGAATCTCCATGAAACATATGTAAATGATGCTCTTAAATGTTTATATAAATAAGTCACACATATTAGAACAGAGTCATCGAGCAGAGACTAATCCGCTTATGTTGGGCACATGGCCAGAGAAGTCGTCTTCCTTTCTTGTCTTGTTTACCATAATATCATCATTACATTTACAAGACTAACACCGTTACACACAGCTGGTGGTCATTTATTTATTCATACTAATGACTGTGCTATACATTCATTATTCATGGTAAGTGTTGCTCTGTCTTCCTGGAGTAATGCTGACAGAGAAAATCAGAGGGGCAGATGGGAATGTGAGCTTGATTGTGCCCTTAAGGACACCAGAGACTGACTTGGCTGTGAAGGAATCATGTCCCACCATTTAGAGGTGTAACCAGCATCCCTGGGAAGGCACTTAACCTGTGGCTAAGGTAAGGAATTACATGCAGTTGATTAGAGCAGCCGCTCTGCCTGAGGATGCTTCTTGAATTTCCAGCTGCACTCCAGCATATAATCACATGGAGAAGCCAGTCTCTACAGAGATGATGCTTAGCAGCGGCAGCAGCAGCATAGATTTCATGCACTTATGTGGAGGATTGTCAACAAATAACACAAGAGCAATACAGCAGTGCATCGTTCATGGTGATTATATTCTAAGTGTTCCTGAACATGACAAGTATGTTTGGGCAATTGTGTGAACATTCACAGTGACAGTGTCAAAGTAATAGGAGGTTTTAGGAGACAGC